AACTTTTCTCGTTGAAGAAGCTACCTTCATTTGATATATTTAACATTAATTTAATGATGTTTTTATTTTCTCATATGTATTTGATAGGCACCTATACGATCACGTTGTCGCGAAGAGATCACGGTAGCGCAACGGTGATTCTGTTTACGATTAGAATGGAAGCCCGATTTCTTGTCATATATTGTGTTTGGGCTAATAATGTGAAATCTCACTGCAATGAGACCATGGATACTTAGAACTATTCCGGTCTCCCACTTGGGGGGAGCAAGCAATAGGCTGCAAGAAGCCTGGCCCGAAACTCCCCGCCATATGTCGCAAGTGCAACTTCAAAGACAGCTTGTGACAGAACCATGCATACCTCCCCACACTCCACACATTAGCCGTTTGCGGGGGATGAGTATGGGGTTTGTATATTGAATCCATGTATATATATTCTCTCGGTGAAGCCGTTCGCCGACATATTAAAGATCTCAATGACACACTCTTCTACACCTCTACAATAACTTTTCACATACTGTAACGTTAAGAACTCTTTGCAATGGCCAACATGGGCAAGCTTGCGAGTCCAAGTCGATCCGACCAGGCCGCCGTTGGTCATGGCCTGGCTCAGGTCTTGCCTCAAGATGGAGTTCCCTGGTATCGTAAGAGACATTTGATCATCCTCAATGCCTACGCGTACTCCTTGTCTCTTCTCGCGGCCGCAAAGTACGTGTCTCTCCTTATCCCGCCCTTACTGAAGATTAACCACTCTAACATTCTTGAAGTGGATTCGATGGCACCATGATGAATGGACTTCAGGCATTGCCCGCATGGCAAGAGTTTATGGATCACCCAACAGGAGCCTGGCTTGGTTTTATCGGTGCGGCACAATCTTTATCGAGCACAATAGCGTATCCAATTATCGCCTACTTTGCCAATCGTTGGGGCCGCAAAAGGGGTCTCTTCATCGGCTTTGCCTTCCTCTTTCTTGGTACTTTTCTCCAAGCCTTTGCCCCAAATCAAGCCGCCTTCATCCTTGGTCGGTTCTTCCTTGGCCAGCCCAGCGCCTGGTGGGGTGGGCTCTCACCCTTGATCATTACTGAAATCGCATATCCTACCCATCGAGCCTTTCTCACATCCCTTTTCAATAGCGGCTGGTACGTAGGTAGCTTATTAGCTGCTTGGGCGACCTTTGGAACACGGAATTACAGCGACTCTTGGGCGTGGAGAATCCCTTCCATTCTCCAAGCGGCCATACCAGTCATGGTACTGCCATTTGCCATACTTGTTCCCGAGTCTCCGCGTTTTCTAGTCTCACAGGGCAAACAGGCCGAAGCTAGAAAGATATTAACAAAGTTCCACGCTGGTGGTGACGAAAATTCTGCCCTTGTCGATTTCGAACTCGAGGAGATCGAAACGGCAATCCAGGCGGAAAAGGACGCAGCATCGAGTACTTCTTGGATGGATCTGTTCAGAACTCCAGGAAATAGACATCGCGCTGCAATATCGATCACTCTTGGTGTTTTTGCCCAGTGGAACGGTGTGGGAGTCGTTTCATACTATCTAGCCCTTGTTCTACAAACGGTCGGAATCACCTCAGTCACTGATCAAACTTTGATCAGCGGTTGCTTACAGATCTGGAACTTAATATTTGCTGTGGGTGCTGCCGCTTTCGTTGACAGGTTGGGACGGCGGCCTCTTTTCCTGATCAGTTCTGTCGGAATGCTGGTCAGCTTCATTCTCATCTCTGGCCTGTCAGGGTCGTTTGCCACCACAGGAAACGCGCCCACCGGTCTTGCCGTAATCCCTTTCCTCTTCATTTACTATGCTTTCTACGACATTGCCTTGTGAGTATCATTTGGTCCCCAACAGTTCTGGCCAACACATGCTAACTCCAATTCGATAGTACTCCGCTTGTAGTGTCATATCCTGCCGAAATCTGGTCATACACACTCCGCGCCCGAGGTATGGCACTCACACAGATGTCCACGTATGCAGCCATCTTCTTCAACACGTTTGTTAACCCAATCGCCCTGGATCAAATTGGTTGGAAATATTATGTTGTATTTGCCGTGATTCTTGTCGTGGTTACAATCACTATCTATTTCCTCTACCCAGAAACACGCGGCCATACTTTGGAGGAAATGGCCGTGGTTTTCGGTGAAGGTGATGCCGTGGCTGAGGTTTCCAAGGACGTCAAACAAAATGCGGAGGCCACACACAAGGAAACTGTCTAACTTGGAGTTATGCTGTCCCAACTGGAGAATCTGACACATATTTCCTACAGTTTGCAAAGCATCCCATTTTTCTTTTGCTCCCATCTGTCGTTTCCAACACACGGAGTGCACCAGAAAACATCATCTGGATCTATCGAGCGCTTGATTTGCAATAGACGCTCGTAATTATCTCCCCAAAAGGTTTCATGTGGACTCTTGTCATAAATCATGCCCTGTTACTTTCTTAGTTCTGAATTGGATGAAAAGCCACCGAACCACTAACCTCATTATGATATGAACCCATCCCTGGTGCCAGTTCTCGAAGTGGCTTATACGCCTCAATCATGCTGTGGGCAATTTCCACTTCGGAGGTCTCGCTGTATGGATCAAATTCCACATCGGAAACTGTTGAACGTCTCAGCACTTTATGTCACTAGATTAAGTTGAAGTTATCGGAATTACATACTCGCCAAGGTGTATGCCTTTCGCCAGCCAGGGTGTATGGCAGTCGAGCCACCTCGAGGCTTGGCTTCCTGGACACCCTTACCAGCAAAGTTGTAGAAGTAAATGGTACGCGCGGGCTTGGCTGCAGATGTCACGGCTTCGACAAGAGCATCTGGGTTGTTTGTGAGGGCATCTCGGTCAAGCAACCACGATTCTATGAGGAACGTCCGGCCAGGTTGCAAATTTGTCTGCAGGGAGAACCATTCTAAAAAGGTCCCATAAGATTTTGGCTTTTCTGCCACAAGTGAAGCTTCGCCGCCAAAGCGTTCCTGTAGCGTAGAGTTCAACTGATCAAGCAGCGTAATGTAATCATTAGGGCCTCGATCCAAGAGTAAGAGTGAACCTGCAAACATGGACATGTTGGCTGGAAGACCATACACGTCTGAGGTTTTCCCATCCGGGTCCACGATGCATAGGCCAGAGAGCCCAGAATCCATCAATTCGGGGACTTTTCCCATCATCAGTCCCATAAACTCGTTGCGCCGAGATGAGTTTGAGGGGATGATTGCGAATACAAGTGTGTGTGAAACTTGGGGTGTGGGATATGCTCGAATAGTGTATGAGGTGACGACCCCAAACGTTGAGCCTCCTCCCTGTAGTCTTAGGTTAGAAATTGACCTCAGGCCCGTCATTTGAAGGGTGGCAGAGAAGACTTACGCCCCGTAGGGCCCAAAAAAGATCCGGGCTCTGCTCCTCATTCACCGTAAGAATCTTCCCAGCAGGGGTAACAACAACCATTTCGAGGACGTTGTCCGCTCCCAGTCCATAATGAAGACCAAGAGGACTGTGGCCGCCGCCCGTCAGATAGCCTCCCAGTGAAACAGTCTGAGCACCACCTCCAACCACAACCTTTCCATGTTTATCCATGGCTTGATAAAGTTCATACATACCAACACCAGCTCCAGCGGTAACAGCATCGCCTTGAATGACAGTGTCACTTCCACTCAGCTTATACTCGCCTTTGTGGAAAGTAATTGATCTCAGGTGTCGCGTCCAGATTGATAAACTCCCCGGCGCAATAGATCGTCCAAGAAAATCATGTCCAGTTGATTTGACGACCAGTCGTACATTCATCTCCCGTGCTACATGGCAGTTAGTAGTATTCGCTAATTCGAATCAAAAATTCTTACCGAAATCTACTCCAGCTTTGACATCCTCTGCTGACTCGGCGTTCACCACATACGCCGGGTAGCCAGACGTTGTGCATGGCTTGGAAGGGTCGGGTGTGCAGGTACTGTTGGCCCAGTTTGCGAACATCATCGACACAGGATCGTCTAGATGAAAATCGTATCCTGTCCATTCTTGGCCAAGGGTTTCACACGCTTCTTTGCTGAAGTTGGGCTGGTCAGCATGACAAACGCCCGCTGGGGCCAGAGGTTTGATCAGACGGCCTGATACAGTCGCATTGAGTCTGTCCCACTGTTCCCGAGCTGGCCAGTTAGCCTTGCCTGGGAAGGCTTTACAGTTCGCAGATTTCGTCGATTCTGCTGCCGCTTGAAGCCCAAATGCCCATTGGGCCGTGGCAAGATACCAAAGAAACCTGCAATACATATTATGTGGCTGGAACTGTCGACAATCTCTCCTTGCCCCGGTTCATCACTTTCTGCGGGGGTGGCTATGCCCATATATGGGTAATTAATCCTGCTGCCTGCTCGGGGAATACCTTATTTAAAAGGAAATACCTGCCAGTCGAGGATAGCGTGGGGAGGTTAAGGTTGGCGGGGTTCTTGGCAGCAAGGAAGATCATCAAAGTTACGGCGACCTTAATTAACTGTAATCTGACCGCCATTGCCACTGATCACTGGGTGTCGTATCCTTTGATCTTGGCTGTGGGTATCTTCCCTGAAAAGGTGGAAAAGGAGGTAGATCTGTCTTAGACTCTTGGCATGCTGCGTGAGCAAGTGAGACTTGAGTAATGGCGGCCGGCATAATTAACAAGAAATTATCGAAAATATTATTTGGCATCCTTCATTGGCTCAAATAACATAGCAAATCATAAAACCGAGTTCCACGTTGTCACTCGTTCACGGTGTGGCACTTTCACTCTCAATACAAACGCCACGTCCCGCCAAGAGCATGATGGAAGAAATCCCTGGCCGTATTTCCAAGCTACGAAAGGCTTTCGATAAACCCAAGTATATGTGTCTAATGCGATCTCCACCATTTCGACATCCAATAGCATCGCATTGTTTGCGGTTGATGCAATATAGTCTTTTGAATAACACAACACAACAGTTATTAAATTAGCACCATATGGAGTTCCAAATGTCATCTTCCAATCAGTATAAGTTGATTTATGCCTCAGCTCCGGTAGAGTGTCCAAAAGCTTAGGATCCGATTAATCTGGCCTTCAGTAAACTCATACATGCACTCGCTATACGTTGCGGTTTAGCATTCTAGATCGCTTAAAGATGTAACTAGGGCTCAGTACTTACTCGTCAGAATAATCCATATAGTTATGGATAGGGTCCTCGCCAGGTTTATCAGGACAGGTGTCCTTACTTGCAGGACAGCCATAAGTCGCTGTAGCCTGTGGGGGTGTGTCATCTACCTCGTCACCACCATTACATCCATTATTGAAAGTGTGGAATAGACCAAACCAATGACCGACCTCATGTGTGGCCGTCTTCCCCAAATCATAAGGCTTTTCGGTACCTCCGGGTACAGTAGTCGCCAATACAGTACACCCATCCAAGTAAAAGTCAGTTGATCCAGCTGTCGTGTTTAAAGGGTATGTGCATACGCCGTAGGCTCCGCCGACAGAGTCAAGAAAGTAGATGTTAAGGTCTTTGTATGTCCCATTTCGAAGCTGTGTCTTCATGCCCAATTGATCCTCAAACCGAGACCAAGTTGCGTTCACCGTCTTTGAGATTCCAGCTAGGTTTAAATTGATGCCATACACCCCATAGTCTTGAGACAAGATATTGAATTGCTCGTTTAGGGTCGGGTCCTACGCATTTCTGTCAGTCCTGATACTGTTATTCTTCAAATCTAAGACCCGATGTTTACCGAAAGTAGCGTATCTGAGGATGCGGAGATTGTATGAAAATATACATCAACAGCCAGAGTGGTCTTTGTGTATAACCCAAAGACACGAGCTTGATTTTCTTCAACGGAGAGCCGACGGGAAACTTCCTGGAGTCCTATGGAAGGCTCCGGGTTCCCACATCTTGAAACATGGTTGTTTGTCGATAGACCGTGACTCAATCCAGCAACTCCAAGGAGTAGGAGAGAGAAATGCATCGTACCAAGAATGAAGATGAAATAATCGCCTCGGAGAAAAGATACAACGAATTTCCGTAAAATAGAGTTATCGATCCTAAAACAACAGAAAAGGAGGAAGGCGCATCTAATTTAATTCTCACACAATTCATACTTATATATTATTCACCCTCCGACTAGAATCATCGACCTACTACTTTAGGAACTGCTTTCCGCCTTCTCACCTTACTTATCAGCATTGGACTTAGAACCTTCCCAAGTGGGAAGGTTTCACTCAACAGCTTACTCGTGGCAAAACCCGTCAGATTCACCATGGCTTTGATCAGTATCTGCCGGACCACGATTTTTCTCATTACTCTAAGATTTCCTACCTCCTAAAACTCTTCAATTGATCCAATGGCTTACAAATAGCCTACATTCGATCGGCTCAAATTGCTTTGAAGTCAACCGTAGGATTGACCGAAGTGGAAATCGTTCGAAGGATCTAACCTTTCACCGCGATTCCTCGACAACTCTCATACAGGAAGCAGAGCACATGGCTAAAGCTTTGTTCTCTCATAACATCAAAATGGAAATCAAACAGGAAAATCTGTATATAGGAGAGAGTTTATCAGGATGGATTTATCATGGCATTCATTCAGAGCCTTAATCTCGACACTGTAGGGTAGGTTATTGGAGAAGAAATGGTCTCCACTTGCGAACATGGTTCAATGTTGTTGTGGCAATTATCGGACCCACTTGACTGAGGCCATCAAGGCCCAAAGCCATAACAACCCGGAATTGAAACAGGCCTCAGCCGCAGCGGCCTGGCGATGAAGATGCAGGCCACGTCGCGTTGGCTTCCATGCCTCTTACTGCGAAAATAACTCAATCTACGTTCAATGAGGGGACTTGAAGCTCAAGTGAAAGCGCCTGGGAGTCAAAATGACCCTGGCTACACTCCCTGTGGAGCTGCTGACCGCCATTTTGGAGCCCCTGGTCCCTGAGACATGGTTTGCCTTGGCGGAGCTACGGAGATGAACGAGGCTCCGACTTGTATTTCTACGGAGATAAGCTTGCTGTCAAGTATGTTGAAGCCCCAATTGACGCGTTTTCAACTAGGAATGCTCGACAGCATCATTTCGCGAGCAACTTTTCAAAAGACGGATCTTGCTCAGCTCCGATGGTAATGTGAGCGTGTGGACATGTGTACTGTGCAATGGATTCTGCAAACTAGAGCCAGTCTCGACCCTGAGAGTAGGATCCCAGTTGTCGCTTATCTTCGCCATCAGTCGCTCGGATCTTTCAATAAACTATGCGCCTGAAACAAGGAATTGTTTGAGAATCCAGCCAGAACGTCGTCTACATACAAGCAGCATGCCATCAAGGAACTGTCCGCTAAAACGTTCTGATCCGCCAATTGATGTTCCAAGTGGTACTTGCGCTTGACATCTCGGAGGCACGTCCGTATATTGACCGGAAGGCTGTGGGTGAATCACTATGCGGTGGCGGCATCATTTGTGCGGAGTAAGTTTCGGATAAACCCACGACGGACAAGTCCTTGGTCCCATTGCCTAGGCGCATCGGAGGAGACATTCGCCGCTTGCATCCGAGGCATTTCTAGCGCGTGTCACGGGTTAGCGGAAGCATCCGATGCCAGCTCTCAACCACTGCAGCTCTGGCCGGCATATGATTGTTACTATTGCTGCTGCTGCGTATCACTTCCTGGCTTACTCAACCAAATCTATTGAATCGAGCCACAGATCGACGCAATGTCCTCAGTCCGATCCCTAGAAGTTCTCCGCAGATTCACCAGCTGTGATGTAAGACCCATCCTAGCCTCCCCACCAACATTGAGTAATCAACCACTAACATGCATCTTCAAGATTGGCGATGCCCTCGTGAAGTTGAAGTATCCAAATGGCGGATTCTTAGATGGGATCCGTCTCTTCTCTCCCGACTCTAGCACACGCATATTCGGCCCTGCCATTACGGTCAAGATGGTCAAGGCCGACGATGCGTCTGCGCCGTCACTTGAGAAGCATTTTGTGGATCACAATGAAGACGGGCGTATCATGTACATCCAGCAGCCCAAAGGTCTGCCGTCGGCTTGCTGGGGTGGTCTCATGTCAACGAGGGCTCAGTATCTCGGTGCAAAGGGTGTCGTTATCGACGGGCGCATGCGGGATATTAACGAACACAAAGAGATGAAGTTCCCTGTGAGTGGTGATGGACTGCTAAATACTTCTCGATGACTAACTCGGTCTCACCCAGGTCTTTGCCCAGGGCCAATCGATTCTTGGCTCAAACAGTTTCACTCGGGCATCTCAAGTCAATATCCCGGTCCAGTTCAGAGATGACCTTTGGGTTAACCCCGGTGACATTCTAGTGGGCGATGCTGATGGCGTGGTTGTGGTCCCGCCCTCCCTGATTGACCGTGTGAATGAGCTATGTGAGGAGCGAGCTGAAGTTGACGACAAGATGTTCAAAGCCCTTCGTAGCGGTGAGGCAATGGGACACTTGATTAAGACGGTCCGAAAGAATAAATAGTCTATGGCAACAGTTGGATATATTAAATAACATATTCTGCTTCCATTTCCACATCGTAGAAAGGAGTCTGCATGAGCTAGTGTCTTTTACATCAGAACCTGGAATGCTTTTGTTAATACCATGCAGCTATGAGTTATCGAATATGATCAAGTTGGATTGATGAGAATAATTCGTTTCGTCGGAAGGCTCAGCCTCCAGATTACCATCTGCATACAATAGTTGTAAACTACAAAAGCAAGACTGGGAAAATATACATGTATCAATTCTATGTTACATACATCCGTCATAAATTTAAGCTGCAAACAATCTTCTTGGGTTCTGAACCATGATCAAATCCCATTCCTCATCGGACAGCCACGACTTCAGAGTCTGAAGCCATTTCTCATCATCAACTTCCAAGAAAGGCGTCTCTTTCATAGCCTCTTCGTGACTGCGCACCTTCATCCTCGGAGTGTGCGGCCAATCGCTCCCCCATAAAATCTGGTGTTTATTTGTAGCCACAAAAGCGCGCACAAGGAACTCTAGATCCTCATATGCCGGGCCTTGCTCGCTCACGCGGTATGGAGCACTTAATTTCACAAACAGATGTCCATCTTTTACAAGCCCCATAATGGCGGCGAATCCTGGTTGCCTGGTTGGGTCCTCGCGATATTCCGGAGGCAGCATACTCGGGGCCTTGAGGAGCGCGAAATGATCAGTGATTAACTTTCTACCAGATGGCACAATCTCTTGTTTAACGAATGGAGCCAGAGTATTCCAGAAGCCAGTCTGGATGGTGGTCATCGTCAAACTCCACGGCAGCTCCAAGTCGACCACTCTTTGGAGGTGAGCAAGCAATGCTTTCTTTTGCAGATTGACATCCTCCATTGCTTTGTAACGATATAAATTGACGCGAATTCCACGAATTCCAGACGTATGCATGTCAAGAATCTCCGAGTCGGTTGTTGTTTCTGGGTCGATCACACCCACGGCAGAGGTGCTCTGCTTCCCCAGTCGACCGACAAAATCCTTCAGCGAAGAGCAGTCATCGCCGTAAGACAGTCCATGAGTGAGGACTGAGTTTGTGATACCTAACCGCCTACGGAAATTCTCAAAGGCTTCGATGGTCGCAGGAGGCGGTGTAAGGTGCCGCGTGGGACTGTACGGGAACGCATGCGCTATAGGGGTTAGCAGACATAACAACAACAGTGAAAGTGAATCGGCATCTCACGTTCAAAAATGTGATGGTGAGTGTCCCAGCCTCCTTTGGGGAACAAAATTTGGGCGTGATGAGTCTGTACGATTTGGGATGCCATCGTGATTGGTCTAGCTGCTGTGAGGTCTGTTGCAAGAAAACACTTTGTTCTGTACCTAAAGTATATGACAATGTCTCCAACGCCCTCTTGTACCTGTGGATGTACGCTAGGACTCACCTGACTGGAAATTAGATGCACTAAAGTTAGGACCGCTGCGGACTCCAGGTTTCGTCAAACATGGGGGTGGCAAAGGCTCGGAACTGTCCAGCCGGGAAGGGTGGAATAGTCCGTCCCCGCTGAGTGCTCCGACGTGGACTAACCCGGCAGATTCCAGACCATCCTGGATCGGAACGACGCTTCAAGCGACCAGAGAGGCGATAATTGCTGGTTGGGAAAAGAGGACCAAAATGGAGTGTAGAGGCAATACCGATTGCGGTCACAATGTAATTGATCAATAGTTGGATTTCCTTCCACGCACGCAAGGGTCACCCTCCGCCATCCATTCCTCCACCATGATGTCCAGCGAAAAATCCCAAGCTCCATCTCCCCTGCAATCGATAGCTGCTGGTGCAGCCGCCGGGGGTATTGAGTCTCTTGTCACAGTAAGACGAACAAGTTACAACACCCTGGATGTTGCTGATAGGAGTGTCACTTATGGTTGATGAAATAGTATCCGACTGAATATATAAAAACACGAAAACAGTTGCTCGGTGCATCGTCAGTATCATCATTACGAATTCTCGCCACCGTAATTAGGGAACATGGAGTTGGGGTTCTGTATACTGGAGCGGGAGCTTTCTGCATTTCAAATGCTTCAAAGTCAGGAGTGAGATTTTTCACTTTTGATGGCGTCAGAAGCAGGCTTCCAAAAGACTCTGATACAGGAAAGTCTACCAAGCTTTCCAACATGATCGCTGGAGTAGTAGCTGGGATAGCTGAAAGTGTCACTGTTGTGACCCCAGGCGAAAGCATCAAAACCAAGATTGTGGAAGACAGGGCAGGTGCCCGTAAGTTCACCTCGACCAGGCACGTCATCTGGTCTACGCTCCAGACCCAAGGACTGGGAGGTCTGTACCGTGGTGTTGTACCCGTGACGTTAAAGCAAGCCTCTAACGCTGTTGTGAGGTTTACTTCCTACCACGCAATTTTCGATGTAATCGAGCCATACCTTGCACAGGCTGGATATGGAACGTTCACAGCTCCGGCAGCAGGAGCTCTAGCAGGAATAATCACAGTCTACGCGACGATGCCGTTTGATACCATTAAAACTAGAATGCAGGGGTTGAGCGCAGGGAGCGGAAAGAAAGGCACTCTGCAATTTCTCCGCTTGATATACCATGAATCAGGTGTCACCGGCTTGTGGAAAGGAACTACACCTAGGTTATTGAGACTCTCTGTGAGTAAATTTCATCTTATATCGACTCAATTTGATCAACTTGTCAGAAACTGATATCGAGTCTCAAATAGGTGTCTGGAGCGCTGAGCTTTTCTATTTATCAACATGTGTTGGATTTTATGAGGAGGCCTTCGATGACTCAACATCAGACAAAGGAAGCATTGCTTAGCTGGGAGATACCTTAGACTAAGCACGGGAAAAAGACCGACCGCAGCATTGTTTCTAACGTACTTCATTTTGATCACTATCATTGTACATAACTATATATTCCTCCATATCGATGTCTAGTTACCATTCACAATGAGGTATCAGGATATGTCCTAACATGGATAAATGCATATGTGTACTAATAGTTCTAATAACGCTCGTTGAAAAACCCCCAGGATAGGTAGAAGAAGCATCATCCTGAAAGACATCAGGTACGCACCGTCTCTCCTTGATATAGAAGTATTGGAGGATCTTTTTTTATACGAATTAGGTTGCAATATCTGTTCATATAGCATAATATGTATTGACTAAACGATGCTAAGTATTTGATGACAATTTTTTGGTTGATGTATAACGCCAACATTTCTCTTTCACCTTGTTCTCAAACTTGATCAAATATACAGTACCCTCAAAACCATTCGATCTGCGCCTCTACAGCGTAAACAAATTCAAGTCGTTTCCACTCTCTCGCAACTTCCGGTTCGCCTTGGTCAGCATCCACTTCATAACCATACATGTCACAACCGACAAAGCCGAGAATGCCATCATCAGGATATTAGCCTTTACGTAACGAGGACCATCAGTCGACGGGAAGAAGTAAGGGCTCCAGATGTTACCAAGCTGGCTGAGAAGGTTGATGATGGCCGTGGCACAAGCTCTTTTCTCAACCGTCTGATTGAGGGTAGAACTGGCCCAGCTGAATACCATGGCATTGGATGAAAAGCATCCGCAGATGTACAAGAAGGCAGCTGCGTAGCGTGCGGCATTGTTGAGCGTGGACACAGAAATGATGAACCCGATACAGGCCACTGCTTGGGGCACTGCGATGTGGTATCCTCTATCCTTGCGTCGGTCGCTCGACCAAGCGGTCAAGAAAGCGACGATGGTCGCAAGCAGATATGGAGGTGCGGTAAGGACGAGAGTGAGAGTCTTGTTGCCCAGCTGGAAGCCTTGAACGATAGTTGGAAAGAAGTTGTTGAAGCCATAGGCACTGTGGTTGGCTGTGAGCATGACGACCTGTTGGGGTACGTTAGTTTCTTGAATCATAGGCCAGACAATAATAAGACCAGGGACTTACAAAGACCCAAGTTCTGATGTCCTTAGCAGCCAACCTTAGGCCGGTCCACACACTGTTGTCCTCCTCGGGAAGAGAAACGCGGCCTCGCTTGATTCGTTCAACAGCGACTTTTTGTTCGGCGTCAGTGAGAAGCCATTTGACCGTCCCGGTCTTCTGACCCGGAAAGTCAGGTAAGAGTACAAAACCAAGCAGAGCCGCAGCAAAGCTTCCAGCACCTTCAATGATGAACAGCCATTGCCATCCAGCAATACCCATCGCACCTTCAAGATTTGACAGGACGCCAGCGGCAATAAGACCAGAAAATGCGGTAGCTAGGAGAACACCCGAGTAGAGGATCGCCGTTCGTCGGGCAAGTTCCTTCCGTGGGTACCAGCAGCTAAGAAGGTGCATACCTGGGAAGAAGGGAGCTTCGGCGATACCGAGGAAGAATCGAATGACGAGAAGATGTTGGTAGTTGCTGGCACCGGCCGTGGCTGCGGAGACGATTGACCACAGTGCTGTCCAGAAAGGAATATACAAGGAAGGTCGTGTCCGAGTAAGAAGCATATTACTGCTGGCTGTCAGAAATGTGTGCTTCGACCAGTCTTGAGCCATTCCGCTTACCTTGGAAGTTGCATGAGCATGTAACCGACATTGAGAATTGAGACGGCGACGTTGAATTCGTTTCCCTTGAGACCGAGGTCTTTCTCGAAAGAGCTAAGTCTTGCTTGTCTATACCCATGGAATATGTCAGCAAAGTCCTCCGGTCAACGTGAAGATTCGGTACTGACGCGATGTTGTTGCGGTCGAGATAGTTGAAGAGGTAAAGAAGCCACACCATTGGCACAAGAGTCAAGTCCAGCTTGCGAACAAGACTCTTCTCTGCCGCATCATACTCTTCTGTCGTCATACCCAGATTATCTTGGCCAACGACGGCATTGTTCTCCTTGTGAGACGCCGACTCATCGACATGATCTGAGGATGCATGGAAAATATCTTCCTTTGTGTCCTTCAGAGAAGCCGTCATGGCGAAGGATTGAGAAAAATTAGAGATTGGTGAGCAAGGTGATGTGATCAATAGAGTTTGAGTTCTCAATCTCAAGGGTAAAATGGACCAGCAGTGACCGACAGCTGAGGCCAAGTTCGATGAGGTCGGACAGTCTGTTGATAATAAATGTTTTCAACCTTAACAATTATAGTACCGATTGTCAGCAGTCTTGACTGAACAAAACTGCCCCAGAAGATACCCCGCAGTTCCCCAGGAACAGTTCGAGATTGTGGGTAATAATTCCACAGTGCCACGCTCATTCTTGGGGATGTCGGAGCCACCCAGAGGGATGAGAGATCAAAATTTGATGCTGCGGACAGCTCCAGCTGTGGAATGAGTTTCACGACATGGTCCCGAAAGCGCCGTGACTGAAACTGACCAATGGGAGTGGCCCCAATTTCCACTACGGACTACTCCTCCACCTCGTGGGGAGAAAATGGGTGTCCCGTGCCTCTTATGTGCAGCTGAGATGCCCCCCACAGCGATATCTCCAATTATTTAGCGCAGCTCTAGTCTATGGTTCTTGGATACCCGTGCCAAGGTGCAAATACTGATCTTGCCATTGGTTGGTTCTGATTAGTGCCAAAGTATCGATGAATCGTGTAGGGATCAAGTTATACCTGTTGAACGATAAACTTGTGAGGCAATGCCAGGTATCTATTATCCCCATCTCTTCCAACCAATCGATATCTTGCAATATCCTGGCTGTGCCGAAGAGAAACACTCATGTGAGCTCGGCACTCTGGAGTGATGTGACCTGGCCACGAAGTGGGTGTGGACAGTGCCGTAAATGATCAGGAACTCTCAAAGGAGTATTCCGCAGAGGAATTCAAACTAGCCAAATTATCCTTCGTAGTGTTCCGGAACGCACACAAGCAAAATACCGAAAGAGCTATTCTTCTTGGGGGCTCAAAATATTTAGAAGGCCTGCTTCAGCCACGTAGGGGCTGGCAATTAAAAGTTAACACTTAATTACGCAATCGAACCAGAGATGAAGATTGGCCTGAGGGGTTGAGGCGATCTCCTGTCCTGGGTTTCCTTGTTCAAGCGGTGAACTCTATTCTCAAAAAGCAATTGCTTTTTCCAAGCAACAATTGAGATGTATTGGTATTACTCTCAATCAGGGTGTTGGAAACTATTTTTCTTAGACTTCTACTGAGTCTTATTTTCGCCATGAAACTCTATGTCTCTCATAGCTATACTGCCATATCCTATGTATTCAAAATGAAGACATGGAACAATGGGATGTATATAGCGAAACTTGCATTGGTCTCATTAGAAAATCTCTAGACTTATACGTATAATTTTGAACTGATAAACCCATATTTAATAAGTTCATTTACAAGAGGGACTTAAGCATCAAATACTAAACCCAGTGTCATGAGATATCCCCTCGATGGAGCCTATTCATTTCATCCAAGCAAGGTCTGCTTGATATGGTTCAGCGCACTCCCTGCACGTAACCATTGGATCTGATGGGCGTGGTAAGAGTGATTCAACTGTGCCGTCCATATCTTACCGTACTTTGTCTGTACTTCCATGGTGACCTGCTTTCCGGGCTGAAGACCATCTCCGTCTACATCCCGCAGCGTGATACGATCCCCTTTCTCGATACGATCGTAGTCCGCAGGATCGGCGAATGTCAACGGAAGCATGCCTTGTTTCTTCAGGTTTGTCTCGTGAATACGAGCGAAGCCTCTCGCAATGACGGCCACTCCCCCCAGGTACCGAGGCTCCAGGGCCGCATGCTCACGGGAGCTGCCTTCACCGTAATTGTGGTCACCAATGATACACCACCGGATGCCAGCGCTTTGCAAGCTCCTAGCAACTTCGTGTATCGGTTCAATATCATGTGTAAGCGGGTTTTCTGCTCGGCCAACCATCTGGAGGGAGTTGGCATTGGGGAGGAAGCCGTTAGTGGCTCCAAGGAGCATGTTGTGACTAATATTCTCAAGATGGCCTCGGTAGTTGTACCACGGGCCTGCGGGTGAGATATGATCAGTGGTGCATTTGCCCTGAACTTTCACTAGAATTTCGATATCGTGGGCATTTCCCCCCTCCCATGGCTTGAAGGGCGCGAGAAGCTGTAGTCGATCACTGTTCTTGTCAATATCGAGCTTGTATTCCGATGTGTCGGTGAGAACAGGTGCTTGATACAAATCATTCCCTGGGAAGAAGGAATCAGGCAGCTCATCGGCGGTCGGGGGCGCAAAGCGGAACTCGGCTAGAGAACCGGAGTCATTGACAAAAGTAATTGGATCCGTAGTTGGATTGAACGTAAGATCACCCGCAAAGGCAAAAGCCGTGGCGATTTCAGGAGATGTGACGAACGAGTGCGTGGAGGGATTTCCATCATGACGTCCCGTGAAGTTTCTGTTGAAGCTAGAAATCACGCTGTTGCTCTCTGCCCCCTTGATGTCGACATCTTTTCGATCCCACTGTCCCACGCATGGGCCGCATGAGTTGCTTAGCACAACAGCTCCAGCCTCCCTGAGCGTAGATAAAATGCCCGCCTTCTCTGCCGTTGCGCGGATCTGCTCGCTACCGGGGCTGACCATGAATGGTGTTTTGGCACGGTGCATGCCTGACTCTTTGGCCTGTGTGACAAGCTGGGAAACCTTTAAGAGGTCTTCATACGAGCTGTTGGTGCAGCTGCCAACCATGCTGTAACTGATCTTGGAAGGCCAGGAGCTCTTTTCGACATGCTGCTTAAACTGCGACAAAGGGTGGCTCAAGTCAGGTGTGAAGGGACCATTGATATGCGGCTCCAACGTGGATAGGTCGATCTCGATTATATCGTCGTAGAATGACTCACTACCTGGGTCTGAAACAAGCAACGCATCCTTGAATTTGTTGGCATGCTGTGCGATATCTGCCCGTTTCGTGGCTGAGAGGTATCGACCCATAGCCTCTGAGTAGGGGAAAATGCACGACGTCGATCCGATTTCAGCGGACATGTTACAGACCGTGGCCATTGCGGTGGCACCTAGTGACTCTATGCCAGGACCGAAGAACTCAATGACTTTTCCCTTGCCCCCCGATACAGACAAGATGCCAGTCAGCTTGCAAATTATGTCTTTTGATGAGCTCCAGCCAGAGAGCCGACCGGTCAGGCGAACACCCACAACTTTGGGACAGACCAGCTCCCACGGCATACCGGCCATGGCGTCGACGGCATCAGAGCCACCGACGCCAATGCCCATCATGCCCATCCCACCAGCATTGGGAGTATGGGAGTCTGTTCCAATCATCAAACCACCCGGGAAAGCGTAGTTCTCGAAAATGGTTGTGTGGATAATCCCTGCGCCAGCTTTCCAGTATCCGATGCCGTATTTCTTTGCCGCGCTACCAAGGAACGCATACACTTCGCGATGGTCGCTGGAGGCTCTAGTAAGATCCTCCTTTGCACCATACTCGGCCACGATGAGATGATCGCTGTGTACGGAGGTTGGTACTTGAACGCGGGGTAAGCCAGCGCTGATGAATTGCAGCAGTGCCATCGTGGCGGTGGCATCATGACAAGCGACGCGATCTGGCCGTATGCGCAGGATAGTTTTGCCTCGTTCGATTTCGTCGAGAGCCCAGCCGTCGGCATCGTGAATCAAGTGACTGTAAAGGAGCTTTTCGGAGAGGGTCAAGGGTCGCTGGTTCAACTTCCGTACGCGGTCGAGGGATTGCAGTCGAGAGCCGTAATCCAGGGGGTTGTACTATGAGAAAGCATCAACATTCAATTCCATACATAAGGGAGTCCCCGGTATAATTGGCCACTTACTGGTTCCAGCGGACTCAGCGCAACGTGCGAAGAGGCTGTCGCAAGCGTCCGGACATGTCGTCGGGGGCATGCTGTGGCGAGCTGCCGGAAGGATCGCAGTGCTGAGAATGACATGATTGTCATTGGTTTGACTCCATCTTCGATACCACTGAAGTCTTGACGACTGAGCCTCGAGACTTTTAATCAGAGGCCATGCCATCGTCATCGCATGCAAGGTGTTGAAGCCGAGTCAATTCCGACCGAGCCGCCGGTAAAGTGGTGGAGCCGGAGCTGTCCGTTGATGCTCGCCTTTGCTCCAACATGGTACCTGGACTGCTCCGTGTCCCCGCATTGGTGCAATGTCAGACGCCATGAACACAAATGGTCGTTCATTGATTGGATACACTGACTCAGAAGCCTGGATTTGGATCCGAGCCGAATATATGCATGTCCTCACCACTGGTTAGAGGAAAGCTCCAGGTGAAATCAGACCGGTCGAAGTCTGCGAGGAAAGTCTCGATCTCCGGAATCACATCCACATCCTGACTACCTCTCCCTTCTCCAGCTCCGTGCCATGTGACCTGACCAGCATCCTGAGTAACCACGTGATCCATATGTTGCCATGTCTCGTCCAGAGGTAGGTCATCAAGCCTTTCCAAGGCATCCTCGCCACTTAGAACCTGGATTGACTGCTCCCCATGCTCAACGCGATGGTTAGATTGCCAACCAGGCGACGATGAATCCGCAGCCAGGCGTGGTGCTTTTGAAGCCCCATTGTCCATGTAGAGTTTCCGCATCGTGAGGTCTGCAACGAGGCCAAAACTTCGCTGTCCAGTCTTAGCTGATGGCCACCATTCTCCCCCCACAGTGAGAAGGCTAGAACACGTCCTGAGGTCTTTTGCCATATTTGCTGCCGATGCATTTTTGCGAACCTGTTCCGATGTCCAGAAAGAGTATATCAAAGTAGCGCCAGCGGCAAAGATATTGAGAACAGCCCTCCACCCGTGATCTAAGCTTTGCAAATCGTGTAGTCGTTGATAGTCGTTCAGAATCCCAGATGCGCTGTCCAAGCATATTTCGAGGGCATTTGCAGATGGCGATGGTATCACCTGCGATGGTTGGAAAAGAAGGATCATGGTCGAGTGGTATTTGACTCTGAGCTTCAGTCTCCAAACTTGTCGTTGGCGGCTGTCAAGGCAGGTGAAGTCAAACGGATCGTCTCGAACCTCGTCCCACCAGTTTTGTATGGCGTCTTTGATCCGCTCTTGGTGCTCCACGGAGTTCTTGGGCCACGGGAACCAACTCGACTCGCCAGGGAGGTGGTAGAGATGAAGCTTAATGTCCGAAACGATGCGATCAAGCTTGAATTTGTAAATGGAGTAATGTGTCACAGCTGCTGCAAACGACGGCGGAATGGCGCCGTCTCTGGCTTCGGTCAAGCGTGGTGGAGGTTGAGGCATCTGTATATCAAAAGTTTCATCTCGGAAGCCCAGCGGACGCCCTTGAATAGATGAGATGGACCTATATAGCCTTTTGATTAGCCATCTAACTTAAAGGCCGTGTTAGGATCAAAAACGTTGTATACCAGTCTAGGGAATAAATAGTGAAGAATGTGAATCTCCTAACTTGCTGATACGTGAAGTCACTGGCAGATAATTCTGCTTGCTCTCGATGGACTCCAATCTCGACACAATAAGCCAGCGCCAGGTGCACCAATGTCCAGAGGTTGACTTCAGCTGGCGTCAGCATACTGTGGACAACTAGCATCACTAGGCCTTGAAGAGAGGGCAGTGAAATCTGCGAGAAGGCATCTTTAGAGAAGTGTATGGCCGCTCGGTAGTATCTGTGCGGGGGATACTCGTAGATGCGAGACCTGACCTTGACAATTGCACCAATGTTCAAAATCATGAATAGCGTGAAAGCAACGACTGGCATGGTAACCCCTCCTGGTTCTGCTACCCCAGGGAGTACCTGGCGTCCATTCCAATTAAAAGGCCGCATGTTACTCGGCCAGCCATTGCGGAAGTCATCATCCAGTAGCGGGTCTTGAAGAGAGTCGTAGATGGCGTCCAGGGCACTGAAGATGCCCGAAGGCTCGAGAACTGGAAAGTCGGGGTGTATCCACCGGGTATATGTGTGGACAAGCAGCAATGCATCGTGTCGAGGGGGCAGCTCCTGTGATATTCCTGCTACTTAATGGTAGGTTCTTGCAGACAACGGAACGATCACTAACCTGCTTCAGAAATGCATACAAGTCAATGTAATACTGCTTGGCTTGTTCTCTTGGCCCTTCGTACCAGTCTGTATCGCCAGCTTGGGCATGAACGGCAGACTCTTGAGGGGTAGATGCTGTACTAGAAGGCGATGCCCCGATGAGGTTGGTGAAAAGAAGCCCTGAGCTTGAGCCCAGGTAGTGCTTTTGGGGCGAGTCCGAGTTCAAAGAAAGCATCCCCAAGTTCATTGCAACGGAGTGTGCCCTCTCTGGGAATGACCCATCTTGCTCGGCTTGAATGGCGTCGGCCGACCTCTTCCGAGATGGTCGAGGCGCGGAGGTAGCTACTCCCAGCGCAGGGGTTTCCGGGGCCTCAAGATCCAGGGATGCATCAACCTGAGGCCCAGCCCGCAGATCTACGTCAGGCAAACGATCTCTGATGATGGTTTCCAGCCAGTGGATCCTCTCACGAGCTGCAGCAGCAAAACTGTATGATTGTCAGCCATAGATCCATCTTGCCACCGTCTGATAACACGCACTTTCGAGGGATCACAATACCCGAATTCTGACTGTCCACATCGAGGCAAACTTGGCCAGCCTTTGCGCAATTCGTGCACGCGGGAACTTGTCCATCACACTAGAGAATTAACTCAATAAGATGGCCAGGCCTGGAATTTCCGCGACAACTCACCTTGATGCGTCTAGTACGACAACGCTGGCAAGCCAGACGAACCTTTTTCGGCGCGGAAGACCGGGTCGACATTGCTGTCGCGTCACTGATGGACGGCTTTCTAGAGGCGAAGAGAGTTGGCTGTGTTTGGTTTCTGACTAGGGCCGTGACCAGGATTGAGAAAAGGGTTGCCCGTGCATTCGTTGGTCCAAAAACGATCGTGGTCGTCACCGCGCCAGATGGGATGGGATGGGTCGATGTGGGCGAGGAGGAGGAACGAGGAGAAGGATGACTAAGCAGCCAGGGCCCTGGAGAAAACCTGTTCGACTCAATTAGCGCCTGAACTAGCGCTGTTGTTCTCGCACCGCACTCCCCGCGACTTCAATTTATACCCGCCATGTACAGTGAGCTATAGGGGCAGTAGTAGTGCCTAGCCTGTGGTGAACGCCCGGCCCAGAAAACCTGTGTAACTCTCTTCAGAGTTGCCACTGTTCAAGGACACTTCTGCTTTCCACATGAAGAAAAATCATGAACCACTTCTTGCAAAAAAGAATGCTTCAAATAATATCCCATCTCGCATTGATCAGATTGGAGCTCGAGTGTACAATGGCTAGGCTTTGATTGACCTTCTCAATAATCATCCTAAAATGAGCCTCCGGCATGTTTCTTCATAAGCTATAGGGTACTTCAAAGAGCAAGAGACTATTCGGTTGGGGATAACACAACACCACACCATAGATTTGCGAGTCAGACTAGTATAGTCATGAATTGAAGAATACTGCAAGGGTGATCGGGACACATTCTCCACAGAGTCTATCGGTAATACCTGATCTTGGAGCTTGAAGCAACACACGCGAACGTGACCCTCTTTATAAAGTCCCCCAGAGTAATCTTCTAATGGGATATTTCGAGGGAGAAATCTTCCAAGTCATCTACGTGTCTCAAGTATTCCTTGGAGCCCCCCCATTCCCACTGTCAACGCCACCGGTGTAGCCGGACGCAATATCTCGACTCAACCTGAAAATAATATCACCACCCTATAGCCTAGTTCTACATCTCTCGCCCAGGCGTATGTACCTAGAGCGAGCCTCATCCTGCAAGACAAAATCCCGTCCCTTGACTGCCGCTTGACTAGCTTCATTCACCTACAAGCGCCCAAGGACCGAGATCCTGTCAACTCAGCATCAGTATCTTACCTGACCTTTCCACCACTTCGCGCCATGAACTCGTCACCCTATCTGCTCTCTGCGGCCCCATTTCCCAGACCTCTTCGAGTACAGAAAAGCCTGTCCTCAGCGCCTCTATCCCGTAGAACATGACATGCTCGTACCACTTCCGAAACCTGTTCTGCAGGGCTTTATCAAAGGCCTCGCTGCTGGCAATAAAGGCGGGCCAGTACAGTGGGGCAGCTATCAAGTTGGTTTCGACTTTGATTTGCTCAATGACTTCCATTCTATCCAGGACAGCCCGGATATGTGGCTGCAGGAAACGGTGCCCAACAAGCCGAATGTGCTGTGCAAAGTAGATAATGAGCGCTTCATGGAAGGCGGCGGTATGATAATAAACGATCTTGGCGCTTGATGAATAGTCATTCAGCGGTTCAGATGGGAAACTGGTGTTAGCGGGCCAATCCATTATCGAATGTTCAAGTTCATCACACTCGTCCATAAGATGTAGTGGGATTCGGCCATCGAACGATTCATCATAAAGTTTGGAGATAAGGTCAATGACTTTGGTGAGTAGGAAGAGGAGGCTGTAAGGAACGCCATAGATGCTCTCGTAGCTTCCGATCTTTGGATCTGTATTCTGGTCTTCGGCTGATTGCAGTGATGAGATTGAGCATTTGGCGACGATGTTGTGACAAAACACATCGTGAGAATCTGCGTCGTTTTCCGTGGAACATGAGGTTCGTAGCTTGCGTGATCGGCTATGCCTAGGCAATGTACTCTCGAAAATCGCCCGCAAGTAAAAATACATCCGGTGGAGAGTCTCTGCTTTGCTGGTATATTGTTGCTCCCAGGTTTGCCCGTGATTAATCAACCGCAAGGCCCCGTCTAAATGGATCCCGCAGGTGTCCGTTTCACCTGACATAACCTAGGTTCATGGTTTGCCTTCCGTATCTTTAATGCATATGAAGAGGGGATGGGAACACTCACGTCGATTGTAATCATGGACAAGGTGGTAGCAAGAAAGTCCGTATACTTTACGCCCTTGTTTGGGTAAAAGTCTTTCTCCATCGCATTCCTGAGCAGATTGATAGCTTGACGTCGAAACTCATCCGCCAGCTTCTCCCATCTGAGGGCTTCAGTCTCTTGAAGTCGTAATCTGCAATCATTCGACAGACAGAAAGCGCTAATCGAAAGACACGAGCGTACAAGAGCTTCGCATATCCTCGATGTTTTCCCCTCGATTGTGATTTCTCCTACTGCGCGTAGTGTCTTGGGAAGATGAATCGCCTTCCATGGGCTGGCCCCATTTTCAATGACACAAAAAAGGTTTACAACCCGCTTTGAATAGTAGTGAATTAGAAACCTCTCCGTTGTCCCGAGGGGGACCGACGGGGAAGCCAGATCCAATCCATTTTCGTAAACTCCGAAAGCATCAGTCTCAATCTCTTCGGCCAAGCTACCGAGAGGCTTTAATAGACTTTGGCTGTGGCTATCGATCCCGAACCAAGAGATACTTGGTGATTGATTTAAAGAACCGTTGATCAAAGAACCCCTATCATCTTCTAAGGTAGCGGAGCTGTGATCGAACACGCTAATGCTAGTGTTCTCAGCTATTGCTGGGGATAGTGTAGTGTTCGCGGTATCGAGTGTATGTTGAGCCTCTGTGCTTGTTGGTATGGAGTCTATGGGGAGTGACGAGGCATTAATTCTAGAATCCACATCCCGAAACACTCCAAAACATTCCATATAAATGTGTACATTATCTTGTACCGTAGGCATGTACCTTGGATCATAATGCCCAAGGGTGGTCAGTATATCATCAACTCTATCGAAAGAAAGCACTGGCGTATGGGCATCTGGTAAGGTAAGGCAGGCGTAAGTGTTGTAGCGGTTTTTCAGGGAATACGGCGAGGCTTACCTAGAGCAATATTCCTCCGCGGATTGTTGACACTAGCGAACTCCGCGTCGAGTTGTTTGTTGATGATCCATTGGAGTCTGAGACCATAACCCTTGCACTCCAACCGACTCTTCTTGCACTGGCGACAAGTGGGTTTCGCTTCATCGCATTTGATTTTTCGTTCTCGGCAAGACCAACAGCCTGAGAAGGTTTTGCGGTTTCTTTTAGCTGGGCTGGACCCTTGTGACATTGGGTGCTGCAAAGACAGTGGCCAAGTTGACAATTGGTTGGTGTTTGCCAGTGGAAAGAGGAAGGCCGTAGCGATTGACGACGTGGGATGTTCGCAGTGGGGTCATTACCTGCATGCTACCTTTTTTATAGGCTCAGTACCATGTGATACCAAGCCTGCTCTCCTTCGCCGATTGCGGGGGACAAAGTGGGACATGTTGCTCTTATCAAAAGACTAGACGAAGTTAAGCATTAGCCTCGCTCCTGGCTGCCTGTTCTGGATCACTAAACAGCACTGTGCCATCATGCTGCTCGTCTCTTCAGAAGACACTTATAGCCAGCCACCCAACATAAAATGTGCATATGGTACCGATTTAAACCGTGACTCTTTATACCGCCCTGGAAAGTCCTTAAATCACACTCTTGCGACTCCATCATGGCAACCACGACTATCATCACGTCACCAACGCGGGAGGATCTTACCACTACGGTCAGGATAGATTCGACATCTTCAAATCCAGAATGGGCCACTGGAGGTTATCCCTTCCCGGGAATGCCTAAGTTCGAGGACAAGTACAAAGAACGGGAGTGGCAGTTGGAGCATATGGCTGGGGCATTCAGAGTCTTCGCTCGAAAGGGATACACCGAGGGTTCCGCTGGACACATCAGCCTCCGTGACCCTGTTGACCCTAGCACATTCTGGATCAATCCGTGGGTTTTTCAGTAAACATATCAAAAATCGCTTGACCTAACACTTCTAGGATGGCTGTTCATTTCGGACTTCTCACGGCAAAGGACATGGTCCAGGTGAACGAAAATGGCCAAGTTATTGGTGGAAACAAGGTTGCGATAAATACTGCCGGCTTTTCTATCCATAGCGCCATCCATAAAGCCAGGCCGGATATTCATGCCGCCTGCCATACTCATTCTCCCGCTGGGAAGGCTTGGTCTACTTTCGGCCGACCTCTGGATATCATTAACCAGGATTCTTGCACCTTTTTACACAACCAGGCAGTATACGACAGCTTTGGTGGTGTAGCACTGAAGGGAGAGGAGGGTGAAAGGATCGCCAAATCTTTGGGAAGTGATAAGACAGTTGCAATACTTCAAAACCACGGTCTGTTGACTACTGGATCGACAGTAGATGAAGCTGCTTACTTATTTACACTGATGGAGCGATCATGCGAAATTCAAATCATGGTCGAGAGCACTGGTATACCAAAGAAGTATATCGGCTCGGAGGAGGCCGAATATACCTGCAAGATCAACACCGATCCGGTAAGTCTGTCCAGGATTGCTAAGTAAGTATTCGATATCTAGACTAATCAATCATTCTAGGAAACTCTATACGCGGAATTTCAGGTGGATCTCGATTTTGAGATCAAGATGTCCAATGGCGAGATACGCAAGGTGGCCTAGATTACGTGCTTTGATACAAAATGAAGATAGTTGATTGCACTACATTGCAGAAATATTCATTCTATTTCATTCTCTGTCAAGATACTGCCCCATTTCCGACTTGTTATTCAATATGGTGCGCCTCAATTGTTTGAAGTGGCTCTAATTTAGGTAGACAATTCATAATCCTATAAAAAATAATAATAGGAGTGGTCTTGGCCTTGGAGTTTAGGAGATGTACATTCATTAATCTTAAACCTAGGCTCAAGAGATCGACGTTGGCATATAGCAGTGCGGCCCACGGTGCGGCTCAACTCAAAACCAAAAGTGGCATGACAGAGCGAGGCCCGTATATCCCCACCTCCACATGACAATCGTCTTTGCAATCATTAGCGGGTGTGCTCTTTTTCGAACCCGATTAAGAAATGCCTACCTTGGCCCTTACCTAGCTGCATGGCTGTTACTGCTGCGATCTAACGATATATAGATAGGAAATAAGCCTCTGCCTCTTGCGCATGTACCTAGCTGCCCTGCTCACTCTTGTTGGGATTTACCACTTCTATCTACCATCCAATAAAAAACAGTAACTTCGAAATAAAGGTGCCCGGTCAATTCCTTCACCATACGTTGATCTATACATCACCGCATCATGGCCAAGAGTCGGGTTCTTGTTGTTGGTATGGGCGGGATCGGTACCGTCTGCGCCTATGGTTTGGAAATTGGCGGTTTGGCTGAAGTTACTTCCGTGATGAGATCAAATTATGCAGCTGCAACGGAACAGGGGATTGACATTCAGTCTGTGGAATTTGGTCATGTCAGGTCCTGGAAACCAACTCATAGTATGCCTAGTCTACCATCATGAGATTTTACTCCTCGATACTGACGCAAGTTTGCAGTCATTAAAAGTGTACCTGACGTTTCCGCTCAAGAGATTCCTCCTTTCGACTTCATCCTGGTCGCTACAAAGAACGTTCCGGACATACTTCCATCAGTAGTTGATGCCGTCTCTCCAGCTGTGACGGTTGGCAAAACTACCCTCGTCTTGGCTCAGAACGGCCTCAATATCGAAAGGCCATTCATCGATCGCTTCCCTACCAATCCCATTCTTAGTAGTGTGGTTTACACCGGGGCGGAGGAGAGAGCCCCTGCTAAAATCTATCATACCGATCCTGATTGGCAAAAGATCGGTCCCTATTATAGCCCGCTAGTGTCAGCAAAAGTTGTCGAGAAGTCGGCGGAGAAATTCGTCAACATCCTTGACCCCAAAGGTAAAAGGAAGATTTTTTACGACGCAGATGTGTCTGGGGCCCGATGGCGCAAGGTTGCCTACAACGCCTCCTTCAATTCGGTGGCTGCCGCTCTTCAGATAGACACTTCGAGGCTCCGTATGAGCCAACACCTCATCGACGACCTGGTGCTCCCTATCATTCTCGAGGTCCAGGCTGCAGCCGTGTCGTGCGGGGTCACACTGCAGTCAGATTTGGTTCATTCTGTGATGCAGCAAGACATGGCCGATTCGTTCTATAGGCCTAGTATGATGCAAGATGTTGTCAACAGGAATTTCATGGAGATTGAGACGATTGTCGGAGAACCACTGCGAGAAGGTAAAAGGCACGGTATCGCTATGCCTACTCTCAGCGTTGTGTATGGTATTCTGAGGGGTTTACAGCTGCGCATCAGAGAAGAGAAGGGCTTGTGGCAACCCGAATACGAACCAGGCAATCCATACATGTGAAAGGCATATTGCCATTCATGATACCACCCATGCGATCGATATTCATCTCATAATTTGTTCCATAACTGGCAATGCGTCTTTTGTTGAAGCAATCTGAAGGCATCATCGTTTGTGTAACGTCGCAGACTTGAAGGCTCTACATAAGATCCAAATTGGTCACCTGCATGATACGGATGTTTATTGGTAGGTAGCAGAAGCAATACTGAAGAGAGTTCGAGTATAAAGTTAAACAACAATGGAAGATGCCAGACCAGACATCTCAACACAATGAATAACAGCAGAAGCAATAGTTTGTTTACTCTGCTACTCCGTCCTAGCGGTTCAGCTCTGGCGATTCAGCTCAGCTTCAGCTCTGGCGCAAATGTCTCAGCCACCCCCTCTTGGATTGGATGGCACTCTTGAAGGCTCACTCACATGCACCAACCACCCTGATTGGCACAAATGCTGCCTCTAGGCTGCCAAAAGACGCGTCCGTCAATGTACCCACGTGCCTCCCTTATTATTCCTGGTGTCGTCACCTTGTTGCGCCTGATCTCACCCCCTCACCCCCTCACCACAACACCACCCACATCACCTGTCACCAGTCACTGTGAGCATCGCTCTCAACCCACAAAACCCCGAGCGAATAGTGCCAGGATGAGCTGGCAGGGGCTGCCAGTGGAGCTACGGAGCGATGTATTGAGCGAACTCGTCCATGGCGATTTATTTCGCGAACCCCCGTCCGAGTCGTGTCTCTCACTTCGACTTGTCTGCCGTACGTTTTGCCGCACTTCTCGCGTTTCGCTGTGACTCGCTGACCGGCCTTTGTGCATACCATAGGGGATTTTAATACTCTATTCTGCTCAATCCTCTATCTCAAGTCGAATGGTCTCAGGAAGGTGCCAGCGAAGGCGAGGAACTGCGCCACCGTCGCTTGGCTCCTCTCGCTCAAGACCAGGTTGGACCCTCCGAACCATGATAGGACGTCCACCTACTTCCAACAATGGGCCGCCTTTATGGACGCCTACAGCAGTTCCCAACCGGGTGGCTCGGGCAACTACGATCAATGGCTCGAAGCTGCTTGCCGCGCTGCGGCCTACAACGGCGATCCTCAAGCAACATTTTCTTGGTTGGTCCGTTCCCGCGATTCCTTGGTCAGGTCAGTCGATCTGGCTATCCCAAGAAACCTTGTTGTTGAACAGGCATTTGCAAAGCCTGGAGATGTATCCTATCTGGAAAGAGCACCTGGTGCTCTGCAGATTGCCTGCGAAAATGGCAATCTCGAAGTAGTCACGTCTCTCCTCTCCTCGGGGATTGCTTCAGCCGACCACCATTCAGTCTTTGGCTACCCAGTCGATAACGCCGTTCGCAATGACCATGTAGAGATTGTCCGATGTTTGGATCAACACGGCGCTGATCGCGATTGCTGGACCGTTCCGACTGCAAGTCTCTTGGTGCTTGCCGCCTCCCATGGCAGTTCCGCAACCCTCAAGTATCTTCTTGGAGTAAGCGATGTCAAAAACCTTGTATCGGTGCAGTATTTCCTATTCCTAGCATGCCAGAGAGGGCATGAAGGGATCGTCAAGGTGCTGTTCCAATTCGCCGATGAAAAGAACAAGGTGCATAAACGGTCCAAAAGTTGGGTCAATCGTGTGATGCACCGCCGGGCCACCGCCAATGTTCTGATTGATCCCGATACGCCGGTTTCAGATACACTGATCAGGGGCCTCAGGTTTGATATGCAAGTGGAGGGACCCCGTACACCAATCTGTGTAGCAGTGAAAAACAAGCACATCAAGATCGTCAAATTTCTAATTGCCAGGCCTGAATTTGAGCCTGGCGACCAAGACAACGATAACTGTCCGTTGTTTGTGGCAGCACAGACGGATCAAACCGACCTCGTCGAGTTGCTCTTGGACCGTTATCAGCAGGACAACAAGGTGACTTCAACAAAACTCATGATACTTTTCAACGAGGCATGCAGGTCTGGGAGCATTTCCGTCGCAAAGTTGCTTCTAAAGCGGCCGGGCGTGGACCCCAACAACATAACCCAATCTCTCGATACAATCCCGTTGGTGACGGCTGTCGGACAAACCGCAGGCGATAGCAGCGTGAACCACTTTTCCATTGTCAAGCTGCTTCTACAGCATCCTCTCATAGATCCCCGACTTCCGAAAACGGGGCTGACACCATTGGAAGTCGCCATTGACAAGAACAATGCTGCCATGGTGAAACTGCTGCTTGAACACCCGAAAACCGATCCAAATCGATACGGCGACGAGCATTATTCGCCTCTGTGTAAAGCCATACGCAACGGAAGCCTTGACATTGTCCGGCTTCTCCTCAAACGCCCCGATACGGACACAAATTTGCGAGACAGAGATCGATATTGGGGCACGCCTTTGGTGACAGCCGTGGGCCGAGCCGACACGCTCATCGTCCAAGAGCTGCTTGAACGTAGCGACATCGACCCCAACATGCCCTCGTTCGGTGATGGGCCCTCTGGAAATGCTCTCCTCTACGCGGCCGGCTCTGGCAATCATGAAATCATCAAATTGCTCCTGAGGCGCGTTGATATTGACGTGAATGTGGCGACAGATAACGACACCACGCCCTTGGTGCATGCCATAAAGAATAACAAGATTGGCATCGTCAAGCTTCTGCTTTCTCACCAGAACATCGACCCCAATTACGCGCCAGAAGTTGAGATGTATATTGGACACCATTACAGAGAAGACAACGCAGCTACATATGAGTTTGAGACGCTACATAATGAGCCTACTCGGAGCGGAGTGAAGCAGATACCTCTCTTTGTGGCCGGCGCACAGTCGAATTGGGGTGTTTTCGGTTTACTTCTCAGGCATCCTTTGATTGATATCCATGCAACTGATAGTACAGGCAGAACACCTCTCTGGTGGGCAGCATCCGGAGGCCCGGAAATCTCTACACGCTTGCTCTTGGACAGAGGCGCCGGCATCCACATCAACAAACAAGACATACAGGGTTGGGCACCTTTGCATGTGGCCGCCAATCGCCAACGCGGCGAGGTGATTGAGTATCTCTTGGGCCACCCGGACGTTGACCCCAACCTTGCCAACCAGGATGGCTGCACCGCCCTACACATTGCCGTGTCCGGCAGTGATGTACAGGCTGCAGCGCAGCTCCTTGCTCACCCAAAGACTGACCGGAATCTGAAAACAAATGATGGGCAAACGGCCTTGTCCATTGCACGGGGTCTTGGATATCATAGGTTGACTCAGCTACTGGGAGCAAACTAGGAGTGAGGTAATTCGATTCTCACGCTTCTTCTCAATGATAGAAATATCATATAGTTATCTCAAGGCTTCTATCCTACATTTCATGGATTGTTCTAGAGGCCTCAACAGCTTGAATTCAACCTACTTGACCTTTTGATTAATTAAAAAGAAATTATTTAATATAGAATTATTTAAATTATTACGTATTACCTGGTAGGCTACTACAAACTAAACCATGTGAGACATCAACAATCAAATACCTGTCGTTAGATAGCTCCACGGCTTTCCAACTCAGCGGCCTTCCTAGCTCTATCTACAGACGTCTCGAATGTCGCAAACTTGCGTGTCGGCACCTTGAGCTCAAACATTTCGTCGAGCTCGACATAGGAGCGATTCTTCGTCTCGGGGATGACGAACCACATGACAACAACGAAGACGGCCGACGTGGCTCCGTAAAAGAACATGGTGTTGGAAACTCCAAAGTTGGGGGCCGCGAGCATGAGGGGCGTGCAGTATGTGGTCACGAGCGACATGAGGGCGAAGGCGAGACTGCCCATGTTGGCCGTTTTAGCTCGGAGTACGGAAGTAGAGCAGTCGGCGAGGAAAGTGAAGCCGAGAGGGCCTGCGGAAGACGAGTAGGCAGCCACCCAGATACATCTATACGAAGGACTGGTTAGCCAAAACTGGGATGATGGACCGTGCTCAAGACTGAGCGCTGAGAACTTACGAAACGGCAATCATGGCCGTGCTGTTGGCGGTAGTGAGAGGCATCTTGAGGATACCACCAATGATGAAGAGGAGTGGCACCATGAAGGCACCGACATAGACAAGGAGCGGACGTCGACCCACGCGATCGGTCGTGTAGAAACTGATGGCGACAAAGGTGATGAGGACTGTGTTGACGGCGACGGTGGCGATAAAGGGCTGGGCGACACCAGCCTGCTGAAAGAAGTATGAGGTGTAGACGAAGAGAACTGGTGCACCATCCCAAAGTTGATTGTTGAATGGGACAAGTGACACAATGGTACGACGCTGTTTGAATGTAAATGTTAGCTGCGTTGCACCTCATCTAGGAGGAACCGAAACATACCAGGTTGGTACCGCGGAAGCAGTCGAGAACAGACACGCCTGACTGGCTGTTGGCCAAGATCTTGCCATCCTCTATCTCCTTGAGGACGATGCTGTACTCGTGGTCGAGATCGTATCCTGGGACGCCACGGTAAAGCTTCTTCATCACGCTCTTTGCCTTTTCATGCCTGCCCTTGCCAGCGTACCAACTGGGGGTCTCTGGGATCAAGATGAGACAAATGATGGCGAGACCGGTGAATGTCCACTGTGAGTAGACGGCGTGGCGCCACAGAGAGACGGGTAGCATGGAGACGATCTGCAGGGCAATGGCAGCGGTGAAGGCACCGAAGGCCCACTGTGACATTGTCAGCCGAGAAATCCCAAGTAAAGAGTCACTGCGGTGGCTAATGTAGTGTTGGCTTACAAAGAGCTGGTACAGACCTAGTGCTGCACCACGAGCACGGGTAGGGGCAATCTCGGAGATGTAAGTGGTGGCGGTCATATGGTTGAGACCAACGGAGAAGCCCTGTATAGACGGTTCAGCAGGAGTCACGTAATTGTAGATGCTTCTCTTGCGGAGTTCTAGTTCCTACATTGAGGATCTTGGCTACGAGCCAGTGCTTCCAGTTGGTGGCGAAGATTTCGATGATGGCGGCGATCATCATGAAGACCTGGACTGCCCACAGAGCGGGCTTGCGACCAAATCTGTCGACGGGCCAGCTACCGATGAGGAGAATGGCAACAAGGGCAGCTGCATAGGCGCCTACAAAGTCAATGTTAGCAACCGAGTTGCATATCCCCCCTTCAACATGGTTTACGCTGTCATGTTTGTATGGTCATCCACCTCCTAATGAGACAATGTAAACTTACCACCCCAGGCGGCAACTTGCTGCGAGTCAAGCACCCATTTGTTCTTCGCCTCATCAAAAGTACCCATCTGACGAATAAAACCCTGCAGGGCTACAATGTTGCCAGGCATCTTGTACTGATAGCCGTCACCCATGGCGCAGACACCGCAGGCGAAGCAGACGGCCATGGCACGCCAGTAGTGTCGGATGGTCTCCCAGAAGGTGAAGGTGGTACTAACGGAGGCGGCGTTGGAGTTGTCGAGGATATCGACGGGTGATTTGGCGCCTTCGACATGGTCGATCTGATATGACACGGCCTCGTCCTTCAACCCGGCGCCCTCGGGGGCTGCTGTGCTAGTCATGACGAAACGAAAGTCTCAACTGAGGAGAAAAATGGTTGGTTGATTAGCAGGGTCCGATTTCAGGAGAGAGTGACACTCCGGATGTGGGAAGGGGAAAGATGGAGGCTGAAAAGTCGCGGGGATGCAGTATTTAACAGCCTATTAGGGAGGATGACAAGTGAAGCCAAGTTTGTAACCCAGCGCAGGTCTTCATCGCAACTACGACAACCGACTCCCCTCATTCCCCACGGGGTAAATCGAGGTGCTACAGCTTTGCCCCTTCACATCCAACCGAGCGGTGGAGAACGTGCTGGGGCATGAGTCGCATGACTGGGGTATAGAGAGGCTATCCGAGCAACTACCTAGCATGAGCGGCGAGCTAACACCCGAGCCGACAGCTCGGGTGTTAGCTCAGATGCGGGGTCAAGGGAATCATATCATGCGGACCAGAAACGTCGGGTAGCGATGCGGGGATCTGGGGTCACCACCTCCAATATGAAGCTTCGCGAGATCGGTCGTACCACAGCTCCTCACGCAGTATGCACCGCAACGTACGCGCATGCATGTGTAAACGAGAATAATGTGAGTTGCAAAGTGATACACCCAATCGCTGCTTGGCACATGTCTTTTGGCCGACCGCATCCATTTCCAATGCTCCCTTTATGTAGCGCTGCTCCTCGTGGTTTGACCATTGCGGTTCCTGTTTTTCTCTTCAATCTAATCTGATGATCTAACGACTTCTATAATCCAAGATCAATAGCCTCCATTGCGCCTTTACCTCGTTCACCCCGAATCATGCAGTCCGCTTCTGATGCCCCCGTAGTGATCCGCCTCTCGGACGAGGAGCGCAATGCAGGCAGCTTGTCTGAACATCACCTCTACGATGCCGTCGAAGCCTTCTTCAGTGATGGCTTCGTCGTTGTCGAGAACGCAGTCGATCTCGATAAAATTGACCGCTTGAACGAGAGAATGCTCAAGGACACGCAAAAGCTTCTAGCTGGTGAGGGTCTGTCACATTACGCGTAAGCCTTTCTGTCCCTGGTTGAAATGAATCAGCGTGTTGCATTTACCTAACACATGGACCCGTGCGTGCAGTCCCTTGAACAGCAAAGTTGCACAGAACGGAGCGAAGGCTGGTGGGAACCTGTCACAGGTTCCGCCGCTCGAGAAGGGTGAGACACAAAAACATTGGCCAGGCATGGCGTTGTGTTTTCCAGCTCGTGCTAATAAGATGCGGTCTTCAGAATGGCTCGAGCCCCAGATCTTCGCCAACAAACAGGCCGCCAAGATCATCTCCTCCATCCTTGGTCCTCAGCCCGAAGTCCACTTTATGCGCTCCAACACCCTCCTCAACACCAACGACCGCCAACGCGTGCACTCCGACATGCGCTTCGAGCACCCGACACACCCCTTTGCCATCACCCAGAACGTGTGTCTCTGTGATTGTGGTCCGGAGAACGGCATGACGGAGCTGTGGCTTGGAACCCAGAACACTGGTGTTGAGGTCCGACCGCAGCTGGGCGAGCCCTTCATTCAGGAATCAGTTGTTGAGCAGAGGAGGAAGATTCGCCCACCACTGTACCCTCGTGTCAAGAAGGGCTCCATCTTAATCCGCGACCTGCGGCTATGGTAATCCACCCCCCAAGAGGCTTCCCCCTCAACCTCTGCGTGTGAGCAGATGGCTAACTTGCATCAGGCATGCCGGCATGGGCAACCCTACCGACAACGTCCGCATCCTCCTCACCATCAACTACTATGCCGGGTGGTACAGGAACGGTGCCCTTGTCCATTTCCCCGAGTCGCTGAAACAACATGTCCATTCTCTAGAGGACTACGCAGGCATCAAGATCGCTGCCACTTACGAACCGGACGATGGATTCAACTACCTTGAGAGCAAATTTAGCAACAACTTCAGCTCGGTACTTCGCCCGGAAGTGTGGGAGAAGATTGCGCATGTTAAAACCGCCAAGGGTTACTAGAAAATTCCCGTGATGGGAACTGTAACTAAGTCGGGGTTGACCTGATTTCAGCACATATCATTTCTTATTATAGGATGGAGAACCTCCACTTTCCGTTTGTGAGATGCGGTGCAAGCTTCCGACTACTGGAGCATAACTTATTGAGGGTAAAAAATACACAATGAGTAAAAGTTCGTAAATATATCAGATCCGGTCTATTCATTGTGTTGAGTTGTCGGGCTCTGGCAGCTTCCATTGCTGTTAAACTTTATTCTCTTTTTCTTAGGTATATCAGATCCGGTCATTTCAAACCCAGGAAAAAGTACTTGAGTACAACAATGGCTGTATGAATGAGAAAAGCAGCGTCTCACATTAACCCAAATGTTGCCCCAATGTAACTCGGGGCCCAGGAAAATGACGTATCGTCTTCTCAAGGAGAGTCTGTCTAGCCTCACTTCATGGGTAACTACGGCGTCGATTTATACCAATCACCTTTCTGTTTCTGCTCTCATTGTATGTAGTCAAGAGTTATGAATTTCAGCGTATCCAATGGTAATATTACTATTGCCGCCCTATGCCGAATTGAAGAACGTTTAACCATGCTGTAATTTGAAAATGGCTAATCTATGCTTTTCTATATTACCGCTTGTGATGAAAACACCTTTTCCATCTGTGACAACTGGGAAATCGTGTCCACAACCGTTTTCTGAAACGGCGTATATTGCAGCCCAAGCTCTATTGCTGTTGTCTCACCATCTATACCGTACGAATCGTCTATTTTCTGTGCCCTGTCGCGCGAAACCTTGCCCTTGGCCCAGTCAAAACTCTCCTCGATAATCTGGGCCGCCAGATCGTATGTGAAGCCCTCCTTTCCGCCCACAATGTAGCGCTTCATCCCGGCACCCGGTCGCAAGAGTGCCTCGACGTGAGCTTGGGACAGATCCCGAACATCAACCCAGGAGGGAACGCGGGATGTTGCCAGGGGCTCCCCGAGGGCCACCTTCCACAGCATGGCGCTCGACTCGTTTAGCCCGTCCAAGCTAGACACAGGATGCACCACCGGGCCGAACGTCATGGATGGACAGAGCGTCACGAGGTCGAATCCCGGCTTCCGGTCCCTGATAAAGTCCCATGCCGTCTTCTCAGCAAACTTCTTGGCGCCGCGATAGGCGAGAAATGCGGGTGTCGTAGGGTTTGCAGCTTCTTGGTACGTGAGTGGGTTCCAATCGTCACCGGTGTACGTAAAGTATGGTGGCGCTTTGCGGTCAGCATTCATGACGGAAGCAAAGGAAGACGTGAGTACAACCCGCCTGACGTTGACGTTAGCCGCGGCGGCTTCGAGGATTCCCTTGACGCCATTTATGGCGGGTATAATGAGCTCCTTCTCGTTGTCCTCGGTCTGGTAGCAAAGGGGCTGTATGCAATGAGATGAGTGATGACTTCTCCCATAGGGGTGGATGAGGACGTACGCTGGCGACGTGAATCACAGCATCGACACCTTGGACAGCTTCTTGCAGACGGCCGGGCCTCTCAAAGTCATCGACCTCCACGAAATCCAGACGGCCGGCATATTGCGACCTTGCTTGCATCATGAGGTTGCCTTTAGCCAACGACCGGGTGGCCCCTCGGACCTTGAGGCCACGACTGAGGAGCTCATCGACAACATGGGCGCCGATGAACCCCGTGGCTCCCGTTACAAGCACATAATTTCTTCGAGCGTGGGATTGTTAACTAATTCTCCTTGTCTGCTAGGCTGTTCTCACGGCAAGGTCACATCGACCCGTTTGCACTTACATTTCAGACATTGTGGCCAACCACTTCCGACGCTGTCCAGCTTCCAAGGAAAAGATTGATCCTAATTCGTGATATTCAACAACAGTAACTGCTGCCGCAAGGCATACATAGCTTAGCAATTAATTCGCACTGCATTGCCCCTTTTCTTTTCGACGCCCCCTGTGCTCAGTTGATCATAAGTGTGGGGAAGACCGACCAACGCCAGCCGACGCGAGCCGACCATCGGCATGCACGTGGCGAAAAGCGTCGCATGGGCTTTACTGGTGAACACAAGACCAATAATCAATAGAGGCCCTGGATCTAGCCGAGTTGGTTTACTTCATAGGTTCCACACGGCCGGCCCTATGCTCGGATCCCACTCCTTACTCTCCTTCGGATGGGTTCTGTAGCGACATCGTCGCCTCGCTCGCGCACTAGGAACGCCAAGTATCGTGACAGGGTTTCTTGAGTCATGTTGGCAGTACGCACTACGCGGTCATGTAAACTGTCCATCCTCGTTGAATGTACAGTCTAGCCCGTCCATCTCAAGGACTTGCTCCCATTTCCCTTGGTCGCGTCGTGGATTTCTCTTGAGCTTCGAGTCTGCAATCCCCTTAGTCACAAGTCAGTCTATACTCATCAAGGTGCTGCTAGCTTTTCGACATCTCTGAAGCAATGGCCGAGTCCACTTATGACCAGTACGAGGGTTTCCAGGTGGAATCACCCGCAACGTACAAGACCTTTCACAGGAAAAAGTTCAACACCAAACCCTTTGGTGAGCTTGATGTCGAGATCCAGATCGAGTGCTGCGGTGTTTGCAGCAGCGACATTCATACCATCAATGGCGGCTGGGGCCAAACCAACTTTCCCCTCGCCGTTGGCCACGGTAAGACATCCTCCCCGCACCTCGCGTCAACGAGACCCCTTCCTGACTCTAGACAACGGGGACTTAGAGATCGTCGGAAAAGCCCTGAGAGTTGGAAGCAGGGTCACCAAGATCAAGGCCGGTCAGCGTGTCGGTGTGGGTGCCCAGTCCTGGTCCTGCATGGAGTGTGTCGCCTGTCTCAACGACAATGAAACGTACTGTCCCAAGCAGATGGACACGTACGGTGCCGTCTGGCCAGACACCGGCATCGTCACCCAGGGCGGCTTCTCGTCCCACCTCCGGACCCATGAGCATTGGTGAGCATTTGTTCCCCCCTTTCACGTGGCCCGTTGAGTGCACTGACGCGATGTGTGATGCTCGACAGGGTCTTCCCCATTCCCGATGCCATCCCCAGCGAACTCGCAGCACCCATGCTCTGCGCCGGAATCACAATGTACAGTCCTCTCGTGAGGAATGGCGCTGGCCCCGGCAAGAAGGTTGCCATTGTCGGCCTCGGTGGCCTCGGCCATTACGGTGTCATCTGGGCCAAGGCCCTCGGCGCCGAAACCTGGGTCATCTCGCGCTCCCATGCGAAAAAGAAAGATGCCGAGAAGATGGGCGCCGACGGCTTCCTCGCCACGCAGGACCAGGGCTGGAACGAGGCTCACAAGATGACATTTGACCTCATCATTAGCACTGCCAACAGCTTTGGCGGCGGATTCGACCTCCAGGCCTACCTGCAGCTGCTCAAGGTTCACGGCAAGTTCGTCTCGACCGGTGTCCCGGAGGAGTCCAAGCTCGAAATCACGCCGCAGATGCTTAACTTCAACGGCTGCTTTGTCGGTGCTTCTCACCTGGGTAGCCGGCGAGAGATGCTGGATATGTTGGAGCTTGCGGCAAAGAAAGGCGTCAAGTCGTGGGTCGAAACCTTGCCCATCAGTGAGGAAAACCTCTCCCAAGCTGTGCAGCGGTTGGAGAAGAACGATGTGCGCTACCGTTTCACAATGGTGGATTACGACAAGGCTTTTCAGGAGAGAAGCTGAAGAATGAAACGGATAGATTAGCTTCATCTACCTACATAAAAGACACTAATAAGAAATGTTTGAACTACCTAATATCTTGACATCATCAATAAGGAAAGCATAAGCTCTAGTGGACAGCTTATTCTCTTAGTAAGAGACTTACTAATATGAGAATTTATGGAGTATTCCTTGAATATAATTACACTCTTAGATCAATAAATCTTGATCTAATTACTCTCTTTTCTCTATTTCTTTTCAATTATCCTGATGCTAGAGCCAACCTAGTGCAACAAGATTGGGCTGCCCGACTTGTACGCATGATAATAGAGTTAGCCAAGCAATCACGGTAACAGAGACAGTCAGATTCTAACCGCCAGTACTCGACGACCCTGTCCAAGACTCTCTCCATTCAAGTTGGTATTTTCTACTAACGCAACAGCTGGCTATCATTCATGCTACGCTCGTCTTCCAGCAACGGCCTCACGACGTCAAGGATCCATTTCTGCTTCTTGTCATCAGAAAACTGGGGGTATGGTCGTCGACAGTGACGCTTCGCTGCAGGATATTGTAGAAGCTCGCCGACCACCCATTTCACGCCGTTGATGCCGCTCTTTGCAAACCCCCATTCCATCGCTGCAAGCCTCTTTTGAAGATCCACCGACTCCTCGACTTTCCCTTGCTTCCATAACTCGTATACTTGGAGACAAAACTAAAGTAATAGATCAGTACAAGCACAAAGAATCAACACCAAGAGCCTTATCGGGCACTTGTCATCGCTCGCACCTTTGGGTACAGGTTGCTGACTCCTGTGACGGCACCAGTGCCGCCGACAGTCATTGCCGGGATGAGCCAGTCACTTTGACCGGCGATGGCACTAAACTTGGAGGACGCGTGTGCCGCGGTAATCTTGGAGACTTTGGCAATGCCGCCGCAGGTCAGCTTGACGCCGACAATGTTCGGGTGGTTGCCCAGTTTGATGAGCATGTCCGAGTTGAGGTCTAGACCTGCGACCACGGTAGGAAAGTTGTAGATGACGACCGGGACCGGGCTTTCATCAGCGAGCTCCTCGAAGAAGGCCACAATGGCATCCTCGCTCATGGCGAAGTGGAAGTAACTCGGGACCAGGACGAGCGCAAACTCAGCTCCGGCCTCTTTAGCCAGAATCGTCTCGGCAATGACCTCACGGGTGCTTTGGCCACCGCAACCCATGGTGATCGTCAATTTATCAACACATCCTAATCGCTGAGCGATCTCGCGTGTCGTGTGCACAAGCTTCCGTTTCTCTTCGTTTGTCAGAGCGACGGCTTCGCCATTGGTCCCGGCAAGGATGACTGCCAGCAAACAGTGTCAGATTGGTGATTGTATTTTGAGAGATGGATTAGTATCTACCTCCGTGTACGCCTGAGCTGATGATGTATTCCAAATGCTTTGTCTGAGTGTCCCAATCAATCTCTTGTGTCTTATCATCGCCAAACCATGTCAAACACGGTGCATGGATTCCCGGTGGAAACGGTACGGAGTTTGGGCAGGCCATCGATACTGAACAGAAGCAAGATAGTCGATGTCAGGGCGATTATGACTTTTTCCAAGATACAGAGTAACAAAGAATGCCAGTCCTCCAGGTATACAACACTCGAAACAATATAAAAGCCTAATAAACGCTGCCTTACTTAGACAAGATTACTCCACAACAGACCAACAATATGCGTAGTGGTCTGGGTGGGCTCTGCGTGGGTCCTATATATCCGATCGGCTACGACAAAATGCATCCAAGCAGGTATGTAATAATTCACGTTCTGCGTGCGAAGCCACATCCGACAGCTTCTCACACGCTCTGTCCATGCGTCGATACTATTATCCTCGGTCTTTGACGTTAGTCGCCAATCAATCGTTCTTGCACGATCGGTTCGAGAGCCAATAACCTATCAATGTACACCCTTAGAAAACTTTCGTTAAATGTACAAAGTCTAGACTTCAAGGTCCAGATTCGCTAGTCCTTTCTAGAATGTACTCGTGATCAGCCGTCGTCCTCGCTAGCGTCTGAAGATTCGATCGAGAACAAGAGCTTTTCACATTGTTAGTCTTCACCAGAAACACTACTTTACGTATACTCAATTACGGGTCCTCTTCGCAGGCTCGGAGTATCTTCCAGACTCAATATTTCGACACAATATAATTTAATGTTATCGTTGTAATGAGTTATCTGCTTGCCATCTGCAACTTGGCATCCTAAACAACGGCGAATCGTTTGTTGAAGATCTCGCGCATCACCGTTCCAATATCAACTCTTGATTTGGAAGCATCCTGGCGTGCCTGTACCTCTTCGAGTACCTGTGCCGTAATGCGAGCGTTGCCCGCAACCTTCTCCATTCGAAGGATCTGGTCTTTGATCCATGACCGTTCGCGAAGATCTTGCTCCTCCGTCCCAAGCAGCAGTAGTGGCCACAGCATATTGATCGGTAATGGGCCTTCCTCCCCTTCAAGACTCGAGGCAATGAGTTTTGCGAGGCTCCTAATATGATCCATCGCCTCTCGAGCTTCCGTTGTGAGCGGAAAGGTCTTGTATGCTACCCTGTGGAGATGTATTTTGCTGGCATAGTAATTTGACAGATAGGTCCGAAAGGCCCGTGTCAGAGGCAATGCCAAGGATGCGGAGATGTGCTTGGTTGTCAGTTTCCCTGCAACTGCACAGTCCATGAGCACCGGACGCTGCTCATATAGGTCTCGTAGGTTTGCAGCAATCACCGCGGCTGTGCTCATAACTTCAGTCTCATCTTCTACAGTGCCTCGAGATCGGTGCCATGGATCAATTTTTGCTATGTGGCCCATGAAACTCTGAACCTTCTGGAAGAAGATGATTCCAGGTTGATACAGCGCTTGGAACAGAATGTCGTCTACGTCGCTGTCGTCGAGCTCATCCTTATCTGAATCCCCATCGTCTCCTCCAAAGCTGGCAGGTGAAGTCTGAAAAACGAGAATTTCTTCATCGTCTTTTGATAGGAACAGACCTTCACCACCGGCAGCCACAGTGCGCGCATCGAGCAAGCGGATCCAAAGAAGTAGTTGTTTCTCCATAGGCGCAAAGCGCTCCGACTTTCCTCGTTGAAATAGATCGTAAGCTTTCTGCAGGTGTGAGCGGGCGGTTTCGACCCTCGCTTCAAGAATGTCAATGTAGCTAAGGAAGAACAGCGTTGCAAACATGTTCTCCCTTTGCCGGCTATGCTGAGCTACTATCTCGGTGACCTTTGGAGGGAACAACTGGGCTATCTCAGCAGCAGCATTATGGTAGTGCTGGTGCTTACTGGCCCTCCAGTCATTGTTTCGGAGGCAGAGGATCGCGTTTGCGAATGCCAGTACCGCCCACCGAACCATTCTTGATTCTGCCGCCATCTTGATCAGGACTTTTCGCATGGTGATCCAGTTCTTTTGTGCTTCTACTTCAGAAAGGATCGGCGGTGTGACTGAGTGGGTGAAGTAATCGATTAGTCCCTGATTGTCTGATGAGTCCTGTGGTACCGTTTCTTGTGTCCTATTTGGGCTCGTGGGTGACTTTGATGATAAGGCACTCGACTGTGCTCTTCTCCCTTCGCATTCGCCCTCGGGTACGGCTCGCCGAGGCCTTGATGTGAGTGGGACATGGTCATTTGGATTTTGGTTATCGTAGGTAGTATGCTGACCCAGGAAGTTGATTAGCAAACACAAGAGTCCCGGGCTTCCAAGTAACCTACCATTACATGATTTTCCGATTCGACAGTGAACTCCACATCCATAAACATCTGCTGCCATACGTCTGATTCCTCCCAGAAGGAGGCTGAATAATCAAGCTCCTGTTGAAGCCCCTGTAGCTCCTGTGATGGATGAGAAAGGGGGTGAGCAGGCTTGTCCAGTCCAGCAGACAAGCCCGATTCTGGGGTTCGTGCCGCATTTCCCTCATCGGAAGCTGCGATGCTGGATAGCCTGGGACCGTACCATTTGCATTCGATGTTCAAACGCTCGCAATGTGAGCACGTAGGCCTTAGCTCGTCGCATTTGACCTTTCGCTGTCTGCGAGGCAACAATCAGTATGTGCGTCAATTCATTGCCAAGCCAACCCTCGCACGGATGATGGGGAGGGGAAGGGAAGGGAAGCTCGCACTTGCAGGTGAAGCAGCCATTCCTAGAGCGCGCAAACTTCTGTCTCCGGCGACGGAGTCGCGCAGAAGAGAAGTCAGCAGACGTGTCATTTGCCGGAGCAGCGAACGCGCTATTCTCCATGAATGCCGTGGTGGGTTTTCCGTTTGGAGGGAACTCGGGGGCGATAACCAAAATCCTCAGGGCCTTGGTGTTCGTTGAACAGTGAATTGAGTTCATGTGATGAGAGTCTGTACCGGCTAGTGGTGCGAATCGATCACGTGAAACTGTCCCGCTCTGTTCATGGGATCTTCATATGAGCGCTACCCTATACTCCTCCCTACTCATCTGGGCCAAAGCCCCTTTTCGGAAAGCAAGTCATAGTCATCTCATATACACACACAAGATTCGTGATTACTAGATACTCAAGGTATCACGATTGGTAGGCTCGTCCTGGATTAAATTCTATCGCTTTACGTTTTCACTTGTCTAACTCACGATGTGTGTTGTGTCTTCATCGTTGTCTAATACCTAGGTACATATGTAGAAGAAGTGATGTGGCTCATGTCAATCAAGAAATACTACAATTAAACGTGACGGACACGACAGAAGCCTCAGAAGGCCCAAGCTTCAAAATTTAAAGTCGAAAACGAATGACAGTTTAATATCTGAATTTATTGCCTCCATCCGGTCTTGAATAGCAAGAAGAAGCAGATTGCTTTGCAGTGGCTATCATATAGCCTTGGAAAAGAACGTTTCCCTTCACTTCTTATCACATTCCCCGTTCCTCAAGTTCTTCCAGGAAGTTGTTCCTCTGATTTCCTCTCACTTCTCAACCCCCACTGCATTGACCTGTACTTCTTCAGTAACCACCTTCGGGTGAGCACTGCTGCCTCCCTTAGCCTCTCTAGCTTCCCACGATGTTGTTGGCCTCCACTTTGCTGATTCCCTCGGGTTGCTGACCTCCTCATAGAGCTGGTCCACCTGTTCAAGACTGAGGCCCTTGGTCTCGTAGATCATGAACCATACAAAGGCGATGCATAGAAAACAACATCCAAACCAGACAAAAAAGATCTTAGATTGCAGGTTTGCGTATCCATCTCCATAATTAACAAGATAAGGCGTCGAATAAGCAATCGCCCAGTTGAGAAGCCAATTCGTCGCCGTGGTGATACTGAGCGACTTAGCTCTTGTCTTCAACGGGAAGATCTCACCGGTGACAACCCAGGCCAGCGGGCCCCAGGTCGATGCGAAGAAGAAGATATATATGCAAACAAAGGCGACAGCAGCCTTCTGTCCAGAGAGGTTCTTCACAATGATTTCTCCATTGTCATTTTGGCCGGTCGAGACGGTGCCCAAAACGGCGACGATGAGTTGAGACACGCACATCCCGATAGCACCCCAGAGTAAAAGTGGCCGTCTTCCGAATTTATCGTATGCATACATACCAGGTAAGGTAGATACCACGTTGATGGACGAGGTGATCATGGTCACAATGAAGCCGCTTGAGACGCCAGAGTTTTCGAAGTACTTGGTCCCATAGTAGAAGATAAAGTTGATACCTACAGGTAATCAGTTGAGCGCAAACAGTCGTTACAAGGCAAGAGAGACCCTGAAAACCCGGAAGAGCCTGAGCAACTTACCTGTGAGCTGCTGGAGGGCCTGTAATCCCATACCAGTAAGTTGTCTCTTCAAAATGGGCGGCTTGAAACAGTCGAGATACGTTCCAGTTCCCAAGCTCGTCTCAAAGTCGTGGTTTGCCTGGACTTCCGCTAACTCTGATCTCAGAGCCTCATGATCAACAGGCAGTCGCCTGAGCCGGCTCAACGCCTTGGTGGCCTTTTCAAGCCTGCCCCGTTTAATTAAATAACGAGGTGTCTCAGGAAGAAATATCATCCCACCGAACAGGATCAGGGACCATGCCAATTGGATACCTATAGGAATACGGTATGAGCCCGAGTCATCTCTGTGCTTTGTGGCATTATTGACAATCGCGGCAATAAGTAGGCCGATGGTGATGGCCCATTGGTAGGCACCCACGATAAAGCCGCGGATCCATTTGGGTGCCGTCTCTGATTGATACAACGGAACTGAGAGGGTTTAGCACTGAACTTACTCATTCGAGGTAGTCAACACTTACCAATAGCCGATATCAGGCCCACGCCGAAGCCAGCAAAGAAGCGGCCAGCCAGAAACATCGGAATCGCCGTGGCAACAGTGTGCAACACCACGCCAAGATTGAATACCCAAGTCGAAATCATTAAACCTGACCGGCGTCCGACAAAGTCTGCCAGAAAGGGGGAGGAGAGTGATCCGAAAAATGTGCCAGCTGAGAGAATGGACACTATGGCGGATTCTTGGGCCCCAGTTACATTGGGATTGCCATCGGGATCGACATAGCCGGTGCTGAAGAGTTTCTGCCAGTAAGGCATAGCAAGAATCCCACTAATAGTTCCGGTATCATAGCTGCATATATTCCATATGCCAATTAGTCCGGGTCATCATACCATACCAATATAGAGGTAAGTTCGACTTACCCGAAGAGCACACCACCAAATGCAACGAAGAGGCCAATGAGAATGGCTGGCCACGCCTTTCCCGACTCATCCTTCGCCCTGGGTATGGCGAATGATTTAGGGAACGCCATTGTGAACGGTCAATGCAATCTTAAGGATAACACGTAGCAACTATGATAACCGAAGAAAGTCACGCAAATAGAGCAGAGAAGAGGCCATACATATGAGATGTTTGACCAACAAAGTTCAGATACCTGGGCTTATATCTGTATTTATGGCCGAGGAGAACATCGACCAGGGTAGGAAGAGCTAGGCGAGATTTTGGCACACCCCTGATGCGTAGTGCAGATCAAACTGTCCGCTTGTAAATAGCAATGCCGAGGTTTGAAGCCTAGATTTAGCTCTTACGCTTTTGACGGTATGTATCAACCAAACTGATGTCAAAACCAAACCAATATCTGATCACCAAGAATGAGACAATTTTATTATTTATTGAAAGCTTCCCCATTTCAAATCCTATCAATGTCTATGGGAATCACCTTAAGATGGATATTTTGCCCAAAGCTGCTTGACTACAAGAGCCCAGCATCCCCATTTGCCGTATTCCGGCCCCTGCAAACCCCCATGTATACTCTCTAGTCCGTCTGTACCGTAATAGGGAATGATAATCCAAGCGCATGAGTTGATGACCTCTCGCCTGCCAAAGGAAGATGGGGTTACATGACCATGAGCCTAGCGCATTTGAACCGGCTGTCAAACGCTGTTTTGCGCCTGAGAGGAGAAAACGCCCGAGTAGACGCCGGACGAGCAAAACATTCGCGGGGAAGCGGCTGGACATGTTGGCAGCTGACCCGCGATAGTGGCATTGCGAATAAACCGAGCGACGTTTTCGGCGTCTCTCATCGGATTTTCTTCTTGGGTCTAGTATCTTTCTAGAATACCGACATGATGCCCTGCACGCTCAAACGAGGTGTGAGCCTCGCGTTTACCATCCAGGCTGCGTTGCAGGGGTCTAAAACATGTCCAGCGATGGAACTACCAGGAATCAACCATCTCAGTCAAACTATGGGGGTTGTTGAGAGTCAGACGATGCACCAACTTCAGGCCCATGGAGGAAAACAAGCCTTCAGAGACCCTTCGGTAGGTAGGGATGGATGCCTTCCACAGTTATGTTCGGTTTCCGAAACCAAGAAGCCTCCTATCTTTATTCTTCTTTCCCATTATATAATTATATAAGATAGGGAACAGTCCCGTGCTCGAATCCTTCCAGTTGGACAGCAGCGAAATGCCAAATAACCACCACGATCAACTCGTACGATCTTGTCAGTGTGGCCCATGCGTGACCAGGAGTCAAATGGACCAGGGTGAATATGGCCGAGCTATAGGGCCGATCACAATGCGGGGAGTGATGGGCTTGATTGGACAACTACCGAAGTCCTTATGCTGGGGTCGTTAGGGATTAGTGCAGGGCCGAGAGTTGAACGATGAAACAGCACTGCGAGGAGGATTCATGTACGATCATGGTGTGCTTCTCGTATCTATTGCGGGGGTTGAGAGTTCGAGCAGCCTGACTCACCACTCAGGTAAAAGACGGCAATGGAAGATGCCAGGCCCGCCATCTCAACACAATGAATACCTCACATTCATTGCAAGCTCCAAGAAGGTAACCTATTCCCTTGCGAGAAAGTAAGCCCTTGAATCACTACCTTTGGCGTAGTAGGCATTCATCGATCCTTTAGCAATCTTACGAAGCGGCATATTTCTCATTGTTAACAGCAAAAAGGATAATTACAAGTAATGAACCCAAAAAGTCTACTAGTAATCGATTGACTACAATTGAGAAAAGGAGATGGCATCAAAGAAGAACTAACGGATTGAGAACAGGTGGACGGAGCCTTGTAATAAATGCATTTTGTATTTGGCTATTAATTTATAGTAGTAAAATGATAGCACTCAACACAAACTCTCGTTCTCAACCTTACTCTAAATTGTACTAACAAATTAGGGGTGTGTTCCTCATGATTTTCCTTCAGTCCAAATGGTCGTCCAACAGAGGCCATGCTTCCTCGTAATAATGTATGTCACAGCCCGCCGAATACCGCTCTACACTATGAGACCGAAAATCACAGGTCCCTTAGTAAATACAGGATAGTTATCATGCTTTTGTAAGAATATGAAAAGAGGTAGCAGCACCTTAGCGTAGACTTACATGCCCTGCTCCCAAACGATGATGTGAGTATATTTCGGGAAAACACTTCCCTGGCACTACTGTAGGTTCCGTCTATTCTCCGATCTGTAGATCTACGTCCCAACATCCAGCCCCTTGAAGAACCTTATTTAAACACATAGAGTATAAACGGGGGCATAGTGATACAGCCATCGCCGGGTCTAAATACAGCTGTAATATCCCCGACGGTGAGCAACGCTTGACCTTGTGATACCTGCAGATACTGTATTGCACATTTCCTATATTAACCAAGGTGAATCTTAAGTCCCAGAAACCATCTGTCTTTTTCGGGATTAGGCCGCCCCATATATCTACCCCACAGCACGAGGTTCGTGAATGCCCGCAACTCCCCGAGCTGAATCAATCCCCAAACATCATCAGCTTTTGCCGTTTCCAACGGCAAAGACTGTCCCAGAGCAGCTCATCGCCCGGGTTTCCCCGTCCCAAGAATCGGGTACTACACATTGCGCCTTTACAGCCATCCTCCTTCGGTATGGCTCATCATGCAGAGCAGTCCGCTTTATCAAGTGGGCGTCCCGCGGGTTCGGAACTGGAACCTGTCCCGGCGCTCGCGGATGAGGCACGGTCTGAAATCCCAAGTTCTATCCATGTAGATGGAGAGAGCTTTAACGAATCGCCAACGCGCCCCCGTCGGAAGAGGCCGCGAGGAGAGAGCTCAAGAACTGCCGTAGCCTACTCCAGGAAGCGTGCCGTAGCTGCCTGCCGAAATTGCCGTGTTCGCAAGATTAAATGTTGGTATTCACATTTTCCTTATCTATACATGTCCCTTCATTATAACATTGTGTCTATCTTAGGCAATAACGCTCGCCCAACGTGCGGAAGCTGCCTTTCCTCACATGCCCAGTGCGACTACGATGATTCTCAAGACCACTCCGCGTAAGCGATGATCATAATGGGACTTGAGATGTCTTGCTAAGTCAAAATAGGTTTGATCCAGCGAGTTTGTTGATCCTCGATCGCCTACAACAAGTTCTTTCGAAGCTAGATGACTTCTCCAGCCGGCATTCCTGCTCCTTGCCGGTTGAAGCCCCGGAGCCGGAGATACTTTCTGCTTCGCCAAATACCCAACCCTCTCAATCAATCTACGACTCGCAAGATGCTCATGGCATATACGATGATCAAAAGATCCCATGTACCAAAGCTTCGCCAGATTCCATCCTTCAGTGGCCCATCTTTGAAGGCCAGTTTCCCCCCAACTACATCATTGACGAAGTATTCTTGGCGGAGATGCCTGAAGACAGGGACATGGACGTGGACGGAAATGGTGAGTTCTCTGAAAATACTCAATATCGGCAAGGGTTCCACGCGAGAGGTGTTGCGATCAACGAAGATGCGACAACGGGCCTGGTCCAACGCTTTCTCCATCTCGTACATATCAAGAACCCCATTTTAGACCCTGACACTCTTTGGTCATATGTCCGGCATGTGACCGAGGATGGCTTTCAATGGGACCCTCCGTCTTGTCTAGTGGTATATTTTCCATCTGTATTGTTTTGCATCCGTCAGCTGATTAAGGCGATATCTAGCTGCTTGCCTGCGCTCTTGGGTCCGTATCCGAGGAATACGGGATTACTCCTTCCCTGAGAACTCACCAAAACTCACTCGAGGAGCGGAACCATGATCTCAGTGTAGGCGAAAAGTACTTTAACCTGGCCCAGAGGAGGCTCGGCCTCCTAGGAAAGGGAATCTTAACCCCGCAGTGTCACTTCCTCGCCGGTGTCTATCTAATGTACACTCAACGACCCCTGAGTGCCTGGTCAGAGTTTGATTCAGCATCGAAATCATATCACATCTATCTGCAATGCCGTTCTCGTCAATCAGACCGCCCATGCGATGACTCTCCGCAGGGCAAGAGAAGACGAGGGTTGGAACAGAGGCTGTACTGGAGCTGTTACAAGTCCGAGTGCGAGTTGCGCTCACAGATTGAGCTGCCTAATAGCTCATTGGCGGACTTTCAGTATCCTGATTTGCTGCCTTCGCCCCCAGAACTACCTCTTCCCCACGCGGAAGGGGACAGCGAGGTGGGTTTTTTGAGACCCCATGGATCTCCTACCAAGATGAAGGCATTGGACTCGCAGAGGCAACATGAACAGAGCTGGTTCTACTATTTGACAGAGATAACCCTTCGACGAATCACCAATCGTGTTCTGAACATGCTATATTCGAATGACTCCCATGGGTTGACTGAAGCTTCTATACCATTCATGACCAAGGCAGTAAATGAAATCGAGCAGCAACTTCAACAGTGGTATGTGAATACTTGCAGCTTGATCTTGTCTAAATCTAACAAGTAACCAGGCATGCAGGTCTCCCAGCACCTATTCAATACACGGAAGGTGTTACGCCAGACGAAGAACTCCCTTGCATGGTTCACGGCCGTGTACTAGAGATAAAGTTCTGTCTGTTCCGCCCATTTCTCCAATTTGCCATTCACCAACCGCAAGATTTGGCGTCCCAGCGCTTGATTTGCCCTTACGTTGAAAAGGCTATATGGGCCAGCCTCATGATTGTTCGATGCATCAACACTCTTCACCGTCACCATGGGACCTGGTTTGGGCTTCGGATCTGCACAGCGGCTTCACTAGCAGTGCTTGGAGCTGTGAGGTGCGGCAAGATTGACGTCCCGCAAGGTTGGCAAGGTGATATTCGTGGAGTGATGGAGGTCTTCAGATATTGGGAAGCAGAGTCCCCTGGACTTTCACGTGCAATAGAGGTGATAGAAGCTATAATGGATACGGTAAGGGCTCGTGTATAATAAATCAATCAACTTGATTCGACACAAATCTGATTTCGAGTAGTGCTAAGTGTACATTGGGCCTTCAAAGCCTTCAAGGCTTGCCCATAATCAATTTGAAATTCAGCCAAGTTCCATCTGACAGGGCAATTTACATGTCAACCACAGGCGTGCCTGGACGACTGTCTGAGAAGCCACCAAAGCCCTCCCAGATAAACCGAGGCGTCCACGAATGCTGGGGACTTCCATATTCAAGCTTCCAGTGATAAAAGAATCAATTCATTTGCTTTGCCTTCCGCTTTGCGCCCCTTCTCGGACCTGCAGAGGTTTGATTGGCGGCACCTGCCAAGTGTTTGAGCGGCCTTTGAAGAGGCGGAGGCTTGGCCACTGTCAAATGTTGCATTCTGAAGAGCTTATCATACTTTGATCCAAGGAGCGACTTGAGGTGGCTCTGGTCGAAAGTTTTCAATAATGCCACTGCCTCAACTCTTCTTTCATACCACTGTTTCCGGGCCTTGGTGTTCTTATGAGCTGATTTCGTAGCTCTCACATTGCCGCTGATTTCGGGTGGCTCATGGCCAACAAAATTGTCCACGAGTTTGGTAATAAAAGTCAAATAGAGTTTTTGGTAAACTGGGTCAGTGAATGGGATGCTGTTGGACGCAAGGATATTGGTGAGAGCTGAAAGAAACGGTATCCATAGGCTGGTGAGTTGCCGCAAATTTAGGTCAGGAAGTGTTTGAATGAGACTTGACAAAAATTCCCAGACCAATCCATCATCTTCCGGATTGGCCTCGAGGAAAATGGACAGGAATTCAGCGATGTCCTCACTCTTAACTGCACTTCGTTCCTCCGGGGATCCCTTCGTAAACAGGGACTCAATAACCGGCCTGGGTCGCCATTCTCCCGGCTTTGCATTCTTGAGTAAATCAGCAGCCACGGAATGTGAGATTAGGGCAGCTTCTTCCTGAGGAATGCCCTTGATCCCATCTTGTTGAATCTGAAACACGAACCCAAAAATTACCTCCGGGTCATCGTAGCATAGAGAAAGAATTTTGACAACGCTGCCGCTGATGATTAGCATGTCCTAGAAAAGAAGGAGACGACAATGAAGCACATACACCTCTGAGATAAAAAATCCGGTATTCCCAAAGTATCTCGCACTTTTGACCAGCGCCCTACCATCTGATTTGCTCAGATGGCTGGGTTCAGCCTGTTGGGCTCGGGAGCAGAGTTCGCTTTGAGCAAATTGAGCGATAGTAGGACAGCTGCTGCCACTGCCCTCCAGAGGTACAAACGCCTCGATTGCCGCGAAAAGATCATCAAAACAAGAGGGAAGACAATACCGCAAACTATTCGGAAACGGGGATCAGCTACTGCGTTCAGGAAGAAGAGTAAAATAAAACAAGATCACCTACCCCACGCGGATCCTCTTGAACCGCAATGCAGCCTCATTGTCATCATAACCCACCCATTCCCGCAGCCAGGTGAAAAATGCCACCGGTGCAGTGTCCTTCATGCTCCTTTTTTTGGCAACCTCCTTGAAAATTTCAAATTCCTCAAGCTGTACAGCAGCCCGGAGCAAGTCGCTGTACACAATACCGCTTAAAGCAAGGCTTGTTGTGCCAGACTCACTCTGCTCATCCCATGCGTCCTGGCAGGCTTCCACAAGTGCATAAAACACGATCTTTGGGGGGTTGGGACGCAAGCAGACTTTTAGCAGAAGGCTAATTGGAAGCTGAGGGCAGGAATTGAGTGAGGCAGTAGACATAATTTCATTTCGAGCCGAAAAAAAGTGAACCAGTGATTCATGGTGAACGACAATCACCGCCTGAAGCAATTGAAGATTAGCAATGCGGTTCCAAATACCAAATCACTGCATTCCCTACCGTTTCAAAGGTTCGTGTTGTTACAAACTGCACGTAAAAATTCGTTAGTCAAAACCCATAGGCAAAATGAGCTGGGTGGTGTATAACCGTAGGTTCTAAAATTTCATCATAGTTCTTATATCGCAGACTCCCCCTCCCAGCTATGCTTCTCGGGTGTGCGATGTCGTGTTTTTGAAGGACTAAGTCTTCATCAATGATCTCCCCATTGAGAGACATGACGGATTTGAGTCGGTAATGCTCATTAAGAGCAGATTGACAAAATTCAGAATATTGACGTCGCCCAAGATATTCATACATCTCTTGATATTTTTCTTTAGACGGCCGAGAGATTTCTCGCTCGGTGCAGGCAAAAAGAATCTCCACTGGAAGATTACTTGCAGCGTCTATCAGTTGCTGAGTAGCTGCCAGATCTAAGGGCTTTAAAGCTTCAAGCGAAGGGTTAGGTTCACAGTAGTGATCTTGAAGTCGATGAAACAAGAAGTTGTGCTGGCGTTTAGAGCAGTCTAGATTCGCCCACCGAGCGAGAGCCCCTCCAATCGCTTGAGGAGCCGTCGGAAAGTCGTCTAGGCATGGGGCTGCGATTCCTTCTTTGGTAGTCAGATGATACAGGAGAACACAGCTATAGCCTGATGATACTGGCCTTGAATCAATTTCAACGTCAGGCAACCAACAGCACATCGGCTGGCGCCGTTTGGACGGCTCGAAGCTTCGGACTGTTGCTCCAAATTTCGCAGTTACTTCGCCTCCCTGATACGTCGACGGAAGGAGAGAGCCATGGTGGCGAACGTATTTGGGGGCTTTTTAGTGCTAAATATATAACTTCAGCATTGAATGACAGCTTTCGGGAATTGCAGAAAAGACGCACGACAGGCTACGGTCAAGGATGGCACCTTCCCCGCAGATGAGCATCTTCTCAAGTTGAGCTTCGGCGGTAAGAACGATATCATCCGACATCGCGAGCCTTCTCGCCGCATAGGCGACCACAGTGAAGAGAGTACATTTCCACTCTGGGTTAAGAAAAGCGAGCCGCTCAGGATCCAGCTCCCAGGTGTTACATTTACCAAGGCGAGCCTGCCTACTATGCTATAACGAGGGCGAGAGAGCGCGATGAGTTGGCGTAAATCTCCCTCATCGAGAGGCATATCAAGATCGCCAAATCCGAAAACTGTAAGCCCCATTTACACTAGCACAACATCTCCAAGTTCCTCACATGCAGCGTAGGAGAGAGATAATTCGAACTGTTCCAGCACATGAGCGAGCTGCTCCCTGGCTTCTTCTTCTTCTTCTTCGATTCGTGAAGAGTCGAGGCATGCTCCAGACGCCATATTGCAATCCATTCGCCGTTAAGTGGTTGCCCTAGCTTCAATGTGCTGTGAATCTGTTTGCTGTGTCAGGGGTTCAGAGCTCGCTGCCCATTCCAGCTGCGTTAACGTGAGACTGTCTGGCGGCGAAACGCGTCGCGGGATCCCTGCGCATGATTCACGTGGCTACACTTGGCGCGGCGCTCACTTACCCTATGTCAAAATTACTGAGCGCAAGACAACGAAGATTGGTCGATTCTCGGCAAGAATTGAGAACATGAAGTTTTCTTGGAGTCAAATCTGTCCAGTCTATCATGCAGCCGCAGAAATCATTGGTCTATAGTTGCCTTCTGGTGGATCATTACTACTACGCCATTGGTTTCAATTGACAACACGTCCCCGCCACATGTCACTCAGCAGAAGAAGCTTTGATCAACAACACCATAACTTGAACTGTTATCATTTGACATTGCAATCGTACCAATGTATATCGAAACACCGTATCTGAAAGAGAGCCATGCTGAAAGATCTCAGCCTATCACTTTCAAACCATCGCTAGGCCGGAAATCAGGGAATCCGCCCAGTGTGCCCCAGATGTCACCCACGTAGTTACTAGATGGAACGCCTTGAATAAACACGGCATCCCACCCCCCGAGTATGCCCTTGACGATTTCTATTCCCGCTAGATATATGTTTGCCCTAGCATTCTGTATACTATTCAGATGCTCGCCCCGTAGATGGGTGACAGCATCCACCCCAGGCGGTGCACGATCGAAGTTGGACCCTGGCCAGCGGTTTAGCGAAAAATACTCAATCGAATCAAGATCGAAGTCTTTACCTGTGCGGAGGAGAATTGCCCTGTTGTAATCCACCAAGTTGGAGACGTGGAAACGAACTAGTACCTCGAGGACGGCATTATCCTCCATAGCCGACATGCAATACTTGCCGAGACCACTTGTCCAAGTGCTAACTACTTTCTCAAAAGTCTCGCCGAGGCGATAACCCGAAAAGAAGACATCACTGGTGGTCACGTCGCATTTGAGCACTGACGGTGGCAGTGTGGCAGGATAGTACGCTTCACCTGCTGAACCGAACTTGGAGCGGTAGTTCTTCGCGTTATCAGTGTCATTCAATGTCGCAAGTGAGGCGAAGCCAGCCGCCAAGTCTCGGAGTGCCCCATTTAGCTCAAAGACCTCTGTTCCGTAGAACTCGGTCGGATACGCAGCAGGGCCTTCGGTTCCAAAGGAGAAGTAGCCAGTCTCCCAATGTGACGGTACTTCTCTGGGATCAATTTCATACTGCAGGGCAACCTGGACTGCGAATTGCGAAAGAGCAACGCTGCCAAGTGTTCCCTGCTTTGGGTTTACTCCAGCTATGCCCGCGATAAGAAAATATGTCTTCCGGAAATCGAATTTTCCGGACAGAATGACCGAGGTGATGGTGGCTGCGGCGTTTATCTCTGACATGCCAGTTGTGATCTGGCAGATGCCCCCGTCCGCGGTACAATATACCGAGGGGTATTGAGGGCTCAAGCCGGGGACGGAGATGGCCTGGGCCTGCAAGTCTCCAAATTGGGTTCCAGGGAGGTGTTCATACCACACATCGGCTTCCGCAGAGAACTATATTTAGGCGACCCCTTGCATGATTGGCATATGACTGATTCCGGGCTGATCGTAGGAGGGAATGACATACCAAGCTGACAATGAGGATCTTGGGGGTTATTTTTGAGTTTGGCAACACATATTGGCTAGCAGCCCGAGGACTTTCTTGGTTGAGCTGAGGTAATTTGTTTCCAAAAGCGACGTAAAGGCCAACAAGCAAGAATACGGCGGAGAGAAGAGAGCGCGAAGATATGAACTCCATTGCGGACATGGAGAGAGCGATGAGCTCGTCTGATGTTAGGACACGCAAATATCGCACGAGGCTTTGTGCTCTACGGAATGTGAGTGAAATAAAGATCTGGCATGTATGTACATTAATTTCTCTTATCAACGCGCGGTGAGGACATTCGTGGGTCCAGAATTATTACGATAAGAATAAGCGTATGGCGTGATGTCTTGTGGGAGCCACCTTCAGAGCTCCAGTGACCGAAGTCGGTCAACACCCACTATTTCCTTATAGCTGCAGCGAGGTCAAGGAGAAAATATGCACATCGGCATAAGGTATTCGCTGTCTAAAGTTCACTCTAAACTGCTTCCGAGAGGAACCCACAGGGAGATATAACCCATCTTGGATTTGGTCTTTCTTATGTAGCCACCGGTAATCGGACTTGTAGGCCTTGGTCTCAAGAAAGCTGCAGCTTAGGGGAATGTTGCAAAATGAATTCACAGCCAGTGTCGTTTTTAATGACTGAATCAATATAATTAGGTGTTATTGGAATACCGATGGCAGTTTTTTTAAGGTGTCTTTTAATCGGTTTGCAAATTTGTTTGTTAAGGATCCCGATTCCTTGCTATCTAACTAGGCTCCGAAGGCTTATTTGAGAGTCGACGTTGATTCCGCTTAAGTCTTTGGTGGGGTGTGGATAGGAATTCGTCCATAGAAACTGGGTACGATAATTCTACACTCTTACCAATCTAGCTCATTCGTAATGCATATAGTCTTCTAGTCTTCATTTCAATGGGGTATGCTTTATTTACTATAACGACGGAGTATTGGCCAAGTAAAGCGTGTTATTAGCCTAGCTTGAAAGTGAAATATCGTGACGACGAACAGCAATTCTAAGTCTCTCACCTGGTTAATCCTAAGGAACGAGAGAGGGTTAAAAGGAAAAAAAAAAGTCAAGTTATTGTCCAAGAGTCTATCTAGAACCTCTACGATCCGCTCAAGGTGAGATCTATTGAAGGTCTCCTAACCTCGAGTAAGAATGCCAAGAAGGCTGGTTCACTGGGAGTGCGATTCTAAGATACACTTGAAACTCTAAGAATCATGAGTTTGATTGATATCTTAGCAGGTTTAAGAAAAAGGAAACCGTCTCTTTTGAGACCACCAGCTTTTAAATCACCAGATTGTACTAGTCTACACTAGCAAACTGCATGGTTCGTTTACCATGTTTATGATTATGCTGAGACGATTCCTGTTCATAACAAGTCTAGCCGAGACAGGGATATTCCAAAACCGGCATCGTATTCGTGAGATTTGCCTGCTTAGGGTTGACAATGTAACATGGATCCTATAGCGTCTAAGTACCATGTAAGAATACTCCACTCTGGTCGACTGTGTGGAGGTTTCAGACTGGGCAGCCAACGAAGATGCTGACACGCAGGGGATCAAACATGGAACAAGGACTACTGACCGGATAACTGCGAGTCACACTCCAACACTAGAGGTGTAGCCAACAACCTTGAGCGATTTTACGGAAAAATGTTAGCCTGGTTGAAATAGGTCAAGCGCATGCTAACAGATTCATATACTAACCCAGAGCGTTAATTATGTGCGTGCCATGGGTCCCCCGATACCCTTGTAGATCGGGGAATATTGCTCGAATATGCTTTGATGGAGAATGGAAGAATCATGTGATGGTGATATTAATTTGTGATCGCTACCTTAGATTTCTTCCAAAACATGTCAGGAGCTAAATCTTCTTACACCAACTCCATAACGAACGCATTTATTCGTATACAGCCCATAAACCTGACATCCTGTGTTATATACCAGGTTCACATCCCAACGTGGGCTGAATGATGAGTCCCTCTCAAATCCAAGAGGCTCGGCAAAGTTCCCAAATGTACGACCAATATCGTCCTTCCTTGATAAATATTTGTTAGCCGCAACAAGCGTCGATATCCTGTTGGTGTAATTAGACTGCGACTGACCTCATCATATCGACTCCCTAGTCTTGAGGATACGCCACCATCACCAATGCTGCAGCGATACCTCCTGGACCAGTACACTCAATTATCAGATCGCCTCATTCTCCAATCCTACGGTAACAGCTCACGCGAGGCCTCATGCACGGCCCTCGACAGTCTGGAGAAAGAGCTCTCCTTGTTACAAACGGAACAAGCATTTCCAGATGGTGGCAATAAAGCCTAGATCATATAAACATAAACCAACCCACGTCCTACATGAGGTAGCTCCGAGGGTCTTTGCTGCGGGTGGTCAAAATGAGCCTCCTAACCTTTTCTGTGGACTTGAAGAAGGTCCTTGCTTGGTTTTCTTGAATTCCAATGCTTCTTTCTGGGAACTGTGGATGCAGCACACGCAAGAAGAGAGAAAGAGAAATCCCAAAACCTATTACTAATCCTCCTTCAAGGCAATTTATCAAAGCTAGAGTTTAACTAGGTCATTTTTACCGAGAAACTAGATGAGACGTAATAATGAGCGCCATATAAAATGATAAGAATAATAAAATGGAAGTTTTCTTCGTTGATTAGATGATCATTATAAAGACGTTATTCAAGTAAATAGTTCTGACTCATCGTATATCCCGATTATCCCCTTTCTATACTGTATGCCTTTGCTCTCGAGCATAGTAATTAGACGATAACACCAATTCAAATGAGGCTGAGTTGAAGGCAGGTTCACTTTGAAGCACTTGTATGCAAGGTAGAGAGAAAATCCGGTGTGATAAGGGCCAACATCATCCTTACTGTTGTGCTCTAGGCACCACCGTATGCTCATACAAACTTGGTTGGCCATTTGTAGAGGATCATATGTCTTTGCTACTTCTGATAAACAAAGAGGATGAGCGGATTCGTGCTTCGGTGCCCACGTGTGTTGTTGGGTGATTTTAATGCCTTTTGTAATAGGGCTGTCGATCGTGGACACAGACATACTACCGTTTGAGGGCTGATAAGTTAAAGGCGGTGATACCAGCTTTTGCTTCGTGTATAGAGCCGGATTAAAACTTTGGATGAGATGATAGACCAGCGTTAAAGAGGAAAAATATAACAAGTGCATCTGCCCGGAACCAAGAGTTGAAAATTCGTAGGTATCCTTAAACAATTCCTCTGCACCATCTACCTCCAGAAACGGAAGTAGCAATGGTCGACGAACTAGAAGGGGGTCTCTTGAGCTCGCAGGAAGCCCGCGATACCATGCCCTTAGTTCTCTCATCAGATCCAGACACCGTTCAAACAGGACGCCTCGGGCGTTGTCCTTCTCGCGTGAATCTGCCCAGTTGTCAAGAACTTTGCCTCTCGCTACTAGACTTGGTAGCCCTACTAGAATATCGACCATTCTATCAAATTGGTTGTTTGTTTCGTTAGGCAAGAACAAGGATTTCCATGAATCTTGTGCTAGGAAAGTCTCCTCCCGTTGGCATATGGCAGCGACAATCAGATTTAGGCGACAGCTTTCGAAGATGGCCTGCCCTACCCCGGATATGTGTGCTGCAGGCCCTCGTAGCTGCAAGATTTGAGCCAGTCCCTTAGCATGAGAGATCCATTCAGCCATTGTTTGATTGTGACCGGTAAATTGGTAAAGGTTAATGGCCTGACATGCAAGTAGTGTTGCATCGCAGAGGTGATTCCTGGTGTTGTAAAGATCTTTGTGTAGGGCGCCCAATGCCTTAACATAAAAAGCATCTGCATTTCTGAGCAACACCTCGTCTCCTCTATCGCGAGCTAGGCCAGCGATAGCTACCGCAAGCCCGGAATCTTGAAGGCAAATGGAATTATTACTGCTCGTACAAAGGTGCTGCATCCAGGAGAGAGAAGACCAGAACAGGAACCCGCCACCCAGCTTCGGGGCTGTTGGGCAACGTTCTACATATTGGGCGACAACTTGCTTGTAGTTCACGGTTCCGCTGCTTGCAAACGCCTCCAACGTTCTCCGCCAAGGCACTGAACCCTGTTGCAAGGGCAAAGAGCATGGATCACCCTCCCGTCGGGTACGCTTCGCAGTCGCGAGATGCACTTGCGTTGAATTTGGAAATGGCTGCTGAATAAAAATGAAGTCGCGTGAGTAGGGCTTGCATTCTGTCTTTCTGAACTTGCATCTTTCGCAAGGGTTGCCGCCATTGCACTATGAAACCGCCAGTAACACGGGTGGGGTTAGATATCTTTGCCAATTCAAGCTAATAAAGCCTTGGAAGGCCAGTTCAAGTAGAGAAGATGCCCACCTTTACCCTACCAGCTCTGCATGAGATGCATCCCCCTTTCCGTCTGGAAACGCCCGGCATGTTTCCGATTCATCAAATATTTCAAAGGGGGAGAAAGAATCGACTTACTCCCAAAACTACCTGGGATCGAAGCAGGAATACTTGTCTTTTCAGGCTGCTCTATATAGAGGAGGTTGGTTGAAGGCGCACTGGATGGAAGCATACTCGATAGCGATTGTAGTGGAAGGATTCAGGGCTGAAAACCTGAAAAGCCTGTCCGAAAGCCCTGCAACATTGAACTGTGGAGATCGGGCAGCGAATGGATGCCTCGTGATACGAAAGGATTCCTCGCTAATGTGCGGGAACAATAAATCTGACCACGGCATGTTTCAGACCCTTGTAAACAGACACTCTGTGCTTGCTTATTCCAAGGCATACATAACAAGGCAGCCACTTCTTCGTCCAGCATTTACAGACAGCTGACATTTTGGATCGTATTTAACTGTCACGCTCGAGCTGGCCGCAACCGGTTGACGCTGCAATGGACCTAGTAGTAGATTGTGTGGTAGTGTGAATGTACAGGCTTCATTGTCCACCTGAGGTTGGCTACATCCACCCCTGTTATCGGCGGACAGAGCCAATATCTGTTTGGGGCATGGCATTATTCATCTATAACTTGAGTAAGAGACTTAGAGTTCACTTAGGGAGCTTCAACCCCTCCCAGCCCATTGTATCGATGACGATAAATGTCTTCCATGGAACCATCTGGTATGACGAGAATTCGGGTCATATCGACGTTGCCACTCTAGAGTATGGTTTGATTGAGAATCCAGCCCTTGAATGTATCCATCTCGGAGATCGCCTGCTTATTGTAATGTTTTCACCGAGCTTTCTTATTATAACGATCTTATCGCATGCAACTTGGGGCCAGTACCTGGCTTAAAAGTATTGATCAAAGGACTTGCCACCCGCGATCTGATCTTGTCTGAATTCCTCTCTGATGTCAATCTTCCAAGCGGAAAAGAGCCGAGATATTTTAGTGTGAAAATTAAGTACCTTAGGTTGCATACAATCTCCCCGCTCAACCACATTTAGGTGATCAAATGGTGAAGTATAGTGGCCGCATAGTAAAATCCTGAAACCAATCAATGTAGTCGCAAGGCGTCTGCAAGGCGTATCTTGCTGACGTGGCATCCAAGTCACAGGATGCTTATCCTGCATGAATGAAGCGTGATTTCATTATTTTTCAAGCTCCCCACCTTCTCCCCTGTCTCGCACCCATTTGGCTCAACTCTGTTACAATAATATCATATTCTTGTTCGTTCCGATTCGCATCCTTCCGAAACCCTATGATTCGTCCAAATCCCAATCTTTTAAATCGCGTCGATGAATCCGCCGGCAGGGCTAGGTACACTTGGCTCTGTCATTCAGCTAGTTGACTTCGCCGTCAAGATCATCGCCACTCAAGACGAGATTCAAAAATCCCCGCATGGTTGCACACGGGAGAATCGAGGCCTGGAGGCAATTTGTCAAGGACTGCAATCCATTCTTGGAGAGGTTGAGACCCTTTCATTTTCGAAAACTATTCCTGGGGGCTCTGGATCTCAGCAAGATGGCGCGGTTAAAAGCCTACATGCTCTTTGTGAAGATACCAAGAAAGACTGCAAGGATATTTTGGGCTTTTTACAAAAGTTGAAGATAAAAGATGGAGGCCACATGCGATGGGGAAGTATGAATGCGGCTTTCAAGTCATTGATAGGCCGCCAAAAAGTTGATGCGATGGAGGGTCGGTTAAGAACAGCGCAAAGTGCTATTTCGATTCATCTCGGCTCTATAATATGGTATTTTACTCTGTCTCAATGACTTATCTTAGTCACGTCTAACATAAAATATTGTATAGTGACGAGATACAGACTTTGAGAGCTGCCGTTAGCGAGTTCCAGCGCCAAAATGCCAGGTTCCGAGTTAGAAGAGATCCTGATCTCAAGCTTCTTTCGGAGAAGATAAATGCAATGGATCTTGAATCTCCAGGAATGAAACAAGTATTGCCAAAAGCAGAAGATCAAGTTTCACTAGATGCGTTCAAAGAATTCCAGGCTCAAATTACTGGCTTTCACGCTGCCAAACAAACTATCGCCGCTGGACAAGCTATCCTCTCCAGCCTCTACTTCCAGAGCCTTCCGATTCGACACCGAACCATACCTGAGAATTTTGAAGATACCTTCAGCTGGATTTTCACAGAAGGTGTATTCCGACGATGGGTTGAGCAGGAGGGCGGCATCTTTTGGATAACTGGCAAGCCCGGTTCCGGCAAATCAACACTGATGAAGTTTCTGGCGGATAATTACAAGACGCGCTACTTTCTCAATAAATGGGCAAGTCCATTCAAAGGTGCCATTGCAGCTCATTATTTCTGGCATTCGGGTACTGAGATGCAGAAATCACTGCTTGGCTTCCTTCAGACTCTTTTGTTCGAAATTCTCGTGCAAATGCCCGGCTCTATTGCCTCAATACTCCCCTCTCAGTGGGAGCGTGCAATGGATTCGCCGTTCCAAGTTCGCCAAATGGCGTGGTCTCTAGAGGATCTATCGCGCGCAATCAATAACCTCGTGCAAATCGACGATCTTGGGATCAGATTGTGTCTCTTCGTGGATGGGCTGGACGAGTTTGATGGCGATCATCAGGAGGTCTGTAAGCTGCTAGTTTCGCTGGTTAGAACACCGCATATCAAGATATGTCTATCGAGCCGGCCTTGGAATGTATTTGAAGACGAATTTGGCGGTAACGCCGCGAGACGAATCAACATTCATGAATTGACAGGGCCCGACATTGAAAAGTTCGTCAAGGGCCACCTCTTCTGCCATCGCCATTGGAATACGACAAGCTTGGAAACAGAAGAGAAGCAAGCGCTGATGAATGAAATACGTCAACGAGCAAAAGGGGTGTTTCTTTGGGTAGTTCTCGTCACAAAATCACTATGCGACGGCCTAACAAATCAAGATAAGCTTCATGATTTCATGCGTCGACTAGAACTTCTGCCAAATGATCTGGAAGATTTATTCAAGCATATCTTGAACCGTGTTGACCCAATTTACTGGCAAAAGTCCGCAGAATATCTTAAACTCGCGCTTGACAGTGATGGCCGTTTGCCAGCACAAGCTTACGATTTTCACGAGTCGGATCACGAGGACAAGAATTATGCAATCTTATGGCCGATTCAGCCACTATCCTGGGAACGTCTCTGCACAATCCAGGGCCGAGCCAAACGGCGCATCGCGGCGCTGACGGGCGGTCTTCTTGAGGCAGAGGGGGCGGTTGGAACGATCAACATTGATTTTTTACATCGGACAGTTTCGGATTTCCTTCGTACTCGCAGCATTTCTAACGAAATTCACGAGAGGACGAGGCGTGATTTTGACGTCCATCTCAGTCTGGCAAAGTTACATACCGTTCTTTTGAAGTCAGACCTAGGGCGGCAAGCAGAAACCCCCCATCAAGTCAACATTGAGCGTTCTTTCGCTCCTACCCAATATGTGGCAAAGATATTTCAGTACGCTTCCAAGGTTAGGTCGGAACACCTCCAAGACCTCTTCGGATTGCTTGACTCAGTTGAGAGGGCACTTGGACCCGTTAAATCGTGGCAGCAAGACTTCAAAAAATCTCTACTCAAGTCCAAACTTTCGAACGTCGTATCAAGAAAATTGTCAAATGATGCGAGTTACTTTTCAATGTTGGAAAATGGTCCAATTGATACATTGCTAACTGGGCATTCACCCCCTCTCGAGATGCTCGACGTACTTTTCCGATATGGGCATGATCTTAACGAGGCCACAGATGGAATCACCTCGCCCTGGTCCAGGTTTTTCCGTTCGTTCACAATAAAACATCTCGATGAATTCGTTCTCACCTTCAGGGCCCTTGTCAGCCAAGGCGCAAGCCCAAATGGAATGGTTCGATATACGCGCTGCGACCAAACAGTGTTCTGCATTTACGTGATTCTTCCATTTTCCTATTATACCAGAGATGTTAATGTCGATAAATACTTGTCAACTTTGGATGTCTTTCTAGATTACGGCGCTGATTTCGGAAAAGAGATAACCTTCCACAAGGCAGGGCCCATCGATGAGCGTCATTGGTGGCCGCAGAAGATTGATAGCCGATCTAACACGGTGGCAAAAGCCTTTATTAAAGGTTTAAAGTTGCTTGGATCGAATAACCAGATGGAGCCAAACAGAAGAATTGTTTTCGAAACGACGAGGCGAATCTTGTTGAAAAGAGGCAACGATAGACAGCTAGTGTCTGAGCTTCGCAAGGTCATCCCCAAGGCATTCCCAGAGCACATGACGCTCTCGTTGCTTCGAATGCTGCCGCAAAAGCAGTCTCGTAAGACGGCATCCAAGCGGAAAAGAGCTGAGGATGAGTTCGAGAGTAATGGAACGCGGGTTAAACGGCGCCAAGGTGGCTTCAAACCAGAGTGATTCATACAGATCGAGAGATGAACTTGGAACAAGATCAAACTTCATTGTATGTTGATGACATGATGATTACATGGGGTTTTCAAAATGAAATACAGTAGGACTCCAAAAGAGATAACACAGCACACACATTGCATTCGACGCAACCGTGTTGCAAATACCCTCCCTGGGGAAGGCAAATAACTGCCTAACGCTCCATCCTCCAATAACAGGTTGCGAGCATGTGATGACAACAGTTAAGGCTTAGTATCACTCAGTGGAATTGGGTTCCCATTGTTGACAAGACATTTTCACCATAGTACAAAATTCCCGTTGGCTGTTTATGGCTTTGCCCATCAGCATGTACCTGCACTGTGTTAAATCGAATCATGATACTGGGGAGGTCTCACTCCCGAAGATACAAGACGATGAAACAATGGTCATTTGTTATCCCTCTATAGAAGAGAGAAGAGCGGCAAGGGAAGAAAGTTCGGCGAGTATTCTTATATGCCGTAGCTCTGCAGACATGCTAGTTGTTCTACATAAACCCCTCGTCTGACCCAGTGCATGATGTAATGTGTCGGCATCGCACCTTCATTTAGTCTGTTTGTAACTCTCACAAGGATTGCATGATGGCTCTTGCGGCCGACTTGAATTAAATCCCCGGCACGCAGTGTTACACTTTGCGGTATCCAGAGCCTTTCTTGCACTATATAGAGAAGTGTGGCAATGCAAAGGTATAAATGCTGGGCGAGCTTACTTCTACGAAGATGGGGATCTAGTGAGAGTGGATGTACATACTGCTGCCGCGTACTATTTTATGTCTGCTTTACCCTCTCTAGCGGACGCTCTATCTCTTTCAAGATATTCACTAGCTAAGACAGCTACGAAACAGTCTAGTCAGTAATCATCCCAGTGTGACGCTGACTGGTATTTTTGAGTCTCTTGGCGGCGGATTTCCGTAAGCCGAAATTCCCTCAAAGATGGGAGGATGAGACATGGTGTAGCATTAGTTTCACCTTCAAAAGTGGCTGAGATGTATTATCCCGATTTAAACAGAAATCCAAGAGAGAGAAAAGCCTGTTCAAAGCGTCAGCAGCCACGAGAATCCTTTTGGATGTGGGCTGAAACCACATAAATAAAACTTTTGTGTGTGCAGCATATAATACTGCTGACGACGCATAATCAGGACTTCTCACTGCCGTGAAATCTCGTATTCATAAGATCTTACTCTTGCACTTTTTGTTTCTACAGGTTGGGAAACTGATCATCTTCATACAGTACCTCTATATACAGTGTCGATTCGCCGCCCGCTCATGTTTACCTTGGCACCAACCAACCTTCAAGCTCTTAAAGGTAATTCGCCGAGCATTCCCTCATTACTTTGTGACAACTTTCCACCAATCTTGATAAAATCGCCAATCAAATATGACTTCCAATTTCCCTACCCCGAGTTCGCCATCGTCTGACCCAGCCCCGGTGGAGGGTTTCCAGGGTGTGGTTTCAGACCAGAATCTAGACACCAACGGGTCCCAAGATAGTCACTCTCAAGAGGGCTCCGGTATCTCCCAAGACCAAAAGCCTTCTGCCTCTAGTATGATGTGGAAAGATGTATTCGTAATAATCACGGATATCTTTGCACTGACGGTGAGCCTGGGCCATCTTGTCTTGGTCTGTATTGTCATGGGACATGACGGTCGACCCATTGACAAGAGATTCAAAGTCTTCCAGGATATGCTCATTACGGTAACTGATCCCTAAGAGAAATAACTTGAGAATAACAAACTAAATGAGCCGATTAGCTTGCCCCTATTTTCCCCACGTTGTTTGCCTTTGTTATTGGCAGGGCACTATATCAGCTTGCTCGACTTAAGCTGGAAAAGGGTGCTCCTCTTGGCACTCTCGAACAGCTCATGGGTAGCCGAACTCTGGGAGCAAGTGTCATGACACTCTTTGAATTGAGATCCTTCAACCTGCTTTGCCTCTTACTGTTTTGTGTTTGGGCTTTCTCGCCACTAGGTGGCCAATCATTTCTTCATTCACTTGATAAGGTTTCTCGGCCAATTAGTACTGATATCCTCTACTTGGATACCTTGAACAACCCTCCTGATTTCGGCCTTGGCATTCTCACCACCACATCATTCTTCCATGGTTTATACTCCTCCAATTATGCTGGGCTGCGACCTACCGATATTTGGATGAACCTCAAGGTTCCATTTCTCGAACCAGACCATAATGATACCAATCCGGGATGGAGAGATCGAGGCCCAAACTCAGACTCGCAATATACGTATTCCTCATTCTTCGGAGTTCCAGTAAAGCATGTTTCTGTCGGAAACAGCTCATTTGATATTGAGTCCAGCTATTTGAGTCTTGCGTGTGAACCATTCTCAAAGACTCAAGTCGAAACAAGCTCACAAACATTTATATCCGGAGAAACCTTTCTCAACGAGACCGCCTTTGACACATCATCACAACATGGATCTGTTGGAAGCAAGTTTCTGCCTGTGGTTAATGGGTCATGGTATGGTCGTCCACACAACTATTCCTGGTCGGTGCCCATTTCATGGAACATTGCCATTGATCGCTTTGTTGACCCCCTCTGGCTTTCAAACATGAGCAGTGAAAATAGACCTCAAGTTGAGGATAACCAAGAGCACGGTGGAGATCAATTAAACACGGAAACCAAGACATACACACCTCACAGCCTGTCTATTTTCCAGAATTACGCCCAAGTAGAGGCTGGCCCAACCAAACTATTGTTCCAAGCCAGAAGAAACGTGTCGGACGCCACTACAGTTCTGAACCTAGAGGTCCTCAAGACGGAATGTCGAGTGCTCCAAAAGTACGTCGAGTCTCGCGTTCTCTGCTTCAGGCTTACCGAGGCTTCACAGCCAGAGTGCAGAGTGATTGGCCAACGACCGTCACAGAGGCCGCACCTCAGCGAGGACTTGTCGATTCTATCAATTCCAGACACCTTTGAACGGGTATCTTCATTTCTTCCTAGGCTCTTAAGTGCTCAGTTCTATCCTGATCTAATCCTTTTGTACCTGTACAGCCAATCAAAGCCAGCAAGTTCAGGAAATGAAGTACAGCACGAAGTGCCAGACTTCACGGCCATCTCGGAAGCCGAGTTCAGTGTGTCACTAAGCCAAATAATTAATTCATATATCATAATCCAACAAATTGGATTTTATCTGTTAGTCTCAGACGGAATGATAGGGCAGGTCCCATACAGAGTGAAAGACTGGGTCCAAACTTCATCGGACACCGATGGAATACTCTATGTGTACTCTGTCAACAGGCCATGGGGGGCGGTCTGTGCTGCGTCATGCGTTATTTTATCCATTGCAAGCATATTGGGGGTGATTTTTGCTCATTCATGTCGAGGTCTAGACATATTGGGGTTGGTCTCGACGGGTATACGGGACTCAAAGTACGTGGACATGCCTTCTGGAGGAGAATCCTTGGATGGACATGAGCTCTCAATCGTTATGAAAAATGAACGACTGAGGTATGGCCATACGCATCTAAGCACAAAGGTGACACCAGTCATAGGGATCGGACGGGAGAGGCATATTAGAAAAATCAAACATTAGGTCTGTTGATATCTTGAATTCTCTCAAGCTAGTATTTATAACACTCTTATTTAGTAATATATACGTCTTTGAAAACAGAAAGCTTAAACTTAGCAATTGTAGTAAAGAAGCCGGGTTCTCTGCCGCGATATTTATATTCGCAAGCCTGCACTTTGAATTCTCATTGTATTAGTTCTCATTACCGGATGATATATAGTTGACGAGGCTTGGCTCTTGCCTACGAAGGATATACAACAGCAGGGAGATCCCCTTGGTCAACCGTCACCTTTGCTTTCGGTTGCAGTATCTTAATATACCTAGGTAGTTATTCGTTTTACAACATAATGCAAAGGAAGAAAAATCAAGGTTCTATGATTTCATAATTTAAACACATCTTCCGCACTGGCTATTTATACTCTATAATGAACGTAGGCAATCCATGGCGGAGGGCTCGACTGGCCCCAGTCATCTTCCAACGGTAGGATGTCTCGGCCTTCTCTCGCATCATCTCCTCTCTCTTGGAGACTGGAGTTTGAGATATCCTCTTGATGAGAAACCATCTTCCCAGCTCTTGTATCTAAAGTACGCCTGGCATACTCGGCCAGCCACTCATCCCGTACCCGCTTCGTCGCCTTGTGAAGTCCTCGGCTAACCGATTGGTCTGTCATATTCTCATCTCGAATGACTTCATACGTCAACCGAGCTATTTCCATGCAAGTCTCGTCTTGCACTTCCCAAAGTGTACCGATGGCGTGGCGGAATCCCAGGACTTGGAATGCACTGATCAGGTGAATACTCTCATCGAGAAACTTTTCCTCTCGCACGCGGCCTGTACCACAGGCGGAAAGGTAAGCAAGAAAGTGCGCGCCTTGGTCCAGATTCAGGTCAAGTAGCTCGGCTATTGATAGAGGGCTGCTTTTGTCTTCCAGGCAGAGATGGCTCTTCGATGGGTCAACATAGTCCGTATAACCGTGTCCTGCAAAATGGAAAATGTTGCATTTGCTCAGGCGGGACTTGATGTTTTCCTTGTACCCCCGTACTTGAGCAGCATTAACCGACGTACGATCGAAAATCTTTTGAATTTCGCACACTTCATCGGTAGCATGAGGCAGTGTTCCATGTCCAGGAGTGTTGCTCATGGCCACGAGTAGAGCCTCCGCTGGTGTTGACACAGTCGGGGCTTGAAGGCGAGAAGCTACCAGCGTCTGGGCAGTTGTGCCGTATGAAGAGACTACTCGGTCCATGACTGTTTCGTGGCCACCGCGTTCATGCCTACCTGACGCATGCAACGGGAATTTGCTCAAGACGCCCGTTGGGATCCATGTCACATGAGGCCAGTCATCGTTATCCGGTGGCTGAGTGAACCCCAACGCATCCATGATAGGGCCTGTGATTGTATCCCAGAGCCAGGCAAGGCACTTTTTGCTCCATATTTTCTCGCCGCTTAGGGCCCAATACCTGATTTCCTCTTGCCCAACATCTTTGAAGTTTATTACTTCGAGGTGGCTTTGAGTGATGATAAATACGTCACAGCCTTCGTAGCTCTTGACACTCAGGTTCAGCACAACAATGGGGCCCGACTTGGCTGCTTCCAGAATATCACTGCGGGGGTGGACGCTGAGAAAGTAATCCATTTCAGCGAGACCCCAGATATCATTCACAAGGTCATCGATGAATCCTGCTACGCGATGTTTATCTTCTTCCATACTTTGAATAGCATGAGGCTCCACTTCGCTCGTGATTGCAAGCTTCAGTCCATGGGAGATTTGTTCCATGAGTTCGACATGAGGATTTACTGACGTCTTTCCTAACTTTGAGTTCCCTCCTTCCACGTCTATTGAATGTTCACGACGACCTTTGATAGACGACAAGAGCATACCGCGTCCTCTAGACAGCGTCGCTAAGGCCAACCATCCCATCTCAAGATGGGATACTTCGGGGTGTTTTGAAGCCCGTGTCCTCTCATACGTCATCATCGCTGCCGCGGTATCGGAAGCAAGCCCAAGTACCTCACTTGCCCAATACTGCTTGTCCTCCAAAGTGAAGATTTGTCCCTGAAACTCTTGAATAAGAAGTATTCCCAGCATCCCTGCGGTGACTCTGCCGTCAATCGCAAGGCCTATATTAAGCAGACCCATTACAGCCTGTATGCGCGCCATCGGCTTTGCTCCAGGCGTAGTGAGGCATCTCTCGTAGCTTCTAGAAGCTTGTATGCAAGCTTCTTCGAAAGCCTGTCCCCAGGAGCCATCAGCATTGGCGACCCTTGATAGTTTGCAGCTGTACAGGCTACCAAGTGTCAATAATAGAGAACTCTTGGTCGGATGACCATCAGGCAGGCTCTCGATGGCCATGAGACTGATCTCAGTCATTTCATCGATCTCATCGACGGGACTTTTGTCTTTCATTCTATCATGGATTTGCTTAGCGTACTTCTCCAGCATGGCATGAACGTAGCAAAATATGTATCTGCATTCGTTGGTGGCGTTCCCCTCAAAGTGCTCCAAGGCCTGGTCCAGGGCCTGCTCGGCATATTCCACCGCCTCCTCCACGCTCTCATAGGATCCAGACAACTTTGATTGGGAGAGGAGCAATTTGGACAACAATTTGAAGCATACCATTTTGCCTGAATCATCAGATTGCAGCTCTTCATTGGCCTTTTTTGCAAATTCAATTGCCTTCCCAAGATCGAATGAGGAATCGGTCCTTTCATACTTCATATGTAGAATTTCCGCCATGTTTAACAGCAGCCAGGGTTTAGGTGCGTCATCATTCGATCCTTCCCAAAGGGTCTGTTCACCCAGGGAGATGGCTTCATTTAGATCGGCGAGTGCCCCTTTGGATCTGTACCTGTGGCTTAACAAGATTGAACGGTCGAATAAGGCATCTTGTCGGAGCGAATGAGTCTTTGAGATGATGGAGAGAGCCAGTTCGCTGAATTGGATAGCCTCATCAATGCTTTCAACGTCGTCTGTTTCATGGTAAAGATTCCTGAGGACCTCCGAGATTTGCAAAAGATAATAAGGATAGTCGTCATGTTCTTGGTCCGTAATATTGAGAACCTGGCGAAGCAACTGAAGAGCTTCCTCTGCATGAGGGATCTCCCTGGTACTTTGAAACCTTTTCGACATATAGAATGAGAGCCAATATAGCCAATCCGGGTAACTGGGATTGTCTTGTGGGACGAGCTGGCGAGCGGCTCGGCAGATTTTGATGGACTTTTCTACGTCTTCGATCGATTGCCGTACAGAAAATCTGTCAGGGTTATCTCTCGCCAACTCATCGATCCGGAACGAATGAACAAATTCAGAGCCCATATCACGGAGCTTCTTTCGGAGTCGTAAGGACTCCTCTCGGTGTAATTCGAACCCGGATCTAATGAAGCTCTCATCATGTAGGTCGACGAGTTCTACAAAGGCTGCTTTCTCTTCGGACGTGCCCTGTAAGTCGCTTAATGGGCTCCTAGCGTTTTCAAAGTCGTTCTGTTCGCCACTTCGGAAATATTTGTGTTTGAGCATTATTCCGAGATTAATCGTAAGCGTGGGAGAAACGGTTGAATGCCCATATCGATAGTCGATAACCTCCTGGAGGCACTTGATAGATTCATGTAGATGAGTAGCATTTTGAGTGAGAACATAGCTTTCTCCTAATACCACCGAGTATGTATAAAGTAGGCTGATTCTGGCATCCTCGTCTTCTGGCGGCTCTCGAAGTAAAATCTGAAACCAAGAGAGAGATTCCTCTAGATTCTTTTCGTCACTCGTTTTCCGATATCTGGCAAAGAGTGCGTTGGCTCGTTGTGAGGATCTGAGGAGTGGATCGGGATCAGCACCATCTTCTCCCCTATAGTTCGAGATTGAATCGGCAAGTTGTAGTATCTGGTCGAGCTCATTTACTTCCAAGTCGTCAATCGATTTCTTGGAGGCTTGATTGACAAGCTCATCGATTTGGTCTACTACACTTTGCAATGGTAAGCATTCCGCCGCCGGCGATTTCGTACACTTAGCTTCTGCCATTCTTGGATCTGCTGCTCCTAGGATGCTTGGATACTCTGTCGACTAATTGATAAAGTCAATGGCTAAGCTGGCAAGTTTAGGCAGCATGTGGTTATGCAGTCAGCATAAGAGTCAGGTGATTTTCTGCCCTTTCGCCATTGGCTCTCTGCATACCTGTCCGGGCTGACATTGGTAGCCTAATTAAAGGTGAGGTTTTCAAAACATGTGGCTTTTTACAATAGCAAGTACATGGCATCATAGTGGATAGGGATAGGGTTCGTACACAAAGCTTCAAAGTTGTCATTCTCCCAAATCCCCCCAGAATTCTCTCAAGTCATCCCCTCTCCATCTCGTGCTCCACCCCGATTCGCGCTCAATTTTATCCAGTAGCTCCAAGATAGCCGTATGCTCCGCCGGGTGGCTCATGCAGCGGCCCGCGATCCATATCGGCTGTAAGGCATTCGTCCACGCGCCGTGGTGATCATTGGAAATGCTGATCCCACAGACTTGTCTCGCGTGCCAGAGGATGGTACGAGCCTTTGTCGAGCATCTTGCAGCAGCACCTGTCGTGACAGAGCTCGAAGAGGTTCCTAGCGATGAAAGACGTAGCCCCACGGGCCTATTTTGCAGCATTAAAAGTGAGGCTGTGTGGTAAAGTTGGTTTCCGGATATCGCGGCGGGATTCGAGAACAGTATTGTCGGAAAGGGGGACTTATCGTTCGAGGGAAGAGTGACGACCGGATGCAAAGCCGCAGGCCGCAAGTCGTGCCATTCGGCAATATATCCCCAGAGTTTCATCCACGATTCAAGCCTCCCTTCAGCATCCAATGCCGTGGTCCCCAGAAAGTCTAAAACCAAGCCGACAAGATATACAGCGAAATTAGCCCAATTGTGAAAGTCCTTCCTTTTTGTCTTGAACACTTCTACATCAGCGTCAACACCCGACCCAGGTACCCATTGGGAGATGGGGATGAGGGTCTTCACGGACGATATCAGACCACCACAGACGTCCATGCGTGCAAAACACCAAAACAACGCGCCTTCCACGCCGCTTGAAGAACCACTGATGCCGACGGCCGATAAAAGACAGGCACACCCATCCAGATGGCGCCTCCATGCTTTGGGCGAGCAGGAACCCATTTCAAGAACACAAAGGATAACGCAGCTCGCGATGACGGCTGTGGTTCGAGATGGCAGGTGAGGGAGCAGTAGATGGATAGCCTGTTGGTACAGCAGCAAACTTCGATCGTGAGGTAACGTCTTTTCTTTCAGCTCGATCTGTCTTGCTGAAAGAGCGAGGACAGAGTACTGTAGGAAGGAGTTGGAGGGCGCCATGGTGGGGATGATGTGTTTGAAATGTTGGTCATTGTCGAATTTGTCAAGCCAAGGGGCAATCTCATCAAACCAATTTCTCCACAAAAGAACCTCCTCCTCTCTTTGTAGAATTCGATCCCTAGAAATCAGCGTGTGTTCGGCTGTGCTCAGGTCGTCGACAATATCATCTACACCCTCACTAATAGTATCCAACTCTTCCAACGCTGGGAGCGGACTGGGTGGGCGAGTTGGATCATTAGATTTCACTTCTTGAATCAGATGGCTTCTGAGAGTTGAGTGAAGTTCGTGGTACGCTGTGCCCGGCAGGAAGATGCCATCGTCGTCCAGCTGCAAATCGGAGTACTCGCTCATGTCAAGTGGCCAAATTCCGAAGGAAGACGCGGCAGAATTCGACTGCTCATCACACCTTGGATCTATCCTAGAGCCACCCTGGCTGAGGTAGATTAGGTTTGCGACAGCACTCTCTGTCTGCCTGAGCGATGAGGGTGACGAGCCGTCTACCCATTCGGGATAGCCTCCGAGGAGTGTGTTTTCCACATAGGAGGATGAAATGTTTGCATCGTCACCCATTAAGGACGTCCCGTCTGCTCTTCTAAAACGAGAAGCGTGGGAATAGCCGGTGCTACCCCGATCTCCATGACAATCAACCCCTACAACAAAGTCGTCGTCGCCGCAGGTAAAGTCATCATCCATCAGCGGCGGCGAGCCTGAGTCGTAGTCGCGAATAACATCCTCGGTAACATCCAAAATTTCGAAATTACTGTTCTGCTTCTTGCCCCTCAGCCTCCGCATGCTTGGATGCTCATCGCCGATACCCTTGGCATTCTCCGTAAGGAATTTGAGTTGGACTCCCCAGATACACTTCTCCTGCCTCCGGCGACAGGTACCACAAGCCGGGCGGCCCTCATCACACTTGCGCTTCTTTCGACGACAGTTTAGGCACCCCGTACGCGTCCTCGTGTGTTTTGTATGCGGTTTATGGATAGGTACCAAGGCGGGTTGCATGGCAAATTGAGGCAGGTGGAAGCGGACGCGAGGAGTGTTTGTTTTGCGTGGAAGAGGAGAAAAATTTGTGGGGTGCATTTCCCCAAGTTTTACGCTTTGCTGCCTGATATTCTGAGCCTGGGGAATCATCCTACCCTAGAGCCAACAGGCCCATGTCACAGAGGGAACTTGTTCGAGGTGGGAACGCGTAACGGGTATGCATGTAGGGAAATGATGGCTTCCGAAACTCGACCTGAATAATTTTAGTTATGGTTGTTCATCTCAGCTTGTCTATGTTGGTGATGTGAACTGCTGCTGGTGCTGCCACTGGGTAGATGAGGGACCATTGGTGAACATACCCATAAACATAACAACTTACCCGCTGCGTCTCAACGTCGGCATTAGAGTCAACCTCCCACGTCTATCTAGGCTCATGGCCGCTAAACTCTTCTTCTCCTTCTAAAACGACACTTCACGACTTCAACCAACCTAGCCCTGTGTACGAACGCGTCCAGCAGATCAACATCAACATGAGAAGCCGAAGGCAGTTCCAAGCGCCGCCAAAGACCCACAAACAGGGTGAGACATTTGCCATGCTAAACAATTTGGTTGGCTAAAATGCCCCTGAACCCCACTTGGCTGTTTGACCACCGCGTCCGACTGCCTTTCACAGAAATGCCGCTTTTGTTTCGCAAAAACTTCCGAGGTCATGGCCCTGTTTGCGCTTCCACATACCTCCACACCGTCTTGCTCAGTCACCACGGAACCAAAACCTTGCACTGAAGCCTTTTCTGGAGAGCCTGGCGCTCCCCAGGTGGAGTCCCCATGTTCCTGGGGTAGGGTTATGTAGTAATTGATGGAGACCCTGATCCCAGCCATGACATCCTGAGCCTCAGCCCTTCGGCCGTCGTGTTCCGAGTGACGCACTTTGGCAGCGAAAATGGCCGCATTCTTGGGTAATGGCATGGTAGGCCCTTGAGGAACCATGGCGATCAATTGAACCTGGCCAGAGTCTCTTGCGAGTATATATATTCGGCTGCTGTGCTTATCCTACTTCACCCAGCTTATTCCGACCCTGGAATGCTAAATCGCTTCATCCAATTCCCCAAACCCCCTGGCAACTGGCAACTACGTAGGCGCGCCTCGGACAGCTACAGTGCGTGGACTGTGCCATTGCCTCTATTACCTCTCGTATCACTTTAAGGGACCCTTTCAATTAGCCACAGACGCCACGATGACCATCCTTGTTGGTCGAGCGCTCAATTGGGCTATTACAGCCACTGCCGGCTCGGGATTCCTCCTGTTTGGCTACGACCAGGGCGTCATGTCCGGCTTGTTGACGGGCCAAGCCTTCACCTCGACCTTTCCCGAGATCGACACGGACAACGGCGGCAGCGCCTCGCTGCAGGGCACCGTCGTCGCCATCTACGAGATTGGCTGCTTTTTCGGCGCCCTGTTCTGCCTCGTGGCCGGAGAGAGGCTGGGCCGACGCTGGTCAATCATGCTTGGCTGCGTCGTGCTGGCCACCGGGGCAGCTCTTCAAGCGACCGCGTTCTCGATCCCCCATATGATTGTCGGTCGCATTGTCGCTGGTCTTGGCAATGGCATGAATACATCTACGATCCGTAAGTTGGCTCTTTTGATTTTCATATAAGAGGTCAGGGACCGCCGAGCAACAAGCAGGGGACTAATATATTGGCAAATGTAGCCGTGTGGCATTCCGAGCTTTCTAAGCCCAAGAACCGCGGTAAAGGCCTTGCTATTGAGCTCGCGGTCAACATTTTCGGCGTGGCTTTGTCTTATTGGGTCGATTACGGCATGTCATTTGTCATGAACGACTCTCAGTTCCGATTCCCGCTGGCCTTCCAAATATTCTTCGCCATCCTCACTTTCTTCGGTATTCTGATCCTTCCCGAGTCGCCACGATGGCTCATCGCACACGACCGTTTCGAAGAGGCCAAGCACGTTCTTTGGGCAGTACAGGACGACGCCAAGCAACGTACCGAGGAGGATCCCATTGTGAACCGCATGCTCTCCGAGATCCAGGAGACCGTCAGAGAGGAGCGAGAGGCCGCCAGCACCGGCAGTTTCAAGGCCATGTTCAAGAATGGCGAGCAAAGGTTCTTGTACCGCACCATGTTGGGTATTGGAGGCCAATTCTGCCAACAGCTTTCTGGTATCAACCTCATCACCTATGTGAGTATACTATCCTCGCCACATATTTGTCTTCTCATCACTTGGTCGAAGCCTCGCTAATCAGCTCGTCAACTCCTCAAATAGTATGCTCCTGTGATATTCCAGAAATCCGTGGGCATGTCTCATAACCTGTCCCTTCTGCTGGCTGGGTTTAATGGGATTGCATATTTCTTCTCATCACTCATCCCCATCTGGATTATTGACCGCCTCGGTCGACGCAAACTGATGCTTTTCGCAGCTGCAGGACAATGTGCATGTATGGCGATCCTGGCCGGCACAGTCTCGGATGGCAGCAAGGCTGCAGGTATCGTTGCTGTGATCATGCTGTTTCTGTTCAACTTCTTCTTTGCTGTCGGACTCCTGGCTATTCCCTGGCTCTGTAGGTTCTCCTTATCCCTCCCTGCCCCTGACAGAATCGTATGAGAATGCATTTTAACATTATTAGTGCCGGCTGAATACGCGCCCCTTGCTATCCGTACACGGGCAGCGGCATTGGCCACTGCGTCCAACTGGATATTTACGTTTCTCGTCGTTGAGATCACGCCGGTATCGATTGATAATATTGGATGGCGCACCTACGTCTACTTTTCTGTCTTCAACTTCTGTTTCATCCCCATGATCTACTTCTTCTACCCTGAGACGCAGTGGCTCAGTTTGGAGCAGATTGACAAATTGTTCACTGGACCTAAGGTCCTCCTCAAGTGGGACAACAGCATGGGTGTTCCCGGAGAGCTGGAGAATCGGGAGAAGGAGGACGCTGCCGGTGAGACCGGTAGGCTTGAGCACGTGGGCGAGAAAACGGTCTCATAATCTCCAGGGTGCGATGGGCTGTGGATGTGGTTGAAAAATAGCTTGGTCATTGCTGACGAGTAGATTATTCACAATTCGTGTTAGAATACCTAGATGCCATATCTAGAATCCCTGAATTGTCTAGATATTGGACCTTTATATCCACTACCCACTCTTGAGCGCTTCCATAACCTGCTGGTCGGAAGTATAGTAACAGCAGCACCAAACTTTCTAACTCACTGTATCATAGTCATAGTCATAATCCCTTAGTGGGAAGTCACGGATGTTGATATTAGCGGTGGAAAAGATTCGCTATTCTATCACAAACTTTCTGTCTTCCAATATCGTGTTCACATACAAATAAATACATTATGCAGAGGCACAGTGTCCTCCGTCGACTCGCAGGTCCGCGCCATGCACAAATGAGGCACCCTCTGAGAGAAGAAAGACAGCGGGCGCCTTGAAGTCCTCGGGAACACCCAGTCGGCCAAGAAGCGCTCCAGCCATCCATGTCTTTTCCACCTCGGGGTTCTCTACGAGTAGTTGATCCGTCATCGCCGTCCGAATATACTGCCGATGAGAATCGTTAGTAAATCATGACTGCTTAGCAGAACTTGGCGCAACCCAAGTCAGAGTCGACTTACACCGGGAGACAAGGTGTTTACACGGATGCCGTATTGCCCCCATTCCTGAGCAACAGAGCGGCACAACTGCTGCACCGCAGCCTTGCTTGAGTTGTATGCAGTGCAGCTGAGGCCCTGCAAGACGCGAAAATGACTATTAGCGTGATATACATCTTAGGTGTGATGATGCTCGTTCTGCACTTACCCGGTTTGCAATATTACCAGACATGCTGGAAATAATGACAATACTGCCCGGCCGACGGCTCTCCTTGAGCACCCTGGCGGTGTACTTGCAGGTATTGAAAACCCCAGTCACGTTGACGCGCAGGATCCTGTCAAAATCGGCAGCAGGATATTCCAAAGCGGGGAGCTGCTGCTGAATGCCTGCGCAGGCGATGCAACCCCAGAAGACCGAGCCCCGCGCGTCCCCAGCAGCGGCGACGGCCTCAATCACCTCGGCGATCTCCTGTTCGTTGGTTACATCGCATTTGTGGTATGTAACCTGGAGGCTGTTGGCAATGGCGAGTTTCTGGAGAGTCGCCCACTCGTTGGCGGCTGGAGCGTCGAGAATGTCGAGGCATGCCACGCTTCCACCGGCCTCGACTACCGCGAGAGCGAGGGTGAGGCCCAGGCCACGGCCACCACCGGTGATAGCAACAGTCTTATCTGCAAGCGAAAAGAGGGTAGGAGTGGTGGTTCTGGAGCCTGAAGTAGGTGCAGCCTCAGGGGCCGGGTCGTTTGGGAGAACGTCGATGTCGGAGACTACTGCTGGGGCCATGGCGAAGGAATCTGACTGAGCAAGAGGAGCAAAGTGTAAAATAAAATCAAAACCGTGTAATAGAGAGCAGAGTTCTAAGTAATTCCCGGTTTATGTTTGATGAAAGGAGCTCAAAGCTGTTCTCGATGCTGCATATCCTTGGATTTGGGAGAAGACGGCCCCCGGCTGGACATGCTCATTCTGCAGCTTGCATTCCTGCAACGGATCACCTGAGCTGAGAAATATCAACAAAGTTTGTATTATATCAGGGAGGGGAAGGGAGCATATGGCAGGACGCGACAGGTAGAATTGGAAGCGACTCCGTACGTGTGCATCCGGAAGATTATGCTGACAAACTAAAAAGAGCAGGTGGAAGCGCAACAAGAGGACGGGAGGAGGCCATTGGCAAATTACTCCCGAGTTTTCTCTTAGAGCTCAAAATAAATTCACCGGTCAGCCAACTAGCACCATCCACATGTGTGGTCGGTAACTGCAACGAGTCAGCTGTTCACGTTGTGGAGTGGTGGAGTCCGCTTGGGATTTCCCTCCACAGCAATGTCTCCCTCGTGACCCAGCAACTGTATTCTGAGAGACTGGCCCCAATAAACTTGGCTCAGACTTGAGGATGGGTTAAAAAGCTCCATATATTAATATCGAGATCAGCTATATCTCGAGGAAAGGGTCTCTTGCTATCCTCGGAGGTTAACCCCGCGAACTCCGAAACTGTCAGTCTGAACATCTACGAGCAACCTATACCAGACAGGTAGTCAGCCTAAACGAATATTAAATCTAAGCCTTCTGTGTTCATGGAGGAGAAAGCTTCAAGTAATTATCACCCTCTCAGACCTATAGAAAAAGGGAGAAAACGGTAGGGAAAGTACAGACAATGGTGAAATGAGAGTTTCGATTTAATGTGTCAGTTTGAGTCATCAAACCATCTAGCTCTCACTAAGGAGGTGGTATCAATGTTCACTCATACTAATGAGGACGGCCCGAGTATGAAGCATTGTATCTCGTGATAATACAGGCGGCGGGCCATTTTTATGATGTCACTTGAGTCAAGGGCGTTTTCCTTTTTGGCCTTATAGGACTTGAATGTGATTATTGTAAGAAGATTTAATTTAATTTCGAAAACAATTTCATCATTACGTGGATCTTACACTCGCAGGCATTCCTAGTTGCCATCTCTGGATTTGTAATCTAGAACTTGAAGTTGGGATGAAACCAGGACTGTCAAGAGGCTGTGCAAATCACGGTTAGTCAAGACGGGAATGATAAAGTTGAGGCGAAACTTGAGCACACACTCGCGACAATGATTGCATCAGAGATGACAGGCCATGAGCCGGGCGGGAAGCTGATTAAAATCCGGGTTTGTTAAGTTTCCCGCTCTCGTTTTTGGCGCGCGATGATTTTTGATCGGCAAATTTATCCAGGATTACTAGTTTGCATGTATGTGATCGCAAGTTTGGACCATTTATGTATTCGCTGGACGGACTCCAACCTAACTTGGTCTTGATATCACCGATTCTAGCGATCGCCGAGTGTTTGAGACGCTGGCTTGATGAAGAAGCACCAAATCGCTGAAATATTCCTTAGGATGACCACGAGTTGTGAGATGACAAGTAGGACGCGGTGACAAAAACGACGGACGGTTTTCCCTCATGTATGCCGCTTACATGACTCTGTTGCGCCATTTTGGCATCTCCAGCTGAAATTCATGATAACTGACTGCCTAATGTATGACTACCTACCCTGTCAATATTGGCTGGTCTCCTTTATCCTAACCAATGGAAGAATCGCAGACTGTGGTTGAGATCGATCATGTGTCATGTTGGCATCTAAAAACTTTGGGAACACGAAGGTAGGTAAGCGGGAGAGGATATTGTTTCTATATTGGGCTGTCCTAGGATTGTTACAACGAGCCTCGGGTAGTGGGAAACCTGCAATTACCGGTAGTAGCACCACGTAGTGTGCAGGCCTGGGAATACGACCTTCCATATCAAGGACGCATCGCTCCAGTTAGGGCGACAGATCGTAAAATAATCGTGGTGGCAGAGCTGGATCATACCCTGACTGAATTGAAGGTCCGAATAGTACGGCAAAGAACACACCACCCTTGGTCGCATGGTAAAGTGAAAGCCCCCCAAGTTAAGCCAACCTGTGCGGCAGGGTGGCCTAACATGGTTTCTGATTTGTAGTCACCTCTTAGTCTGATGGGGTTCGGGTTTCAACACCTTCCGTAACCGATGACTACCAGCTCCTGTTTCCGTGATTCGAAGGCAGAGCGCTAAAAATCAGATGGCTATACTGAAAAAGGTAACCGTTGCACATGCATAAGACGCATTAAGAAAGGAGGAATGTAAGCCATCTGACACACTGCAGGTTGCAACGTATGTTTCGATAATGCCCTTGAGGCAATCGGTGGTCTGCAGCGAGACTACGTTTGGCGAATACTTGAGGTTCAGCTCTAGATAATATTTGGAATCGAATGGCGTTCTCAAGTCGGGTGTTCAATTCCCGTTAAGAGGCCCTCATTTCTAGAAACCTTTACAGAGGGAGGCGTTGAGCGGAGCTTTCATTGGTTGAAGAACGAACACAAACAATGATCAGAAGCAGGGCTATTCCATCACCTGATCCACCATCCGTCCCATCTGACCCCGCGTTTCAAATTTGGCGATTTGGCAAAACCTGATGTGTTGTGGCCAATCGACTAGCGCCCTCTGAGCGGAATCTGCAGGTGGCAATGGCATTGGAGGGAATCCCTAATAACTGCGGCTTGGCGGCTCGGTAGTTGCATTGAAAATCAGTGTTTCTTTCGGGCCGAGACTACAGGGATAGACCCAGGGGGGTTGGTGTCTTTTGTTCGGTGGGTTTGCCTGGTAATGTGCATGTGCTGTTTGGGTCTGTTGCTCATATAAATGAGAGGCAAACCTTTCATCGGCCTCAGCTAGTTTCGCTGGGCAGTGGCAAACCCAACAAAAGCCAGATCACGTACCTGAAATACCAGAAAACTCTTGGCTGAACTCTTCACAATGTTGTTCAAGCCTGCGTTCCTGGGGCTTCTTGCCACAGCGAACTTTGTTCATGGCGCTGCCATTGCTCATGCTGAAGAGCAGACTTCCCTTGAGAAGCGTGCCGCAGCTGCAGATCGGTTGGTCTTTTGCCATTTTATGGTTGGTTCTTCCATCAGCAAACCCTTTATGAGTCTCAAAAACTGCTAGCTAACTACTCCATGCTAGATTGGTATCGTTGGGAACCGCAACAGCCCTTCGCAATACGATGATGATATGCGTCGTGCAAAGGCTGCAGGTATTGATGCGTTTGCACTCAATATTGGGGTGGACGGATATACCGACGCCCAGCTAGACTTGGCCTACAAGTCAGCAGCTGACAATGACATGAAGGTGTTCATCTCTTTTGATTTCAACTGGTTCAAAACCGGAGAAGCAGCTACTGTCGGTCAGAAGATTGCCAAATACGCAGGTCAGGCAGCTCAGCTGAAAGTAGACAATCGAGTCTTTGCATCCTCCTTTGCTGGAGATGGACTTGATGTTGCTGCTATGAAGAGTGCTGCCGGTGTTGACGTGTTTTTCGTTCCCAATTTCCACCCCGAACAAACAGCAAATCCTGCTAGCATTGATGGGGGCTTCAACTGGATGGTACGTCCCCCACAATCTGCATAATTCAACTGCACAGAACTGATCTCAGAGTCTAGGCATGGCCTAATGATGGGAACAACAAAGCCCCTAAGCCCGGAAGCTCAATTAGCGTTGAAGACGGTGACAATAAGTATCTCAGCTGGCTTGGCACTAAACCTTACATGGCTCGTAAGTACGATTGTCGATCATTTTTTCCAACGCAAGTAACAAGTTGTAGCTATTTCTCCCTGGTTCTTCACCCATTTTGGACCTGTAAGTCGTCAAATACCATCACGCAAGTCCAGTCAGTCTCTAAAATGGAAATATAGGAAGTCTCCTTCAGCAAAAATTGGGTCTTTCCCGGCGGTGCCTTAATTTTCGATCGCTGGAAGGAAATTCTTGACAAAGGCTTTCCTCTGGTCGAGATGATTACCTGGAACGACTACGGCGAGTCTCATCATTTCGGACCCCTTAAGTCGCCGCATTATGATGATGGCAACTCCAAGTGGACCAACGATCTGTAAGTTGGATTGTTGCAAGATGAAGTCCGCCATCCAACTAATTCTTTACCCAGGCCACACAATGGGTGGCTGGAGCTTTCCAAGCCCTTCATCGCCGCCTATAAAGCAAAGGAGAAGAGCGTGGATAAGTATATCAGCGGCGATCAAATCATCTACTGGTATCGTCGAACCTTAAAAGGTCTAGATTGCGATGCTACCGATACTACTGCCGGTAGGCCAGCCAACAATGATAGTGGTAACTACTTTATGGGTCGCCCTGACGGGTGGGAGTCAATGGATGACGTGGTATATGTTGCCACGTTGCTCAAAGAGGCCGGCACGCTTACCGTCAACTCTGGTGGTCAATCAGTCGAGAAAGAAGTTCCTGCCGGGGCCAACTTGATCCAAGTTCCCGCTGTTGTCGGGTCGCAAACGTTCAGTCTATCCCGAAACGGCAAAGTTGTTCTCCAGGATAAGTCACTGATGGACATCTCTAACATCTGCCCCTGTGGCTTGTACAACTTCAATCCCTATGTAGGTACTGTTCCTGCTGGTGAGAGCGATCCTCTCCAACCTGATGGTCTCGCTTCTCTCACCATCGGCCTTCACGTCTCTACTTGCCAAGCGACACCATCTCTCGGCACGAATCCCCCGGTTTCGACCACAGGGGGCTCTCCGAGCTCAACCACGGGAACCTCTCCACCTCCATCTACCACGGCCGGCCCTACATCCACGACCGGCACAGTTCCATCGCAGTCCTCATCACTACCCGGGCCTACAAGCACAGGCTCCAGTCGTAAGTCTACATCTCACAATCTACCCCTGAAAAGGCGGATCAACAAATTAATACCTATAATAGAACCCTGCAATGGCGGCACGAACGCTGATGGTGAGTCGGGCAACTATTCTGGTCTGTGTAGCTTTGCCTGCAGTTACGGATACTGTCCTCCTGGTCCGTGCAAGTGCACTTCGAATGGAACACCTGGAAATCCTCCCTCGGGAGATGGAAGGAACGGATGTCCTGCGGATGGCCTGGGTGATGGATACAAAGGGCTGTGTAGCTTCGCTTGTAGTCATGGCTACTGCCCCGACACTGCATGTAAATACTGTTGATAACGCCTTACGATAGGTGGCCTCAACCATGTGCTAGCTAGAAAGCATTCTCGCTGGACAATCTGGAATTGAAGGAATTGAACACCGCTTTTACATTTTTGCCTCCATCATTGCAGATAACCAACGCATGTTTCTTGTGAGCGCTTTTCCGTGCATCAATATTTCGTCATCCGGCTCTTTATTGATTTCAACTAAGCTACCAGTTCCAGGTCAAGTACGAATGAGGATATACAGTTGTTCTCTAGGAGCACGAGACGGGGCTATTCTGACAGCTATAGACCTTGGTGCCTCCAGTAATCACAACATTAGACCAAGTCCAGCCGGAGCAAGAGCCACTACCACAGACCACGACGACATTGTATCCTCCAGAAGCGACACCTCCGCCTCCAGTGATGTTCTCCACCGTTAGACCAGTAATGGGAACGCCGGTTGTGGGATCGCCGTGAAGATCTCCTCCGTTGTAATTCTGCTCGATAAGAACACCATACCTGTGATTCACATGAATGAAATTCTTTTTATATCTCCACAGAGTGGCAATTGAGACTCTATAGCGAGCGAGGTATGACTTACTTCGTGATGTTTTTCAACGTGAGTCCCGAGTATGTGACACCAGTAACGGAACCTGTTGCGCCTGCGACAGTCTTAACACGGATAGCTGTTTGCAGGTCAGCTTGAGATCAGCCAAAAGGCCGGTTCGATATGCTGGATTTTACCTTGGACGGAATTTTGAACAGTGCTATCTTTGAAGGTAACATTGGAAACAATATTGTTAGTACGACCACCAACGCTGCCAATTGACAGACCGTGTCCACCGGAACAGAGGCCGCCCGAAAAGATGATATTCTACAGGGTCATCAAGTCAGAAATGGTCCGTATTTTTGAAGCAGTTGAAAGTCATTACTCACGCTTCCAGAGTTGACTGCCACACAATCATCTTGGTTGTAAACCTGAGCGCCAGTGATTGTAACTCCTGTACTGTCCCCGATATCAAAAGCGTCCGTGTTCTTACCGCCGCCACTATCACCAGCCGCATTGTCTATTATCATGTTGGCGATAGTCAGGCCATTCACACCATTAATGCTGAGTGCCTGGACAGGAGTATTGGTGATGTGAATGTTGTTGATGGCAGAGTTGGTGAGTTTGTGCGCGGCGAAGAACTTCGGCTTTGTCTTACCGCCGCTGCCACCGCTTCCATCCCACCAACGAGCTCCATCGGGATTCAACACTGCGCCAGAGGCTCCTTCTACGGTGATGCTGTTTCCTTGAATCTGTAATAGAGGGCCGGACCATTCGGAGTAGCCCCAAGTTGTGGTGCCCTGAAAGATGACCTGGTGATTTCGGATATTAGTTCAAAGACTGAAGATGTGGTTGCCACAGATACACACATGTGTGCCATCGTTTAAGTCGCTTAGATCAAGAGTTGTCCCTGACGGAACAGCAACATTAGAGAGCACGATAGTAGCGCAGGACGCCTGCGACTTGCTTGCGCTAGCTGCCCCGGAGGATCCGGAGAAGGTGCAAGTAGTCGCTCGCTCTTCAAGGTCAGGAGCCTGAGTAACAACTGGGGGCGATGGGCTGGCGATAATGCCAGTAGCCGCAACGGCGAGTAGGTAAACAGCAGCGAATCCAGCCATTATGACTATTGGCGTGTAGAGAGAAGGCCTTGCTTGTGCTGAGATGAGAGGATTGAAGGCCTTTACTGGCTTTATATAGTTTTTCTCTTAACTGTATACTAATACGATTTCGGTTCAATCTGACTCTTGAAAGTTGTATACCTAACTCATCTGTTTGAAAGATTGAAACACTTGCCGAACAGCCGGATTCCGAAGCAGCACAGGGCTCTTTTGCTGTAAACGGAGCACTTCATTCCACATACCCTTTTGAGTGCTTCCAAACCAGAATGTAAGTCATAAAAGAGTTGGTTTTAAAGGCTATGTCGTGTGCCGTCTGAGCCGAGAGAAGGAGGGCAATTTCGAACATCGTGTTTTACCTATGTCATTTGTCCATGCCGACCGGACCGAGCGCAGTAATTTTGCCGCCAATTGATGACTCTCTAAACGCCCAAGTGTTTCCTTCCCTTCTCTTTTTTTTATTTCCGTCAGGAAGAATACACTTCCCCGAATTGTAGCAGTCTGTACTGCCTAACATCGATAATACATTCTACATCGCCCACAAATTTTTGGATGACGCAAAGTTCCGCAGAAATCCCATGTCGACCGCTAAGCAGCATGAGTTGTAACAAGCCTTCAACGGAAGATGACATGAGAGATTTAGATGACATAGGATGAATAAGTACTAGGCATTGCGCGCTTGCATAACTGCAAGAGGCATTGCATTATATACCCCTGCTCTAGTTCCTCTCACACGCCAGTTTTCGTGACACGCTGTTCCGTTAACACATCATATCCACGCGCATTTTATTCTATAGAGGAGTGACAAAATATAAAATTGGCTTGACGGTTTTCTGAGAGCGCTACTTGGGTCTCACTCAGACATCCGTACGCAACTTTATATATACACTGTGAAGAAGAAGCTATGTTTAGAAAGAGAAGAAAATGAATGCTGGTACATATAGCCCAGGCCATTCTAAGCCGTATTTGCGAATTTGATTCCCTCAGAGTATTCTGTCTTAAGAATATTCATTTGCTTCAGGCTGGTAGCGGGAGTTTTGTTCGCGTACATGAAGATATCGGAAAATGTCACGCCGCTCAGCTTGACTGAGCTGTTGAACCCCTGGGCGTAACCTTCACGGCTGCCCTGTTTACGAGCACGGATATTCTTAACAAGAACATCTGTGACAGGTCCAACTCCGCGCTTGGCTGTACCATTGATGAAGAGAGCGATCCACGAGGCCACGCCTCCACTGTTCCCATGCTGATCCTCGACGTCAATATTGTCAAACGTGATGCGGCTCGCCGTCGCCCAACCGTACAGATGATGGATTCCTATCCCAACGCCAGCGTTATACACAACGCTGTTTTTGAATGTTACATTGTCTTGATTTTCCACGACACCCTGTCCGACTTTGTATCCGTAACAGTTTGTCCATGCCAAGCAGCCGTCGAAGACAATGTCTTGGTTGGGCAGAGGCTTGTGCGGGTAATGGAGTGCCACCTCGTTGTCAGCCTCCCAAGTTTTGGCTGAATAACTATCATCGTTGCCAATGGCAATGGAGCGCTTGATGGTGATCCCCTTTGACTCCACTACATCAACCCCGTCGTTTTGGGTCACATCCTTCCGGTTAAGGATCTTGAGGTTGGTGAGGTATGCATCCTCGGATTGGGTTGGAACTACCGTCCAGAATGAGCCATCCCGAATCAATGGCCCATCGTACTTGAAATTCTTCGTGCCTACTGGCACAACGAGATGCGCCATAGATTTGTACTGTCTGCTGTTGTATCCATTTCCATCAATAGTCCCACGTCCGAAGATCTTGATATCGGTCGAATAGAACTCAGTCTGTAGCCACCATGTACCATCGACCCGACCTACCCCAGTGAAGGGCTTCGAAAAAATCAAGTCATAGTCTGCAATGTTTCCGGTAAAGCGCAGGACGGACCCAGCTGCTAGGTAGAGAGAAGTGTGGTTCCTGAGCACCAGGTTGCCTATTTGATAGACCCCAGGCGGGACATAGACTGTACTACCTGGCCGTTTAGCAGCAGCATCCATAGCAGTTTGAATACCATCGGTGATAGTTTTCCCCGTATTGTCGGCCTTGTAATTGAGCACATTGAATATTCCACATGCTTTGGGTTTGGGAGGGTCTTTTTCAATGTAGTCCACCAAAATAACCATTTCCTTGACCTTATTGATCTTAATGATGAGGTATTGCGGTTTACTAATGGAGAAGCTGAGCTTGTTACCAGCTGTCTTGGCATTGACTTTCAGGGCACGGGGGGATATGATGAGGTCGCTGATCTCCTTCTCGCCGGTAGCTGTGAGACTGAAGGTTGTCGCATGGCCGGCATCCATGGCCAGATGGGCATAATCGTACCCAGCATAGTCGATTGTGTTTATCTCAGTGCTGTTGGCTGACAAAGTAAAGACTTTTGATTCAGAGTAGATCGATGGGCGGGGGTAATTTATTATTTTCGCTTGTGCTGCAAGCACCAAGAACGAAGAAATAACGAGAGCTGTGCGAGCAATCATTACGGGCGTCAGACCATAGTCATAGATAGAAACAATGGGGAGCTTGTTTGGATTCCAAACCCGAACTCAGTCCAGATTATATATGCGTTACGGAAACTCAAGGAGTGTTGCACCTTCACGAGTGGAACACAACCGCTGTTGCATTAGGAAGCCCGTAGGATGACCTTGGACTCTAATCTCAGGCATGGATAACGCATTATTTCAATTTATTGGTGCTTCAAATCATTGGGTGGCACTACTGCCAACTAAAGTACCCAGCTTTTAGCTCTATGTCAGTACTTCTGCTCGTACTTATAATGCCATTCCACCTGAGGATTCAGACAATGGGTTAAAGTTCCATTTTAGACAACCCAAACAGGCTCCAGCCGAGACAGGGAAAACAGGTGGATAATAAAGGTGGTTCATTGCCGAGACTGCAAGTCGATAAAAATAGGTAGGTCGCTTAAACATCAATTCTAAATCACGCATTGCTAAATTACGAAGGCCAATTCAAGTGAAGCCACCCCAAGAAGCCCTCCCCAATGTTGGAAGGTCGTCGAAGTCTGGAGCCCACCATAATATTTTCGCCTCGCTTCCTATCCCCCCTCGTTTCCATTTCCCAATACATAAACCGTTGGCTCAAAGAAAAAGAACTTGGTGCAGGACGTAATCTTTATTCTTTAGAAAAACTCATTTTTCTGTTGGCAACTCTTATTGACGTACCAACTGTGCAATGAATTGTAACCTTTGGAGCGAGAAGAATGATCCGACCGTCAACTGTCAGAATGTGTACTTTCGACCGCCTCACTCATCGTATGTTGTTGCGTCTGACTACCCCAAGGGGGGTTCATATACATTTCCGTGCAGTATCTACTCAAAGAAAGGAGAGAACATTTATGAAAAGAGGGGTGTTGCATCAAGGTATCGCATTTCTATTTCTCATGTGCGGTCATCACTCGTCGGTCAGATTTCCCCGTTGTAACTTTCACGTCTCTGTTACAGGCGTCCATCCGGCCAGAGGTGTGTTGGAAGGAATCGTGAACGAAGATAACCTTGAATCAACAACTCATCGAGTTTTTCTTGAGGACATTTGTTCACCTAAAGTAAAGCTCGAATAAATTGCGAGGAGTGTTGTACTACCTCCGAAAGGCTTGACGACAGTCACAGTGAACTATTTCTTATCACTCGCCGCATCAATGACCTTGGTGTGACAATGCCACCAGTGAAGATTAGCGAGTCAACCTTCATTCAAGAGGAGCTGCCTGTTGCTACTTTACTACCCTTTCGCCAGAGTTTAGGTAGCATTGGTCAGCTGTATCACTTAGATATTAATTCCAACCATACTTTTCTGGCTATTATATTAAGCTTATTATGAACAAAAAGAGCTTTCACCACCTCCACCACCTCGGCTTTCGCTCGGCTCAGAGGGAGGCTAGTTTTCAGCTGATACAGTAAGTACACAGTGCGCTTGAGGCTCATCCCTTTCCACGATGCATGCCATAGATTACTACGCAGCAAAGTGAAGCGCTAGAGAGTTCAGGGCGGTGAACCACACAGTGCGTACGGCCGAGCGATGAAAAGCTACCAGAAACGAAATTAACCTCAGCTGCATGAGTGCTCCCTCGAACTTGGAGTTGCATTAATATCAAGTAGCAGCGAAAGACCGTGGGTGGCTCTGTGGCCCTGCAGAACAGGAAATCGACACATAGCGCAATGGCCACCATCCTAACCATTCCACCTGAGGTGGTGATGAATATCCTCAAACACCTCGACCCCTTTAGCCTCGAGTCCGTGGCCAAAACGCTCATTTCGCGCCTGTACCACCCTGCTACTCAGCTTCTTGCACCCCGCAAAGGATGGATGGAAAATGCTCGGGCTATGTGCAAACTCTTCAATCCGCGTGGAAGCCGTGGAGTACTACCGTCCTACCCCGGGTACCTCCCTGTTCTGGCCGACCATCATCTAGTACGCGATGAGATCCCAAGGCGAGACTATCAAGCCCTCGGTCTAGATCAAGAAGGGGGTCCCTACGTGCGCAGCTCACCTCCAGATTTTCAAAGCTGGATAGCCCTTGACGGGACGTTTAGCTGGCTGCAGTCGCTTGAGAAGAAAATCGCCGACGAAATGGAGCCACACATTGGGCGCGAAGGGGACCGACCTGTTGCCACCAAAGCTCATATTGAGAGCCTCATTGCCAAGGCTGAAGAGCTCGGACTGAAGCTGCCAGCGGGTTTCGAAGCATTCATGGCGGATGATCGCTTACATCATCGCATACCGAGCTACTCTGCTTGGTATTTCAAGCTTTCGAAGTTGGTCAGGTGCCCGTCCTCTGTGGACAACGGGGGTGGGGGCTACGTTGTGCGCTTCTATTGGGACCAACAAGCCTGTGCTTTTGCCTACTTGTATCTCAGTCAATCTGGCCATCATTGTATCTTGATGTCAATGTTGGATCTGTACGAGGAAATGGAGCTGGATGAGGAAGAAATAGAGGATGGCCATGACGGAAACGGAGACGTAGACAAGGACGATATTTTTATGGTGGCCCTGACTTTTGAAGAATATTTAGCCATGGTATACTATGAAGAGCTTCTGGAATTCCGATCCAAGCCATTCAAGGGGCTATGCAAATATGTTCAGCATACGTACATAGCTCCCACCAAGTAGAGACAGGCCATTGTCATAGTGAGTAACAAGCCGTACTTATTCATCTCTCAGGCTATTAAGATTTACGTTCTCATATGTCTATATCAGTGTCTATAGGAGGGCTTCTATTGGTTTCATATATTCAAACTGTGAGAGGCCACGTCAGTAAGATTCTAGGACAAGACTAAAGGAAGGTCCGATTTGGGAAATATGGTATTTCTCCTTTTTCAAGCGTGTCTGTAGATTAGTCACTGCCGCAAAAGATATATTGATTTTATAATATTTCTTTTATTTTGAAATACATCGCATTCATCTCATTCATCCGCTCCATGGCGAGATTTTGATATGTTGTAGTGGATATGAAAGCCCTCATCTGCTGCATACACAGATCGCCTCTAGGCATCAGAGTTACAAATAATCGCTATTAGTCTATTGGCGCTGAGTGTTAATGAAAATTCTTTTCGGTGAAAAACAGAGGCATACTCACTTTCAACATTCAGTGAAAGAAACAAGCGTTTTAGTCGCCCCAAGGGTAAGGCCCCCACATGAAATATTGCATACTCTTCCAAACGACCATGATCAACGCCCTAATGATTTTCGAGGAGTTGGTTTACAAATACAAACAAATTACTCACCTTCACCCTCACAGAGATAAGATCCACACACGGATTCTCGCTTGTTGTAGTGCATTGGCATCTAAAGATAGCGCCACAAAGTCGGCAAGGCATTCTCATGGAGAGATACAAAGTGGCTAATTCGTAAATTTCGAGAAAAGAGATCGGGCTCACGGGCAAATTTCAATACGTCATAAACTTGTCGTCATGAAATCGTTCAATCTACTAACATGAATGAAAAGAAATAAGAAATAAAAAATAAAAATCTGCCACAGACAAACAACTTCGCTATTACATGCTATTTATAGATTACTCATCGCGGTGGCGCCCGTCGTAGATTCCTAGTTCTTTTCAAAGAATGTAATGATCAGTGATTTCGTGAAAATAAATTTCAAATGGCAATCCTCAAAATACATCCCATTGAGATAGGAATGGGCTAATCCATCTACGCTCCAGAGACGCCACAACCTCCCACTGCCTTTGAGCCGGGGGCGTATTATTACCAATGGCAAGCCGAAAAAGGTTTAGGTTCATGTAGGCGGTTCGAGGAGATCAACTCTCTTTTCGGAATCACGGCTTTCCTCTGGTCCATCAGGATTACTATGACTTTATACCCAAGGCCAGGAAAAGTTTTAATTTGATATGCAGAAACTGCTTCTAGGCTTTAGAATTGACATTTCCAATCAAGCAAAACTCTAGTCCCCGCCAGATTAGCTAGTCAGAGCAGAATGCCTGAGATGATGGGCCGTGGCATCAAGGTGTAGGGTAGCCATAGTCGGCTGCCATCGAGATCCCGGGTCCCGTTGACCGGTTTTGCGCGTCCGACACGAGTAACTCCACGGAATTTCTTCACAGCAACAGAAGTTATTGGGGCAATCAGCGTTACTGACGGACCACCGAACCTCTTTAAAGGCTCACCACCATCGTAATGAAAAGGGGAAGGGCAGACAGCTACTAGCAACCAACTTTGAGGTATCTCGCCTTTTGGAGGAAGCTTCGATTGTAACTCTGTGGCCTATGCTTGCTTTTTCATCGTTTGCAGGATAACTAATCCGCGGCTATGGCGGTTTTACTAGTATGCAGGTTTTGGCTGGACCCCTGAAGCTTACGGACGGGGCTGAATCCACACCTCGTCCAATTGTTGTATGTCTGCCTGGACTCTCCTTCTCCCATCCTTGCATCCCACATGTGTCGTCTCTTGCTCTCCTGGGAAAGATAGCCCGCGGAGTAGATGTGAAGAGAGATATTGTCTGATAAAGTGTCCGATTATGCACTTGCTTGTTGATGAAAGTAGCAGAAGCATGTTCCGGTTCAGTGCGTGTACGTAAGAGAGCAGGGGAAATACTCCGCCCCTTGGCGACTGCCATAGTCTGGAATACCATCCGTGTTTTGACAGGCATCTTATTAGGCGGCGCATATCGAAGCTTTGGTTCTAATAAGCGAAATGAATGGTACTGCCTTGTCCCAGTCTGCGCACCGGAAATCTTTTTGTTGTTCCCGACAGGGTTGTGATATTGTTTACCACTGGGCCTTCGAAGGCCCTCTACAAGAAGATTCTGTCATTTAGCATTCTCATTAGGGATAAGATCGTATTTCACGTATTCTCAAATAGAACAGAATCGTTATTTAGATTTCTGATTCAATGTCCCTGACAAGCTTAACCGCCTTACGACAGATATATATACATACGATGACTAGATTTAAAGGCTCTCGACAAGCTGAACAGCTTGGTGGTCCTCGATTCCCGCAACAAAACGTGTGATCAGGATGCGGAGAACCTCGATCGGCTGCATCTGGGTCGTGGCGAGAACCATGCCAAAGCCAGCGAGCTGAGATTTCCTGAACTCGATCATGACATCCTCCTCGTCACGAGAGAGCTTGGGGCCGCCATGCTTGTGCAACTCCTCAAAATAGTGGTCAAGCAATTCATTTTCGTGGGCACGGCGAACTTCAATGTCCATGGCCGAGTTCATAAAGTAGGCCACGTCATGGAAGCAGGAGCCACCACCAATCAACTGCCAGTCAATGAAAGCGGCAGTCCCCTCGGCGGAAATGGTGGTGTTATTTACATGGCAATCACCATGGATGAGACTCTTAAACTTGGGGTTGCGCGCCGCGAAATACTTCTTGATGAAGGCCTCGACTCGATCCTGCTTTTGTAGATGCTCGGGTAGTTGGGGACGCTCGGGGTCGAGGACGAACTCGTTGTAATTAATTGCTGGAATCATACCCAGAACAGACTGGTCATAATGAGGACTGAGCCAAGAGTACTCTTCTTGACCCTGGCCCCATGTGGTAGCATGGAGGATGGCGAGTTGACCGAGACCACTCTTCACCAGGTCTGGGCCCCATGGCTCTGTGACTGTGCCAAACTTCAGGTTCTTCTTGCGAAGGTCCTCCATGATGACAATGCCCTGAAGGTCGTTTTCTCCAGCCCACCAGCAGCGAACCAGGTCCATCTTGGCAACTTTAGGTGCAACGTCATTGAAAAATAGAACTTCACGACGGAAGAGGTCGGTGAGGAGTAGGCGGATGGACGGAGTCAGTCCCGGGTTGATGCCTCCCTTGACACAAATAAACTCGGGCTTCTCGACTGCCCCCTCCGATTCCTCATAGGTAAGGGTAAAAAAGAGTTTGCTGGCGGTGCCGTGGATCGCATGTGTCAGCTCGGCAGTCTTGATCTTAAGGCCAAGCACCTCGGTGAGCCATGCCTGGGTGACATCGTCAGGGACAAGAGGGAGATTCTTCGTGGAAGCCATAGTGTCGGGAATGTTTATGCACGTCTTGTTTCGTTTAAGCATGCAGGAATGGTACTTCACAAAGTAGGATTGGGGGCAAGATCAGCTTCTTAAAGAAACCGCCAGGAATATCCCAGGCAAGCATTTCATTTCGGGTGCAGCTAAGCGGATCATGGCTTCATCCTAAGAGACTCACGAGTGTTGCTTGTCCTGAATTTGATATCACCGCGCAGGGGGCATGGGGGTTTTAACACATTAGTGGCGCTGGCCAGGTTCATCATTGTCTAAAATTGCATGGTACAGCTGCTAGTGTGGGGAGGTTTTGCCCTCTCCTATCCAAAGTTCTTTGATGGATTTCTACCTAGACGTCTAATACTCGGACAGAGGCCCGGGCAGGACCGCAAGGCATGTGCCATGACCCATCCGCAAGGCTTGCAAGGCAGCGGGATGGATCATGGTGCCATGAGGGTGGTGAGACACGGAGGCGGAGGCCAAGGTTCGCACGGACCGTACCTAAGCGCGGGAAGTTCCCATTGGTCTTTAAACGGACAATGCCTGCTCGCGCTATGTCGTTGTATCCGGGAAGATGTGTCGAGGTTTTTGCCAAAGACATGGCACAACGGCACCCGTTCCTCAACCCTTGACCCTTGGAGGAACGAGGTATGCTTCCCATCTTGGTACCGTCTTAAGCCCTCTGAACGCAAACTGGCTTCAAAGGAGACGATCCACTTTCAACGAGCTTGACACGCACGCACGCACGGGCCGCTTCAGCCATTGAGACCGTATGACTGCCCTCTCTCTCGTTAGGTTTATTAGCATCCGACTCGCTGTCGACAACAACTCCCCATCTTTGCCCGTTTCAATGGAAACGTTTACGAAGCCCTTTTCCGCCCCACCCTCGAAGGCCAAGGCAGGAAGACGTTGAAGCTTGTCTCGGTCTTTTGCCGTTTCTACATCGTCGCCCACAATGTCGTCCGCGGAAATCGAGGTTCCCATTACCTGCAGTCCGCTGCCATGGAAATCCAACGTGCTGGCGTTCATGCTCATCAACGGCGTCATCTCCTTGTTCATGGCCTTGTCTGTCGTCGGGCGCATATATGCCAGAATTACTGGAGCAGGGCTGGCCAACGACGATTGGTTTGCCATTTTCGCTGCTGTACGGATCCTGAAATACCCCGTATATTTTTCCGACATGCTAATTAACTGCTGCAGATTCTCAACATACCGTTGCTAACCTTTCAGGGAACCTGTAGGTTTACCCACGTTGGACCCAAGTAAACTGTTGGACCATCTCGTTGCTAACGGCCGGAACAGTATCAACTTGTGGCTCGGGCTATCCTCTGAAAGACACCATACACAACCTTTCCGTCATCCTTCGCATCGCATTCGCCTATCAGATTACGATAATCGTCACGAATTTCGCCTTGAAGATGAGCGTGCTGTTCTTCTATACCCGAGTCTTTAAGGTCCGGTCAGTCAAACTAGCGTCTCACTGCACTATGGTTCTGATAGGAGTGTGGCTTGTCACTTTCGTCTTTGCGGTGGTTTTCTCCTGCAAACCAGTTAAGGCGTCATGGGACTTGGCCGCGCAAGCAGCGGGCGCCACATGCATTCAGCAAACCAAGATGCTCGTGGCCATGATCTTCTCCAACGCCATCATGGACCTGATGGTGATGGCCATTCCTATTCGAAGTAAGTCTGAAGGGTAATTGATATCGACACTATATGGACAATGATGATCTAACCTTTCGACTCATTTAGGTATCCTTAAGCTTCAGATGAGGCGGACAGACAAGCTCGGTGTCTTGGGTTGTATCCTGCTGGGTGAGATGTAAGTCGCTTACTCTTGAGTTCCTGAAACTCTGTACTAGTGGTTGATTGTATGATTCTAATTGCTTATCAACAACACACAGTGCGACCGTTACTTCGTTCTTCCGAGGCGTATACGTTTCCACCGTCGACTTTTCTGATATAACCGGTACAATGGCCGTCAGCAGTTTTGTGTCCGTCCTAGAGACTCTTCTTGCTGTCCTTTGCATCTGCCTGCCCACGATCCGGCCTCTATGGCGCCGCTACAGAGGAGACCCATCCAGCAGTGCTGGAACGATGAAATTGACGGGCGAAATGTCAGGCAGCCACGGTCCAAGGGATGGGCAGATCAAAGTCACAAGAGACATGCATATAGATCATCAGGGACGAGATCTTGAGCTCCACGACATGGCAACTGGTGGAAGGGACCATACCCTCTTTGACGAGTCAAGCTCAGAGAAGAATTTGACAACCACTGTCACAGGCAAGAAAAGTAAGTGGTCCTCGAAATGAGTTGGCCCCCCTATAAACAGGTCTCTTTATTTGGTTGGAGCGAATTGGATGCATGGAAGACGCGTGTACGTAGTACAGTAACTTATTGTGACATTGCTAGCTGGTCCTAGGGATGGAAATGAAGACGTAATAAAAGGATGTATAAATAGCAATATACACTTTATATAATTAAAAAAACAAGGATAAAAAAATAACTCATATAGAAATAAGCAATAAGTTAATTGAAAGACTTGAAGGTTGACTGCCCTACTTTGCCATATGATTGGGTGTCAGCCATCAGGCTTCCAGCATGGATGATTACTTAGTCACTCAAGGCTTGATTAACGTCGACAAGGCAGATAAACAGAAAGCCACATGCCCCGCTTCGAGATGACTGGTCCCATCTTGGGCGCTTGGATTCAAAACTTGGCTGAGGTTTCATGCTAAGTTGATTGATGCACGGTTATGACTGCATAATATTATCATCTTAAACTTACTGTATCATGGAAGCGCTGAGGATTGCAGCGAATCTCGTCGCCGTTGTCGACATTTCCTTCAAGGCTGTTGGATGGTTACTATTGATGCAAAGCGCTCTGCTTTAAGGAGAGAAGAAGTGGGTAGGGTGCCAAGGGGCTTAGTTACAGGAGAGGTATGATGGATCGATTCTCAGTGTCACTATATATACTATTTATTCAAGGGATGAATTGCCGGAGTGCATGATCCGCGATGCCGAGGAGGCAGTACGGAGTCTCAGAGCTAAGAATGTATCCACGCGACTCATCAAACCCTTCCAACCCCTGACAAAAACCCAAACTCGCATGGGGTCTGAAAAGTCCACTACTCGCTCCCCCTACAACAATATTAGGTCCCACTAATATCTACAGAGTGAAAACAAATTATTCATGAAAATTAGAAAAAAAAAAAGACTCACACAACGCCGTCTAATCTGCGAGTGTTCTTGAACTAGAAGACAAATGTAACATAACGGCGAAGGAGCGGTTGAGTTTTAATGGCAGTCTAGGCACTGCTACCTAGGACAACCCAGCTCGCTGTCGTTGCCACTCCTTTTCAGCATCCTCAACCCGGCGCTTGGCCGCCAGATCCCAACGAGTTCTGAATATGGTGTCACTTATGCCAGGGCTTCCAAACCCATCCGAGAACGAAACATTGCCTCGCACGTGATGCTGGGCGTGGGATCGATTGTCCAATAACTTGCTCGCGATTGTGGAGAGTGAGGACTGCTCGGAGCCATCGCGGCCAGCCTCCCCACTGGCCCTTAGATTAACGGATAGGTCGTATCCTGAATGCTCATATAAACCGCCGATGGCCCCGAGGCCGGCGACCAAAGAATGAAACGCAGTGCTGGACCCTCCACCTCCAACTAAAGCAAGGGGAACTAGATACGGTAGAACAATCTCAAGGAAGAAGTCCGGCGCAGACATGTAGCACGCGCTGATTGCTTTAGTAGCCCCGGTGGAGTGGTGGACGGAATGTCTCAGGGCCCGCATGAGGAACACGTTCGGTTGGTGCAGCAGGAACCTGTGCGTTATGTACTGGACAATATCATGACCGATAGCCATGCCCACTAGAGACACCAGTAGTTGTGCCCAGTGGTGAGCTTTGATCGCCGGGCCCGTGAAGCACAAGCCCCAGTACTCGGCAGCGAGCATGCTAGGCAGGAGAATGAAAAACTGGTTGAACAGAACATGGCGCATGTAATGTGCGTATGGCTTCCGGTCCACCGCGCGGATCTTGAAGCGCTTTCCTGTCCCAGTCTTGTCAAGCCATTCAAACAGGGCGCTCGTTCCGTGGAAGACAGCCTCTTGTGCGAGCCAGGTGCAAAAGGAAGTTGGGAAACTTCCATTCGCCGCAGCCAGGACCAGGGGCTGGTTATGGGAGCTGGTGTTGTTGCTCATTATGTACTGGTTCTTGAGATGGGATAGTCCGAAGGAGATTGCTGAAAAGTTCACGATTGACCACTCGCTGACGATAGTAGGCGGTTCAAATAAAGATTGCATACTGAATGCGAATAGCAGATCAACATAATCATAGCGTCGAATATCGGCCATATATATACCCTAACTGAAATCCTTATCATCACAACTTGAAGCCAAGTTGACTTGTTCTTCATCATGGATTCTCCATAAGTCCCGAGCCTTCCGCTTATTCTCTACGCAATCACGGCCGTATGTGGGAGTCTTTTGCGATGGAGCAAAGTGGAGCGTATTCGTGTGATTAGATAAAAATAGATCAAGCCCGTAGATTCTACACAAGAAAGCTGGGACATACAGTCAACATGGGCGGCCTATAATGGTTATAAGTATTCAGGACAAAAGTTGTTACATATTCTCTCGACCGACCGGAGGATTCCGGTGGTGTAGGCAAGGGTATCCGGATCCTTAACATCCCTCAGTTTGTCCAACCGGATGACGTCGGATTGTAGACTCCCAAACATTAAGCTGCTTATTTTTAATTCTGCAACTGGCACTGTCAAATTATTGAGTGTAAATGATACATGCTTAAGAGGTAATATAGGGCAGATCACTAGGTTTTTTTTTTAATTCCGTTTTTTTTTTCCGTTTGTACTACTGAAATTTTCTAGTCGTCGTAGAAAGTGGTCTCTTCATAACCACCCTTCTATTGGATGTCTCATTTCTCCGACCACCCGCACCGTTCCAAAGTCTAGCAATCAAATCCTAATGAACTGATAAACGAGATGGGGGAAAAGTGTAAGCTGCACCCTCCATGCTAGTTGAATGAGATCACCACTTAGTAAGACAATTCCCATGCCTCTGGTCCTTCGGATTTGATTATAACGGGTGTAAAACCAGCTTCAGGCGGGCGCTCCTTCTCGACTTCCTCCTCATCCTCATCTTCTGCATACTCTGTGGAGTAACTTGAGTCGCTCACATATCCACCTTCCCCGTCCTCACTCACGCGGGTCGGGTAGTAACCTCTGTCTTCTGCACCCACTGGCCACGTTCCTTGGGTGTACCCGATTGTTTCCGTCCTAAGCATCTGTCTGATCTCCGATAAGGGCCGGTGACCGGGAGGAAAGGGGTCCAGCGTGGGAGGTTTCGAGCCTGGCGGCGATGTAAGAATAGGCGAGACGACGTCGTGCTCGTTCCGCTTGCTCGCTTCCTCCTGGCCCATCGACATTGTGATCAAAGACACAATTTGTCCGACGTCAATTGTCGAAGCACGGCTGCAGCCACTGGACTCTGGTGTTGGAGGGATCTCCAATTGGCTGGCATTAAGATAAGCGCTGCCGAACCCGCTTCCGCAAAAGGAATGACGGTTATGGCGGCGAGACGCATCTGATGCAGCTAGGAAGCCGTTGTTGGTCTTTGAGAACGGATTTAGAGTCGCAGGGTGTGAGGCTGTGAGGCTGGACATGGGGATGTCGGGTAGAGGAGGCGGACAATCACTAATGGCTCTTGGTCGAGTTGGTGGAATAAAGGTGTAATGCGGCGACACAGGGCGCTGTCTGACTTGGACATAGTTGGTATCGATGTATAAATGAGGAACCTGTCGTTTGCCCTGTTGTTGGCTAGCTAGGAACCTATCGTTTACGTTTTAGGATAAGGCACGGAACGGGCGATTTTGCAAACATACAGATTGTCGACTACGGTCCTGGTAGGATCGTCAAGGCCCCAGCTGGTGGGCTTGTGAGTGTAGTCGACAGGACTATAGTCCGTGGCGGAAATGGCAGCATGCCGAGGAAAATTCCATTGAGACTTGCCATTCTGTGAGTTTGTGAAGAACCATGCTCCGTACGACTCGTGCCATTGAAGGGTCCAGCCTGAGGGGACCTGAGGCGCGCCGTTGGAAGGGTCAAACGATGGAGCCGTATCCAAATGCCCTGGTGGTGGCTCAGTTGGGGGCTCCCACTGACTCCGCAGAGACTTCAGATCAATGTAAAGCCTGTTATAGCTGACATTAGCATACCGGCGGCCCTGAAAATCAACCCAGTTGATGTATAACTTGCCAAGTGTCACGCGCTGTGCTCCATTGCGCCAACCACCCTGTGGGCAGCTCGGGCGGTAACTGGGCTGACATACTCACAAGTGAGGTGATGCGAAGGAGAAGGATAATAGGAGAAAATAGAAAAGAAGTCTCGTGAGACAAGAAATTGGTTGAATCTGCTAGTGTCATGTAATCAATGATATTAGTCTCACCGCGAGCTTGGGTTAGTGACCTATTTACCAATAGCGTTGCTCACCAGCGCGGCGCTATTGGGGCTGATTTGCCTAGGGGTTGGTTTGAAACCCAGCTAACAGCCACAGTTGAGATGAAGGTATGATATCTCCAGATAAGGGTTTCATTTCTACCTATGGAAACCGTATAACAAACACAACGTCAAAATCCCCATATTCTACGTAATCCAAAATGAAGGGGTTCACATGTGTCAAACAATTTTCCAAGTTTTATATTATGCTTGCCTTTAAACACTAGAGTAGTTATGCTTGAACCTAGCTAGTAGAATGGTATAACCTTTCCTGGGCCAGTTGTGGAGATAGCCCTACTCCCTAACAAGGAATGTTACCACATTGCAAGTCGAATATATATTAAGCTCTGCCAAGGATCGAGATATCAACCTCTGCCCGAACTCCGTTGGTCGCTTCCTCGGCACATAACCTGTTTTCAACACTCTTAGGACTTGACGTTGTTGTGTACCATCTCCATATCCCTCGCGTCGCACCTTCTAAGAAGTGAACAGAGCGCGTCGACAAGATCCATCTCGATTTATTAAATCCTATCTAGACAATTCAACGACCAAACCGACAACTTCCAGCCATTTCGAATGATGAAGAGCCCAAGAATTATAAAGATGTATCCATGTGTGAAGGATTTGGCATGGACAGTTAGTTCTGACTCCGAGTTCTCCTCATCAGGCAGGCGCTGCAACTTACTCGGGTGTGGATGATAAGGCACGCGCTGGTATTCTTCAAGGGCCCGTGCTCTCGCTCAGCACTTTGAAAAAGTACTACCACATATGTTCCAAGAGGAAGATATTTTTATTCACCAACGAGGGTATGTAAGTATTCTGTTATTCTACTTGTACTTGTAAATGAACCTCGATATTCTGCTTTAGATTACATCATCGAGTTATTCTATATAAATCTACGCATATCGACTTTTCCCGCAAGAAAAGCCTGCAAGCCGGATGCCTGAGCATATTTTGTTACTATCTACAAAAGGACAGCGCTCACCGTAGCGAGAATGACTGATGAAAGGACAAAAGTCTCAAAGATTTAAATTGCTCAATGGCAGTACCTTCCTCTTTTTTAAGGTTGGTCCACATCGCCGAGCGCACAAAAGATCTTCGGTAATGGAGTCATTGTTATAGGATCAAGTAGACACCGTGTCAACCCACTTGCAACATGGAATAACAATGTAGCGCAGGAACATAAATACATTAGAAACGGCTCAAATAAAGAGCTTAATAACTATTTCTTCTTTCATGTTTAGTTTCTTCAGGCCAGTCCCCAGACTATTACGCGAACAAACAGACTACCGCGATTCGGTTTAGTTATCGGAACTATGCAATCATTACCAGTTTTACCTTTCCTTGCACACATATCTTCAGTAGTAGCACCGTGGAATCACACAAGTTCGATGAATGCCGGGCCCCTCACAAAGAATACTCCACAGTTCATAAAAGACCTTGAACACCGTTTCGCTATAAACAGCAGAATCGGAATCGACGCTCTTGACGATCCAGCCGAAGCCCTCTGCAATCCAGACTCGGTAGAGCGGAGTTCATCAGCCGAAATACCAGGTGATCTTTTCAAACGCATCAAAGTCTCAAATGAGTGGAAAGCCTGGTCCCAAGTCGAATTACACCTATCGGAAATTTTGGACTGCCCAGTGGCCTTGCATACTGTTGAAGAATTCGAATTCCACATAGACCTTAACGAAACCTCGCTTCCACCTAGCAGCACACTGGATCTTTTCGTTCAACTTTTTGATAAGACACCTCAGATGAAAACATTGACTTGGGAAGGGGCGATTTTGAAGTACGATGAGCGGGAGGAGCTCCCTCCTTCACCAATAGAGCAGCATTTCACTCTACATAATGTCCAGTTCCCGGGTGTGAGGACAATGATCCTCGGTCCAAACTTGGACTTCTTCGTACCCATGGCACCGAACCTTCAATCGTTGTGTTCTTCGTCTGACCCCGGCTGGGGCAAGTGGATGCGCCACTATTTTCCTCGTCCGTTGGGAAAACCAACTTTCGGGTTAGTCAAGGCAGCATCAGGGGCTAGCAAGTTACGGGAGTTTGAGCTTGCAGCCCTTTGGACCAAAGAATTGACCACCGAATTCCGCCAAGGATTCCCGGATTTAGAGACAATTCGACTACATGGCTCGCTGGATGGGTTTGGCCACGATGGCTGTGAATTGGGCGAAGTATTGAATGTAAGCGCCTCGCTGCGTCAAGGAGCCACACAGTTTAAAACTTCGTGCTGACATATCCGCGCATCTTAGGGAACGCTTGAGGACATTTCTCACCTGAAAGCCCTCACTGAAATTTGTCTGCCTTTGACCCAAGATCCACTACTTGGGCTTGAGTTCCCTGGCTGTGAGAGCTGCTCGGCCGTCGAGGCGAGAAAGAATGCGCGATTCGAACTCACCTTCTCTCTATCTCTCATAGAAGCTGTGACTAACATTGTGGTGGAAAAGTTGCCTAAACTTAAGAGGGTTTGCTTCCAAAGGTATGCTTGCACAGATGTAGTCAGTGGCGAGAAGCCGTCCTGGGCTTGGACCGGCAAATTGAGAGAGTATGTCCTGGAGGCGTCGCCGCGATTTGATGGATATAACAACAAGCGAATTCTTGAAAAAGAAGATCCCAATGGACCTGTTCTTGATACCTGGGAGATGGATCAAGAGTGGTTTCCGCAGGGGAAAGAAAAAGTCGAGCGCCATGAACGCGCAGCGGATGAACTCTAGTATAGGTGCTGTCTGCTTTTCAGCCCGCTTGGACCAAGCTACAATTTAGAGAATATCTCACAGACTACTTATTAGTTCTTGCTCTCAAGGAGAAGAAGGAAATAACAACAAACACAGTACACGGGTTTTGCAGGCACTATTCAGACTTACGTTGGCATCTTCCTGTGATACTACACGTGATGCTAAATTTTTGCACTTAAGAAAAACAATCAAGAAGAGTTGAAAGTATTTCTTCGTTTTCAGTAGCGAAAGATCAGTGATTATCCGACCTACAAAGCCGTCTATACATGAATCACTCTTTCTTTCACTCATGCTGGCGATATGCTTCTTCAGACCCGGTCGTGTATGGCTGCTTGGAGCCTCAATCAAAGAGGACATCACTCCAGCCAACAAACACTCACTCGAAAGACGAACTTGTTGATTACCATTGAATTTCTTGTACAATACGATAAGTTCTTATATAGGTGTGAGATATAGACCCGTCACTAAAAATTGAAATATATCTGAATGCTAACTTGTAGTATTCAAAAAGACTATCTCCCCAAGAAAAACACTTCAAAGCTAATATTTCCATTCCATCCAACCAGGACACTGTGCACTGAAAACCGCAACCACTGTTCCAGACATGAGGTGATACACACGAGATTGCCTCTAAAACCACAAACTACCACATCGCTCTCGAAAATCCAAACCACAAATATCTCTTATGCTTGCCTAAACTTCTTCCTCAAGCCTCCCACCATCGATGGTATGTCTGCCACGGCCCTCCACAAACGCCCCTGACAGAAGCCTTAGGTAGAATCATTGAGACAAGGATCAGGAGTATTGTGGGAGGAGTTGCGGAGGACGGCGCTACCTGGGTATTGATCGTATTCGATGATAAGCAGGTCACGCTTTCCCCTGCCTCACCCCCCTTTGGATTATCTTTCCTAGCTGAAGGCCTGGGACCAGGGTGATCTTATTTCCTTTAGCCGCGGACAAACAAATATTCGTCCATCTCGTACATATCGCGCTCGTCAAGTTCATCGAATCGATGGCGCCTTCGATCCATGTAAGGTCGACCTGTGGGTTCAGATCTGGGTTTCTTAGTGGATGTAGGTCTAGGTGCTGGCTTAGGCCCAGGCTTAGGCTTAGGCTCAGATCCTTTCTTAGGCTGGCGGGCAAAGAGACCACGCCTTCGATCCATATGAGGTCGACCTGTGGGTTCAGATCTGGGTTTCTTAGTTGATGTAGGTCTAGGTGCTGGCTTAGGCCCAGGCTTAGGCTTAGGCTCAGATCCTTTCTTAGGCTGGCGGGCAAAGAGACCACGCCTTCGATCCATATGAGGTCGACCTGTGGGTTCAGATCTGGGTTTCTTAGTTGATGTAGGTCTAGGTGCTGGCTTAGGCCTAGGCTTAGGCTTAGGACCAGATCCCTTCTCAGGCTGGCGGACAAGGATATTGAGCTCGTCAAGTTCTTCAAGCAGATTTCGAGCCTCTAGCTCGCCTTCTCCGTCACGTTCCTCAAGCTCGGCCTCGGCATCGCGGGCAGCAAGCTCGTGAGCGTCATCAGGCTCAACGCCGCGAGCGATAAGATCGGTAGCTTCAGCCTCGGCGGCTAGCCCATGGGCAGCAAGGCCAAGAGACAGGATGGCTGCATATCTGAGGTTCTTGAAAGCAACCATCATAAGAAGCTACTACAAAAAAGGTTCTAGAAAAGGTGGTGAAAAATAACCAGTAACTCGGAAAAGGGAAAGACCCGGAATAGATAGGAAAAAGGGGAAAGGGGGGATATAAAGTAAGGGGGGGGGATAGACCAGAAAGGACTATGTTTAGCTCTATTCTGCTTGTTTGATGAGGAAGGAAAACCCAAGTTGTTCGGATCAGCTCAGGCCTTATATATTTCTTCAGGCTTTCTCAAGAGTCTTAAGTTTCCTATAATAGACCCAATCCCGGAATGAAAGAGTATTCATCAAACGAACCATCCACCTCTCACTGGCATAGCATGTCATGGGGCAAGTCATGCCATCCATCTACACCCTGCATTCATTAGGTGTGCCGCGAGCTCCGGGGTTATCAGGAATGGTTAGGATGATGGATACCCGCAGAAGATGACCCAAGAGAGCCTAGGTAATTCCTCTGACACCCTCCGATTTGGCAAATTCTTCGGCCTGCCGACCCGCTCGGCGGGGCACGCTTTCGGCTAGGTTCGACTCTCGGAGACAATGAAACGTCGGGGAATGCACCACTTATTATGGTCAGGATTCAATATTGATGAGACACATGCAATAAGAAGATGATCTACAAGCTTGGCATCCGGTACTGCCCCGTATCTCCGACAATCCTGGGCAGATCGAATGTTTATTTACCGACCCTTTAGCAGCCAACTCCTGACGTTCAACTATTACATTGAAGCATTAATTGAGCTTTGCCGGAATCAATGATCAAGTACTGATGCCCACGTCTTGAATGGCGAAGCTTTCATTGAACACGGGATACATCAGCTATAGAGTCTATTGTATAGATCAACGATCAGCTCATGCCACAAACACGCACACGGGGGGTTTTGCATTCCTCTACTAGCTCCTACTAGTCCATAAAATCCAGGGTGTTTGCGGTGTCACTAAAGCTTCTGAACTCAGTGGAGTCGACTTTTGTCCAATCTTCATCCGTTTGTCAAAATCGAATTGTACTAGAACCTTGCGTACAGGAGAACACTTCAAGGTGCTACATCTTCCGACAGCTTAGCAATCAGTCTCTATGATTGATATTGGGAGGAGACCGAGGCTTGAAGCTTGCACCTGAAGGCCTTTGTGATGGCAGATACTAGCAAGTGACGTTCAGTCGTTTACTGGATCTTGGCTCAGCAGCTGTTCAACATGTGGTACACTTAGCCTTAAAAATGGCTGATAATGCCGACTCCTTTATTTATCTTTAGTGAGTAATATATATTAATCTTAGGTCGAGTGGCAGCACCCATTAAATTCATGCAGGATTCTTCGGGCAAGGTCCCTGATACCGTAGCGACCTCCTTGCAGTCACCGTATTTAGCCTGATTGAAGATTAGCATCACGCTATCCCAGGGTGCCCGGATTTACCAGCTCTTCTTAATTATCTCCTGGCTAAGATCCGCTTAAGGATTCTTGGAATCATCCAAAGCTTTTTGTTGCCAGATTGGTAAAAGCTGTTAATAGTCCGGCCGGTGGGCACGCTGCAACGGCGTGGATTCGACCTGTGGGGCCGGAAATTAGTTACGGACGTGTTTATGTTGGTCCTCCCCCTCCCTCGGCCTCTTCCTCTTTCACTGCCATGTATTGTAGCATGTCTTTGCCAAGAAGATGATGACCCATCCCATCCCTCCGCGCAGCTGGTGGGAGTACCATTTCTTCAGTTGATATCTCCAGTCCAGACTTCGACGGATTTGGCCGAGGGCTTTCAACGCAGCCAAGCTCTGTGCGTGCGGTCAATCGATTAGAGGCATGATGAATACGTATTCGCGTAATAGACGCTCGAATTACTTCAAAACCTACCGGGAATCGTGGGCTGCTGCTTTAAGAGATGCTGGGCCCAGAATCCAGTCATCCACCGCTGCGAGGGTGACCCCTCCCCTTATTAATGTACATGAAACAGAGTCAGTCCTTATTTCTGTCGCGTCGTCATCTTTTTGGCTGCGCGTCACTTGCTATGCAGCGCGGGACGGCCAATCAACACTAATTTACCCGGCCTGTCGCTTTGTCAGTTGGAGGCCTGCAAGCGAGGCGAGGTCTCTCTATCCATACCCTGAAACTAACCTCACAGCGTTGTTTGACTCGCCGGTCGGAATCCCCTCACGGATAACTCGGACCTTTTCAATTCACTAAGTATGTACCGTGAGAGAAATTGTTATATGTGGGCGGCCAGCACACAAGCTTGTACTCTTAGGGCTCCCCCTTGCCAAACCCTGGGATGGGCAGTTCAGCAGATGGCTGCGAGCTATCCAGATAAGAACTCGCCAGCAAATGTCCCTTATACCTATTAATACTTAGCCTATGGGCTATAAATGGTTGAACAGGCGGCTCTTATGAAGCGATATAAGTGGCTAATCAGTGAAGAGTCCTCGTCGCGTTAGTTATAGTGAGTGCATTATCAGTGTAGATAATTATTTCCCCTCAAGTCCTACTCGTATAGAGCCGCGAGCATCTACCCTATTTTAATGGTCGAAATGCCGTCTTACTTCTATACACTGGTTCATATTATCTCGGTATTAGCAGCACAAATATAACTTCGGCTGGGGCGCTTTTGAGAATTATATGTTTTTCGGAATGGACTAATGGAATTCTGTGAATCTGAATTAAGGCTGAAGAAGATATTCTGTATTGACAAAAAATCAAAGGGCTGGTAACTCGGCGAAACCGTCATTTACTATTGCTGGCCTGAATTTCCGGGTTCGATAACAGTCGCCACCATTCCACTTACAGTGTTAAAGACTGTCGGCCAACCTGCTGTAGTGGAAGGAAATTATACGGCTGTTGCTTTTATCCTTCTTCAAGCAGGCTTAGCCATTGTTCTAGCGTACTGGATGCATCATTCAACGCAGAACAGCTTAGGAACATGGAATCACAAGAAGATTCAATTGAGTCTAAATTTGAGGATGTGGAAATTGCAACTACAGTAAAGAATTAAATGCTTAGTTGTTGCCCTTTCTATGCATTTGAATATTAGTGACCATGCTAGGGGTGGTGCTATTTCTATAGTTCTCTTTCATCCCCCGGGTCGCCATCCCGCAAAGGCTGATTTCATATGATATTTCATATGATAGAAGTTTCTGGCTAGGTCTCTCCAAGGAATTATGTAGAATTTTAATTTTTTTCGCCCGATTCAAGCTATGACTTCTTTCCTAAAGAAAAAGAAGACTGCTACTGACGAGCTGAGGGCGGCAACAAGTGAGGTGGGAATAAAAACAGTTAATAACGACAATCATAGAACAGATGCAAGCCTATATTTTCAATGGTAATTGTTAAGTTCGTTGAATGAACAGTTATTTGGGGCAAAGGCTTGAGAAGTTTTGTGCAACACAGCCGTAGAGAACAAAGGAAGAATTCGAGGACAGATAGACAAAACAGGCGGGGACAGTTACCAATTCTATGGCAGATTCGATCACGGATTAGTAGAAGGTCAGTGAGTCTATAAATGACTGTTTCTGTACATTGGGACAGAATAAAACTTCGTTTTTGTAATTTCTCTTTTTCAGCATGTAGTGAGACTAGGCGTGAATGGGGGATGTTCTTTGTGTCGTTTGACATAATGGCACAAAAGAAACTAGGTGTGAATACAGGATGGTCTTTGTGTGATTCAGTGTTATGTTGCGGAAGAGCATCTGCTGGTTCTCGGATGATCAAAAACTCGTTGCCACCACATCTTCAAGTCTGACAAGAACGACCAACTAAATGATTCACAGAAACGGATCGTGATATAAAAGGCAAGTGAGCTGCTATTGCGCAATAATCACGGATGGACTCCAAAGCCACCTTCTTATTGCTGCTCACACTTTAAACCTCGACTCACCCCTGCTCGTTCTCAAAATGGTGCTTCCTTCTCAGCCTTTTGCTCGCAGATCCTACGAGTGCCGTACTCCGCGACTCGTTATCCGGACACCCACTTCCGTAGATGAGGAAGTATATTACAACCTCTCTACAGACCCGGGCAACTACCCTTACGAAAAAGCGGAGACTGAACTGACACGCGAGAATATAACTCAATTCATCAGCCAAATGCCCGATTACTCTTCTGCTGGGGCTGCCGCCTTCTTTGTTATAGAGCTACGCGAAACCGGTGAGGTTATTGGCCTCTGCGGGTACAATGCATTCGAATCTCAAAAACCCGCCGAGTTTCTGAAGAAGCCGGAGGCAAGTTCTGATCCGATGTGGCAGACTGACATAGGTATTACCATTGATCATAAGCACTGGAGAAAAGGCTATGCCGTCGAAGCTTTCTGCGGTCTCGTCGAGTATGCTCACCGAGAGCTTGGCTGTAAACTGTTTCGAGTCGAGACGGGTCTTACCAACGAACCCTGGATGCATTTGATGGACTGGGTCGGGCTTTCTGCGTTTAGAAAGTCCGATAAGTCTATCGTTGAGAAGGAGAAGGAGGTCTGGGATTGGCGCTTTGACGTTGAGGATTGGGCGACAGCAAGGAGAACCATGGTGGAAACAAACAAATGGCCTCTTTCCTCTGCATAAGAACCATCAATGCGTCTACCGTCAGTGTAGGCAGTCAGGCTATAAAGATTGGCCATCGGGTGGCAAAGAAAGGCAATCTTCTACAGACCGTGGACACTTCCCAATCGCAATCACAGCGCGGCTGGGTTTTACTTGTATTTGACTATATCGTTGGTCACAGTACTCGTGAGGAACTTTCTCTACCGTTGGACTCGTCTTTTTCACGCTTTTCATCTTTCTTTATCGTCAATTGAGCTTAATTTTAGTTTCCAAATGAGAACCCTTTTCTGTTTTCGCGATAGAAAAAGCATAAACGCTTTAGATCTTATCCGCATGTAACCCACATTATAGTTGAATGTTTTAAATATCCAAGCATCTTTATATGGTGTGACTCAATAGTTGAGTTCGCAATTTGGTATTTTGCACATGAGAGGTAATTTCCAGCTACTAAACCCCGTCTGTGGTTAGAAGACCCCCTCCAATCCATTCAATATTGTCAAGTTGTATCGATGACAAGCCATCGCGCACGTCAAGAATACTTCCTACATATTCTATCTTACCGTCCGTCTCTGGGCCATTCACTCAACGGCATAATGACTTTACTATAAGCAAGATTCTGTTATGCTTATATTAAATAGCCCCCAACATTGACTGAATATTATGTAATAACCCAGAACCAGTGATATAAGCGACAGCAGTGGAACATTTAGCGCAACACAACGTGGCATTATACATCCACGAAACCGTCGTCTTGCGATTATCCTACCATTACTTTGCATACCAAAGCATCAAAGCAATCATGTCAGTCTATAGATTTACGGCTCCTCTGGCAGAGGGCGAGAGTGGGATTGGCACTTACAATCGCCCAACCATCCCTGGAGTGGATGAGGATGAAGTTCACAGAGCTGAGTCGATGCCACTTTGGTCTTGCGCCAACTGTTCCAGAGAATTCCCAGCTAAATCCAGCGTGTTCATTTGCAGACATGTTGACCATGACGGAGGATACATGTTATGTAAAGAATGTCACGATGCCGGCGCCAGATGTGATGCGAGCCATGAGATCCATGAGGCTCACTTCTACTTGGAATGGAACATAAGATACTTCTATGAGAGGACCAAGATAGAGAAACGCCAGATCAGAGTCCTTCGTATCCGCGCGTCAAGTTGCTTCGACGATCCACTGGATGGCTTAGTTACCGTCATGCCGGTGGACGAGCCACTCGAATACAACACGCTGAGCTACGTCTGGGGCTCCAATGAGAAGACCAAGCTCATCAAGATCGGACACTGCCTGGTCCCCATCACGGCCAATTTGGATTCAGCATTGCGCCGCTTCAGGGCTCAGAGGACGAATGGGGTGATTTGGACGGACGCGATCTGCATCAATCAGGCGGACATGGCCGAGAAGGCAGCGCAAGTTACTATGATGCGCGACATATACAAAAACTCACATATGACTTACATCTATGTCGGTGAACATGAGCACGAGGTGAGGGTAGACCTGTTCACGAAGCAGATAACCACAAATCAGCTCAGTACAGACGAGGAGAATAGACTTGCGGGCATCGCCGTGCAGACCCTCATGAATCAGCCCTGGTTCTCACGCACGTGGGTCATTCAGGAAGTGGCTGCCAGTGCACAATCGATCATCATGTTCGGCAACTCAACCATAGAATTCAAGCTACTGCGGGACAGGCTCAACCTCAGCACCGGGACGGCCAGCATGCACGACGATCCATTCATCACCTCGCTAGGCCAGATTCGCCAGACCAAGCTCATCGCTCGAAATTTCAAGCCGGCGCACATGGCCAATGGCCGGCGGTTCTGGCTGGAGAGGCAGTTTGGGAACCGGCCAGAGAAGCAGGAGCAGTTTAAGAAGATCCAGGAATACTTTGATGCCAACTTCAAGCCCTTTCCGTACCCTTTACTTGACCTACTAGAGAGTTTCCGCAATCGGGAATCGACCGACCCGCGTGACAAGATATATGCCCTGCTAGGACTGGCAACGGATATTACTTATACGCATGATGGGGAGGCAGCAGAGATCAAGGGTCAACAGAATGCTGACCCTCCTCAGCCCGACTACTTAAAGAGCGTCTCCGATGTCTATTACGAGTACGCCTGCTTCTTCATTGAAAGCGGGCAATGGTGTGATGTACTACATTCAGCGGCCTTGAACCGTCTTGGGAACACCAGGCTTGCGGACCTTCCATCCTGGGTTCCCGATTGGACATCATCCAGGTCTGGTGTGCAGTCGAAACGCTTTAATGAGCTGTTTGGGCAATACTTGTATCATGCAGGTGGGTTGGACGGGGAGGCTCAGGCATATGTCGATAGAGACACAAAGGCTCTGTCCATAAATGCCGCCATTATAGACTCTGTGGCGTACATTTCAGAGCCTTGGACCCTTGGCGAGCCTCGTGACAACCTCATCATGCAAACTCTCGACGCCTTTATTGCCAATACAGCATACTGTCAACAAGGCCAAAATGGGGGGTCTGCACCGTTCACAATCCGAGACGCTATCCTTCACAATGCCATCAATATTGTCACAGAGTACGAAGACTGCATAAAGGACGTCTCCTTGTGGCTACAATGCATCGCCGTCGCCATGATCTACAAGTACACTCGCTTTTCGCTCGACATTGCTGATGAATCCCGATCTCAATATTTTGAGCTATCAAATCATTGTTGGCAGATGTTCAGGGAAGGCCAGACTGACAAGTTGAGGGATCCGATTGAGCAAGCCTTCCAGAATCTATTCCATCCCGGGCCGCCATTTCGAGACTGCCCAGGCGTAGAACTCCTGCCAGACCGGGAGTACGTGCACGAGGTCATCGCGCACCGGAGATTCTGCATCACAGAGAATGGTCGCATTGGGCTTGTTCCTCTGCATGCCGAGGTCGCGGATATCATATGCATCGTCAGAGGCGGCACAACGCCATATGTCATTCGTCCTGACGAGGAGGACTGGTGTTATATAGGGGACTCTTATGTCAGAGGCGTTATGCGAGGCGAGATGCTTCAATCAGAAGAGTTTGAACCGATGAGGCTTTTTCTGAAATAACTATAGTGCTGGTATGGTGGGATTACTGAAGATCGTATTGGCTATGCAACTTGGAATTTTTCCTCATATCCTTCATGTTGAGCAGCCGACCACCACAGTAGATTGGGGGAGTGCCGGCATGGCTGTGGTACAGACCCAGCAGCCATGGGCGCCAACAAAAACCCGGCCACGGCGAGCCGGTGTCAGCGCTTTCGGCGTGAGTGGTACTAATTCCCACATCATTGTAGAAGAAGCACCAGGGACAGCTGGCGTGAACATGCCGCGAGAATCTGTCTCAGCTGCGTTGCCAAGCTCGCTGCCGGTGTTAATATCCGGCCGCAACAAGGCTGCCTTACGCCAACATGCTCGAAAGCTTCGCTCGTATCTCAGAAGCAGAGATGCTAGGAATCTCCGCCTCGCTGACGTTGCATTTTCGTTAGCAACCAGTCGCAAACACCATGGCCGGAGGCTGGCGTTCATGGTGGGGAAACCGGCTGTGAGCCTGCATGGTTGCCGTCACTCGTTCCCAAGAGAGGTGACGTGACGGTGGTTCAGAAAAATCTCATTGACCTGCATGCTCGCCACGTCGACATCAACTAGAGGGCATACTTTGAGCCATTCAGTTGCAAGCGAGTGCCGCTGCCAACATACGCCTTCCAGCGAGAGGTCATAGGACTGAACCGGGCAACGGTAAAGTCGGACATCAATGGGCACGCCACGACTTTATCTAAAGGCACCAAACTCCCATTAACAGGCTCTTTCCCACTGGAAATCAAGTGGGATCCAATTGACGTCGGCAACCTACACCCAACACGGGCACTATGGGGTTTGTAGGACCCTGCAGTAAACAGCGCAGGTACCGAATCATTGACAGACTGCCTGAGAACCGTTTTGTCGACAGTTGAGGGCTTGAGGCTTGTCCTGGTCAATGACCTGGAGGAAGTTGCAGGCTTAGATGGTTTGATATGTCCCTGGGAGTCAGACACCGCCAGCCATACTCCAAGCCAGGCGGGCCAACTCACGATGAAAGCTCTCAAGCAGCTCCAGAAAGTGTCCTCGGTCCAATTTTCAAATCCGGTAGTATGGGTTACGCGGCAAGCCATTGGTACTGGCGCCGCCGCCACGGAGCTGCTCCAAGGGATCAGAGCTGCCCCTTTATGGGGTCTAATGCGGTCAGTCCGGGGTGAGCAGTCAGAAATGCACCTGCGCCTGGTCGACCTGCACGCGGAGACGGAGGCTGGAAGGACGGCATCCAACATCATCAGCTCCATTCTAGCTCTCAACGACGAACCCGAATGCGCGATTCGAGGAGCTCAGGTTCTCGTGCCCCGTATAGCGCACGCCGAGGACTCAGGATCAGCCGTTCCCTCGCTGAAAGCGGAGCCCATGGTCCGTCCAGACGGTGTGGTTCTCATTACCGGTGGCTTTGGGAGATCTCGGAGCACATGTTGCTCGTTTTCTTGCCAGCCGCCATGGGGTGTCTCGCCGGGGTATGGATACGCCGAATGCCAAGTCGGTTGTGGCCGGGCTGGCTTCGCTTGGTGCTAATGCCACTGTCGTCACTGGAAGCGTGGATGACCTTGAAAGTATGCAGCGCATCATGGAGCTATTCAACCATAGTCGACCCCTTCGCGGCCTTGTCCACGCGGCGGGGGTGGCAGACACTGGCATCCTCTCTTCGTTGGGGCCAGAGCATTGCCCAGAAGTGTTTGCACCCAAGGTGAGCGGCGCCTGGAACATGCACACATTGAGCAAGGACATGGACCTGGACATTTTTGTCCTGTTCTCCTCCATCTCTGGTGTTATAGGCCTGCCCGGGGTCGGCCTATACGCTGCGGCGAATGCATTTCTGGACGCGCTGGCTCATCTGCGAATCGCCACAGGCCTACCAGCAACATCGGTGGCTTTCGGAACCTGGCAGGGCGATGGAATGGCCGCTGGTCATAGTGGGACGATTCGTGCGCATAGTTCACAGTTTGGCCGCAGCCCGTTGACCCATGAGGAAGTGCTGCGACTCTTCCAGCAGGCAGCCTCGAGCGGCCGAGCTCTCACAGTGGCTACCTCGCTTGATCTCAAAAGGCTACAAAGTCACTTTGACGATCGAGGTGGTGTTCCGGCCCTGTTTCGTTCGCTCTTGGGTCAAAGAAGCAACCAGCCTGGACAGAATCTGCGAAGGGCATGGACTGCCGCACCTGCAAAGCAAAGGCCCGGCATTTTACTCCGCATGGTTCAAGACACCATAGCCAGCGCGTTAGCATTCGCGCACCCAGATGACGTGGACGTCCACATACGTCTACAAGATGTCGGGATCGACTCGCTTACGGCGGTGCTTATTCGAAACCACCTCAGCGTGCTCACTGGCTTGAAGCTGTCCGCAAATTTCACATACCATCATCCGAGTGTGAAGGCGCTTAGTGATTACTTGACAAGCAAATTGCAGAGTGCTTGGGATCCAGATGATGTTGCCCCTACGTCCCTTTTGTCCAGCAGCACAGGTGATTTAGACCCCATCACCAAAACGCCGCTGTCAACAGATTCTGCGTCCATCAACCTAGCCTCCATACGTAAGGGCTGCCTGGACGCCAGTCTAAACTTCGAAAATGCCACTCAATGTGTCAAGCGTCCCACGTCTGTTCTTGTGACCGGTTCTACGGGCTTTGTCGGTGCATTTATCGTCCATGAGCTACTGAAGCAGGGCATCACGGTGCATTGTCTCGGACGCGCAAATAACGACCGTCACGCGCGGCAACGAATGGTCGACACGCTGACCTGGTATGGGTTGCGGGACACTCGATTCACGCCAATTCTCCACGTCGTTGTAGGCGATATCACCCAACCTCTGTTTGGCCTGGACGAGCAGCTGTTCGAAGAACTCGGTGAAAGGATCGATGCTATATGCCACTCTGCAGGCCTCGTAGATTGGATGCGACCGTTGGATGACTACGTCGGCCCGAACATGGTCAGCACGCACGAAGCATTGCGCTTAGCCTCGCGGGGGCGTGGCAAGGCGGTCCATCTCGTGTCCTCCATCGCCACACTGCCGATGCATCTGGGATGGGACGTTTCTGAAGACCAATATGAGCATTCCTACGCGACATCGAAGATGATGGCGGAGCGCATGGTGTCGGCGGCTCGCTGGCGAGGGAGGGGCCAGGGCGTCGGTGTATCGAATGCCGTTCGTGTTCGCGCCGTCGACTGGGCATTTCCGTCTTGATCGTGGCGACTTCTTGCACAATCTGATTGCAGGGAGCATTCAGATGGGCAGCTTTCCTGTCGTGAATGCAGACTTGTCGACTGTGCTTCCAGTGGACTATCTGTGCAGAAGCATGGTTAATGCCGTAACGCGCGACGTGTCTCGGATTGGGCAAGATTTCGACTTCAAACACGAGGATGCTCCCTCCATCATTTGGTGATTTGTTTGGGATGATGGTTGCTGCCGGGGCCGCGAATGAAACGATACCATTTTCGGACTGGCGTCAAAAAAGGCGCTTAGTCATGCCTCGGCTCATCCAACCAGCTCTCTTGCACGGATTGCGACTGTGCTTGATGGCTGTGTTGAAGACGCAGTCGCCGCCATGTTTGGCACTCTTCCCCTAGGACCAAATGTTCTGGATAGAAACGAGCCCAGAGACCATTCTGCTCCTCTAGTTGGTGTTCACTTTGTGGAAGAATATCTCAACCAAATATTCTCAACCTCACCAGTCAAAGGAGCAGTATCTGACATGGTAATCAACTTCCAGTAGTTGTCAAGCTATGCTAGAATATTAAGAAAAATCTACACGTTAAAAAATAATTAGTATTAAAAAATCGTCAAAACATAGTTTAAGATTAAATGCATAGTCATTATGATCCAATGATATTTATACTACATAAATCTGCTGGGCTCTAACCTGATGATTACTGCCGAAGCTCGGCTTTAGAAACGAAGCTTTAGGGTAGTTGGGATCTACCTATTGACAACAGCGACGCGTCTCAGTCGCGTAGAATTCCGGGACATCAACCTTCGGTACACGCTAACCAATGCTAGAAAGAGGGTGACGCGTTCTGTCATATTTATCAGTCCACGATTGGGATCTTGCTTACTCCTGCCTCACAACGTTTCTCAAATTAGCTGACCGCGAGGCTGTGCCCCAAGACAACCGCACAACTATGTCTCGACTCTTTAGGTTTTTTCCCTTGTTACGAACGACAGGGCTGTGTGATGCTTGAAAGTCTGATTGACTACTCCTAGAGTTACAGAATAGCTCCCGGCAACCCTGATTTCTCGCCATGCTTCTGCTCAAATAGAGGTTCCCAGACCGTACAGGCTCTCTTTGTCGCATCTCCATTCCCTAGTTCTGGTGAGGAAAGGAATATATGCTTATCAACTGAGCACTCAATGAGTTGCCCATTTATGTTTGGTTGCGTTAGACACTTATCATAGGCTTCCACAACGGTTCCAACTGCCGTGAGGCTGCGATCTAGGTTAGTGCATAATCTCGTCCTGCAAGAGTTAGGAAGACTTACTGCCCTGGATCGGTGGCGTCGAGAGAAGCTTGAGGAACAGCCCCAGTCGCCACAATACCTGGAAGTACGGCGTTCAAGGTAATATGATCTTTCTGCAAGATGGTCAACATAATTTTTACCCCTCTGATACGAATCTCCTCACCATTTTCAGAATCGGTGCTGCTGTTCGCACGAACTGATTGATCTATGCGGATAATGGGCCGAAAACTCAGTCTTGGACAACCGCAATGACAGGTGAGATTGAGACAACTCACAGCAGCTTTTGCACCACAGTATTCTGGGAATGTTTGGTGCGGATGAATCGAGGCGATTGTCGATGTCGCAATGATTTGTCCTCCAGGTACATCATTCATTCTCATGAAGTGAATCGCCAGTTGGACCCCGTAGAGAAAGCTTTCGTAACAGGCCTTTAGGGATAAAAGGGCAGGCTTAGGTGGTATTTCTGTTTTCCCTCGGTGATTTAGAATATAAATTGAGCCCCTGTCTGAGTGGCCTGCATTTGCCAGAAGAGCATCTAGCCTCTTCCACTTATCCCAAACCTGACTGAAGACCTTGGCTTGCTCATCATAGTCTGTGACATCGAGCTTGAAAAAGATAGCATTGCTTCCAAGCTCCGCGACTAGTGCAGCACCGGCATCCTCCTGGATGTCGCAGCAAGCCACTCTCCAGCCCTTATGAATTCGATGCGTGGCAAGAGCTTTTCCGATCCCGGACTAATATATCACGCTGTTATTAAATAATGCCATTGATGTTGACGCTGGCATTAGAAAGAATTCTCACCGCAGCGCCTGTGACTATGGCGACCTTTCGTGCTTCATTGTCCGCTTTCAATGATTCTCCCATCTTTCGGGTACGAGGGCCAAACCTGAGTTTTGCGGCTTATGTCGACGAAGTCTATGTGGATTTAGAAAAACAGCTGAGATAATCGTCAAGACGAGATATACAGGAATGTTTTCGCACCTTAGCAGACCTAGGGAGAGATAACCTAAGCCGGTACAACAAAGGCGGACTCAGCCGAAGCCTCACTCAACCCCACATCACGCTCAAGTCCGAAGTCGATTGCTCGGCCTTGCCCGTGTGCCCCACGCTATAATAGCGAGCGGTGGAAGCCGACACTTGAGTAGACCGCTAGTAGTTTCAGCTATGGTCACTGATCAGATGAGGGGAATCTCACAGGTCTGGCTATTTTTGAGGTGGACTGAGTCGTGCAAATAATGGCCAATCTTCCCTAACGAGCTGTGCACCCAAGACGAGTCCTCTGCTTATCATGTTGGCTTGATGGATAAAGCGGTCTTCGTATATGGTAGATAGCACATCATCAAGTTGCCCTGGTTCTTTCTCAAAACTCATCGCATTTTGAGGCTGGTAGAACGTGTCATAATCATAGGGAATATATGGTTAAACACAAATTTTGTCTCAGAGCTTAGATAGTTTTTATTACTTGAAAGTACGAAACCGTGGTTTAAAGCTATTGCATATACACAGAGCCTCAGCTGCTTGGGGAAGGTCATGGAGCTCTCTGTCCGACATCATTTTGCTCTAGTGGCTCAAACCTCCCGAGTTTTGAATAAGGGGTCAGCCGAGAAGGGGCGTTATTGTGTAACAACAACACAACACACAACTAGATGAGATTGAAAACACACACATTATTGACCCAAATAAGCACTGGTGATTAGATGTAACCGTTTGAATTCAACAGTAGGTATACTAATAATAAGAGTGTGCTAAAAATTCCCGCCATTGACCGGTATACACTGGCCAGTGATAAAGCTGGACCAGTCGGATAAGAGGAAAACGATGGCATCTGCTATATCCGTCGCATGGGCCATTCGCCCTTTTGGAATGGAAGCAATCTGCTTTTTCCCAAAAACGACATTGGGATCGCCCTCGGGTGCTCCGATAGTAGATGCAGCTGCTAGAGGCGTCTCGGTCGCGCCTAGGATTTTCATTAATCTTAAGTCAATGGGAAGGGATGGCACCAATGATTCCTTACCCGGAGCAACGATATTTATCCTTAACTTGGGGAAATCTCGAGCCCAACTCCGCGTCAGACCGAGAACTGCGTGCTTAGACGCCGTATAGGCTGCCAATCCGGCAACTCCACGAAGAGATGCACCGCTTCCTACGTTGACAATCGAACCCTGGCCCACGCTGCGGATGGAGCCTGGCACGATGCCCGGAGCCTCGATGTCTTCCTGCATTGACATTTTCTGAAAGGCTTCAGTAGCCATGTTCCAGGTACCGGTAACATTGATGTCCAAGGTTCTCTGGTATAAGGCGTCGGTGCCGATCTTGCCTTCCCAGCCGGAAATGCCGGCGCAGTTCACAAGCCCGTCCAATCTGCCTGGAATGGATTCGATGAAGCGCCGGCAAGCCTCTCGGTTAGTCACATCGCAGGGCACCGTTAGATGGACATTTTCTCGATACAAAAACTCGTCGGGAGTCTGAAGGGCAATATCCGCAACGTAGACGACTGCACCGAGGACGAGAAGGGTATTCGTCAAAGCGAGGCCAATGCCGGAACAGCCTCCCTATCGAGTCGTGAGTGAAAATGGATCAGAAAAAGTGAACGGACAAGGAATCAACAAACAGTGACAGCAAATTGGCGCCCAGCAAAGGACGGTCTCTCCATTGCAGGCATGATGCGCTTGAATCTGTGGAAGGACGTCCGTCACACTTTCGATTGCATTGAGATAAAGTGTCGCAACTCTCGCCACAAGTGCGTCAGCTTACATTTGCACTTGGTATTGACGACATATTCAAGGGCCACGGGGTTATCAAAATCCGGCTCAAGTTGTAGTGATCGGCCAGGTGTCGGATCAAGGCGGGGACGAATGTTGCACCAGTGCCCACACAAGGACGCGTTGTTCCGACTGAGGCCGACATGCCCAATCTCACGTATTTATATTTCGGATTTGTTATTGCTGAGAAGGATGTTCAGCTTGTAAATATTATTAAGTCTTCTCGAGTTTGATTCGAAGGCTCACTTTTTTGGAAGCTAAATTATAATTGACCAATCTTATACTGACGAACCCATCCATCAAAATGGTTAAGAGAGCTCTTGTAACGTATGCCGTCGACGTTGACGCGTGTGCAAACTGGTATGTGCTTCGTTACATTTGAATGGTGCTGGCGCATCTTTACTAACAATTTATGCCAAGGATCAACACTCGAGATGGTTCATCAATTGGCGCCACTGATGTCTCTAGAGGCATTTTCGGAGCCAATGTTGGCACCGATCGCATGCTGAAGCTCTTTGCTGATAATGATATTAAGGCATCTTGGTACATGCCCAGTCACACGATTCTTTCCTTTCCAGAACAAATGGCAAAGGTCAGAGACGCGGGACATGAGATGTGAGTTTCCTGGAAAGGATGCTCTTACTAGCTCTCCAACACTATGTGGAGATTAGACCTTCAGTCCACACTAACACCAGTTGCTCCCAGTGGTTTGCACGGCTACACGCACGAATTCGTGAGGTTCTTGACTGAAGAACAGGAAAGAAAGGTCATGGCCAAGTCGATTGAGGTGTACCAGGAATTTACTGGCAAATATCCCAAGGGTTGGGTAGCGCCCGCTTGGGAGGTAGGCTCCAAGACCATGTCCATCTTGGAAGATTTCGGCATTGAGTATGACCATTCCTTGCTGGCCCACGATTGCCAGCCGTACTATGCATCAGATGTTCCTGAAGAATCAAACGTGCATACGGACTATTCGCAGGATCCCGACACCTGGATGAAGCCCATGAAGGAACATAAGCCTACCAAGGTAGTTGAAATTCCAGGGTCCTGGAACGTTGACGACTGGCGTAAGTGACGCAGCAATCCTTTTTCTTTTTTCGATTATTTTGCTACGCAGCTAACATCAGAATCCCTTCTCTCAGCCCCAATGAACTATACCAGACGTCCAGGGACACATGGGTTTGTCAATCCGCGGGACATCGAAGTTCAGTGGAGAGATCAATTCGACTTCTTCTATCGCGAGTATGACACTTTTGTGTTTTGCGTCAGCTGCCACCCGCAAGTCAGCGGTAAGTCAAACGTCATGTTGATGCACGAGCGCTTCATCGAGTATCTGAAGACCAAGGAGGGTGTGGAGTTTGTGACCATGGAGCAGATTTGCGATGAGTTCAAGGCTGGCACACTCGCAGGTGTCACGATCAAGGCTGGTATATAACTCAGCATCTTTTGAAAAAACATAAATAGGAAGGGAAGGCTAAGCCAAACATGTATCATCCACGTCGATTCTGCAGAAAATAATGTCCTTTGCGACCTAGAGGATTCACTTCTTAGACTACTACTTGGTTCTTTAAATCCCCGTGAAACTTGAGAGAGCTCTTTTTGCATGAGGGAATATTCGATTCACTTTAAACCTTTCGCCTTTGCCCGTTTTGAAATTTCACTCTTATGGAGCGTGAAAGGTTCGAGCTAGACTGAATGACGTCAACTACGTGGTGTTCTGAGTCTTGAGACTATCATTCATCGTAACCACCACAGAATAACACGGACTGCAAAGGTGTTCCTATCTCAACTTTCCAACAGGCCACGATATTGATAGAGAACAGTTGTTAATAGTAATAATAATTTGTTGAGTAATTATTAGACAGTATTATTTATTATAATATAATAGGAAGCATTATTATGTGACTGACTGCCACAATAATTCTGTCGAGATGACTTTGCAATTCCTGTTTTTCTGACAGCCACTTGCCCACGTTAAGATGAGCCGTATCAAGATCGCAAATTGAATCGAAATAGCTTGAGTTTATTATAAGCTTCGAACAAAGTATCTAAACCGTTTGTTCTAAAATCCTATCTCTATCTGCTCCTCTATCTCTGTCGGTCGTCCCACAGAGATGACACCCTTCCTGTCGGTGATGTTGTATACCACATTGAACAAAGTGTTCGAGTCATTGTTGCCGTGCTGCCTACGATTGATGGAAGCAGGAAAATTCTGCTCATCCTTGAACAGGTCGAGAAGTGTATCGAACCCAGCCTTTTCTCCCACCTCTTTGGTTGCCAGCTCCCGCAGTCGAGCGGTGCGTTTTGGAGAGTCTTCCAACCATAGAGGTTCGAAAACGCCCTCGTGCTTGAGGATGAGATTATTCGCATGGACAACGCGCCCCATCTCGTCAGCAGGTAGCTCTTGGAATCCAATACTGGTGCATTCGAGGCCGGTCGGTCCTGTGTTGTCACCAAGAAGAATGTGGCTACTTCCTGCTAGACCTACAGCTTGGATCTTGTCTAAGGCTTCTCTTTTTGTCTTAGATTCAAGGATGGTTCGGAGGGCAAAGTGAATGGGCATGCGTTCTGGATTGACGCCCATGGCGCGGATACCGTTCAGCAGGCACCCAACGCCATGTTCATTGAACCCAATCTTGCCAATGATGCCCGCCTCGGTAATCATTTGAAAGGATGGCAAGTCCATACCCGCAACTCCCTTGGGATTGACCCTCAAGACGATGAGGTTGGGCTTCTGCTTCGTCTTCCAGTCCCAGTTTTGGGCTAAGAAGGTAGACCCCGAGGGTGTCCGCCACCCAAGAGTGGTGCAGCCATCCACTCCTTCAATAGCCATGGGCTTTCTTGACTTCTCGTCAAAGAGCCCAAAGGCGATCTCAGTGCGGATGTTGAGAGCTAGAACATCGAGGAGATCTACCCGAGCTCCTTCAGCGATGCCTTCTATTTCCTCAAAGTACCGCGGAAACTTTTCCTGGAGAAATGGCTTGAATTTTGCACACTGCTCTCGTACAGCGGTCCATTCGAGGTCGTTGAAGGCTTTGAATAGGATCCGGTAGAAGTCGATTGATCCAGCGACTTGGACTGCGGCCTGTTGGCCAACGGCGAGTCCAATCTAGGTAGGTTAAAGTATTAGTCAGGTCTCACCGAGTGCAGGTAGTTTCCAAGTCTTCGTCCTCAATTCCACTTACTTCGCGATGGTTCCCTGTCACTGTAATATCGAGCATAATTCCTTATCTTATTCCGTCGTCTACCGGGAACCTAGTCCCCCTTAAACGCACCAACACGTGCAGGCGCATCATGTATTATAAGAATGGTTTGCAGGAGACGTAGACGCAGTTCTCCGACAGCACAGCCAGGGGTGCTTCCTAACTCACAAGTTATTTGTAGGGAGGGGAGATACAGGCGCTCAATTCCGACGACGTGTGGATACGCTGATGCTAGGAAATGCGGAGATGGACGCTGTATCCCGACGCATGGCTGACGCACTATCGTGATTCAATTTATCTGGGGAAGTCTAGACCCTGGAGAATGTTCAACCTTATCATGACTCGCGAGGATATGCTACTCGAAACGAAAATAAAACCAGCCACGCCCCTCGAGCCTCCCAACAAGGAACAACCAAACTGAACCTTGTCAACACTATCACTCGCCTTCATACCAGCAGACATTGGCGCCATGTTCATCCTTTCAAAGCTTCGAAGAATCGTCTGGGGGCAGCCAGCAGAGACCAAAGCCGAGCGGAAGCTCATAGTGAAGCTCGACACGGTTATTTTGTCCTTTTGCTGTCTGATGTACTGGGTCAACTACCTTGACCGCATGAACTTGAACAATGCATACACCAGCGGGATGAAAGAAGACCTCGGCTTCAAAGGCACGGAGCTCAACATCATCAACACGAGTAAGATTAGCCTGATGCCACCCCTTTGCATTCCCATAATTAACTCTTGGTAGTATTCTACGGTGGCTATGTCTTCGGCCAGATCCCAAACAATCTCGCGCTACAGAAGCTCCCCCCACGCATCTATTTCCCGACCTGCGTTATCGCCTGGGGTTTGTTAACCTTGGGAACGGGTTTCGTCCAACACCCGTGGCAGATCATGGCCATCAGGTTCTTCCAGGCCATCTTCGAATCATCAACATTCGTAGGCTGCCATTACATTCTCGGCAGCTGGTACAAAGAAGAAGAGCTGGGCAAGCGAACGGCAATCTTTACGAGTAGTGGTTTGGCGGGCACCATGTTTTCTGGTTTCCTGCAGGGTGGGATCTATAAAAGCTTGAGTAAGATAATAACAACGTGATGCGGATCTTTCCGAGACACACGATGCTAATGAAGGGTCTTTAGATGGCGTTCGAGGTCTCCCTGGCTGGCGATGGCTATTCATCATCGACTTCTGCATCACAATCCCAGTCGCGGCCTATGGCTTTCTCGCGTTCCCCGATACACCCACATCGACACGCGCCCGTTGGCTCACGGACGAGGAAAAGCGGCTGGCCATCGAGCGTCTCCCAGAAGTGAAGAAGAACCGCGGTGCTCTAGGGTGGAATCTCTTCTCCCGCGTGCTCGGAAGCTGGCATTGGTGGGGCTTCGTCCTCATCTGGATTTTCGCCAGTAACACGGAAATGTTTTCCACAAATGCGATCATGAACATTTGGCTCAAAAGCACTGGTGACTTCACCGTGGAGCAGACGAGCTACATCCCAGCGGGAGTGGCTGGCGTTGGGATTGTCGCCACTCTTTTCCTTGGGTGGTATTCCGACTTTACCAAACGCCAGTGGCACGTAGGAATCATCTTGTCAATCACTGCCATCATGTCCGGCGCCATTATGCTGCACCCTCCAACTAGGGGCGCCAAGTTCTTTGCTCTTTTCCTCAACGGCTGCCAGTATGCCAGCCAGACGGTGCTCTTTGCTTGGGCCAACTCACTGACTAGAGAGGACGATGCCAAGCGAGCAGTCATTCTTGGGGGCATGAACTCGTTTGCCATTGCCGTTTACATGTTCTGGTCGCTTGTGTTTTACAACACGGCCCAGGCCCCGGACTGGATGGAGGGAAGTATCGCCATGATGTGTATGGGAGCTGCTCTTTTTATCACAACCATTGGTGTTTGGTACATGGAGAGGCGCGACAAGAACATGACCGAGGTCTATGGTGCGGACCCTGATGCGTCTGTTGAAGGCGGCAGCAACGTGGATGGTAAAGATAACATCAAGATTGGAATCAAGAACTAGTTCAGCCAGTCTGTTGTGTGGATCTAAGGAGCCAAGCGACTGACATAAAACATGGCACACCTAGACACTCCAGCGTTACATTTCAACACAATATCAGAAAATTTAATCTAGTAATAAATACAATATCAAGCTAAATATTGTAGAGTAATTTATTATTCTCTTATTTTTGTGTTTAATAAACAGTGAGGTCCCTGCATTCCGTGAAAAGAGCTCTGTTGTGCCATGTTTTATTTCAGCCCCTTGGGAGTATACTGGCGATTCACAAAAACAAAATCTCTCCTGCTTTTGAGCGAGATGAATACTAAAATGATCTCAGGTAGCAATGAATCGCAGTTGATGGCTTGACCCTCAATCGGGAGGCAATTGCGAGAAACATCAACCATACGGTAAGGTACTCAGCAATCAGTTCCACTAATGAGGCACATGATAAGAGAACGCTCAATCCCGACAGACTGGGGCTAAAAAGTGGAGAATGATAAATACATATCATGAGCACGAGGCGCCTTAAACCGACATCGTCATTCTCCGGATTCTCGCCCGCTACGATCCTATCCCCCGCCGTGTGTATTTCCCGCTCGGTACAGTGTTTGATAGGTAGCCAATCAGGGAATTATGAGGACTACTCGCTCTTCGACTGCCTGCGCGCGGTGTTATAGACGAAAGAAAAAGGTAGTAGTTGCGTTGCTTGCAAACGCGCGTACCTCACCATCCGACCTCACGTTGCCCGAACTGTGCTGATGCATGATTGTAAAGTGCGACGGGAACTATCCCACTTGCTCTCACTGCGAGAGAGCCAAGGTTCAGTGCGTTGGTTTGGATCGAGGCTCGGAGATCGAGGTTCCTCGCAGGTATGTGTACGACTAATATAGCGCTACCTTGAAACTACTATGTTCCACCAACCTCTCATTCTCAGCCCCGTACTTTCTCTCTCTTTGCCACTTTCTTGTTACCTCTGTGCTAAATTCTTTCATGGAATTTAGTCTCGTTTACTACCTAGAAGAACTTGTTGCACAGCTGGAGCTTGAGCGAGGGCGTCTGGCGAGCAATCGACCAGGGTCTGAGGGCACAACATCGCAATGTAATGATATTCAACCGGACCCATCGCTCTTCTCGATTGAAACAACATCAGCAGATAATTTCAAGACTGCTTGTAAACTCGCAGCTATCACAGCCAAGGAGAGCGCACCCGCGTGCTCTATAGGGAACAGACCGCGGCATGTCTTGCCGTACCACAAAGCCTTCTTCATGAGCGCCGAACTCCCTTTCCCCCTTGCCTTTGGGAGTCACCGGACAATCGATGTACCCAACCCATCCAATGGATCAAGCTTCACTCAACTCCCAGACGAAGTTGCAGACAAACTCATGGCTGTCTACCTCAATCGCATATCGCCTCAGTATCCAATCTTTTCGAGAGAAGACGTGAACGACATATTCCAGCGCTTTAAACTGTCTGCAGATAATCCTCAGATGGTAACATCGGACGAGCGTTTCATCATATGGATTATTATGGCTATAGCTGTCCTCTCGTCTACTGCTGACGACTATCGAAAACTGGCCTCAGTTGCCGAGTCGCTGCGTCGGAATGCCTTTAGCCATTTTGACTTCGGGGTTCGGTCTAATCATGTGACAACTACTACGATCCGGCAGCTACTGCTCTTGTTGCAGTACGGATTTCTGCTTCCATCCTCTACCAACCTGTGGCAAATAGCTGGCGATGCAATGCGAATCGCGGTAGGGCTGGGCTTACACCAAGATACTCCTCCCGAGTGTGGCTTTGACGAGGAGACGGCTCAGTCGCGCAAGAAGTTGTTTTGGACAGTGAGTGACTTCCTCATGGCCCGTGACTGATCTCGCTACTTTGCTGATCCATCCCATGTGAAGCTTTACGCTTTTGAGAGATCAATCGCCATCACGTCCCACCGTCCGTACGCTATTGCCGGCGACCAGATTCACACGTCTTTTCTCGTCTCCCAAGACGTTCCGGATACAACAGACGATACAAGTGGGAAGACACCGTATATAAGATTCTTTGATCGCCTGGAATTTCTTCGCATACAGTCGGAGATATGCTCAGTGAATATTGGAATGCGGCCTCTGCCAAACTTGCATCTGACCCACGAAGCTTGGATTGCTGGCACTGAGAGAAGGATTTCTGATGCCATGGCTCATGCGGTCGATCCTGACTGGCGCATGTTCATGTGCAGACACGCTACCCTGCTCCTTCATATGCCTTGTGCGCGTAATCCCACACCATGCGGCCGCTCCATCCTGAAATATTTTGATGCGGCCGTTTGTACGGCCAGAGCCTACTGGGATTTGATCGAGTCGAACAACTTGGACTGTCCCTGGCATGCAACTCACCATTGCTATGAGGCAGGGAACCTAATCCTCTATAGTCTGTGGCATTTTCGCGACCTCATTAAAGGGCACTTTACGACCAATCAAGTCTTTGAAGTTGTTCACCAAATATCTGGATTCTTCGTACGTAGCCACAAATGATGGAGCATGAATACCCTCCTAGCCTTTATGCTAATATCACGAATTCTTTAGATACTTGTTGCCACAAGATGGGCGGCAGCTCAGCACTGCGGTTTACTTTTCGACCGACTACGAACAGGGGCTCTGAGCTTTTTCAGGGACGAAAGCACTTCTGACCCTGAGCAAAGCTTCGAAGCCCGGCAATTGAGGGAGCTTGTCTTTAGGGAAAATGCTGACCTTCTTTACGCCCGCGAACAGCCTTCACCGTCAGCAATAGGTCCGTCGACATTTCCGACCGTCTTCCCCGAATTCGAAATTGACCAGCTGTTTGTCGAAAATAATACTGACTTTCTAAACTTTCTGCATCTTTCGGATGATGTTCCCGTGTTTGATGAGTCTTGTCCAGAGGACTTGGAAATGGACGTGGAGCACTTCGACCTTCCGCTGGCTCCCCAGAGTCCTAGCTTAGACGAATCCAACGAGCCAAAGAAATTGATGTTTGATGAAGCTCAGTTTCGGGCACTTTTGCAAAAGATTCCGGTTTGCTCACATTGCAAGAGACGACGCATAAAATGCGATATGAAGCTTCCTTCCTGTGCCAATTGCACCAAGTTGAACAGGGAGTGTTGCTATTGGGACCGGGCATCGGGTGAAGAGACATCTCGCAAGTGCGTGACTATTCCTTGATCGATCTCAGAAGATAATTCAAGTTTACGCTGTTAACCTACTTATAGCCATGTTCACGCCTTGAAACTTCACGCGGAAAATCTCATGATCGATATCAAGGAACTTCAGCGCCCCATCTTTGTCTCAGAGGCATCAAGAGCAGCCCATGTTCTAGGGACGCTTGTTATGGCACAGCCAAAGATGGCAATCAACCAGCCACGCTATCCCAACATCTTATCCGGGGGATCGTTGGATCCAGCTCCTGAAAATGATATTGCACCATATCCACTCTTCTTTGGGCGCACTAGTTCGTTTGCTCGTCTAGTAAACACAGTTGGACGGGCAAGCCTTTTATCGAAGGACCTCGGAATCGCGACATCTACTATCTGGTCTCCCGCACCCTCTGAGACTCTATGTAGCTCTATAATCCTCAACGTGGCAACCGGCATGCCTCCTGACGAAGCCAACAATCTTGCGTGGCACTATTATCGATCGATCGAATTGATCTATCCTATCCTAGGCCAGGACCTGCTTCGCCAGACGCTGGACCTCGCCTACAGTAGTCCTAGCAACAGTACAACCGGAAAAGGAAGTTTGGTTCATGTCCGTCTCTATTTGGTTCTCGCTATTTCCCTGTCGTTGATTGGCGGGAAAGACCAACGGCTACAACTAATAGCAGATGCGTACTTTGCCGAAGCAGTATCTACTGGGATCTCGGGAGACTACTTTGTCTTTCCAACAACAGAGGCTTTGCAGCTGGTGCTCTTGCTGTGCATATACGCATGGATGTGCCCCAGTGCTATGGATATCTGGAGATTGCTGGGCCACGCATCGCGGATGTGTCTAGATATCATGGAGGTGCATGGTTCAGATAAGACACGTTCCTCCACTGCGAGCGAGCTTTATCGCACGCTGTATGCACTGGAGAACCAAGTATGCATCTCCCTCGGGAGGCCGCATCAACTTCCTGATGGGGATGAACCGCCTGGATGCTCTCCTGATGCAGGTCCCATGACCGTAGGTGAAATACCGTCAATGGTGTATAAGCTCTCTCGCCTTCAGTGCCGACTCCATCGAGACGCCATTGGTCATCCTTCGGGTTGCGAGATCCCGGATCCTACATTAGAGTGTTCTCCATGGTTAACATCTTGCGTCGGCGAAGTCAAGGCCTGGCTTGAGAATTGGAATGCAGGAGTCGAGACGCTCTGCCATGTGTTCCCATCACCATACAAAGGCGACTTGAAACCGTTGCTGAAGTATTGGGGCGTGTCTCAGTACTTCCAAGCTGTCCTTCTAGCCAAGGTAGTAGCAGACCAACGAGAGGAAGCTCTTATCTCGAGCGAAGACGAGCTGGGCGCTTGCAAAGAGTTGTTATATGCCATTGACACTCTCTGTCAAGGTTCGACCCCATCAATTAGGGGTTCTCTGCCTCCCAGCACGTTGTCACAAGTCTTTCCTTGGACATGGACCCATTCCCATTTGTTATACACTGCTCTAACGCTACTGCTACAGTATATGCAGGACAGCCAGGTACCCGATAACGAGACGCGGCGGCTCTTCCACACTAATGTCGAACGGTTGGTATCTTTGGAGCAACTGGGCAGCCCAGGCGCGACGGGTCTTGCCAGTTGTCTCAACAAGTTAATTCCGCAAGATCACTGAATGACTGGTCTTGTGACAATCAAGTTTGCATTTCGTAGCATCAAAGCTGCCTCACATATCTGTGCCGCGCATCTTCCTACTCGAGGCCACGGGCTGCTATGAGACTTGCCTCATTTGTGAATGGTCTAATGACGGCCTGAAATTGAATACAGCATGGATTGTTTTACGCTCGGAAAATGGAAGCTTTGACTTTAAGCTCGCATCCATTCATATCGACCTTTCTGAGGCTCGCTGTAATATGATTTCTGGTTCAAGTGCCAATGATTTCACGCCAGCGCCTACCGTGGAGAATCCCAATATCTTCAAAGGTCGGCACATATTCCACGGACCCGAGTATTATTCCTTTGGGCCCTATCGGTCAGGAAAATAGCATGTTCAATCTTGTCCCGACCGTGAGATCCACTACTGCGCACATGCAACAAAATACAATATCTATGTTGATCGCTTTCAGCAAATTTTTGTTCGAGATTGTGCGAGTAAGCTAAGAGAGGAGCAACGGTCGATATCTACCGATGAGAAAATGGACGATGAGCCTTTTGTCTTAGTGCACGGTGATGTTCAACTACTAAAAATCCTGATCAACGGTTATATAACTGCAGCCGTTCTTTGTTGGTAGTTTGCATGGATGGTCCCATTGAGCAAAACACTGTCGGGCGTTGTTGCTTTTGTTGAGCCTAATACTGCTGAGTTAAACGCAGAAAATATGATTTAGTGTCACATTATCCGGATTTTCTTTTTTCAGTAGGAAGCGGAGTCAAGGAGCCAAGCTGAGATAGATTTAGTGATGGGGCATGGGAATCGTCCGTCAGCTTGGACTTACTTGAACCGAAAGCTTCCCTGGGCATGAAGGTTTGACACTGGCCTGAGACATCTCACAGTCTCGTATCCACTACTTTTGGCCGGGTATTTACCTTATTTCGTCAATCAAATGAAGAAATAATCGGCAAAGATGTGCCTTATACTGATGGCTGGAAGGTGACACTGTTAAGTGATTGGCGATGAGGATGATATCATATCTATATCATATTTACGAACGATAAATAATACCTCTTCGTAGTCCAATCAAGCTACATTTTGCGAAGCTCGGACTTCCACAACAACCGAACCCTGTAATGTCGTTGACAACCCTTGCCCGTCCTACTACTAACTGGGATAGTCAAGGACGAGTTGTGGTAAAAATAGCTCCTTTGATCACAGGCGGTCAGCAATGAGCCTTGGCTGCATTTCTTACACATGGCTGAAACGGACTTCAACCAATAGAACAGTATACCGCTCTTTGTCTCAATTAAGGATGCAGCATCCCAGCACCTGGAGTGCCAACCCCTCGACCCCCCCGCAGTAAGCAAGAGGCCAAGCCAACACGCATCGTAGAAATTCATTTCTTCTTTCTTAGCAATCAATGCTCTCAACTCAAACTTCTGGTTGAGCGTCCATGACCAACCATGGACACGACAGGAATGAGAAAGCCCGGGCTGTCCGCAGAGGTCACACAAACCTATGCCTCGGTGCCATTCATCAAAGAAGATGATGGACAGACGTATAACCATACTACATCGTATCCGACGCAATCTGGGCGGGTAGCCTCACCGTTTCGATGGTGGACCCTCGAGATGCTCTCTTGCCTGGGTGCGGTCGCGTGCATGGCCGCCATTGTTGCCATCCTCATCGTCTACGACGGCAGGCCGCAGGACAGCTGGCCAATCAACAATTTCAGCATCAACAGTATGGTGGCCTTGCTGGCCACGTTTTGTCGCACATTCTTCATGGTTGGTGTCGGTGCAGCCATATGCCAAGGGAGATGGCACCAATTCTCCTCTCGGCATGATGATTCAAGCTTCACCCTAGACGACTTTGGTCTATTTGAGCATGCGAGTAAAAATCCGTTTGCAAGTTTGTGGTTGATATGGAGATTCAAGGGCCGGTAAGTAGCATCCTAGTACACAACGTCTCTTGCATTTTTGTGCTCTTCCTCTATCCAACGTCCTCTGATTGATTCACAGCAACACGGCTTGTATCGGAGCAGCCCTTTCGGTATTCGCCCTCGCTTTTGGTCCGTTTTCTCAGCAAATGATTACGGTAAGGCTTGATACTGTGGAACAAGCATCCTCGGGATCTACTGGAGCAGTGTCACGAGTTTCACTGGTAAATTCCGTAATCGGTTTTAGCAATTCATGTATGTGTCATGTTTCGTCAAATTACTCTTTCTCTGGATCCTCATATATCATATGCGGGGGATATTGGTCAGATGACTGCAGATACCTGATGTCATGTCGTTCACACCGGCGTCCATTACAAGCCAACCTGCAACTGAATAAACTAACTGAAACTAGGGAGCCCGATTTCAAGCACCAAATTGGCGATTTACAATGGATTCATGGCTCCAGAGATTGATATCCCCTCGACTGTTTGTCCGACGGGAAACTGTACCTGGCCAATCGTTCCGACCGTTGGGGTTTGCGGAGCTTGCGTCGACACGACGCCAGACATTAAGTTCAACCGTTCCTCTGGATCATACTGCTCTGTAACCGCCGGAAAACTAGAAGTCAAGGGCCAGTGTGGGTTCAGTGACTTTGGAACGGTCTTCAAGATCGGAGCGGGCTCGGGTAAGGTCTTTTCCTTGGAAGATGTACCTCTGGAAGCCGACGCACCCAATGTCATTGCCGAATTTGGAGCGATAGGTGTCCCAGCGAGCCTGACACCAGAGGCGACACTCAACAAGTCGCTCGCTGCCGAGTGTGCTGTGTGGTATTGTCTACAGGCGCGCGAGGTGAACGTAGAGATGGGTGTGCTCAGTGATAGGGTTGCCGAGAAATGGCACAAGGCCAATAGGACGACCGGGGCCAACGATCCGACATCCAATGTCACTTTCACCGATATCCCAGCATCATTCAACGCGGATTCTAAGGACACGTACGGTCTGGGATATATGCAAATGTACGGCATGGAAAGTTATTTCAAAACCATCGTCCAAGGCAATGTTAGCGCCGATGGTACTGTTGGTACTAAATCCTCCTCGACTGATTACGCAGAGGGCTTGCACAACGGATTCGACGACATTTCAAGCTGGATGGAACGTCTGACCCGGAGCATGACCAACGAGGCCCGGACGAGCGGAAACGTGACGACAACAAGGAACAACCGATCCTCCCAGGATAAGAGCGAGCGATACTCGGGTACCGCGCTATCAAACCAAGCAATGTTCTATGTACGCTGGACGTGGATCATCTACCCGGCTGCAGTGGTTCTGATATCGGTTCTGTATCTGGTCCTTGAAATTGTGCGCACCGCCAGCATGCACGACGTAAGGCCTTGGAAGGACGACCCGCTGATGCCCCTGTATCTGGACCTGGATGAACAGCTCAAGCAACAAGTCTACCAAGGGTTGACGGAAGGCGGGAGCGCAGCCTCGCGTGTTAGCCATCACCCACTACAGGTCGTCAGGTGGCACGATGGGTTGCCAGTAGGTCTTACCGTTAGAAGGCATTAATCTGCCTTCGGAATATCTACCTTTCCAACGGGATTGTTATAAGAATGGAGATATTCAGCACGGAACCCTACCTTAGCGAATGAACAAGAGGCAAGGCAAGACAGGACAGTGACTACATTCCAGCTCTTCCAGTGAACTCCATTGCACCACATAACTAACAGCTGCTAAACTACTGTTGAACCGCTTGATTCTTAATGTTCTATGCTATCTAACCCTTTACGACGAGCTGAAAAGAAACTCGTTCCGTCCTCTGATTTCCCAGTTCTGAGCTTCGGGACACCAGTCAGCCCCGCCATTCCCTGCCGCCAGGGCCACCTGTTTCTGAAACAAAACCCTTCTGTTGACCACACCTAGCGCAGGGTTCTGATCAAAGAATTCACTAGGCCCTAAGCTAACCTTGGTGTCTCTTGCAGCATGACGGGGTTGCGGTAGGCTAGAGGTGACACAAAACTAACTGGATGGTTAGAAAATACTAGAGAGATGTGTACTTGTAATACGCAGCTTATCACACAAGAATTCTGGTGATTCGAGATCGCGGCTGCAGCTAAAACGGGTCACAGTGGTCATTTTAAGATAACGCTCCCCCGTGTTTCGAGGGTTAAACCCCCTGCCAATATAACGTTTAGGGTTCGACACAGCCGGAGCCTTTCGGTCCGCACTACCCGTTTGCCTAATGGCCCGCGCAGGGCTAGACGCAGCCAAACTCGATTTGTTTCAAAGCACTGATGGTCTGATATACCACGCAGATGAGAGTGTTTTAAAAACTAAATATGCTCCTATCTCTCTCACCCAGACCTGGGATTTCAGTCCATCATTCACTACAACTTTCGTTTTATTTTCTTCTGCAGGTGATCCCGCGGAGCTTTTATTCATTCTTTTGTACCGTCTGGTTACGGTTTATATTTCTGCCCAATGATATACACTACCCTCCTGATTGCTTTGTCACTGGTGACTGGCACGTTCGGAGCAGCTCGAACAAGTCCACCCTCAGGTGCCATCGTCGTTGCCAAGTCGGGAGGAGACTACAAGACAATCCAGGAAGCTGTTAATGCTGCCTCCGCTTCCGAGGCAGTCATATTCATCCAGCCTGGGACCTACGAGGAGCAGGTCCTGATAGCATCAGGGGCCGGCGCTTTAACCATCTATGGCTATACTGAGGATGACCAAGATTATAGCAAGAACGAGGTCATTCTTACACATAGCCTGGGTGCTGACGAGGCAGGAAACAACGATGCTTCAGGCACCCTTCGCGCTAAGAACGATGGACTCAAGGTGTACAATGTCAACATCGAAAACTCGCGTGGAAAGGGTATCCAGGCCATTGCGTTGAGCGCATATGGGAGCGAGCAGGGCTATTATGGTTGCCAATTCCTTGGGTATCAAGACACGATCCTTACGAGTAAAGGAAATCATTACTTTCATGGTTGCTATATCCAAGGGGCTACAGACTTCATCTTCGGACAGGACTCTATTGCTTGGTTTGAGAGTTGCACCATCGGTATCAGTGCCAGTGGTTACATCACTGCTAATGGGCGAGACGAGGCCAGCAACCCAGGGTGGTATGTCATCAACAAGGCAACCGTTAAAGCTCTTTCCGGTGTCAAAGATGGAGCGACCTATCTTGGACGCCCGTGGCGCGAATATGCTCGGGTCGTCTTCCAGAATAGTGATCTTGGCGCTGTGGTTAACTCGGCCGGCTGGTCAACCTGGGGAAGCACACCAACAGACAACGTTTACTATGGGGAGTTTGGAAACACAGGAGAAGGCGCCAGCGGAACACGAGCCAGCTTCTCCAAGAAGCTTGACAGCGCTGTTTCTGTAGGTGACATTTTGGGCTCCACCTCATGGCTAGACTCGAGCTATATTGGTGGCGATAGTTCTGGAGGCAATGACGACAATCAGACAGCTACTAGCAGTGCTGTTGAAAAGAGCAGTACTATTAGTAGCACTGCCGCAACCGTTAGCACTGTCACAACACGTAGCACTGTTACCAAACCTAGCGCAATCGCAACCGCTAGCACCGTCACAACATCCAGCACCAGTGCTAACAGAAAGTGTGGTGCAGCTACCACACTGCAGACAGTGACAAGGCAGACCTCTGCCTCAAAGGTCGAAGGCGACGCTACTTCTGTCGTGAGTGCTACTTCTTCTGCCGCGAGTGCTACTTCTTCTGCCGCGAGTGCTACTTCTTCTGCCGCGAGTGCTACTTCTGCGACCCCAAGAGCATCTGCTACGCCAGGCGCCGACGATTGTAGTGGAACACCTGATGGCTTTGCCTCTCTTAACGGCGGAACGACTGGCGGTGCTGGTGGCGAAGTTGTCACAGTATCAACCCAGGCCGACTTGGAGAAGTATGCCAAAGAGTCTGCCAAGTACATCATCAAGGTCAAGGGGGTTATCACCATAACTCCTAAGGGCACAGAGATCAAGGTCTCCTCGGATAAGACTATTGTTGGCATTGGCAATGATGCAGAGATTAATGAGGGTGGTTTCAATCTCCAGAATCAGCGCAACGTCATCTTCCGCAACATTAAGATTGGTAACACCTATGTTGAAGGTGACGATGAGGGCAAGACCCAAGACTGGGATGGAATCCAAATGGTAAGTCTCTCAGTAGAGCTCACTGGGTGATAAGAAGTAATTAACACAATACGCAGGACAATTGCACTAACATTTGGATCGATCACGTCCACCTGGAAAAGGGCGGCGATGGCCTGATTGATAGTCGCAAGGATACCACCTTTCTCACCGTATCTTGGTCTATTTTGCGGAACCACAACAAAGCATTTGGAATCGGTAATACGCCCCAGGCAAAATTACTGCTTTATTCTTCCGTCCATGATGCTAACTATGAGCTAGGCTGGACCGATAACGTTGTGGCCGAAATGACAATCCACCACAACTTCTTCGATCAGACCAAGCAGCGAAACCCTTCCGTTGACAATGTCAAATACGCACATCTCTACAACAACTATCTCGTCGGGCAGACTTCCTATGGCCACTACGCGAGAGGGCAGACTGAGATGAGAATGGAAAATTGTTACTTCAAGAAGGTCAAGAACCCAATCACCTCCGACAGCACGGCTAAGCTGTACGCCACGGGCAACAAGTTTGACGGGACCTCTGGTACGCAGGCCAAGAATACCGGCACTGTATTTGATCCATCCGAGTTTTACGAGTATACCGTGGATGCCGTGGAGGAGGTCCCTGACATTGTCTCAGAGGGAGCTGGTCGACAAGCTAGTATTTGCCCTAGCTAGAGGGATATCATTAGTTGGATACACTTTATTAGCTGTAGCTTAGTTAATAGGAAATTGACCTGACTGATAACATGTAATCGCGTAATCATGGTTTTGTGGCGATTTAAAGAGACTAGGGAGAGCCACTCCTGCTTCATTGGTTCAATTAGACGACATCCCCTACAGCAAACCCAGGCACCCATATTTCATCATTATTACCCATTATTAGCCTTTTTAGATTGAAGATGCTTATCGAACATATAATCAAGACGAGCTCATCGCCCAGGTGGCTTGGTTTCTGAACTGTTCGATGACTCAAGTTACTGTGGTACCTACTGGACGATTTGCCCCTTCAACCCAATCAACATGACTTCTATCAACCCTCCTGCAGTTTTGGGAGCTTTGAATAAGAATGATTCTGCTCCGGTGTCGAAATCTCTACTCCAAGAACCTCTGGAATACAGTGGAACTCTCGATCAGTACAACGCGTTTGATGTAACGCCAGTCATTGGCCGAGAGTTTCCCTCCGTCCAATTGAGTGACCTCCTGAAGGATGAAGCCAAGATTCGAGACCTTGGAATAACAGGTACCGATATGATCCATATAGAGTCATAAGAACAATCAGCTAACGCCTGAGCAGTTGCCCAACGAGGCGTCGTCTTTTTTCGCAACCAAGATCTCTCAGTTGAGGACCAAAAGATTCTGGGACAGAAGCTTGGGCTTCTGACAGGCAAACCCGAGACTTCCGGGGTAATTGATGACACTCCAAGTATTCTAGGATCATAGAATTAATTAAAAATCCGAGTAGTTGCATCGTCATGCTGTCAACAACAGCAAGCGGGGCGTGGCGGTTGACAAGGAGGGCAATCGTGACGACGAGATTTCTGTCATCTCATCCGAGGTACTTGAGATGCGGCCACCTTATTTACCACGCCTTGTTCTAACTTTTCGACCCTCTTAGCAAAACAAGAAGTTTTATAATGGAATCTTCACCGTCAATTCCAAGAAGATTGCAAGCCACGGGTGGCATGCCGAGTAAGTCCCACTCAAGTTATAAAACCCAACGACTAATTGTTATGAAGCATATCCTTTGAGCCAGTCCCGTCCGATTACACGATTTTGAAGATACACACCTTGCCCCATGATGCTGGTGGTGATACATTATGGGCATCAGGTTATGAGGCATATGATCGTCTCTCCCCTGCTTGGCAGAAGTTTGCAGAGAGCCTCACTGCTACCCATGCTCAGGTTGGTTCCCCTGTTACCAGGTTTGATTCTAAACTGATTATTAGTACAGCCATACTTTGGGAAATTGGTAGAAAAGCATGGGCTTGAACTCATCGAAGAGAATCGCGGGGCACCAGACAACTCTGGGGTGGACTTCAAAGCGTCACAGTACGATTCGAACCTGGTTTCCAGTGGACATTGAGCTAACATCGACGTAGCCCCGTTGTGCGAACTAATCCAGTGACTGGGTAGGTACGTTCAAGATATTCTGCCGAGCCTTTAGTTGACAATCTCAAGGTGGAAGAGTCTTTTTGCTAGCGGATCTCAGATTCGGGACGGCGGGTTTGACAACGTCACAGAACGGGAAAATGAGATACTCAAGGCGTATTGTCAGTACCTTTTATTCATTTGTATATGAACAATTTCTAATTATCTTTAGTTCTTGAGTTGGTTTCCCAAAACCATGATCTACAGGTTCGGTTCAAGTGGAGACTCAACGACGTTGCGATCTGGGATAAGTAAATCTCAACGAATTTTCGTCTTTCAGAGTGGCCTGTGCTAATATATCTTTGCAGTCGGTCCGCCTTCCATACCGCTACATAGTGAGTTTCCATGGAACCGTTGAACGTAAAACCCCTACTAACGTTCCCTAAAGCGACTACCATGGAAAACGTCAAGGTAATAGGGTCGTGTCTGTAGGCTCCAAGCCGTACCTTGACCCTAATTCAACCTCGCGACAGGAGGCTATCCACAGGCTTGAGAGGGATAATAGCAAGAATAAGACTTAATGTGGCTGGTGCTAAATAGGTTGACTCTGCTGGTACGATGTGAACGAAGTCCTCGGCCATGTCCTTGACTTTAGGATCTGCTGTTTTGTAGGCATGGAAGTTGTCTAGTCACAATCCTACCTGACGTTCTAATGATTGATTAGAGTTCAAGATGTCTTGAAGACAAGCCTAACGGAGAGGTAATGCCCCATGCTTCAAATGGCCATTGCAAAAAGCTGTTTTATCTACTTTTGTGTTCCCTTAATTCTACATGCGTCTCGTACCTGCTGCTTGATTTAAATGTGCCTTTGACGAAAGGATTTCAAACTAATAGGCTGGGGACTGGGAGTGTTCCTATTGATATGGCCCTCATGAGTGCGTTTGTTTGTACCCAAGTTCGCATTGCTGGGCTTCACTTTGACTTTTACGAAACTAGCTGATATTGCATGCTGTTAGAAAGAGGAGTGCGAGGATGTGCGCTGTGTGTTTGGGAGAGATAAGTGGGTTGGTATTTAGCCAGCCTAGTTATCTATCTCCCTTTCCCATCTCCTCCCTTCCCCTCCGCCCTATTTATATATTTATTGCCACCTAGCTAATCTTCTAATATGGTTACCCAGCTAGATGCAATCTTTATAGCTAAGTACAAGGCTAAAGTTTAAAATATCATAACCCTATGTTTAGTATTAAGTTATTAATTACTTAGTATTTAGGTATTTCCCCCCCTCTTCTTTTTTGTAGTAGCCACTGCTAAACTATACAGCTCCCTCCCTTGGTACTCATTATAGATTATTAGAAAGTTTAGGGATTATAATGTGATAACTAAGCTATGGGAATGGAAAATGCATAGGTTGTTAGGCATTTTGTACCACAGAATACCAATGGTAGCATCTGCTTATATTAACGAGGTGTTTCGTTATCACAGGGAGACACTGATTTAAATACCATCCGTGAATATCAAGTTCCAAGAAATCTTTTTCGCTGACTGTAGCAAAAGGTTCAGTATCTAACCACACAAGCATACACGAGATGTTACCTCGCCAGCGTTCTCTCTCATTGTGTTTTCAAAGCTTAAGAAGCATTTCTATTGATGCTATACTGTCTGATCCCCTCCACCTCCCATTTGTGTGTTGAAGTGTTTGGATTGGTGTAAGACGAACGAAGGAAGCCAGGTGAAAGAGGGCATGCTTTATAGTCATTCGACGAGCGGCTCGTCCCGACGGCAAGTGAGTCATCGGTGTGAAGGTTTATAGGCTTTTTTCTTTTCACATAACTGCAGCCTTGGGCTAGCAAAGGCTTTTTTTGAAACTCTGGTACTCATTGTATTAAGATGTCGGGTCTAGCATCTTCCATTGTTGTTCAACTTTATACTCGAACTCTCTTCCGTTGCCTCGCCAGTGAAGTTCAAGAATTTGGGACTTTGTCAGTTTCCTTTTTTTTTTGGAAAGCAGTTTTCCGACTTGTGTTAAGCGGCTCGGACCTCGTCGTCAACATAAACCCGGCCCTCACGAGCAGCCTTGTTGCGTGCCTTTTTGACTCGTCGAACCTGCGTCTCCAAATCAAAGGTCAAGTACCAACAAAGCAGACCGAGGAGAAACCCCCCGCCTAGAGCACCGACACAGATCCCATAAGATTCCTTGTATCCCGACGTAGCCCACTGGGAGCGAAAGATTTGGGGCCCGATAACACCGCCAAGCTGGCCTATGGAATTCGTGATGCCGAACGCTACAGCAGTTCCCGTGGTACCTTTCAAGCTCGAAGATCGCCCTGCACTTTAGTTAGTGGGGTTGAAACAAGGAGCATTCTGAGCTATTGGTACTTACAGGGCCAATATGAAGTTCCCCAAGCATGAGAGAACATGCTTCCCAGAATACATGCTGCGTACACCGCCGCTTTCTGCTGCGTTGCTAGAAATATGATGAAGCTCAACAGCTCGCAACCCACGACTGGGTTTAAATTAGCAGTTGATATCTACGTGAGTAAAGTGATGCATCCAGAACTTACTAGTTAAACAGAATAATGGCCGGGGAACCAAGGCACGCTTGTAGATAAAGTGTATCGAGATGATAAGAATCATCGATAAGAAAGAACCGGGCTTTTAATAGTCAGATACTTAGTATAGATATTGGTTTAAAGGGTCTCTCACTAATAGGAGTAGTAAGTTTCGTGGAACGGTAACAAATCCGAGGTTCGTCACAATATTGGGCTATTGGTGTAAGCAGAAGTTTGATGCAGCATAATAGGTTAACTCACAAGGAACCACGCGATGCCGTAGGAAGTGGTCGACATGCAAAGCATCATGAAGGTAAACGACCAAAGGCGAGGGTCTTTGAGAGTGATTAGCGTTTCCTGGAGAGAGAAGGGCTTGTCTGACAACCGAGGCGCATTCGTAGTGAGACGGAGCTCTACAAATTCTTGCTCCCTAGGGCTCAACCACTTGGATGTTCGAGGCGACCGTGGATAGTCCGGGTGATAGAAGTAGACGATGATTCCGAATATCACGGTTGCTACCCCTTCGAGTAGGAACACCCTATCTCAGAGCTTAGCCCATGTTATCAGAGAGTAAACGGCTTGATAACTTACCATTGCCATGAACTTAGACCCTGCTTTCCATCCAAATACGACATTCCGTAGGCAAGCAATTGCCCAATAATGTTCGAGAATTGATCAATAGAGTGTACCCAGATCATCGGCCTTGCAAGCTCATCGCCACGGTACCAGCAGGTATAAAAGGTCATGATTGCCGGGAACATACCCGCCTCTGCAATACCGATCAAGACACGTAGCGCGTAGAGAGCCTCCTTAGTACTGACTGCAGCGTGAAGCGCAAGTATAATGCCCCAGGTAATAATGATCCTTGACTGAAACAATCTGGGGCTCATTTTCTTGAAGAGCAAGATAGTGGGAGTCTCCAAGAGGACATAGGGTATCTATAGAGGAATGAGGTTGTGAAAGCGTCATTTAGGATGGATAAACCTTACGTAGTAAGCAGTTTGTACCCAGGCGTACTGATCAGAAGTCATCCCAAGTTGATTCAATATGTTGGTTGGCTTCCCAATAGCCATCACCTTGACCAACGCTGCGTTATTCGTATCAATCTGGGTTCATTAGCGATTGCATTTGTGGCATTTGTGGCATGTAGCGCTTTACCTGCTTGATGGAGTAGATAAGTCCCACGAGAACGACAATGTGAAGGTCAACTTTGCGCATGATCTTTTGCTCCTCTTCAATAGTAAAGGAGCTGAGGAACTCCGTACGGTATTCGGCTTTATGGCGTTCATTGTCGGCGGAATCGGGAGCAGTGACGGCAACATCGACCGTCGGGGGATCTTTCGTGGTTGCATCCAGCGATGAGGCTGAGGCATTCGGCGCCATTTTAACAACTGAAGTGAAAAAAGGTGTCGTTGTTCAAAGAAAAAAAAACGTGTTGTGCGAGTAGAAGCAACGTAAAATTGAACGCGGGCTGCTAGAGGTTGAAGTTATAAACATGCCGAACTGGAGTTAGCAGCCTTGTTCCTGTATTCGGTGCCTTATCCTTGGGATGACATAATTCCTGTAAATTCAATAAGACAAGCCATAATCGTTTGTTACAAGCCACAACAGATGATCATTATGACCAGTGACGGGAGGGGATGGCGTGCGCCCTGGAGGGTGGAACCTCGGAATCAACGCTAGGTTAAATTAGAGCCTGGTGCCTTCATTCGTGATTACCATTAGGAGTTACTATGATTGGTTATAATGGACGATGGACGTGATTACTTCCCCAAGCCAAGCAACTAGAAATTGCGTGATGGGCACCCCAAAGCACGCACTCTGATAGTAGACGGGGCAGGTTGCAACAGACGAGAATGATAGATGCCCTCGTTTGCAGTCTTGGAAATTTGCGCAAATCAAGGCAGGATGGCTGTAGCGGGTGACGATGGACATTCGAATTCTGGGAATGGAGATGGCCCAGCAAGGAGACGCAAGTCATCTGGGCGATCTAAATCAGGTTTGAGCAGCGTAAAGATTTGAGTCTCTGGGCTATGCTAACCCATTCTGACCCTGGGATACAGGATGCTTGACTTGCAGGCAAAAAAGAGTAAAATGTGATGAAACAAAACCAGCCTGCCAACGGTGCAGCAGGTTATCACTCAACTGCCTGTGGTCCTCCGGTGTGCCGTCATTGGGGGAACGTCGGAGAGGATTCGGACCTCTGAAGTCACGCTCGTCTCACGGCTGGACACCTACATCTATCTTACCTGCGTCTTCATTTCCTCATTCTCAGGCTCTGAGGCAGGCGGATGATACTACCTGTCATGTCTCCAGCATTCAGATTGAGCCAAGCTTGACGACGGCAGCGGATGTTGATCTGAACGTTGATCCAAGTAATGCAGCCCCTATGGATGACTCTCCACAAGACTGTACTCTGTGGGTTTCCGATCTCTTCAACACTGCAGTTGGCACGACAGATCTGCAAGTTGATGTTAACGATGCTGAGATGGAAAATGAGCAGGTCTCGTCATGGAATTCTCCCGGCGACTCGCATTTCATAGGGCTTGAAGACTTGTTACCTTCCAAAAACACACCCATCCTTGACCTCACGTATCTAATGCCAGATGACATAGCTCTATCTATGCTAGATCGACAGGCTATCGATTTTTACACCTCAGACTTCTCCCACATTCATATCACCAAACGGTTTCCGTGGTCCACAAACGCTCTGCTGCTGCGACTTGGCTACGAAACACCTATTGTTATGAGATTCCTTCTAGCCGCATCCCTAAATGAACTCCATCGTCGAGAGTCGGCTCCTAGTGTTGAGTTTAAAGAGCTGGCAGAAGTTCATTTCAAAATTGGGTGCTCTCACTTCTCCGGGTTGGTGCCCAGAGGAGACGGGATTCCGATTGATCCTCGGCCCGTCCTCGCCTCCGTGTTCTTCGCCTTTCTCTACCTTTCTCGAAGGAAATCTGTCGACAGGTCGAAAATCAGGTCATTGAGTAAAACTGCCTCGGACTACATACGAGAGCATGAGCTCGATACCTTGGGTACAACTTCCGTTGAGCCAGTGCCACTGGGGGCGTCGTTGGTTCAAAAGTTTGACAGTCCTAGCGACAAGCGACTCATCTCTCAATTAATGCGATGGATATTTTTCAAAGATGTTCAGATGGCTTTTCATGGATGTGGTGGGAGTGTAGCTTCGCATATTCTTGGCGCTGTAAAGAGCCATGACAGGTTAAGCCGAGCTTCAAGCTCCTTAGTGAACAACATCTGGGGCGCCAGGTATGTTTCACTGACACGTTGGTCAATTTTCCACCCCAATCCGTGGATGACTCTTCAATAAATTCCATATACCGTCCACTGACAGGCGCGGACAGTTATCCTGAGTCAGAGGTAATAGATGACTTACAGAATGCCTCCACCACTGATTGCCTGTACCAAGTCTTCACTATCATGCAAGAGGTCAACCAGTTTTCATCAAGTCCCGAAACAGAGCCCGCATATGCTACAGATATACAGAGGAAGCTCCAAATGATGGAAACAGTAAGTTGGTAGCTGTTGTGACCAATGGGTGATCTCTCTCTAACACCCCCTTAGAAATACCAAGCCTTGTTCCTTTTGTCACCGAGCAAAACTAGCCCTCGGAGCCCAATGCTCATTAATGTAGACTTGACGATTTCTAGATTTCACGCAACCAGAATTTACTTCTTCCGGGCCGCCCTACCTGTCCATACGCAATGTCCGCCAGGAGAAGCACTACCAGCTGCAGTGCAAAACAGTCTCTCGGCGATCCTAGCCATAGCTCATGGCATGTTTGCCTCTGAGCTACCAAGTCCGTACGAACGGTTGCAGTGGCCGCTCTTCATGGCTGGTATTGAGACTCAAGATGTCATTTACCGCGAGTGGATCTTATCGCATATGCGACCGTCGGCTCTAAAAACTTCCCTGAGTAGAGTGATCAAGGCACAAAGCTATATCGGCTACCGACTTGGAATTGCAATTATCAAAGACATAATTAAGGATGTTGATAGGAATATTGCTGCGGGAAATGCTCTGGAGGCTTTTGGTAGCCAAGACTCTGATAGCTGGGTTGATGTCGAAGACGAGAATGACTTTTGTCTGTGGTAACCCTACTCAGGCTACTGAATTCCCCCCTCTTCTAATTAGGATAAAGAATAGAAGAATTTAATTGTCAAGGTCAAGAAAGAGGAAAATGAGTTTACTCATTATGAAAATGCTTGTTCATTTAGCCGACTAGAAGCACATAGGGCTTGCACCGAAACGTACAGATTGACATGGTGAAAAGGGGTCATAATTTATTTTAGGATGTCGTCATTTTCTAGTGTATGAACCAAGCTTCTAAGTTTAACTCTTCTACCTGAACATACGTGTTTGAGCCCCAACTTTGTCATTATCATGATTGACACGGAATGCCCCGGTCTTTCCCTGCCTCGAGTAATCTCTAAACAATGATGAGCGAGCTTCGATAAGAATCCAAGAGTATGGTTGAAACCTACCCCATGGTGAGTGAAATAGTCGTCTTACAACCCGCCTTTTCTAACACCGGAGATGAAATCATAGCGAGAGAATGGGTGTCATATGGCCTAACCATCAATTAGTTCCTAGCTTCATCAAAGACCACGATGTACTCACCTAATAAAATAAAGAAGAGATAGGCGCGGCGCATCAGCCTGGTCTTTTGGCGGTTTCACAACTCGGTGGATGGTTGGCTTCAAGTATCCTCCCGTCAAGGCGCTCAAAGCGATACCGACATTTACCACTATGGAGTTGGGGATGTACTTGACCCATTTCCATTCATTGTTCTGATCTTTTATCTGCAAGGCAGAAATGGGTTGATTGAAGAGGAAGGTCAAACTACCCCAGTCCGCGTGGCCTGGCAAGTACAGGTCTTGACTTGCTTCATTTTCCCTGTGAGTGCGAGGTAGATATTGCATGTAGCGCATGAATGAATCTGACTTTGCCTCGTAAATATGCATGTCCGCAAAGGTCGTGTGTTCGACATCTAATGCAATGGCGATAAGTATAAACAATCTTCGTGCCAGATCTTTGTGTATATATTTCGACATGGCTTCAACATCACGAAGATATGGGCGGAGGCTTGTAGGAAAGTCGGGATTTTGTTGATCCCCGATTTCTGAGGTGAATCGAGAGAAATTATAGTGCTGGAATCTTTTAGTTTTAAATAATATCCAGATGCTAGGAGTCCCAAGACCAGACGATTCGTAAGACGTTACAGCCGGAGACGGATGACGTACCTCAACATTATTCTCGTAAATGGTGGAGGAGCGGTATGATTGCGGTGCAAAACCACTGTATCTGCCATCTGTTGAACCATTTTTCGGGATTTCGTAGGATAGCTTTTCATCGTTCGAAGAGTTGAGAAGGTTATTAGCAATATCTAAGTGATGTTGGACCTTGAGTCATAAAATTAGTCTTGGCCGCGAATATTGATCACCTTTACACTCACAGTTGTCTCGTCAACACCATGATTGACAATAAAGAGAAATCCCGTATTGTGTAAGCTCTCCAAGAGTGTACTGGCCAACTCCTTTCTAGCCTGTGGGCTCTCCTAGGAGACTCATTAAATGATTTCACACCGCTTCTATCCTAGTAGCCTCAACTTACATCGAATCTCGAAATATCAAGTTCAATCAGATTTGCCCATTCCACTGTAGACCATTCTGTTAGAGCCCTAACAGAGAGAATTATTTTTCTAAACTTCACTTACATGATTCTTTAGTAGGCTTCGACAGCTGGAATCTTTTGAGGGGAGGTGGCCGAAGTATGGAATTTGACCCTTGAGCGACCATGTTCGTTTCTGTTGAAGTAAGCGACGGCATTTGACTGTAAATATTTAGCAGACCGTAGTTTGAGTGTGTCATAACGATGAGGCACCATATGGTATCCGCAGTATTTAAATAGCCTAACGGTAGAAAGTCAAAACATTTTTTTAACGAGCGTAAGATTGCGTGCTTGGCGATAGGGAGCACACCTTATTCGAGGCCGAGTCGCTAATTTCAGCCAATAAATAGATTCGTGAAGGTACATAACTCAACAGGACCTTGATCTTCTTCACAATCATTGCTCGAGGATATTCTAGTCCGAGCATAGCTGATACATTTCACACTTATTGGAGGAATGCAACTGGCATAAGCCATGTCTGTCGCACCAGCCTTTCCATCTTATCTCGTTACTCCAGAAATGCTCCACGACGCTTTGAATAATCGCCAACGTCGCTCCGGGGAGCATCGAATTATTCCATTATCAGCAGCATGGTTCCTTTCATCAGATGGCCGGAGGGGCATAGACTGCTTTAGAAGAAAGCGGATTCCGAACTCGATATTTTGCGATCTTGATTCGCTCGCGGACAAGACCAGTGCCTTTCCTCAAATGCTGCCATCAGCGGACCAATTCGCTTCTGTACTTGGGTCACTGGGCATCACTCCCGGTGACGCCGTGGTGATATATGATACAGAAGAGCTTGGTATCTTCAGTGCCCCACGAGTGGCATGGCTTTTTAAGACTTTCGGCCATGAACGAGTCTATATCTTGAATAATTTCAGGCTGTGGGTTAAGCTTGGTCTACCTGTAGAGACCGGTGAAATGACAGTGCCGGAATCGATAATATATCCGACCCCATCAAGAGACGATAGCAGAGTGATATTGTTTGAGGAACTTCGAGACTTGGTACTCAATGGCCATGTGCCTCACTCAGTGCAAATTTTGGACTCTCGATCCGCCAAGTTTTGGACTAGGGGGCCTCCAGCCGAATCAACTCCTGTGACTGGCCACATTCCACATTCAATCCACCTGCCATTGCCAGACATTCTTGATCCGAATAACAAGACCATTCTCCCATCCCCACAGCTAAGGAAAATCTTCCAGGCCAAGGGTATAAAGCACGAAAGGACCCTGGTAACGACCTGTGGAGCTGGTATTACTGCTGCTGTTGTTGAAGTTGCACTTGAGGAAGCTGGATATGGGACTAAAATGTCGCGCCGGTTATTTGATGGAAGCTGGAGGTAAGCAATATTTTCATATAGGACATACCCCAGCTAAATGTTTTTACAGGGAATGGAGTCAACGAGCAAGAGGGGCAGATGGGTTGATAGTCTAGACTTGCGTTCTGTTCCTAGCACTGTATTGTAGATAATTGATGGACACACAGCGGGCATATGTCGAGGGTCAAGAAATAAAAACAAAGCGCTAGCCGGAAGAGCATATTAGGTAGGCCTCGCCATTTGTCACTCGGAGCAATGCAACTGGGTAACCTCCGAGGCTGGATGCTACGTCAATATCATGCAAATATGTCTTTTGAGTTGCGAGATTAATTATCCAGAGAAACTTCACGTCCTTGGATACTATAACAGCATAACAAGCACATGATTCCGATCGCTGTATAGTCGTAAAGTGTTATGCTTTCTAATTTCGTACGAGCATAGCCATGTTAGGCTACAAATGCCGAGGGCCGTGTCTTTTCTTTTCTATTTAAGACGTTATTCATAATGAGATAGACTTTCTGAAACTTCCTCCTTCGACTGTCGACAGTCTCAAGGTGGCAATATTGGTTGGCGACCAAACCTGCCGATCAGTCGCTGTGGGAGATTCCAGATAGCAAGTAAGAATAGTTTAACAATTATAATAATAGGACAATCTACAATGGTCCATATACGCTGCTTTTTTCCTTAAAAATACAATCTACTTCTATATATATGTCCTTAATACCAGCAATTATCTTTCAGAAAAAGATTCTCTTGATTTCGAAGATGTTGTCGGTCGTTCCACGGAATGCATCTCCATATCGACTGTGACGTAGATCTTGCGACTTGAAGATGCATCATCCAACTGCTCCCAGTCTCGATCGGATGATTTCACGTGAGACACAATGCTCTTGCGGCGCCGCCCGGTAGAGGACACTCCGGCCTTACTTGTCACGGTTGACCTCAATGCCCCTGTATATGGTGTGACATTAGACGATGAGTGTCCACCGGACGAATCAAAATTGACCCAGTTCTTCAAAAGCCGTCGCAAAGAAGGTAGCGAGCCAGCAATTATACCTGTTGCTGACTCAAAAACAGACCATAGAGTAATATTCCCCACATTGTCTGGGCATTCTAGGTCAGTGGCAGTGTTTCGGCATAGAGTAGAGAACGTACATGGGTAGTCGATGGGCTCAGCATAGAATCTGATATACGGAAGCCTGACGATAGTAGCAATCGAGGCCCTTGTTGGAAGATTAAATTAGCACATCGCCAAGCAGTGAGTCCAGTGATGGAATTCTTACAGGACACCTAGGCCTAGGATAATACTGATAGAAACCTTGGTGGCTGTTTTCATCTGAGCTTTGTAGAGCATGAAGCCAGGCAAGATAGCACAGACCCAGTCGGTAGCTACAGCCGCAGCAGACACAAGATAACTAAGGCTTGTAATGACAATGGGAGGGGAACATGTCCCGGCCGCCTTATCCCAGTTTGCCTGAATAGGACGGCACATCGCAAATAGCCCAACAATAACGATGATGGTCGAGATACATGAGGTCGCGAGCGTGATCCACGTGATGATGCGGTGTGATCTGAGAACGGCGATTCGGAGTAGTGTGACACAGATAGATGCTTTTATAAACACTAGAGAGCAACAGTAAAATGTCTGAAATAACCAGATGTGCTGTTTGCTCGGCATATTAGTAGAGAATCATGATCAATATGCATGGAAGGGTTTACCATTTTACTCTTCTCCACAAGGTAGTCATTCAGTCGCTCATCTTTCGAGCCTAGCCCGTAATAGGTTCCTTTTGATACAAGACCAGCAACAACCATAAACAGAGCCTACAAGGTCGTGATTAGCTTGTATCAAGGAAATAACAACTCGTATGATGCTTACCCATCCAACAACCATAAGAGCATCATCCATGCCAAACACCTTGTGTTTAAGTCTGACACCACATCTTAATGCAATGACGATAACGGTCAGAGGCGTGAAGAAGAGTGTGACGACGAGGAGCACTAGTCCAAGACCCTGGGGGTCAATAGACGTGACGTCGGCACTGGTTGCCATGTTGCTGTGGAATCTACTCCAACAATTCGCAAGAGTCACCGCTATACAATCATGGATATGTCTTGGTAGGAGTTAAGGAACACGCCGTGGTTCAGCACGACCTCCCTTTTCAATTCCATCCGATTTCTACCTCGATTCGCCCCTCGTTTTCCTTCATGTGGACCGGAAATTGGCAAGGCGGTAGTGCACAGAGTCCCCGCGCGTCCAAACACCTCGGCTCCAACACGCGGTCAATAATTTCTTTAGCGTCGACTAATGAGCTTTGCCGCTGGACCTAACAGAAAATCGCTTCTTACTCTGGCCTCAATGCCGCGTAGGTTCCGGGGCCACCTTCTTGATGTAGTTAGTATTCATCAACACTGACTCGAACAATGGTGCCCAAGCCTAAGGGCAACATTACCCACAGACCAAGCGTTCCCAACGAACAGGAACACGATTTGATTGGCATCTTAGCCCTGGCCATAAAATGCCGCTCATATAGATTAGCGTGAAGGATCTGGAGGTGTTCCTCCAGATCATGGGGCTGGCATCTTAGCGAGCTGGTACTTGCCCCGAAACTCTTCGGTCATTCGATAGATGTAGCAGAAGATGTCAAGCCGGCCATTAACCATCGGTATGGGGGATTGAGGCTCTCTTATTAGAAGACATATCTTGAAGATCTTAGCATCTTGAAAAACAGATCTACCTACCCAGATGTGAATCCATCAGACTTGCTGTGGCTATTTTTGGGTCTTGTATCACTTTTAAACTTTGGCAACTAGGGTAGTGACAACGAGGGCAAACATGAGATCTTCTTATTGCTTCTTTTTTCCCTTCAATTTCCGGGAAATTCTACCCCTTCAATTTCTTGGCAAGTTTCAGCGCCAAGAGTCCCCTCTAAGCAAATACTGCCGACCACTGCGCAACTACAATGTCAAGTCGAGATACTTGGGATTGCCAGGAGATTATCGCTTATACCCTCGATTGTTTAGTCTTCTCTGAAATGTCCTTCTTCTGCCATGACCATTGCGTCGCTCCTTGGATTCGAGGATACTCTTCCCCATTGTGGTGAATGGGGCAGCTTAGCCCAGGTAGGTAGTAGCAAGTCGTACAAGGTCGACGAGATCCTCCAATGGAGTAATCAATTTCCGTTCCAATACTGCTCTCGGAATTATCGATTCAGGCCATATTGTGTGGCAATCTGTTGTGTATCATTGTCTTCCCCTAACATGCTCAGCGACACAAAACTCTTCACCATCGAACGGCGGGTAACAGTGAATCATAAACCATGCCGGAGAGATTAATGTGTCTCCGAGCGATCCAAAATGCAAAGCTCCACCGAGTGGCTAGAGATCCAGATTGTGTGATCCTCATCCTGGGGGGTTGATAAGCAAATACGGCGGCGTGCTTGGCGAGACACCCCGGCAGCCATCTTATGTTATGCAGGGTCATCCCTACGAGCTGTAGGCCTGATGACGTTATCATCGGTCTACGGATTAGCGAAATTACCCCTTACTTGATGAATGGGGTGAAAAAGTGATCTGCGTCGTTGTGGCTCGGTCAAGTGCGATGTTGGGCAGACACATCATAGCCCAGAGACCCTCTAATTCAGGATTATTAGTTGTTTTGCAGGGACGGGCCTGGTAACCATGGTACTGTTCCATCTAATCGAACTCATGGAAATTTCGAACCATGGGTCCAATCATCCTCGGAAGAGAAAATGTATCGAAAATGGTGAATGAACAATAGATTAATAACTAGTGACGGCAAATTGGTGCCTAGCAAAGGAGGTAAATGTTTAGAATCTTGATTATGTTTAAGGCTAGAATTAATTTCTCTTGGCATACTATGTTGAGGAAAATTTGTTTGTAAATTCTAATCAACCTGTCCTGAGTTTAGCTAGATCAAAGGAAATGGTTCCAATGATAGCATAACGAATAGTGTTCACGAATGAGCCGTCCACACTCTTCACATGGTCTTGCCTTTCACTCAAGTTAGGCCGAAGCATCCAAACCAACCATAGAATAGGTTGGCCTAGTGCTTGCCGCAGAGAGATCGATAGATAACTAAGTCGATAGAGGAGACTCATGTAGGGAGGCCCTACCCTGGTAATGCCATCCAAAACCGATAATGCTCGCCGCACAAAGGATTGTTCACGCTAACATGTCTGAAATTTACCCGCCTTGAATGTAGGGATATGTGATGGGCCTAATGCACGATGCCGCGGTGTGCTGGCAGGTCGTACACATAGACAGTCGAAAAGGATTGAGTATAAAGGCGTCTCTCATTGTCTAACTCCCCCAAGAGACTGCACCCAGGCGATGCGTTCTTCGCTGCATGGCAAGAAGGTGCCCGAATTGCAGCCTCAGGGCGACATTTATAGGCACCTCGCGACTGCCGGAACGACGCGACGCGCACGTGTTCCCAAGCGCCCAAAAGACCACCTAATTACGCGTTCTCGTTCTTTTGTCGCCTGCCTTTATCATCATCATCACCATCACTACTGCCACTACCACCACCAGCATCAGCATCAGAATCAGCACCAGCATCAATCACAATGGTTAAGCGGTAAGTTGATGATCACCACTTGTGTTAAAAGCTACTGCAGAGGTCTAACTTGAATGTTTGTTCCGGTGTAGTGCCACCATCACCACCACCACCACCACCACCACCACCAACCACAATGTTTGAACGGTAAGTTTAAGTAACCACGAATTATGTTAAACGCTACTGTAGAGGTCTAACTAAAGCTTGTTCCAGTGTGGTGTTTCGAACATCGGGTCGTTTGACCCGAACCACCGTGGTCTCCGCCCCCTCTCCCGCCAGGTAAGCTTTCAAAGAGTCATGACATATAGCTAAGTGTTTGAAATGACCAAGAAGCTAAAAATATTCTCTTCATAGTGAAGATAGCGACTCTGGCGCCACGACCACCACCGCCACGACCACCACCATGGAATGGGAGAGCGCCATCCTCCAGGACACCTAGGCGGTTTTTTGGTGGTTTGCTTTTGTTTTGGCCGTTATTTTGGCCGCGGGGTATGTCGGGTGGCTGCTCAAGTAGCGCCCAGCTTTTGGTGTTGTGTTGTTTTTAAAAAGGTTTCTTTGATGAATTAGGAAGGGCGTTCCGGGCCGTATATAAGGAATAAGACCAAATGAGTTTATCCCTATACGGGAGAGAGTTCGAGTAGAAAGTTAAACAACAATAGAAGATGTCAGACCGGACATCTCAACACAATGAATAATGCAAATGGCTAGATACCGGACAATCGGGCATTAAGAGTTTGGGGCACTCGGATAGGGATGAAAAGCTTAGAAACAGTCATCGGCATGAAGGTCTACAGAGTTTTCCTTCGGCATGGCTGTAGCCTTGGGATAATAGAGCTTATGTTTTGCCTTTTGTATTCATTGTGTTAAGATGTGGGGTCTTGCATCTTCCACTGCTGTTTTTTACTTTGAGCTCAAACTCTCTCACCCGTATCGATCAGCCACAGCCAAGAATGGGGAGAATTAAACGGCGACTGAGCTTGCTTTTGCGTTGTGGAGTTTTCTGGTGCGCTATATTAGCCTAAAGAGCCTTGGTTATAAATGAGACCAGGGTAAAATAGAAGAATCCAGGATCTATGCCTGCAGTATGCCAAATCTGCATCCTAACTAATAGCCAACTGCTTATGTAGAGTACAGTGACGTGGAAGGTCCGCGCGGCATAGAAACGGTTTGACGGTGTAAATCTGGCCTTGAAACGTAAGCTCAAAGCTCCCGGGAAGGATTGCATTACTTTCCTCCTATGCTTGAATGACATTTTTTCCAGGTTCAGCCAAACTTAATATCCACAACAGTGTGGTCTGACTGTATACAAGGGCCGCCCTGGCCCTTGCCAAGACGAGATCATTTACCAAATTAGGTTATCAATGTCTCGGAGACGTTAATTCCGGATATGCCGCATAACCTTAAGTTGTAACTCCAGAATCGTTTCTCCAGAATCATTTCTAAGTCCGGGACTGCTTACGACTTCCGAAACTCCAGAGCCGATGTATGTAGCATCTTGCCAAACCCCAGGATCATCATTTGGCCATAGCCGCCCAAAGCGGAATGATCATATGTAATTTCCTCGGAGCGTGTAGTATATAATGGCTACAAGTTGCCGCGTAGTTTAGTCGTACTAAATATCAATAATCTGATCTACTTAGCTATTCATTTTGAATTATATCGAAGACTCAGTGGTTCAAAATGATGACGCGTCACTATTTCAGGCTGGTCTCAGTCCTGGCTTGTGCCCTGTTCCCAACACCCCTATCAGCCTTGCCCGCTGGTGACACTAAGAATGCCACTGCTGTCCATGACTATGTCATTATTGGATCCGGTGCAGGAGGAGGGACTTTGGCGTATGATTTGCGAGAACTAATTACCCACAATGTTTTCAAATACAACTGACAAGAGTTTCTTCGATAGTGCGAGTCTTGCTCGGAAGGGGCACTCGGTCTTCCTAATTGAAGCCGGAGGAGATCATGGGACAGCTCCTAGCCAACAAATTCCAGCCTTGTGAGCAATCTCTCATATTCTTAGGAGGTTTTAAAGATAAATGGCAAGCTGATAATTATGATTTGGCAGGTGGCCTACGTCAGGGGAAGATCCCGAAATGTCCTGGAACTTCTATATTCGCCATTACGCGAACGAGACACAAGGTCGCAGGGACAGCAAGTTTTCCTACCGTCTTGAAAATGGCTCGATCTACTATGGGCTTGACCCTCCGCCCAATGCTACACCGTGAGTCCATCTGTCTGGTTTTCACGTTCTAAAAGCGTGGCCTTCATTCCTCTTATGTCTGATTAAATGTCACCAGTCTGGGTACTCTGTATCCTCGTGGAGCTACTTTAGGTGGAAGCAGCCAGACGAATGCCATGAACTTCATCAAGCCACGCAATGCCGATGTAAGCCTGCCGTGCATGTTAATGATTTCCTCCACCTTACCATTGGATACCTTGATAACCTCTGAAAATCACAGTGGGACTACCTTGCGCAACTCACGGGAGATGAGTCTTGGGGAGCCTCGGCTATGGAGGAATATTTCGAGCGTATGGAAAGAGTTCAGTATCTTCCAGAAGGTTCACCAAACCATGGTTTCGACGGTATCATCTCGGTAAGATCTCACATAGATACCCCGGATTGCCAGCCGTAAACACTGACACTCGTTTCAAAGTCTAACCAGAATAATGTGACTTATATCACAGGCCGACCAGGGACTAGAGACGTCATGTCCAATCTAGCACGCGAAATAGAAGGCGTCGAAGTCGACACAGAAGGCTTAGGCCACCTGTTGCAACGCGACGTCAACGGCGAAAATACTTACACGCCCGGTGTTTACCAGCTGGTCGTGAGCATCGACGGCATGCGAAGACGATCTGGCTCTAGGGACTTCATCATAGATACGGTCAATGCTAAAGCCGAAAATGGCTCGGCTGCTTACCCTCTCACAATCAGCACTCATTCCCTTGCGACTCGAATTCTCTTTGATGAGAAAAAGGATCGCAATCCCAGGGCAATTGGTGTCGAGTATCTGGCTGGCGAAGGTCTTTATAGCGCGGACAAGCGCTACAATCCGGATCAGGCCGGGATCCTACGACAAGTATTTGCTTCGAAGGAGGTCATTGTGGCTGCGGGCGCTTTCAACACTCCGCAACTTCTGAAACTGAGCGGCATTGGCCCTCGTGAAGAGCTAGAGAAATTCGACATTCCAGTGGTTGTAGATTTACCCTCAGTGGTAAGTACCTCTTAGACTAAAGCCTGGGACTGATTGATAACCGGTATATTCCAGGGCAAATACCTACAAGACCATACTGAGGGTATTCTGTTGGTTAACTCATCGGTGCCTTGGGAGAACGACCCTAACGCACGATGCACGATGACCCTCGACGAAACAGACCCGTGCTATATGGAGTGGCTCGAGAGCGGAACTGGACCATACGGTGAGGCCGCCGCTCCACTTGCCGTTCAATACCGCTCCCAAGTGAGCGAGACTGAACAGGCAGATCAATTCTGGTTCGGCTTTTCCGGTGTTGAGCTCCGAGGTTTCTACCCCGGCTACTCTCACCCAGTCCCCCAACCATCCGTATTTACGTGGGATATCGTCAAGCTACACCAACCTGGCGATGGAGACCACGCGAAGGGCACCGTAACTCTTCGGTCCAAGGATCCGCGCGACGTTCCTGAGATTGTATTTGATTGGCTTCAAGGAGACATCGGAGAGCGTGATCTAGATTCTCTTGTGGAGGGCGCCCAAGTTGCCTATCGTGCTTGGGATGCGGCTCCCGCACCTTACAACCCCCTGACCAGGCTCCAGCCTGCGGAAGGTGTTGACTTGCGCCAGAATCTCAAAGACGAGGCTTTTGGGCATCATTGCAGTTCTACTTGCCGAATGGGTCCAAAGGGAAATACCGATTATTGCGTGGATGCGGAGCTTCGCGTGAATGGCGTCAAGAACTTGCGCATTGTGGACGCTTCAGTCTTTCCCCATACCCCAGGCGCGTTTCCTGTTACCTCTGTTTACATGCTAGGTATCAAGGCGGCAGACATCATTTCTAAGTCCGCTAACCACCAGTGAGATTTATGAAGCTTTAAGATCCAGAATCATAAAGCAGAATAGGACCAGTGTTGGGATGTTCAATGAAAGGAATACCAATGGGGACCTGTTACGTATATTAGCAAATTAGGCTGGCCTAATTATCAGGAACTGATAGGTTGTTACAGAATGCTACTTCAGCATCAGGTTGAGACAGGTGAAATAGCAATCCCAACCGTACTTTTCTTGGCTAAGCAGTGAGCCCGGAGATGTTGCTGAGTGTCTACACAGACGCCGTTCTAGATGCCATTGGCTGCTTCGTGGTCCGACAAGAATACCTTTTGAATGTCTCTGTGTGATTGAGCCAGTGAATTATGCGTCACGTTTATGTGGGTTGCATTCTGTTAACTACTTATACAGATAAACGCATAGACATTAGCAAAGTTCTTCGTATGGCTCCGGGTACTCCTGTTACTCAACTAGGGCGGGCTCTCTGACTTACCGATCTACCCGACCCAGTCAAATCCAACTGGATGCTGAGGTCACAGCTTCATCACAACCGAAGTAGGGCTGATAAAGCAAACATAGTATATAACCTAAATGTACTTTATAATTAATCAATAGAGAAGAAGCCTAATAGATTTGACATCTTTAACAAGCTTAACACCAATATTAATTCATTCTACCATCGCCGGCACGTCCAGAGGAGTGCAACTCAGCGGCTATATGTTCTTAAAGAAAATCCACGCCGAGCGAGCATCAATAGATTAGCCTCCTGCCAGTCAACACCTTCATAGAGGTTAATACCTGAAGTAAATGCTAACTTCTGCTTGATTTTCAATCCAGATAACTTTGATGTTAGGGGAAATACTTGGAGTATTGTAGAAACCATTCCGGCAGTTCAACATCATACGTTTCCATATTTACTGAGTACCTTCGATAGTGTGGAAGAGTATGCCTGCAAGACCTTGCATAGACATTCCACACCAGAAAAGCGATTCGTGAAGTGCTTATGTTGCGCATGCGTCGACAGGATATACCGATGAACTACCCTCAAAACTTATGCAAAAGCTTTATGATACCGAAGACGACTGAGCCACGGATATCGGCTTCAGAGCCCTAGCTAATAGTACTGATTCATTAACTTTTCAAGTTCAAGGTTTTGACATAGAAAAGCTTACTCTAGGGTATTTCGCGTTACTCTTGTTACCCATTAAGCGAGTAATGGTTAAGTCCCAGCCCTATGGTTGAATCCTTCAGGGGTCAGGGTGTACTCATTTCTTCCTGCAGGTTGAGAAATTTAAATATAGGTAACTTAATAAATTATTGTGCCCTGATTCCTACTTACCACCTTCCCCATTTAGCGACAACTTGGCTTGGCCATTTGATAGCTTGGTACTTTGGTATCCTGGACATTTCACAGTTGATGAGCAACTGGGTCATAAATAAAACGGCTGTAATAACGAAACACCACGGTCGCTGTATCGCCTCCGTCCCTCATTTTTTTCCCCATGAAGAGAAATACTTCCACAACTCGTTTTCACGACTCACGACCAAGCATTATTAATTGATGAAAATCGGATTTCTCCATCAATATGTTAAAAGGTTGGCCATTGGTTATGGTATTATTTGCAGTTGTGCAAGGTCAGTTCAGAACTTGACCCTCCAAAAATTGATCGTGAGGAAATAATGTACCTGACAGGTTCTCTTTTTTTCAAAGCAGTAATAGCGTCCGAGATCAACTGCAACGGTAACGTAGCAATCAAGAATAGCGAAGATGCGAAGAACGTGCGAGAAAATTGCAAGACAATTGCTGGGAATCTGGATCTGGATATTTTTGAAACCTGCAACTTGGATGGCCTCGAGGAAGTCCGGGGAGATGTAGTACATCGTTGTCCCACAAAGCAACAGGGACTGGATTATTGCATGGACGCGTCCACAACCTTCACTATCAGCAGCTCTACTTTGAGAATCATCAATGGTTCATTGGACTTTTTCTATTATCGGGGAGTCGAAAAACTGGATTTCCCTCAACTCAATAAGGTCCGCCAGGACATCAGCCTATACGCACCTTACAACCTTACACACGTCAATTTTGCCAACCTAGAGTACTTCGGAAGTTTTTTGCTCAATACACCGAGTTTGATGCAGCTCCAACTCGATAAGTTCAAGGAGTTCACATCCAGAGAAGTTCTCAAGCCTGATGGAACAACCTCAGGACCATACGTCAACATCTGGAACACTGGAAGGCTGGAGTCCTTTAATGAATTTTTTCAGAATCCAGTGAACCCCTACAATGTATACGATAATGGAGCTAGTAATAGCTTTGTCATCTTTTATCCGCTCACTGTCCAAAATCTGACATTTGGATGGACGCGAATGCCGTCGATGGAAATTGAAGCTAAAAGTCAGTTGACACTCACCTTAGGTGGTCCTGAAACTGAAGAAATGGAGTTTGAAGGTACTCTTCAGATTGGGGCCGGCGTGACAGCTATCAATCGTCACGAGAGTCTGAAGAATTTAACTGTTCAACGGTTTGATCTGAAGCAGAGCGCCGTCGTTGACTTGGATCTGCCATTCAACCAAGTTACGACCGTGGTAGTGTACGGCAACCCTCAACTCCGCCAGCTTAGACTTCCATCTACGGCACAATCATGGAAGAATCTTGATCTCAACATCGGTTCAAGCGATAACCTGCTACTATCTCCGGTAAAGGATGGGAGTGACGAGACTATTTGGCACTGGCCAACCGGCGACATGTCATCTGTGGTAATACGTGCCAACATAACAGCTGATTTCTTGTAGGCCCCCAATTCTTGATCATAAACCAATAATAATTGGCCAAGGCTAATATAGTATAGCGATTCCTTTCTCAACGGCACTGCAAAGGTAACTGGAAAATTTTACGTACAGGACACGTCTGAGACGTTTGATTGTAGCGTTTTTGAGGCCGCACAGGAATCAGGCAGATTGCCAAACTTCAGTTGTGTTGGTCTCAGCAGCAATAAGAGTTTGGGTACAATCGATCAAGCCTCTTATACTATACTATCCCTGTGGTTAGGGATTTCAGCAGTAGTCCTGCTCAACTTTGGTTTCAACTAAGTAGGTTTGAATATATGTCTAAAGAGATAATATTTTACGTATATATTTACCCTTTAAGGTTTTTAGAATTTTCCTTCTGCCTGTCTTGAGCCTTGGGTTAGCAGAGCTTATTTTTGCCTTTCGTATTCATTGTGTTGAGGTGTCGAGTCTGACATCTTCCATATTTTGTTACTTTGTACTCAAACTCTCTCACCTGTATATTTGTATTGACCTTATTAGTATATCTCTTTAGGTATACTATCAACCCTATAGTCCATTGTGTTGAGTTGTCGGGCTCTGGCAGCTTCCATTGCTGTTGAACTTTATTCTCTGTCTCTTACGTATCAACCCTATAGTCACTCTATTATGGCATCGGGTAAGACACACGAATAGAAGCTAACTGTTAGTTATTAAGAATCCAAGTAGGATGATTGCGAGTTTTTACGAAGGGGAAGGAATCAGAATAAAGCGTATGTAACTATGCACGAGTAGAAGCTACCGTACATCGCCCAGGCCAAGTGTACCAACCCTTATTGCCCGAGGCTGTCACAACTTTGATGATAACCGCCTAATCATCAGAGGCAGAGGGATAGCTCGGAACAACAGAAACATCGAGTTGAACTATTCCCGATCTGTTTTATCAGCCAAATATTGTGCGCCTAAGTGTTTGCAGCTTATGGTACTCGATTTTCAGGAGAACTCCGAGGACTGCATAATCACAACACCGCTTGAACCAGCATGTAGGAATCGTATAAGTCAATCGTGGCACTTTCTGCCGCGTCAAGAAATTGCCAGACTTTCCACCACCATGAAAGGAACTGGATGATTCTGCGACTATGCTCTTCCAGGATGTCCAAACTCTGCTGCTATTGACGTGGGAGGCTGTGAACACTGCCAGTCCGACTTCTGCGCGTCCCACCACCAGCCTCCGCTCCATCAGTGCCATGTGAGTCTTTCATATGTACTGGGCCGTTATCTAGCAGCTGATGCCAAGGAAATAACCAGGTACACTTAATAATAATTCTTAGAATGTGGCGAAGATGTCGGAGCTTGAATTATAGTGTTGACTTTAGTTAAAAAGGCGAGATATAATTAAGCTATGTATTTATTTATTTATTAATTTTCTTCTCTCTCTATTCCGCCTAATGCACAAATGATTTCTTGCTCTTGAAGTCGAGAAAGACTTTGCCACGGAACGGTACTACTTGCTCATGATGGTTGACTCTTGATGTAGTGAGTGCTAGTATATGGTACGATTCTTCTCATTCTTAAACAAATCTTTTTGCTGCTAAACCCGAAATGCATCCTCCGTAGATACCGCATGGCCCTCTTTTGGATATGAAGAAGCCGAAGGAGAACTTTACTGTAATTGGTCAGATGTCATGATGATCACTGTTCGATGAAACCCATTACGTTGCATTATTCGGTTAGTCGAACCGGTACGGACTACTTTGCCGCGGGAACAATGCCGAGTAAGGCTCCCTAGAAATTTGTGTTTGAGATTGAATCGAAGGGTTGCAAAAGCTCGTATATACAGCACGGATACAGCATGGGAGCAAACCCGGCTGTAACATGGCTCCTCTGGTTGCCTATATAGGAAACCTAGTCACCCACCGATTAGTTTCAATGCGGATGTCTACCTTCCGACGCATTCAGATGAGTTAATCCGAAACTTGGTATATCACGACTATGCCAACAAGGCGGATGCAGAGAAAAAGTAGGATAATAATAAATCCACGAGTAGAACAGTGATTTCCTTCTCAAATCCTTTATACTGTAATCCTTAGGCGATTAAAAAGGCCTCTAAGTCTTCCCTTCTCAACTCATTTCGTTCTATCTTTATAGTATCACGCAGTCGCTGTCATAAACTTTCCTCTTTCTCTACCCATCTTAAGAAAGATTCATACCATTTCAACGATCTCGTTAAAATGAAGTCACCACTCTTGCTGCTAGGTCTTCCTATGGCCTCGGCCGCCGTGGCTCCTCGTCAAAACTACTTCAGCTTTGGCAACTACTTTTCGACAGGCGCAGTTGCAACCAATTCATGGATTCGTCAGGCGACCACAACCCTAATCCTACCAGCCCTCAACAGCCCTCACAACGGGAATCTGGGCTTATGGCCAGGAATGGGCACCAAATTTGACTCAGGCGCAGATGGACATCTCGTCCAAGGTCTCGCCATCTCCACTGTTGGTTTTGGGTGAGCACGCATTATAGTCCAAGTCCGCCGGCACCAGAGCTCATACGAACAGATCTCCATGCAACCTTGCCGCCAATGAAAATAAGTGGTGTGTGCTTGCAAGCACATATGACGGTATGGTTTCTCTTGACTCTCATGGTCGGCTCTCACACGTCTTTAGGGGGCCAAACCCACGGTACTACGCCTTACCGAGCAAATCCCGGCGACCGTGTTACATATGACTGTAAGCTTCCCTTCATCAGAGATTGTCGAATTAATCTGTCATTGAGATGCTTACGCCTCCATAGACAAGTATAATGACGCCACGTCTAAATTCGACCAGACAGTATCGGTCAACGGCAAAGTAGTGTCGACTTTGTCCACAGGTATAGCGTCCCACTTAGGTTATAATGCCATTTATATGCTGACTAGTTTACAGCGAGCGGTCATGGTGCAGGTTGGGGAACAGGTCAGTTAAATTGGCCCAAAAACTTCCATTTAAAACGAATCTGCTAACCTTCATTTTTAATATAGCAATGGAGTGCCAGCAGGTGAACTGTGGAACCGTCCCATTGCATCACTATGTGGACACGAAGATCATCATGAACACTGCTGATCCAAACTACTCTCGTACCGTTGCGACCCTAGGTGCCTCTGGTAGCCTGGTTACTGCAGATGGTGGCAAGACTTGGACTGCGGCTGATATCACTATCCAGCAATACACTTTCACTTGAGAAGCTAGTACTGAGTCGCAGTTAAGATCCAAAATGTCCGCCTGATGTGTATCTTAATTGTTATTCACGTAAAGTTGAACCCTATAGTTACTTTTGACCCTATTTATTTTCCAGTTCTACCTCTCTATTGTTTATAAATGATTTCGGCTGCCCTGTGTTACAAGCAGGCGTGCTCGTGTTGAACACAAGTTTTAAAGCTAAGATCAGATTTTCCCCAAATCGGATCACTAGATTTCCCAACTCATTAGAGGTATTACTCTCCTTCAGGTGGGAAGTAATATCTAAATATTCATTGTGTTGAGTTGTCGGGCTCTGGCAGCTTCCATTGCTGTTGAACTTTATTCTCTTTCTCTTACGAAGAAGACGGAGATTGGGCTCTGCGAAGCCTTAGTTCTTGTGGTCTCGGGACCATTAGCTGGCCATTCTGCTCATAGTTGATGTTTGCGAATGCGAGTCTTGAGTTCTGATGCGCATTATGACGAATGAATATGCTACTGCTAAAACACGAGTTGCATTTATTGTCCAGATTACTTATGCTCGTCACAATCAACGAAAGCGTACATCTGTAACTCCGCCCATATCCTCCCTGTACTCTTCTCCATCCATCACTCCGTTCAGATAGCATTCTCCAATTAGCATGTAGCCATCTCCTTGAGACCGTTCCCGAATTACAAACGGCACCTGTACCCCTTGCAATATGCACACGCGGTCCCCCCGTTGAGCCTCCCTCGGCAGCTGGCCTAGCCGGCCTGTTGTTGTCGTGCAGAACTTCCTCCGCACGGAGAGCATGTCAATCGTTGGCTCGATCACCAAGGCACATTTCCACAGCTCAGACCCTTTCACTTGCTTGTAGCGGCTTTCACTGCAGGAATCACGCAGCAGATCGAAGTAGCGCGCGAAGGTGGTGCCGACGGACGTCTTTGGGCGGTGGTAACCGCCATCACTGAAGTGAACTCCGCAGAGTATCGTGCGCCAAAATTGCTCGAAGCGATCCGATCGTAGCCTAGTTTTGCGATGGGCGTCGCCATCATCGTTCCCCTCATCATTGTAGAGTAGGCCGGCCATATTTTCGGCTGCAAGTCTTTCGCACGCCTGGAGCCAGTAAAGCGTGCGGCAGGCCGACTGCACTTTGTATCGAGATACTTTCCTCCTGACTAGGCACTCGGGGATCTCCTCGGGCAGCGGCATCTCGCTCACGCTATACGTGTAATTTTCTATTGTGTCTATAATCTTACCTTGACAGCTCAGGAGCTTTCTATCGGCCGAGACGGTAAATTTCGGTGGTTGCTGTCCTCCGGCAGAGAACAGGCGCAGCGTATGGTTAGCAATAGGATGAATATCTTGCATATTGCTGAGATCCGGTACCCACGAGGGTAGACCAATCTGGCCATCGGGTTTGCTAGCAATACATAGCACCTCCGGCCTCTGCTCCTCAACAAGGTTCCAGATGGCAAAGTGGGAGAATGCGTCGGCGGCACTGCATTGGTAGTCGGGTTTCAGAGAGGCACCAAAAGTATCCAGAAGTCCCAGGAGACCATAGATGTGATCGTGGGGGACCGAGCAGTGGAACAACTTGGTCCGGACAAGGAAGCTGAGTATGTCCTCTTGATCTTCACACTTGTTGACATTTTTGCGATGCACCGAGTAGAGAAAATAGGCGTTGAAAAGCCCGGTGAAATACTTCTTATTCCATTGAGCCATCAGGCCCGCACTTACAGGCCATTCGACCAAAGCCAAGGTTACCATCCCCAGAGTGTGGAAGGGGAACCACAGGTTCCCACAGCACATCACAACGTGCTTGGCGAGAGCAACCTCCTGCACAACCCATTTCCGCGTGAACCACGGCCGGAGAAATAGCTCGAGGATTGGTTCCCAGGCTAAGCGCATCATGCCGCGCTGCATCTCAATTGCTGCCTCGGGCTCGGTGTTATACCTCGCTTCGATTGCCGAGATGAGCTCTGAAGCTCCGTGGAGTGTTGGGAGGAACTCTTCGAGACCTTCTGCGTCGGGCCCGAGCCAGACGAGGACCTGCGCCGCGTAGCGATAGATATCTGCCATGAGCTGGACCTGGACCGTCTTCTCCGCCGTATCTTTCTGGTTAATACATAGGGCGTCGGCCCAGAGGAGGCGCGGATCAGTGGGATGGCGGAACTGCGCAAGCGCTGAGTGTAGACTGGCCGTAATTCTGGCCGTGCTGCCGTCGACGCAGATCTGGCGCGTGTTCAAGACGTCCCCCCACGCATACGAGAGGGCCTCATACTTTGGGCGGTTGTGATCAAGGGAGGCGTGCTGGAGGGAGCAGCTGACCTCCTGTCCAGGTTGGCCGGGCTGAAGGAGAAGGGTGCGGATTGTGCGCTGGGACTCCAGCGGCCGGTATGTGAAGGTATCTTCACCCATCCCTACATGCTTTGAATGATTGATAAATATCCCAAGACGAGGGGAGGGTATCGTGTTATGTGGGGGCCAGTGAACATCGCCCCATGCATACCGAGGGAACCCCGGTCGTTGGTCATGCGCTTTTTCCCCTCGACTTAGCTATATTTTTACTATTCTTGCATCCAAATTTTCTTAACCTTAAGGCTAATTCTGCTTTCTTCCTAAAAACTACCTACAACCTAACCTCAACTTAATACGCATGGCTCAGTCCAGCCCTCAATATTACCATAAGGCGTGAAACAATTAACCCTAGTAAATACATAAACCAGGGTAAGGGAATTTCCACTCAATAGCGAAGTGATCAGACACAAAAGACCCCCTTAAACTCTGAACTTCAGGTGGGGAATTGAGGAAGTCCCTTGAAGAACAAAAACCTATAGGCTGGTCCTTCGGCAAGCTTAGCGTAGACTGAGAAAATCTTTCTATGCCGGATCTAAGGAGTTGAAGATAGTCCTGGCAAACGTGACTGCATGTTTGCCCGGTAAGAATCCCGTCAGCCTTGGTGAGCTCTTCCAAGAGTGTAAAGCCTTGAGCGACGAGATCTTGCTTAGATTCTTGGCCATTGGAGCTGTCCGATGCGACGCTTGAAGTTTCAAGCAATAGCAAAAAGCAGTAGACGAATTTGGCCCATACATAGTCTGTCGCATAGCGTAGGTTGTGTATGTAGAGCTGAGGTTCGGAAAGTATCGTCTTCAGGTGTTGTTGCAATGCAGCCTTGGCCATAAGCTGGACATTTCTCTGAGCTGCTGACGATGTAGCAAGATAATCAGTTTTGAGTGAATGTATTGCCCAGCAGAGTATAGTAATTTCTGCCCAATGTCGTTGAACTTTGATATTAAGTTTCAACCAATTTTGGTGAGGTTGAGAGTTCAGTATGTAGGCCCAGTCGTCGAACCAAACGTCAATATCGACGGCCACGTTCTGAACAATCTTGACCAGATCTTCCTCTCCCATACTAAGAGCGCCTTCGGTGATCGAGCGGTTTATTTTGGCCATTAAAACATTAAGTTCGATCTGTTCCAATAAACAAAGATCCAACTCTGTTGAGAAAGGCTTGCCGAGAAGGATTCTGCATCGTCGCACATCGCCATACAAAACTAGGTCCAACGATGTTCCTTTGTCAACACCCAACATCAGTCTCATGACAAGAATAAATAACCACGTCCTAAGCTTTTGCAGGGATACATCCCACGCCATGGTTTCGGCATGAGCTGATTGTGTTTTACTAAGGACTAACTGCTTCCTTATATCGTCATAAGCATCAGGTAAGCCTATCTCAACAGCCATCCGTGTGGCCATGGATAGGAGAATCAATCTTTCAGGACTGTAGCAAGCCCGGATCAATAATGCCTGGATAAATTCAACTGTTGTAGGCCCAGAAGTTATGTGGGTGTCCAACATTCTGGAAACATGCAGATCCAAGGACTTCCAGAGCGGTGCATGATCTCCCTGTTGAGCTCGGTAACCTAAAGAGCACATCGTATTGAAAAGAACAGAGCTCCGTTCTCGTATCTTGTGCGCTGAGTCCTTGATCAAGTCGGTGAAGGGGAAGTAACGACCACAGCCGCGGAAGAACATGTTGATGTAGGTTTCTGCCTGCTCTTCCGTGAGGATACATGCTGTAACGAAGTCTGCCTGTTTGATGTCGATAATTTTAGCTTGACCAAAGTTCTCGTTATGCTCGGAATTTTCGACAGATTGTTGACATCGCCCCGCAATCATATTAGCATTCGGTTGCTCGAAGCCAACATCGTTCAAGGATTGAGTGAAGACGCTCGGGGTATTCCAATCCATATGATCAAAGGGCAGAAGAGATGGAAACCCAAATTTATCAAAAGACTGATAGGGCGATATATCATTTTGGCTCGAGAATACTGGGAGTGGACCCAGGGAAAAAGTTGTAGCTGAGCCTTGATCAACGGAATTTATCAACGGGTGACTAAGGCTCTGCTGCATTTGTGTCTTGAGACAATCAAGCTCATTTTGAAGAGCCTTGAGTTTACTAGGTATTGTTAGTGTAAAGTGGTAGGGGAAGAAGTATAGCTGCCTAATTTCGACATACTCTGCGTCGGTAAGAGGCTCAACGTAGTAACAGGCCTTTTCCGACATACGACAGCTGAGACGAGAAATCGGAACAGTTAGTCGGGCTAAATTGAGGAGACAGAAGACCTGTAGGATACCGCACATACCGAGAACATGGGCGCTGGAAGTCACATTTGAGCTAGTGAAGTGTGTTAGATTAAGAAATTCGAAGACAAAGAGGGACGTGCAGACCTTAGACCGCCGGCATTCATGACATGCTTTCTGTTAATCTGTGTGTTAAATCTCATCCTAGCCTGGTTTGGGTGCCTGTGACATACCGGGATCCTCTGCTTGCGGATTTTCCTAGACGCGGTAGAATCGGAACTCATTTTGGTATAGGTCGCTCACGTAGCTTTATTGACAGTTGGAACACACGGCACCCATTGAGATCTTAGTTGGAGAGAGGAAGCCCAGGGTCCAGATGCTCCTGTGGTTGAAAAGAAAAGAGTGAAAAATCAAAGGGGGGCGGAGGGCGGGGTAGACAACCGTTTAACGAGACCGGGGAAAGTGGAGATTACTCCGGACTAATTCTACCTTACATATCACTAAGGCAGTCGACATGACTCGCCAGCTCGATGCTCTTTAAATAAAAGCCACTCCAACTAACTAGGTAGCCCCGGAATCTAGAACCCTGAGGAATAGCGGAACAGAAAGTAAATACCAGCTAATTGACATACCTCCTTCTGCACCTAACCACCCACTATCCAGCCATTACAGATATTGAAGTTAGTCCAAATGGCGTCTTGTGATCCTCACGTCAAAATCCGTCACCACAACAAAGTTGTTCGAGAGAAACCTCCACGGCCTGTCAGGGTTGACCATTTCCAGTTGGAATCGTCGGACAAAGGCAGGAACTAGCCTGTTCATTTCTAACAAGGCAATGTTCTTGCCAATGCAGGTGTAATTGCCACCTGAACCAAACTGGGAGAGATATCGGCCCATCAACTTGACCTTTTCCTCGTCCTGGTCTAGCCATCGTTCTGGTCGAAAATGGTCCACATCTTCACCGTAGATATCCTTGTTCCGGTGTATTGTCCAGGCGCTGACTCCAACCACTGTACCAGCCGGTATGTGCTCGCCACAAATCGTCTGTCCTGCGCCTTCGACGACACGCTCTGGGAACCAACGAGTGGCCGGATGCATCCGGAATGCCTCTTTGATGCACGCACTCAAGTATGGAGACTTTTGAGCCTCTGAAAACATGAGCCCCCAGTGACTGGATTGGTTCGAGGCCTCTCGCACAACCTTGACGCCGCGGCCGGCCTCTGCAGCATCATCAACCTCCTTGGTCAGTTTCCGATAACATTCGGGATTTTTCAGCAGATAGTAGAAGAGCGCGCTCAGACTAATAGCTGTTGTGTCTGAGCCACCAGCAACCAGAGATAAACCCATAGCCAAGACTTCTTTATCGCCCATGCTCTGCTTCTGTTCCGTGGCCAAGAGTAAACGGTCAGTCAGGGCCATGTTCACCTCTACATCGGTTTCGGCTCCTCTGGACTTTCTGTCTTCGAGTTTATGACGACACTCAGACTGTCGCTTAGATGCAAAGACGACCGACTTTCCTGGCGAAGTTCTGAATAATCCTTGTCGTTGTAGCCAGAGGTAGACCGGATTCTTACGGATGACATAGTCGAGTGACGGCATCTGCGAGACAATGATATGGCGGGTGCCGGCCGCATGCATAAAAGCTAGGATATTATCCACATCTTGGCCTGACTCCATGTGACCGAGACTCTGACCATAGGTGATTCTAGTAATAGCGTCGTCCGTGAAGAAATGAAGCCACTGGGGAAAGTCGATCACGCCACCATTCCCGGGTCTACCTTCAAATCGCTCCTCGAGCTGCCTGAAGAAAACAGCAATTGTGTCGTTGACCATCTCTTCGTATTGGACCATGGTGCTCATCGAAAATGCCGAACTGACGCTCCTACGCACAGCATCGTGCCAGGCCTGGTCTGTTGTGGAGAACAAGGTTGGGAATATGACGCCTTGGGAGGTCGGCTGAGAGACGAGATGAAGGTCCGATTTCTTCGACAGGCCTTTTGGGCCATAAATGTCTCTGATAGCTTCGGGCTGGGCAAAACAGAGCTTATTGGGACCGAGTCGCACAATGTCCCCATACTTCTTATGTAAATGAAGGAAGGGTGGCAGGTGTGAAGTGACCTGCACGTCATACACTCGCCACAGGTTCGTTAAGGAACCAAGGAAAGGACCATTGAACCGGCTTAGGCCTTGACCGTAGCGATTGTAGATGAAGTAGAAGAGAAGGATCACGGGGCAGGCAAGCCATAGGTGGGCTTTAAAGATAGCGATAATGTCGGTCACAAACATGTTCGTTAAGATATGAAAAATAAACGATACCAAGTCTCAGTTATCTTCTCCTTTAACCTGCAAGTCGTTCAAGGCTCCCGTTCATTTATTTATACTCGGGCCTTGACGTTGGATAGTATATCAAAGCTGGGATTTCTCCTAAAAGCTCTCTTCCTACTCTAGAAGGTGAGTAGAACTAATCCGGAAATGTACAGGTCACAGCATAGAATACAGCTAGGAGTGTGTCATCGGAGAAAAGGCCTTAGATCGCAGCTCCGGCACGTCCAAGTGGGCCAGCGCAATCGGAGAAAAGTCCAAAATGCCGAATAACCGCCAGTACTAACCACACAGATAAATACCGAAAGAGTTTAGACAAAAGACTCCAGACTAAAAATTACAGTCAAAATGAATGAATGAATAATGACAACTGAATATAGCAAGGTATGTTGCATCTGCGGATGTGCAAGAGTTTCATGGGAGGCAGAGTGTCAAGGTCATTAGTTTGAAGGGTGGAACCAAAAAAACCTCTCCGAATTTAGAAGTCGTCTGGTGGTAATGAGCGGCGGTTGATTAGCTTCCCAACTTTTGATCCGAGCCTAAACTCGAGCCGTCCTAGGCTGAGTCGATTATATCCCTTCTCTGAAAGGTGCTCCCGTCGAGTTAGAATAACAAACCTAGTCGATTGGAAGATGATGCTTGTGACCTTCTTCTTCCTCCCGTCCACATTTGGGTACTAGAATGGCGCCATGAAACCGGACAAATGCTAGATGATACACTACACTGTGCTTAGGCTCGGACGAGACGATTAACTGAAGCGAGTTTCGAGACGAATTCGGAGAATTTGGACAAGTGCCGCATCTTTACCCGATCCGGCAGTTTAGCTCAACTTCCGCCGGCGCCCGCTTGCCTGCAGCTCCGGCTGGACACAAGGTCAAGGAGCTCTCATCTTAGGGATATTTCAGGGCCTTTCTCTCGCCTATAGCGAACTTGTTAATTTTCGATAAAAGCCATATCATAAATCCGACGTTATGGTTGTAGTCAAAAGATTCCGGGCGACTTGGGGCGTTGAACCAAGCCCAGGATACGAAAACTACAAAACTTGGTTTCCAGAATTAAAGAAACAGGGCTATTGTTCGTCTTTTCGTTGTCTCCCGATCTTCCCAATCTTTCTACCTGTGGTGTAATCTCACAAGTCAATCTGCTGATTTATAGCTGGAGTAGAAGTGAATCTTCACATCATCGACAACCCGACCATTCTCAAACAACTCTGCAAAGAAAACGATCTAGAAATTAATATCTTGTTAGTGGAAAATTGTATTCTCTTTGATAAAGAAAACTGTTCACGAATTATACTACAGGATATTTTCTGCTTGGCCTAGGTACCAGGGACCGCGACCGCGATGTACTGTTGCTGATCATCTGGCCGCCTATCGGGACCAACTGAGTCGAGCTAAGATCTTTGATCCTTTGAAAATCAATGCTCAATCCGGAAGGTAAGAATAGTGGAAGAGCCCGCTCAAATGGAAACTAATAATTGATCAGTGATATATTCTCTTATGACGAGTCAGTTGAGTTCTTTCAGGGAACTCTAGAAATTGATGCCGCTCTGGGGATGATAGGGAAGGTTTGCCATGAAACCCATCGCAACCGATCGCTTTTCAATCCTTACGCGGCAGAATACATTCTGAAAAGAGTGCCAGGGTAGGGCACTTAGTGTCCGGACCGTCCTGTTATCCCTGAGGCTAATGGCGGAACCTAGACTCCGAGTGAATCTCGACATATCGCACTGGATGGTGGCCTGTGAGCGTCTTCTCGATCAATCGAATGAGGATATGCAGCTATTAGAGAGGGTTTTTCCATTCGTGAGTTGTTGAATCTCATGGACCAATATTGATCCAACCATCTCACGGTGATACAAGGTCCACCACATCCACTCGCGTATTGGCACCACACAGTCTTCTCAATGCCCTGACCCATCTGATCTAATATACCAACCAGAAGTGCAATGTTTTGAAAACATCTGGAGAAGAGTGATCTTAGCACAAATAAAGCGAGATGGTCCCAACGCTGTCATTACGTTTGTCCCTGAGTGGGGGTATGTGCTTCTTTCTTCGAGTGATCCATTGGAGAGCTAAAACTTTTGACAGTCCGTACCCATACCATCCCCGTGGAAGTGTGCGAGAGTTCTCCGAGGTAGCCGATACTGAAGGAGTGCGTCACCAAGGCCTCTTTGAGGGAATATGCAGGATAGCACTAAAAACATCTACTACTTCTATTTAGTAGATTTTAGTATAGATATAGGGAAAAGACTCGAAATGCGTTAAATTATAGTTTAAATTAAAGCTATCAACGATGGCTGACGTATCGTTTTCTTAATTATTTCTTTCCGCCACTGGCATTATGTTAGTGAGAATTTTAGATTGCTGAATTCAATCAATAGCAAAACTGACAGAATGGATAGTTCGACCCTGCCCTTAATCTTAGCCTTAAGTTGCATATCAATATTCAAGTTCATGCTGATTTTGACGGATGGTGCGCCACTCTTGCTCGTCTCTGCCACGCCGTGCTGCCTCACTTCTGGAGAAATTGGTTGGCTCTGATTTTGGTCTTCCTCTCCGGCCAACTCTTTGTCAAGGATATCGGTCGGCCACAGAGCAAGGCGGAACTCGTTGGGATTAGTCGCCTCCTTGGTCCGAGCCTTGCCTTCAACTTTGCTGTCTAAATACCTTGTCAGTCGAGTCAAGATGGGCCGTAGTTCATGGGGCGCACTCTGTCTTGCCTGCTCCTTTTGCGGCTCACCCCCCATTGCGGGGTAAGGTGATATTGCCCAGGGGCGGTGTTTCGATGGAATCGAGAAAAATTGCAATACAATCTCCCCGATGGACGATAAAAGAAGAGGAAATGTGGGAAAGGCCCCTGTGACTGGAAAAGTAGCTCGCCTTTCTCTTCAGGTGAGGTTGCAAGAGGCAAAAACACGTGTCTGATATCGTTATGAGGTAAACCCCCCCATAATTTCTTTTTATTGTGGGCCACGATGTCCGAGCCGCCACCTACCTAGTCTCATTTACGAATTATTCCCTGCCTAACAGAGTAGAGTATGAATACGTAAGAGAAAGAGAATAAAGTTCAACAGCAATGGAAGCTGCCAGATCCCGATAACTCAACACAATGAATCCGGAAGCTTTAAAAAACAGCCTGTATTAATCTAATACCGATGACTCACTTGCCGAATGACGAGGACGGGACATCACTGCCACGGCGCGGTCTATCGTAGCTATTTGTAGAACAATGAGTCGAGGAAAGCTGGTGGGCTAATTGCCACGTTTGGCCTTGTGACAACCGCCCATGCACATGGCAAGAAGCGCGCGCAAGCCGACACTGGCACTTGTAGGCGCCAGAACGTGTCGAGTATAGCATTCTGACTCTTGTTGATTCAGTTCTTCAGTAGGCTTCTCAGCTTAGTGTAATCCTTACGGCTCGACTAAAACGCCCCCTACTCCATTAGCGATTCATCTCAACTTCAAATCTGGTCTAAGGGGAGGTTTTTGTATTTCGAGACGTTACTAGTGTTTCGCTACAGCTTCAACTCAAAGCGCTATCATTGGCCATCTTCTCCTGTCGTAAGCGACAGCGGAATGTATAAGACTATCAGGTTCGAGGGCATTATCCTTACACTATGTACAAAAGAAAAACGGGTTGGAATTTATTGATGCCTAGCCAAGAACGCAAAAGGGCTCAAATCCATCGAACCAAGTATAAGACTATCTGGTTGCTCCCGTCCCCCTGTCCACCCGAGGGCTAGGGCAAGCTTACACGCTACTAACCGTCCTCGCATGACTTTTGCTTGATAAAGTCCAAGGGCGAAGCTGTGGCTAGAGGAATTTCCTCATATTAGCGTCCGAGCATCTCCAGATTCCAAGCTCGCTCTTACCCAAACAAACTAGACGTCCTGTTCTCATCAAGCGCTCACAGAGATGGCCTAGGAGACCTTGTTAGCAGATTGGTGGGCTGTGTCCCAAGTGCCATCTAACGAATCTTGTTCCCCACCGGCGTTCTTCTCCTGCTCTAGAGCTTCACCCTTCCATGCCACATAACAAGTGAAGGGAACACTTGCGACAAAAACGGCAAATGAGACGGCTAGGTTCGTCATTAGTGACACGTGGTCTCGAGATCCGATGCCATATGCGCAAGCAAATCCTATGCTCTCTGCCGATCTCAGGATGCCGCTTGTATAGGAGAGCGTGTCGACATTGCTGTTGTAAAGCGCCAGGATCCAGTACGTCCAGACGACGGAAGCGTTTCCGGCGATGCTACCCTTTCCTTTAGCATGCACCTATACAGAACCGATCAGCTAGCTTAGACTTACCTGAAGAGACAGTATGCAACGATCGCTTTGGCGTAGTCCCGGGAGTATATGTCGAGGACCGGAGGGGGCGACCTCGACTGGAGCTCTACTTGCATGTAAAAGTTGAAGATCCACTGCACCACAAACACGAGCAGCATGCTATACCAGCCCACATTGCAGAGGATCCGCTTGTTCCTGAAGAGGGTCTGCGAGTCCAGCAGGCGGCCCCAGCCGACGGTGGCGATGATGCCGCAGATGGTCTGGACGAAGCCGGCGAGGGCTCGGCCCCGGACGGTGAAGTAGAGAGCGAGATAGTTGCCCTGATACGTGTAGCTCCAGCGAACGGTGATAAAGATGGGCATGAGGAGGACGATGTGTCGAGACTTGAGGGCCTTCCACAGGCCGACGAAACCCTGCTTTAGAGGTATACGGGCGAGCCCAGAGCTAAACGTCGGCTGCGTGCCGTCGGTCCGGATGAGTTTGTGCGGAGGGGAGATGGTCAGGGCGAGTGGCAATCCTATGCACGACAGGCCAATCATGGCGAGATAGGTGCTCGTCGAAATGCTGCCCTGCTCAGAGTCATGTATGTTGAGCGCCAGCTGGATGGAGCTGCCAATGACCGTGCCAAACAACCCGATGGCCATCCACAGACTAATGTACAGCCCCCGCCGGTTGTCCTCCGGGTATGCGACGGCGATGGCCGCCTCCGACGTCCAGAGTGCGGCGGCTGAAAAGCCGCACGTCACCGCCCCAAAGAGGAGGAACCACTGCGTGCCATACACGCTGTTGCAGTACAATGCGCCAAAGTACGGGAGGTACCCTACCGTGCCAAACACGAGAATCCATTTGAGGCTAAAGCGGTTGCCGAGTACAGCGAAGATGGGGCTGAAGACGATCATGATCACGTAGGTGATCACGTTGGCGGCGTTGACAAAATAAGGGCTGGCTAGTCCACCGGCCCCCATACCTAGGAGCTGTCAGTCACTGCTTTGCAACGATCTGGCTGGCTTAACTTACTCGCGAGAGCAGTCCATATCCCTTGTTGACTGAAACTGACTACACCCAGGATAATGGCCTGGTAGAGAGTGCCTCGATACCAACGCTTGAGAATACTCAGCCACGGCTGAGAGGTAGCCTCTGCACACATAATGCCTTATAACACGATTAAGGTGTTGTATTCTTAAGGGTCGGGGAACGAAGAGATGCAAAGGAGGGATAGAGGGCGGTAGACCAAAGGTAGAAGCAGCGCCGTTGCTCGTTTTATAAGACCAGATCGGACCCCCTCGCCTTTTTGAAGTTCCCTGTCGGGTGAGTGAACCAGAAAAGGCTTGCTCTTGTGGGCCAAATTTTACCACTCGATGACCTCTAAGGATTATGCAAACCTGCCCTAAAACAGGCGAATCCCAGCTACTTCTGCGCTAGGAATAATAGTGTCGTTTCGGTAATGCCGCAAGAAGCACGATGGCATCAGGAACAAGCAGAGCCACCACATGGGAACGGTGGTCCGGGATCAGATGTCGCAATTCTGTGTCGGCATTGCAAGTTCCGAGCTAGAACTATTGTAGCCGCGGACACATTTAAACCCGAGAATACATTGTATAAGTCACGATGTCACCTGGGAACCCGAGCTTAGGAGGTGGATGGGGCACATTAATGGGGGGTACAAGGGCCTCTTAGAACGAGAAATCATGCCAGGCTGTCTCGAAACAATACACCCCTCTGACCCATTGGGCTTCTTCTCTTTGCCCCTTGTTTCCATGAACTGTTACTTTTCAGGCATCGAGTAACGACAGGAAAGCATTAATTCCAAGCATATCAAGTTGCCACAATGGCTCTCTCATCGGGCCTCACGCCCCAGGGGCCAGGAGCAGTTCCCACGAAACCGTCGAAAAACGATGTCTCTCCCGGCCCGATCTTCACCCCCTCAAAGCACTTGGCCTACAGCCAACCTTCAAAGGTCTGGTCTTTGCGAGACCTGGGCTACCCAGACAATCAAGGCATCTCGCCATTTGGGGTTTCCGAGCCGTTTCGCCTCTTTTCCGACGAGGCCATTGACGAGATGCGGAGGGAGCTGTTCACCAACCGGAAGATCTGGACAGACCACCGCTTCTCTAGCAAATATGCTGAGTGTCAGCTGCGAGGATATGCTCGAGAGTAACTATCTCCTTTATTTAACACGATCCCATCTACCAATACTAACCGTGGTATACAAAGCCATGCACCATTCATCTACAATGCTTGGAAAAGTCCAGAAACGCTGCGCATCATCTCTAACCTTACTGGTATGGACGTAGTGCCAGTATTTGACTACGACATTGCACACATTAATGTCTCCGGGCCGAGCGTCCCAGCTTTGTCACCTCTTCCAGCAGATCGAGTTGACAAGCCAGCGAAGGAAACGAAAACTGAGAAGCCTAGAACCGAAGATGAGAACGATGCTATTGTCAGCTGGCACAACGACAGCTATGCGTTCGTGTGCGTCACTATGCTCTCTGACTGCACCGGCATGGTGGGTGGCGAAACAGCCTTGAGGACGGCTGATGGCAACGTTATCAAGGTCCGAGGACCTGAAAGGGTAGGTGCTCCAATAACACATTCCATAGGGACATTAGCTTGACAATTTTGGTTGCATAGGGTTACGCTGTTGTGCTTCAAGGACGCTACATCGACCACCAAGCGCTACGGGCTCTAGGCGGTACTGAGAGAGTCAGCATGGTCACCGCGTTCCGGGCGAGTTCCTCGGAGGTGCGCGATGATACCAACCTGAAGCTCGTCCGACCCATTTCCAACATTGACGAGCTTTACAATGAGTATGCGCAGTATCGGTTTAGGATTCTGGAAGACCGCTTCAGAGGTCGAAGGGAACGAGCTGATCAGAGCATTTCTATCAAGGCACCCTTTGATGTTAAAGAGACGAGGGCGTTTATTAGGGAGCAGATCGAATTCCTTGAGCAGATGGAGGAGCAGGTTATGGAGGAAGACGATTGGAAAAAGATATACAACGGGTCCTAGGCTATCATTTTCCCCGTTTTATCTAAATATACTATCCTTTTGCCTCTACATCTTCAGATTCACCGAGTTGTACAATACCCAGTCATAAAGGACCCTGGGAAGCGTGCTCCTACCACGACATTACTAGGCTGCAGAAATCTTTTGGACGTGGGGACGGGCTTGACCCTGAAAAAGTGCACCACGGCCGCGAGGGTAAAATTCCGTTCCCACTTTCAGCTCATGACATCCGACTGGCTCCGGACGGACTAAGTTAATTCGCCAATCACCACCTCAACAGATGTCGCAATTGCCCTGGATGTTTCTGCCTTGATTGTGCCGTGCTTATGGCCCACAGTAGAAAGTGTTCTACTCTAACTCCAAGAATTTTGCTAAGCTTAGCGATACGTCTAGTCCTCTCGATTCTCGCCTCCTACTTGTGGAGAGGCGCAGGAGTCAGGAGAAGCGGTGGATAAATCCCCTGGACATCTTGTTTAGGCAGAGTTGAGGTTTTCCTTGTCCATGCGCGATTTAATCGTGACTAGGCATTCCCGACAATCAATAGTCCCGTTGTTGTAAATATCCACTAGATTCAACAGGTTGCAGCCCAATACTATGAGGTATGCTTGGGAGAATTTGCGGGTGTATGCGAGACGCTTACTCGGTTATTATTTGAGTTTTTCACAGTTAGGCCAGGTTTTTCATATGGCAACAATTAGGCTGATTGGCGTAGAATGTAATTCCACTTCTACCATAGTAGCGGGCCAAGTCGGGGAGGTTTAATTAGATTTAGTAAAACAATCATTGCGCAATACCTCTAATAGTGCAAAAAAAATCTAACTCATAGGATAATAAAGCGATGTATGTAGAGTAACCCTTTGGGAGTGACACCATTGAAAATGTGAAATCATTTGGAAGATTCGCCAGCTAATCAAATCACAGTCGAGAAGTTAGCTAATCCGCGACAGCCATTTGTTACAAATCCAGCCTCACTTTCATAGTCAACAGCTTAGTTAACTGTGCGGTTAAACAGCTATTTTCTGCGAGCCTGGCCTAGCCGTCACGATGAATAACTCCATTAACTATCACGCTAAACAACCTATTAACAGCAACTATCACAACTGCCCTCTCTCTTGTGGGATTCTTGTGTGATCCTTTCTACTTAAAAAAGGCCCAGGCAACTGCCTTCATAGACCATTATATCCCAGCTAGCTAGCTCACTCTTCTATCTTTCTTTATGACTGTGAGAGAGTTTAGTTATAAGTAAAAAACAGACAGCAGCAATAGAAGAGCTGTCTGCTGTCAAGGTTAAGAGGTTGGACTAAGGTGGATGTAAGCGCGGTGCACGGGCCACAATTGCAGTTTTACAATAATGGTCCGTGCACCAGCCCACCACAACAGTTTACCTACCAAGATCAGATACCCTATACTGATTGCAATTAATTCACTGCTACGAGAAATAATAATTTTATAGTCACAACCAATCGATCTGATCATCAATTTACCATTGGCTTCACTCAGCGCTTATCTCAAAAAGAATATTCTGTGAATTTTGGCCTTATAATGGGAAAGATTCAGGCTCTGGCACATGAATCATCACACGATCATAGAACACGAGGAAAACCAAGACCAACATCATTACTAACTTGTTGTTCTCTTTTACATGAAACTCACAACACATTAAACAAATATGCGCAATGCCTTCCATCAAATGGATCGGTTTAAATCGGACAGAATATAACTTGTCCGGACATGCGCGGTTGGCCGCACACCAAAGATGGAAGCCTTAAAGCCGATATATACTTGTAGTCATTGTGTTCGTTTACTACATTCACTTTATATTTTATCATGTAGGTACATGGCAAATCTCGCACTCACACCGGATACCCTGATTTCGCAAGAATGCTTTGCCAAAATTAATGGTGATTTGCTCACCATGCCTCACGTCCCTCGTAGCTTCGACAGCCATGATCCATCTCCCCGATGCTCTGCGAGGTATGAACCTCGCCGACGAGCGGCACGAATGGTTCAGGTTACGAAAGGTGCTGGCGGGCCCCCCGACATCAATCTGACAGACGATGGGGTCGCCCTCGAGATCGAACCGTCGCATCTCCACGATCCACAGGGAGTTGTATGGGTGGGAGTCTTTTGGCACGAGCCGCCCCGTGAGCTGCCCGATGATGTCGCCCTTGTGGTAGGCCAAGTCACCCTCGTGCGTGGCGAGAGCCTGGAGGCCTACGCCCTGCTCCCCGAATGATTTGATTTGAGGCTTCCGTGCTGCAATCACTTTCGTGCGACGACAGCAGCAGTCGTTGGCGTCGTCGCAGAGATCGCATTGCTTATGAGGCAGAGGGATTTCGAGCGGATCCATGGGCCAGGCCCAGTCCTTTGGCCAGCATGGCGGCTTGGGAGCGTCTGCAAAGTCTTTCTTGTCGTAACAGCAGTCCTCGTAGCTCGGGTGGGGCCGTAGCATGTCAAGCAGGGTGGCCTCGGCCATGTAGCTTTCCCAGGTATGCAGCTGAGGCTGGCTCTTCTCCCACACAAACACGGCATCATGCCTCGTGCCCAGAACCATGTCTTGAAACGCCGCTGCAGCCCCGGCGAGGCCCGCGATAAACGGGTCGTCGATCATCTGCGCGAACGTGTCCAGCTCGTCTCCTTTCATACTGAGGTAGTCGTTTGCCGACACGCCATAGGGCGCTTCTGCTTTGAGGGGTATCAAGCTCAGCAACCCGACATGCTCTTGACAGATCGAGCGCCACGACCGGCCTTGTCGCAGGTACTGGAAGAACCGCGGTCGCTCCGCCTCCTTCCATCCGAATTTGTTCATCGCTTTCTTAATCTCGGCTCCATCGGCTCGCAGTCGCCCTGCTTTGGTATTATCGACGGCCTCGGCAATGTGGTATTGGACTAGGCGCGTCAAAAACGCGCCGAATGTTGTCCGTCCCGTCAATACCCGAAGCCGTTTTGTCAACTCTAGAGCTCGCTCAATGCCGGTGCTGTCGACTTTCAAGAGACCCATCTCCGTCTCGCGCGATCGTCTTGTGTGGATGAGGGAGCAGAACTGCCTGATGGCTGGGCCGCCTTGTACCGCGGCGACTCGGCGCAGCATGATGGCGGACGGGGGATCTGTATTAGGCAAAGTGGGAATGCGAGACAGTTTGTCGCGATTCCTGATGTTGTATATGAGTTTTCGCAGATCTGTGGAGGCCTGTTTCGACGATATTGCTCTGCTTGGAGTATGATCCTCCTTGCCTATATATGCCTCGTGTTTTCGGTGTCGTTTGACATCTCGAGCCAATTCGATGTCATCGCAGGTGGCACTGGCCGACGAAGGTAACCGTTTCCTTGGTACCAAGCCATTTGGTTGTGTGGGAGCAGTCCCGAGGCCGGTAATGGCGGTAGGAACGGGTGATGGAGGGGTGATTGGCGAGGCTGGCACACTAACATCCCGTATTGTCTGTGTGAGAGGCTCGAGTGCTTTTCGTGACGTCGAATTGTCAGACACGATGCTTGAAGTTGGAGTCGGGGGGCCCAAGTCTGGGGGCAGATTTCGCGCGGCGTCGGGCTCCCCGTGCCTCGACAGGGTGGTATTGGAGGGATCATCGGATAATCGCAAAACGTCGCGAGCCACAGCAGCCAGGTCTTCAAGTGTGGAAGCTAGCTCATGGTGTGGTGTGGAAACGGACGTGGTAGGCTCGAGCGTTGATCGCAAATCAACAAGGCAGCCCGTTATCTGTTTTGTCTGGGCAATGAGCGCATCAATGCGCTCCAAATCGTAGGACATTCTTTGAGGATTACACGACCAAGGGGAAAACAAGGAAACGAAAGCAGACGTAAAATGAGACAGTCTAGGTTAGTTCATTTCCATCATTTAGCCGACGAATTACGTGATTATACTAGCTAGTCGTGGAATCCTCGTTGTGGGGCACATATGATGATGACCTGGAACATCGACAAGGGCAAAGCCGCAACGACTAAAATGTCATTCTCGAAGGGTTTATTCCCAATCCACATGATTTGTACTACTGGCGCAATCGTGACCGTGCAATCTCTTTGGTAATGGGGCGGACCTCCAGGTTCATGATGAGTTTCATAGAACTATTTCACACACTGCAGTATCATCTCATAGCCGAGAGTCGACGGATACCGTCAAGCTACTCCGTTGCGGTCGAACCATCACACCGCGTATTTTACAACTTAAAATATAATTAGCAGCTACTCTTATTGTTAAATTAACTTATATTAGTCTGAGGAGATATTTACTTAAGTTCTTAAACTACCTATGTAATGAAGAAATTATCTCGCGCCTCTATCTAGACCGACTGGGGACCTGATTTATTGTACTTGAAGAAGCTCTAGGGTAGGAGAGGAGGATGAGATGTGTGGGGCAGAAGGGTAGGACTGATTGATATCCCCTCATTCTCTAATACTTACTCTCAATCCAATTTGCCGTTAGATGGATAGCTTGAGAGTCCCCAAACATTCAGGCGTGCTTACAACTCAACCCGGATCATTTTGATCATATTTCAGTGAAGAGGGAGCTAGATTCTTTCTTTGCAGACTGCTTATTGAAAACTCGAAATGGCTGCCGACATTAACCATCAATTTCACCAAGTCTACAAGACCACCTTGATCCGTGCCAAGGACATGGAAACGCGCTTCATACGTTTATACCCCGGACCAGAAAATGGTGAACTCAAAGCGGAACTATTCACAAAATCCCTCAAAACATTCAACGACTACGTCGCATTGTCGTACACCTGGGGCAACACCTCGCCATCCCAGGTCCCCCACACAATTTACCTAAATTCCAACAAATTTTAGGTCACGGAAAACTTGTGGGATGGACTAAAGAGACTGCAACGCCATTTCTGTACCTCTACACCGATATCAGTCTGGGTTGATGCAATCTCTATTAACCAGGATGATACAAACGAAAAGAACTTGGTAGTACCCATGATGAAGGATGTCTACTCCACCGCACGCCTAGTCATTATATGGCTTGGCGATGGGGATGAGGTTATTGATAAGACTTTCCAGGCATTGGAGAAGATATCAGCGCGGGTCGAGCATCTGCCAAAGTTCCTGCAAAATCAAGATGACTTACGAACAATTGCTGAAACATCTGAGGTTGACATTGAAACGTTGGTTGAGGGATTTGTGGACGTCAGCAATCGATCCTGGTTTCGCAGAACATGGATTCTGCAAGAAGTTGCTTTACCAACCACTTCACCCCTGGTGATCTGTGGTAATAGTGTCATCCAATGGGACCGATTTATCGAGACCTTGGCGTACCTTCACCAGTTCTTCGTCGATGAGGATGAAGGCAAAGGACGAGTCATGCCACCAAACCTGCGCAGTAAGATTCAGGGTGCTAATGGCTTGAATCCGCGCACGCCTAATGTCACATACCACATCAGAGAACACTATCATCACTGGAAGGGCATCATCGGTGGTATTCCGTTCATGCCCTTGCTGGAGGACACGGCACTCTGTCTTTGCTCCGAACCAAGGGACAAGATTTATGGCTTCTTGGCGCTGGCAGATGATGAATCGAGAAAGCGAATCGAAGTCGACTACAACAAGCCGATCCAGCAGGTCTATACTGAAGCATTTGAACTATCGGTGGAAGGGCTTGAAGGCTTCCAGACCTTGTCAAAAGCTGGGTTACAGTTCCATAGTGACCCGAACACAGCGTGGCCGTCTTGGCTTCCCAACTTTGACCGATGCGGGGAGCCTAGTTTCCTGAAACTTTTTGCTCAAGAGCAGAGGGGTCGCGGAAGTATCTATAACGCGTCATTGGGACTTCCTCCAGTTATGAAAAGAGAAAAAAACAAGCTATATGTATTTGGTCTCTTTGTTGGCGAGATCGAGTTAGCAACACCGGCATATTCCCAGCAAGCAGTACCGCAGTCAGGTTTAGCGAACCGGCCAACACCCCATAATCAAACATCAAGCTGGGTCCGGCTGGAAAAGGCCAAGTCATTGTTGCTTCTGGAACAAGCAGGCTTGGAATCAGACGAGTGTTATACGGAAACTGGGCATGTGATACCAGATAGCGATTCCTTGGTATGCTCTGGGTGTATCTATGAGCCAGCTCTTGACTCAGCTCCACGGCCTGGCCAACAGCTTAACGTATCTATTAGTTATCAAGGAACTCCCGTTCAATGGGGTTGGGAATTTGTTGAATCGACAAACAAAGATCACGAAATTACACCTGTAGTGCCTTGTATCGAAGGTAAGCCGCTTAAAGAGGCCATTTGGAGGACGATGATTGCCGACCACTTTGCCTATTTGCCGTGGATGGAAGAAGGGGTTCCAGCGCCCGACGCTTGTTCTAGAGCTGTACTAAAGTACGCATCCCACCAGTCAGGAAGGCATGATGAGTCGGTGGAAAAGGAGACAACTGTGGACGAGGACAGAGTGGCGCAGAATGCCATGGTAGTTGCACTCTCCGGACGGTGCGTTTTGAAGACAACAAATGACTGGATTGGTCTTGGAACGGTTAATACGTTGCCGGGGGACGTGGTTATAGTTATCGCAGGAGCTGATGTGCCTTTTATTCTTCGGCCGTTTGGGGATCGCTATCGTCTGGTGGGTGAGGCATTCGTGGAGGGCTTGATGTTTGGTGAACTGTTTGAAGGCGATCCGGTATTCACGGACGAGCCGCAATCAGATCTTCAATTGGAGGGCTTTCTCTTATTTTAAAATTAGACGAGATGTACGTATACGAGATTCAGTCCGGATTCTTTTATCTAACGACTTATGCTCGTCCCGAGTCATCGGTATGAAGGTTTACAGACTTTTCCTTCCGCATGACTGCAGCCATGGATAATCAGAGACATTCCTCAACTGAGAAGAACTTGTGATTTGATAGTTATGCTCGTGTCTGCTCCTTGGCAGCATGGCGCAGCAACCCTCCCTAGCTGCCATGTTACACTGGCAGCAACGTCGGCGCATAGGCTCCTTCCGTTCCTGGATCCATTACCGATCTCGATACCGGTATAATGAGTCACGGATAAATAAGATTGCCAGCCCGATGTTGCATTATTGTGCTTTAAATGCCAGAAATGTGATACTTGACGCCGCTTGCTGCGTTAGGCACCAATGTGACCTAGGATGGTCCCAGTGCAGCAACCCGGACACCACCCACTCCGGTTGGATAGACGTGATGCGACCCGGAATTTGAGAAGAGAAAGGGGCGGCAACTACTGGGATTACAGGCCCGCGAAGTCTCCCTTAGGTTTATATATAGCGCTGTTTGGCTTTCGACTGTTTTCTTTGCTAGTAGCCTCTTCAACAGGCCATACTTCTTCTTATCGCTCCTTGAGCGCCTGTTCCTGCTAGTATGAAATTATTCAATTCAATAACCCTGTTCGTCGCCGGGGTAGCAGCTGGGTCAGTCCCCCATATACTTCCAAGTAGACTCAATAAAAGCCAATCCGAATTGACATCACTCTGAAGATGGACGGCCAGGCCGGTTCAAGACCAGCCAACCTTCCCCCCGAATGGCTATAGTCACCCCGTCACAGCTCCCGAGCCCAACTCCACCTACGACTATGTCATTGTAGGCTCAGGAGCCGGCGGCTCACCACTTGCTGCCCGGCTCGCCATGGCTGGCTACAGTATCCTTCTTCTCGATGCAGGCGAAGACCATGGGACTGACAGGCAAGTCCAGGTCCCGGCGGTGAATCCATACGCTAGCGAGTACAATCCGATCCGTTGGGACTACTTTGTCAACCACTTCGCAGACGAGGAGCAGGCCGTCAAGGACAGTAAATTTACCTACCAGACGCCGGATGGAGATTACTGGGCGACTCTTGATCTGTCGGGCCAGCAACCGCCTGAGGGCTCTGTGAAGAAAGGCATCCTATATCCGCGAGCTGGCGCGCTGGGCGGATGTAGCGTGCATAACGCCCTCATCATGGTCAAGGCTACCGACAAAGACTGGAACGACATCGCTTCTCTGACTGGTGATAGCTCTTGGTCGGCCGACAACATGAACGGGTACTTCAAGAAGCTCGAGAAGAATGCATATCTCCAGGGCATCGTCAATCCCGGTAGCCATGGCTTCGACGGCTGGCTTCCCACCCGGACAACTCCCACTATTCTTATTGCGCAGGATTTCAAAGTGCTCTCGCTGCTCGTCGCTGCCGCGACCGCGACCGGAAAAGGACTGCTGGACGGACTTATTGGAACGATAGGGGGTATTCTATCAGTCCTAACCCTGGATATCAACACGGATTCACCGACTCGTGATACCAAAGACTTGATATATCAGGTCCCTGCATCCATGAACAAGGACTACGTTCGCACTGGGCCCCGAGATTTTGTCCTGGAGGTGGCCCTTGCAAAGAATGCGGATGGCTCCAGCAAGTACAAGCTCGACATTGCCCTCAACACGCTCGTGACTAGAGTCAATTTTGACACCACTGGTACAACTCCCAGGGCTACTGGGGTCGACTATCTTTTTGGCAAGAGCCTGTATCGGGCGGATCCCCGTGGCTCTTCGGATGACGGAGTTGCGGGTACTGTTTTCGCCCACAGAGAGGTGATTGTCTCTGCTGGCGCTTTCAACACCCCGCAGCTTCTGAAGCTTAGTGGCATTGGGCCTGCCGAGGAGTTGAAGGCATTGGACATCCCTGTTGTGAAGGATCTTCCTGGTGAGAAAACCCTATCAATCTCGTCTTAAGCATATGGACTAACCGCTGCAACTCGCAGGCGTTGGTGGAAACCTACAGGACAGGTACGAAGTTGGCATTGTCGGTGAGGCGAAAACCGACCTTGCCCTCCTTTCTGGGTGCACGTTCCTCCAAGGGGAGGACGAGTGCTATAACAAATGGAAGAACAACCTAGGCGACCTCAAGGGCGCCTACACCACCAACGGCATCGCATGGGGCTACCTCCACCACTCGTCCGTCTCCGAGCACACCCGGACCTGTTCATCGGTCCTGCGCCGGCCTACTTTAGCGGCTACTTCCCCGGATACTCTCTCCGGGCCACGGCCGAGCACAACAAATGGACCTGGCTCGTACTCAAGGCGCACAGCCGCAACAACGCCGGCACCGTGAACCTGACATCCACCGACCCCCGCGACATTCCCCGCATCAACTTCAACTCCTTCTCCAAGGGCGGCGGGGAGGACCTACAGGCCGTAGTCGAGGGGATACAGTATGGCATCGACGCGTTCAAGAAGCTGATCCCGCTCGACGGCTCGTTTGAGCGTATCTGGCCTCCCACCAACATTAGCACCCCTGAGCAGCTCAAGGAATTTGCGCGCAACGAAGCATGGGGCCATCACGCCTCCTGCACAGCCTCCATCGGTTCCGATGACGATCCGATGGCTGTTCTTGACAGTAAATTCCGTATTCGGGGCGTGGATAGTCTTCGAGTGGTTGATGCCTCCATTTTCCCCAAGATTCCTGGCATGTACATTGCGTTGCCCACATATACGATCAGTGAGAAGGCTGCTGATGTAATCATCAAAAGCGCCGCTGTTTCTGAATAACCCTATGCTCGGTGTATGCGATTCTGGGGAAAGTCAATGGGTCTTAGGCTATATAGACTGGGTTTCGTCCATTGCGAGACCTAGAAAGGTTAGTAATGAATGCTGTATAAGTGTACATGTAATGAATACACGAGGATTATTGTGAGATTTATTTTATCCAATTGCCTGCGTGATGCTTGCTTTCATGGCTTCTGGGACAAGAGTACTGTGTCTAGTTGTAGTTGAGGTAGATCATTGAGATAGATCAGATATTTCACACCCTGAAGCAGACTGGCCATGACTCACGACAACTGCTCAAGAGACTTATTTACTTTAAGTTTTGTCTGATGGGACTTTAAATGGTTTGTTCGATATGCGGAAGAGAGTTCGAGTATAGTTAAACAACAATTGAAGATGCTAGACCCGACATCTCAACACACTGAGAGATCGATAGTACTACCTCGCTAATCGGCGACTCATTATTTCTCGAATATATAGATCTAAGCCTGTTGGCGGAGATTCAACCTCTTCCTACCAGAAATGAGGCCGGAAGAGATTTCCAAACCGTGCCACCAGGAAGGCCATAAAGTAAATCCGATATCGATCCAGCCAGGTATGGTAATCACCGGATTCTTTTCTACTCCAGGCGTGTTAATTGGCCTGCATCGTCCTGAAGAGTCATTGTTAACCGTCAAAGAGGAACCGCACCATGCATGTGGAATTACGGCCCTGGTTGTGGCATTAAAGGAAATTTAAGTATTGTGAACAAGGAAATCCAAAGATACAGTGATTATCACACTGGCACAAAATATCGAATTTAGATATAGTCCTTTATTAGAATATGTCTCCGTTGAGCTTGGATATCCTATTTAAGGTTCATAAAAGAGTTTAAGATATTCTTGTCCCACTAGTTATAATTTGGTACGTCGCTGCGCTTGGCCACTCGATGACGAGATTCTTCTCCCTTTATCATCAAAAACTACCTTGTTGCCAGTGATCATGGCCTCCTGCAGTGCAGAGGCAATCTCGACGGCAGCCACGGCTGAGGCTAGTTCGACCGGCACTTGGGTGTCATCGAGACAGCAGTCGGTAAACTCGACTGCCTCAGTAGTAAAAGCTTGGTGGAAACGTTCCCAGTAGTTCTGTGGAAGCTCATGATGGATTCCGCCTGGCTTATAGATCTGAACATGATTTGCAACAGGGATCATGTTGATGGTTAGCTTGCCCTCTGTGCCAATAATCTCGGTACTATCCTCTTGGCCAGCAATCATCATTCTCGACGTGTAAACACTTGCAATGCGACCATCTTCAAACTCAATCATGCCCATGACATTGTCGCGGTCATTGTACTGGAGTAGATCAGGCTCAATGGCCGTGATTCCTATGGCAGATACTGAACGGACCTTTGCGCCCTCAAAGAACCACAGAGCTAGATCGACATCGTGGATCGCGCAGTCCACGAAGATGCCCCCGCTCTGCGCAGCATAATTGACGAAGAAACCCGTCGGGTCTAGGACGTCGCCTGTTTGGCACCGCATCACGCACGCTTTGCCAATGATGCCGGACCGCACCTTGGCATATGCATCGCGGTAGCTCGCATCGAAGCGACGAGAGAAGCCGCACATAACTTTAAGGTCAGGCCGTCGCGTGGCAGCGTCAACGACGGTTTGAGACTATAGTGACACAACTTAAATATTAGAACGATTTCGTCCATGAACTCACATCTCTCTCTCTGCTGGTGTACATACCACGTCGGTACTCGTTGCGAGTGGCTTCTCACAGAGTACGTGTTTGCCGGCAGCAATGGCAGCAATGGTCTGGGGTGCATGCACAGATGTCGTGGTGGAGATGCAAACAGCGTCCATACCAGGATGTCTCAGCATGTCATCGTAGTTTTCGTAAACGGCCACACCGCTTGGAGCGAGAGTATGGGTTGCCCACTCGCGTTCGACGTCGTCTATTGAGCATACGGCAGTAAGAATGGCTCGGGGGACATTATGAAAGAAGTTGAGTGCATGACGCTTGCCCATACGACCGAGGCCAACAACCCCGACGTGGAGTTTACGCGGAGGTTCCATGGCGTTCGGGAACTACCAACGGTGAGCGACAAGGCAATGGAAGAGGAAGAGGATGATGTCCAACTGGCTTAATGCTTCACAGCAATCATCACTATTAACACTGCAATTAAATATCCTTACGTAGGGTCTTTCCTGCTGGTCTTCCTTCGCAATGCCTAGGCCTGTAGGCTTTGTCAATCGCCATATCCCTTCCCGCATTGGAAATCTTCGGCGATATCACCGGGAGTAACTTAGTGCGCAGAAAATCAAGCTCACCCGGTAGACATCTGCCTTCATGGCGTGGGCGGAGTAGGTACAGGAACGAGTGATCACGGTCATTATTCAACTTCCAGGGTCGCTGACAAGAGCTCGGGGTTATTTGTCCATTTTAGGCAAGTCCTGCCCGAATTTCTCGTGGGGAAAATATTACTAGCCCCATGGCCTTTTCCATCAGCCTCATTCCGGACCGGGTTTGCCTACTCTGGTGTAGCCGTTTTGACTCCCATCTCCCCGAGTTTACCCCAGCTTTCCCCCCCGCGTCAAGGGAAATCTCGTCTGCACCCCAATCAAAGAGACAAGGACGGGGATGGAGGGAGTTAGAGCCTGTTGATTGAAGCCACCGCCTCAACTGATAAAACCGCCATTGTCCGCACTTTATTTACATCGCGTCTTGAACTCCATTACGAAACAAGAAAACCAACATACCGTTCTTCCTGCGCTATAATTCCATCAACATGGATAAAATCGACGCCAAGTCTGCTGTTGAGCACAAGGTCTCAAGCTCTGGCCACATGGAACACATGGAGAGCAACGCATGCTATGTGATGGACCAAGAGCCCTATGGTCCTGCTGGTATGACATAGACTTGCGTTTCTATACTGGTACCTGTATGCTAATCTGGGGTAGGTTTCCGAGGAATCTTTGCGAACCGATACGTTGCTCTCTGCGCTTCATTCAGCGCCATTGGGGGCCTGCTTTTCGGATACGAGTAAGCGCCGTGACCTAACCGACGACCGATGATGGCAGCAAAGAACGTAACTGACCTCAATGAATTAGCCAGGGCGTAATCTCGGTAACTCTGGTTATGGACCATTTCCTCCAAAGATTCCCTGAAGTATCTGATGACTATCCTGGTGGGGGTCTCAAAAAGGGAATCATGACCGCCATGATTCCGTTGGGCGCGTTCGTCGGTGAGACGCACACGTTTACAGAACACACAACACGAAATCTGACTTGTGGGTAATAGGAGCCGCAAACGGAGGATGGGTCGCAGACGTCTACTCGCGCAAGTACTCCATCATGATTGCTGTAGTGGTTTTCCTGGTCGGCTCCGCTTTGCAGACTGCTGCGGTTGACTATGTCATGTTGACGGTTGCGCGCTTGATCGGTGGCCTGGGAGTTGGAATGTGAGTATTGTCTCTGCGTCTTATACGCGATAGGCATGTATCTTCGCATGATGCTGACGACCCTTCTATCATGTATAGGCTCAGCATGGTCGTGCCCATTTATATTTCCGAAATCTCGCCTCCGGAGATCCGCGGATCTCTCCTCGTATTTGAAGAACTGAGCATTGTTTTGGGTATAGTCGTTGCTTTCTGGATCACTTACGCTACTAGGTATATTGACTCGAACTGGTCGTGGCAACTGCCCTTTCTCCTCCAGATGGTGCCTGGTGTTTTCCTTGGTTTGGGCGCAATCCTGCTGCCATTCTCCCCTCGGTGGCTGGCATCCAAGGGACGCGATGACGAGGCTCTCTCCATGCTGGTCAAGCTGAGGCAGCGAGAGAGCGACGACTTTCGTGTGCGTCGGGAGTGGCTCGAAATCATCTCTGAATCCAAATTTCAGCGCCAAGTGTTGGCAGAGAGACACCCAAAACTCGTGCTTCCCGGCCTCTTGAATACGGTGAGGCTCGAGATTGTATCTTGGGCAGACTGTTTTAGGCGGGGCTGCTTGAAGCGCACCCACGTGGCTGTTGTCGTCATGTTCTTTCAGCAGGTAACTATTCAAGATTGGGATAAGTTGCAATAAAGATGTCTTGTTGACGAGTCTATCGCAGTTTGTCGGTATCAACGCCTTGATTTATTACTCCCCCACCCTGTTCGGGTAAGTACTTCTGCCTGCGCACAAGACACAAAACACTGACTCTATTCACAATTAGCACTATGGGTCTAAATCTCGATATGCAACTCATCATGTCAGGTGTACTCAACGTGACACAACTTATCGGTGTCTTGAGCAGCTTGTATACCATGGATCGCTTCGGGCGTCGCCCCTTGCTTCTGGCAGGCAGTGCATGCATGTTCATCGCCCATCTCGTCATCGCCGTCATGGTGGGCAAGTCTAACCAGTCGTGGCCCTCGCATGAGACGGAAGCGTGGGTGAGCGTGGCATTCTTGCTCTTCTACATGCTTGCTTTTGGCGCTTCCTGGGGCCCTGTCCCCTGGGCTCTTCCTTCAGAGGTGTTCCCGTCATCCATGCGTGCCAAGGGTGTTGCTATTGCAACTTGCTCCAGTTGACTGGAAAACTTTATCATCGTGAGTGAACATAGCCCACCCACTGTTTCGTCGATGCTCCTGTGTTATCTTAATAAGTAATAAACGCAACTAATGATTTCTTCTTTTCAGGGCCTCATCACCCCTCCTCTAGTGCATAACACAGGTTACGGCGCTTACGTCTTCTTTGCCGTTTTCTGCATCCTCTCTTCTGTTTGGACATTCTTTTGTGTTCCAGAAACCAAGGGCAAGAGTTTGGAGGAGATGGACGAAGTGTTTGGCGACCGTAAGAGTGCTCAGGATGTTGCTGTGAAGGAAGAAATTTTTGCTGGCCTCCTTCGGGAGAAGGGTTTCGCCCAGGCTGCCTAAGAGCTTGGCGGCCCCGAAGCTTGATTGACTCTCAGGATTATAACTAGGAACGCGCATTATGTAGGCAGACTTTCCTTCCACTGGCCACGTGCGAGATGTCAAATCTAGACTTCGCCTAGCACAGAGAGTATACAAGTTAGGGGTGTGATTGGAAAGTCCGCACAAGTTCGCCAAAGCGGTACTTTCATTGTGCGGAAAAGCCGCCGTACCTTTCGGCAGCTTAAGTTAGAAGCTATTTGGTGGCTCCTCACTACCACTTAAAATCTGCTGCCACTCATTGAGCAGGAATCCTTAGTAACTAACCCTCTTATAAGTATCTAAGCTGTTAGATAGCTACAATATTTTATACCGAACATCTCTATGAAATTCAAGATAGTATTCTCTTTATAAAACAAAACTTAGTGGTTTTTAATGAACTTAAGTGTCCTTTCTGGATCTATAAAACAGTTATCGCTAGCAACATAAATAAATTAAATTCCTTTTTTCAAAGACTGAGCTATTTGACTTGTATTTTTCGATTAGCATTCACTTTGTTAGTTTCTAAGACGTAATGTATATTTCAAGAGCAGGCATTTTTTACTGTAGAACACAACCAACTTAAAAGAGTCACGTTGTTGAAAATGCGTGGCATAGGCTAGCTCGGTGGTTTCTAAAAGCTAATAGGCAATGAAAGGAGATATCGATCAGATGTTTCGGCAGCCACAGAGACCAAATGCCGTCTTTTATTATTTGGCATTTCCATTTTCTTCTTGAAGTGGTAAGTGCACTCCCGACGTACACGAGCCAGCGTAATTCCCAACCCCCTATAAGTAGTTTCACCCAATTGATTGTCCAGAAATATCGAGGGCCTCTACATATTTAGTGTTTGTAATCCCCGTGGAGACTTCAGGGCCACCTTTTCTCTCTATTCTCGATGGTCGGGATCTCGCCGCCAAATCTTCATAGGCATGGGCCCGCAAAGAATATTGAAAGCCTCCGACCTTTGTAGGTCCCAATCTTTCGACGTCAACGCAAAATTGTACCGGTGCACAATTGACGCAAGAACTATGACCTGCTCCAGATAGGTAATGTTACGGCCGAGACAGGATCTCGAGCCGGCCGAAAACGGGATAAAGGATGACTCCATCTTGCGGCGATTTGCAGGGTCGAGCCACCGCTCAGGCTTGAATGCCTCGGGGTCAGGGAAAATGTCCTCGTCGCGATGGGCCGCGTAGATTGTCATGCTAACGGAAGTATCACCCGGAATCCACTTGTTCAAGATGCGTGCACCTTCCTTTGGAGTCCGGCGAGGGAGGCCAGCCGACGTCGGGGGCATCAGACGAAGACTTTCGTCGATACAGGCGCGTAGGAATGGGAGGTCTTTGACCTTGTCATAAGGGGAGATGACATCATCTCGATCCAGAACAGTTTCAACTTCTTGGCGCAGTGTCTCTAGGTGCTCAGGATGTCTGTACAGCAGGAGCATATGCTGGGTCATGGCGATAGCGGTTGTATCTGCCCCAGCATTTATAATGGCTCCAACTTCGGCAATCATCTCTCCCCACTGCAAATTGTTGGGGTTGCCAGCTTTGTCCTCCAGAAGCGACGAAAAGAAGTCATCCGGCCTCTCCCCAGCCTGGAACTTTCTAAGACGCTCTGCAGCTAGGTGGTAGAAGACATCTTCTGTTGGCTTTCCATCTTCAAAGACCTTGCGCCAACGGCCGGGCAGTGTAGACATGACCCATTGAGTCCATGGCCAGAGGTTGTAGTCCCAGACCAGCGTGGCCTGAAACCAGGCAGACATGTTCTGTGAGTAGTGGTATGGGGCCCGATAGGTTGTCCCGTCGCGTCTCTCGGCAGTGACCTCATCTTTGCCCGTGTCTAGCAGATCCATCTCGGCGGACAGGGCGATATAGTTGATGGCCTCAATAGTCCACAGATTGATCCAGTGGTTGAAGTCAAAGTTGAGATCACCACTGGCCGGATCAACAAAGTCACCTAGCGGTGCTGTGCAGAACCCATCAAGAGCCTTGAAGAGGCGCTCGGTGGTGTATGCCACCTTGTACTCCCAACTCTCCAAGTTCTTGATAGCGAACGCTGCCGACAGAAGCTTGCGCTTCCGGGCATGCTCAGGCTTATCGACGACATCGAATAGGTGGCGATGAGAGCCTGCAAGTAGACCTTCCTTCAGGTCTTTAGTGCAGGGGGTACCATGTCCGTAGATGTCCTTGATGGCCTGGTTATCACAGAATGATAACGCGTTGGGGCCAATGCGAAGGATGGGTTCGTTCCTTCGCTTATGCTCCAAGTACAGGTCGCGAGAACGGTAACCGAAGGAACTCAGGTACACATGACGCAAATCTGTGAAGGGGGAGAGTAAAGCGTAGTTGGGATATTGTCTGAGACCCTTTGGGTCAATCCAATAACGCACTACTGGGGCGAGAATTGCATACGCAATGGAAGCTGCAAGAGCGATGAGGACAATTTGTAATGAGATCATATTGCAAACGCTGTCGGGGGTAGAAACGTCTACTCGGGACGAGGTGCTAACTGGGGGGTGTTTGATGGGCGCTACCTGATGTGCGAGAAACAGAATATATATTTGGAAGGATCAACTGGACATGAGACATGCTCACATTGACGCAAGAAATCATCTGCATGCGGTCCCGGCTCAGAAAACAGATTCTCCTCATCGATCGAAAGGGCATGCGGACCCCATTTGCTTCCATGAGGACGTGGCAAAGTGGATCACTCAATTAGGCCAAATTGACAAGTTAGTCTTGATACTGATCTGAACGAAGACCATTGGCGGATCTTGGAGAATCTTGATGTTGATTGATTAGTGAGAGGTCTTCTTCGCCCGGCGAAATTTATCCCAAAGAGGCAACAAGTTCCGCTTCTCCACATTCTCATTCCACGTGGACCGGACCCAGACAACGGCGAATGGATGGCGTGTCACTGATTAGACTTGCGTGTTATTGCTTTTACTTTAGGAGATTATGCCTTTTATATCTTGGTTGTGAATATTTCAATAGAACTGCAGGCAGCTCTAGCTGATTAATACCAGAAGCTGTTTTCTCGTTTCTTAAGTGCTATTCACTTTTGGACTCTCTTGATCCGCGGGCAACTCTGCCTTTCACGGCCTTTATTCCGCTGTAGTTTATTTTCACACGAGCCACCATGTCTGCCGTGACTTCTTTTTGGCAGGTTTTCTACACAAAGATGGAGGCCGCAGCACTCGAGACGACTATAGCAGATTGTTTGGTTCTTGTCATAGTTGCCACTGCCTCAGCCTACCTTTACAACCCAGGGAAGTTGATACGGCAAGCAGATCCGACGATTGCGAAACTTTTTGAACGCCCGCAGTTAGGGCTGGCAGGAGTCAGACGGGTGAATGACAGCCGTAATATTGCCGAGAAGATGGAAGAAACGGAGGCGGATGTTGTTGTCTTTTGGGGTTCACAATCTGGTCTCGCCGAGAGTCTCGCGCATCGCCTCGGTCGAGAAATGATACGTCGCTTCAAGTTGAGGCCACTGGTGGCTGATCTTTCCGATTATGAACCACAGACCATTGCTCTTATCCCCGAGGGCAAGCTTGCACTCTTTGTCATGTCGACATATGGTGAGGGTGACCCGAGTGACAACGCTCAAGAGTTCGTCACTTGGGTCAAATCTAGAGATGTTGGGGCATCTGCTTTAAAGCACATTCGCTATGGTGCATTCGGCTGCGGCAATCGAAACTATCGCTTTTATAACAAAGTGATTCGAGACGTCGAGAATTGCCTGGATAAAGCAGGCGCTGTGCCGATCCTCCCTACGGGCCATGGGAACGAAGCTGAAGGGACGACGGAAGAGGTTTTCGTTGAATGGAAACACATGTTGTTCTCTGCCTGCAAGACAAAGCTTGGCTTTACTGATCATGATGCCGGATACATTCCTTCAGTAAAGGTTGTCCAAGACTTGACGGCAGCCATGGACGACGCAGAACTCTACCGGCCACTTGCCGCTATCACTGCATCTCCCATGATCTCTAGAAAGGCCCCGATCTTTTGTGCGCCCATTAAGATGCGTCATACCATTGCCTCGTACAGCGATAAGAGTCGCACCTGCGCCCATCTAGTTGCCGGTATCGCGTCCCAACGGAGGGTCAAGTATAGAACTGGCGACCACCTTCTGATATGGCCCATCAACCCTGCAGAGGAGGTGGAAACTCTGCTGCACATGGTCGGATTAGACGAGACGAAAGACGCAATATTGCGGATTGCGCCCCTAGATGAGCACATGGCGCTTAAGGTGCCAAGTCTGACAACTGCTCACGCTCTCTTCTCTCGGCACCTCGAAATTTGCGCTCCAGTCTCGCGAGAGACAATTGCTACACTTGCCGCGTTTGCTCCTACCGCCGAGACACAATCCGAGTTAATTGCCCTGTCAAGAGACAGGGACTCCTACTCGGAGTTCCTCGCCAACAACCATGTGACTCTACTACGCTTGTTGCAATACACGCAGAAAAGTGAAGGCATGACCTTGTGGAGAAATCTACCACTATCATTCATGATTGATTTCCTGCCGGCCATGAAACCCAGAAGCTACTCAATCTCCAGTTCTCCAGTCCAATCGCCTCGCGAGATCAGTCTGTCGGTGTCGGTCAAGCCCACGCCTCTTGTTGGTAAGCCCGACGTGCTAATTCCCGGGCTGACGAGCTCATTCCTCTCTGGGGGCATATCTAGAGATGAAGACATGTCCAGACTTTCCAGCATTTACATGCAAGTCAAGACATCATCCTTCAAGCTACCCATCAAGCCGGCGGTGCCCATCATCATGGTTGCGGCTGGCACGGGAATTGCTCCCTTCCGAGCTTTCCTTCAAGACCGCGCCCACGTTGCAACCGTTGGCCACGAGGTGGGCCCCATGATTCTATTCTTTGGCTGTCAGTCTGAGGACGACTATTTGTATAAGGATGAGCTAGACTCGCTTAAGCATGGTCCTCTAGTAGACAGGCTGGAGGTTGTACCGGCGTTTTCACGATCCCCCGACCATGAGAAAATGTATGTCAATCACCAGGTTGAGGCAAAGGCTGAGCAGGTTGGGCAATGGCTTGTCGCACAAGGTGCTGCGATCTACATTTGCGGTGCGGCAACCATGGCTACGTTGGTTCGTGAGGTGGTCTTGGAGGCGGTCAAGGCTGAGACTGGTTGGTCTATGGACGAGACGGAGGCATGGAGGTTGGATTGTAAGAAGTCTCGGAAGTGGCATGAGGATGTTTGGAGCGAGACATGTAAATAGTTTGCATTCATTCGTTTCCTCTGGTAGAATACAAATTGATATGAGTTTGGCTACATGCTAGTACTATCCTCTAGGTGCTTACCAGCCACCCGTTGTATGTTCTTCCTCTATGTCCTTCTCTCTTCTTCTCATTACACTGTTTCTTCAATGTGCCTTAGCGCCCCGTAGTGGCTGATAGCCGATTAGTGATATCCCCGTTGAACACCCCTGTTGAAGCTGTGGAGGAGAGTCATGGGGTCGAGTACGCGATTCAAGAGTCCCCCACAATTGCGATGTTGAGTTTAGCGGGCTCCACGACAATGCTGTATCTACCAGTGGGTGGACAAGGCGGACGTGGGGAATGTATGGAAGTTTAGGTTTTCCCTGGTTGATAAAAGACGGGCAATATCCGGCGGAAAAAAGCCCTTCTCGGCTCTTCCTCTCCATCTCACCCTACCCCTCTATGGCACTACCAGCCAGGCCCCATCACTATCATGAGCCCAGCGTCTAGCAAAGACCGCCCAAACAAAAGAAGAATCAAAGCTTGCGCGGGTTGTCGAGGTAGGAAATACCCCGCCCAACCCCCCGTAAGAGTTTGGTCAGCCGTGACATTCCGGGAATGCGAACACGGAATCATGCCTATTTTTGCTGTAAAATGTCTAACAGACCTCGCAGAAAAACATATCAAATGCATGTGGAAATCAAGAATTGTGGGCTCTACCGCCTTTTAAGAGGTTTACTGACCGCCTAGGTGCAGGCGATGGGCAAGAGCCATGCGAGACCTGCAGGAAGGCCGGCAAAGACTGCTTTAGGTCGGTCAAGATATACCAATTTCGCCGCGTAGGAACTCCATCCAAGACAAACGAGGGTAGAACCAGGCCATACGTGTTTGACTCTGTGTCAATGCCCACGGAGTCAAGCAACTTGCCGGCCCTGGACAGAGACAACTACCCTAACCCCTCGAAGCGGTCCTCGTCTAGACCAAGTCCGTCTCAGAGCGGTGAATCTGCCATTGAGGTTTCAGTAACTCCTTCTCCACCATCTCCAGCTTTTATAGACAATGGTGGTCTGGGAACTCTAGAATGGCATCACTCACGACTCCTCCCCGGATCAAACAGCCCAGACCCCTTGAACGACCTTGCCTCAGCGCCCTCCACTAGCAATGATTCTTTGGGCCTCACATTGCCCACAGAAGGCATCATTTCCCATCATATAACAGCTGGCACTCACCTTGCAGACTCTTCACCATCTTGTTATGCCTCCATTGACTCCATCCTGTCTCCCCAATGTTCAGGCTTTGAACAAAGCGCGTCCCATCCGGCATCTGCGTGCGAGCCAGCACCTTCACCATCTGAATATCAGCACCACCGTCTTGGCTTGCAAGAGGCGTGTCTCGTACAATGCTTTGTCGACAACCTCGCTCGCTCTGTATGCGATCCATTTCCCACCAACGCCCTCTCATAGATATCTCGGGGCCGATCGCTAATACATGGAACCGATATAGTTCGACACAACAGACAGGCTTCATCAATACCAGATCACTTTGCCGCTGCGTGCGGCCAATAGTCCGCTACTACTCAACGCCATCTGTACGGCCTCATCTCGATTCCTGACCAAGGTTTGGTCCGGTGCAAAGCGTGCTGAGCCCGTTGAGTACAATGGCATACCCTTGCCGGGCCTCAACGCAGAGTCAGCGCTACACTACCACAACTCTTGCATTACCTACCTCATCCAATCAGAAACCAACCTTACACATGACACGGATATCCTTATTGCGATTACCATGCTACGATATTATGAGCAGGTCGATGGTTAGTAGTCTGCATTTCTCTATCAGCGTACCTCTGGATCCTGCAATCCTTTCATGGCTAACTGGGAGCGTAGCGCACTACATGGGCAAAGACTTGCAGAACTACATACAAGCTGTCAAAGCGATATTCGAGGCGCGACTAAAGGAGGAGCCAGCAGGTCTGGTAGGACTGTTGACTGAGGGTTCCGAAGACGTGTACGAATCGAAAACCATCAATTCTAACAGTCGCTCGCTGCTCCGATCGGCATGTCTGATCGCGTTCCGCCACGAGATTTGGTCAGTTCTTATTCACGGACGGACATTTGAGATCCCGTTATCCTCAGTTGATGATGATGTGACTTTTGATTGGACGAGCGAGGATCAGTTTGACTGGATGAACCGCATCCTCATTTGGCTGGCCTGCATCCTCCGCCTCTGCTATGGCACTTACCAAGATGATCGCAGCGCGCCAAATGGATCCACGACATTCTCCTCAGTCAGCGAGCGCTGGCGTATCCTCAAGCGCTTTCTAGATCGCTGGGACCAAAAGCCACCCTCCTGTTTTGAACCGCTCTGGTATGAGGAGCGGGATGTCGCAAAGGGCCGACTTTTCCCACGCGTTTACATGGCAACATCGTGCCAGGTGATTGCTTTGCAAAACATCGAGCTTGCTCGCATCACACTTGCTGTATATGATCCTACCAGAAAGAGGCTCGGGCTTGATGTAGCAGCAAGAGAAAAGGAGACTGCGGACCTAGTCCGACGATCGCTATGGCGCATTTGCGGGTTGGCTCTCTCGAATCCGTACCAAGTCTCGATGGTTGCAGCGTCACTAGGCATTGTGCTTTGCAGTGATTATATTGAGGGTCGCAGAGAGCAGGCCGCTATTGTAGACATTCTGGTTGAAACTGAGAGGGACCATGCCTGGCCGACTAAATGGATAGCTGAACAGTTGTGGGAAAGGTGGAAATTAGGGGATATTGGTGAAGACTTTTCCTCTCTAGTGAGAGAGCGTTAAAGCAAGTCAGTTGATCTTGTCCAAACAAACAAGTTTATGTCTCTGCACCAGACAGAGCCTATTATTCAAAGATTCAATCATCGAAGACCAGGTATTTGATGTCATTGGAGCATGAACATGGTGATATTATGCGCACACCCGTGGGAAAGGTGCCCTGGAGCATTATCTACGAGCGTAGGCTGGTGGACGGGTTCTTCAGCGTGAGCGAGGCCGAGATCCGAGACGCCCTGAAGCTGGTACTCGAACGATTCAAGCTGGTCATTGAGCCTAGTGCGGCGTTACCCCTGGCTGTGGCCTTGTTCAATGAGGATTTTTGCGGCATGGTAGAGCGAGAGGCAGGCGAGCAGGGTTGGGATTTAGGCATCGTCTTTAGAGGTGGGAATGTTGATACAGAGAAACTAGCGATGCTCTTTGATGAGCAGGTGGCCCCGAATATGTAGTATGTGATAAAGTTGAAATAGGTCCGAGGTTTATATTAAGCATTTTTTAAGAGCTGCTGGTTTATTATCTTATATAAGAAACATCAACCCAAATTTAAGGGGGGGGATGATAAACTATAATTAAAAGTTACGAGGATCTTTAATTTTCTTTACCTAAGAGAAAGAGAATAAAGTTCAACAGCAATGGAAGCTGCCAGAGCCCGACAACTCAACACAATGAATACTTAATTTTCTTTAACTGCAACTTATTTATCTAATCTAAACCATAAATCGGAGCGTCGTAGATCCGCGCAATGCATTGCCTGGGCCCTGTTGCAAGCGAGTCATACGTCTCCCATGAAACTAAGCTTTCAGGAAGGTCAAATTTGAATGACCACAAGAGCAATGTCAATACGATCCTTATCTCAAGATATCCAAGCTTCTGGCCCCAGCAGCCTCTGTTGCCCGCGCTCAGTGATAGAGAAGGGCCACTACTGGGGCTAAATATCATGGTCCCCTGCTCATCCTGCCTCAACCACCTCTCAGGCCGGAAAGCGGCAGGGTCAAAATCATCCCAGTTGTCATGAGCGGCTTTATGTCTGTACATTCTGGCCGTATGGTTTCTGGATTGTTCTTGGATGGTGAGTGAGGGAGTTGTGAGGGAAGGCCCTGTCAGATTGAGAAAGACTTGAGTATCGGCAGGAATGTGATGCCCAAGTAGTATCGTGTCCCTCTTTGTCATGACAAGGATAGTTGGAACAGGGCAGTTGTATCGAAGAACCTCTTCAACAAAGGCCTCGAGGTAGGCAGAGTGCTTCCCAAACTCCTGGGCATTCGGCACCCTCTGCTCGTTGTAAGCTTCCCGGTACGTCACTCGTAAGCTTTGGCGGATTCTGACTTGCTGCTCTGGATCCGCCATCAACCTACGCATGATCCAAAGCATCGAGCAGGTGGACGTATCGTGTCCCGCAGTCATATAGCACTGGGTTATATCCAGGATGCGCGGGTCATGAACTGCAGGAGCCCGCCCTGATTTCTCTGCGGACTTGGTCTCCCTGTGGATAATGTAGTCCAGGGCAGATTCCGGTTCCACATTCTTATGGAGTTTTTCTACAGCAGCGGCTACTTGAGAATCAACGAACGACTTGATGGTCCTCTTAGCAGCACTCACAGAGGGCCGTAGGTCGTTGACGGCGTGGAATGGCCGTGGTGAGGGCATATAGGAACTTTTAGAGAGGGCTCCCTCGCTCATCTCTAGGGCGCGGAGCTTGGGTGACTTGGGAAGAATGTCGAGCTTTACGATCTCATCCATGTCTAGACTTAAATCAGATGGCCCTTCTGAAGTAACGAGGTGGTCGAATTGCCTCTTGATATCCCCGCATTCAGGTCCCAGCCCCGTCGCTGCGCTGAGGATAACATCCAAGGAAAACTCAAGAATTTTGTCAAAGATGAAATTCATGCGGGATCAACTCACGGAAGGCGTCAACCTTCTTGCCTCGCTTGAAATCGATACCATCACGATGACTGAGAATATCGTTCGCCTCACGAAAATCCGATACTAACACTGCGAGTTTGGTAAAGGGCCGGAGGAAGACTTGGGTAATAGCCGAATTGCGCCGTCTACCTGTTCTAAGAACCATGGCGTCATCCCTCCCGGCTGCTTCTCTCGTTCTCCTAGCTCCGCCAGGTCTCCCATGAACATATTTGCTGCATGACGGTCGTATGGGATGCCTGGTAGAGGTAGGCGGTATGCTTTCCTGAAAAATATCACTGATATCGTGAAAATAAAGCAAGCAGCAGCCACCACAAACATGGTCATGGATGTAGGATTTAGGGCCTGAGGATACATGGTAGCGCTGGCGAATGGCGAATTAATTAGACCTTGACGGCATCTACACTCACCCTCAAGTGAGAAACCAAGGGGTCTCGGGTTAAGTTTCGTAGGTTTCTAGAGATAATTGGGGTATCAGAGGTTCCCTCAATGGCTTCTCTCTAACACGTAAAGCAAAGAAAGTACCTATATGGGGTCTAGACAACGGAAGTAGATTGGTGTTGATGCGTTGGCCAGTTTGATCGCAAGGCTATTAATGCAAGTATACCTCTGTCAGCCTATTGATTTATTATTATGGCTGCTATTCCCACGCCTCGTTCTGCGGACCTGCATCCTTCGTTTGGAGCATATCAATTTCGGCCGATGCAATGCACATAAGCCAACTGCAACGCCGACTACATCAAGGCACCGCGTGATTATGGGTATAGACGCTAGGAGAGGCAAAGATTGTCTTGGCGCAGAGACCGAAGTTCCCTGCGGCATAAATCTTCCCACGTTATTCCTTCTCATATGAGAAAATTTCAGGGTCTGCATTCTGTAGTTGGTGGCATATTGTAGCATTGTGATCACCAACTGCTCAGGCTAACCATATACGTCACGACGCATTGACACTGTGCCATCCAAAGAACCTTGTTCAAGACATTGGAATCACGTTTGAGATAATTTTTGGCAGCCGGAATCGCTGTTATGGATCCAAGTCAATGAAACTGTGTCATGGCAGGGAGCAAGGGGGGTAGGGTGTAGTTGTGCGGTTGGTCGGTTGGTCGGTTGGTCGAACGGAAACACGATGCGGGCCCCACAAAGGGAGCAACTGGCCTGAGTTATTGGAGAAGCAGGGATTGATTTCATAAACCTCTAAGCATCATTCAGTCTGACTCAGTATCTCGTCAATCATGTTTGGTCTGAGCAGCGAAGCGTTGAAACCATGAATTAGCCGTCCTGGCAGACGCAAGTTCCCAGTTGGAGCTCCACTTGCGAAAGTAAGGTTGATACCCGAGAGAGCCACCCAGCCATCTGCCAACCACAATACCGAAAAAGACCGAGAGACGCTTTCCAAATGGGAGCCACCAAGGCGGTGCAAGGTAGGTACCCCCGATATCCCACATCTAATGGGACATGGTAAATTAGTGGAGGCGTAGGGACCGTATGAAGAATAAGCCAAAGGGACGGGTTGCATACACTTAGTATTTGAAGGATATTTGGTTGTTCACCCTTGCGCATGATATCGTCTTGATATGCGTACCAGTTCTCAAAGAAAAGCATATCCATTTGAAAATCAAGTCAACTCTTCTCATCCGATATTAAAACGACCGTTTTCCGTGGCTCCATGATCTCTTCCCCTTCGGGGCGGAGAGGTAGATTCATCCGATGATTAGCCCATCGAGGGAACAGACCTCACCATCTTTTGAGGTTAGGATACGTTCGTTCTGTCCTTCGAGTTCAAGTCCTAGTTCACCCTCGAGGATATTGAAGTATTCGCATTGATATGGATGGAAGTGTTGGGGTTGTTTGGTTCTTCCCAAAACCACGAATTGCGGATGATCGGGCCAGAGTGTGAGCTCTGACTCAAAAGATCGCCCTGGGTTCACAAAAACACGCGCTTGTATAGCGCCATTGAAGCTATAGCCGAAAATAAGCTGAAGTACCAAGAATCTATTCATTGTGTTGGGTTGTCGGGCTCTGGCAGCTTCCATTGTTGTTGAACTTTATTCTCTTTCTCTTAGGTATTGCCCGCCCGGCCTGTAATTATCATCATCTAACTATATACACGTGTTACAAATGAGTCGTCTACAAACCATAGGAATTCATTGCTGATTGCTACTTGAGGGGCTTCACTGAGATGGGTGCCCCATAAAACTCCTTGAAGCTCTGGTATCTAAACCGGATAGACCTCAAACACAATTACAAGTATAAACTACGCCCAATAGATGGCCTGAATCGTAGGCTAGACCTTCCATGGCCTTCATAATTAGTGCTGAATAGATAAATGGCCTAGTCTCTAATCCGAGGATTGATATCTAATACCGTTTGTTCCTTTGTAACTCCAGACCAGTCGAGACTCTTAGCCCATACCCGGTCCTGAACAGCCACATCGACGACCGCAGGATCAGGTTCATCTTTCTTAAGCATGGTATAGTATCCTCGTTCGCCATCAAACTTTGGATTGAGAGCAAGCTCAATTATATCGATTCCAGCCTCAGATGTCTTGCGGAAGGTGGGATCAAGGACACGGCGAATCACTGGCTGGAAGGGCTTAAAAAGGTACTTCCTCATAGCTTGTATAGAGCTAGGTGTGTTTCCTTCAAAACTTCGTGCATCCCACATATTCCCCGGGTTCATCGCGACGGCCGTGATATGTTTGAGCTTCGGGTCCTGGCAAGAGCGTACATTAGTGGCCGACTTCAATCTCTAGCAAGGGGTGGTTTCACATACTTTCTCAAGATGGCGGTTTAGGGCAAACGCCCAGGCAGTGGTAAACAGTTTAGCAGATGCGTATCTGTAGAATCCCCTTCCTTGATAATCTGGATCAGGCGGTGGGTGGATCACATTATCCATGTTGACAGCTTCGGGGACCTCGGGGATGTATGGTGACATGAGAGCTAGCTTGCGACGGTAATGAACAACACTAGAGAGCAGTTCAATCCGTCCATCGGACCCAAAGGAGGCGAGAAGACGCAAAACTAGGGCAACATGGGAGATGTAGCTGACTTGAATAGTCATCTCGTAGCCATCACTGGTAAGTACTGCCTCGCTCACTAGATTCCAGTAGTAAGCGTTGCAGATAATGGCCTTCAGAGGTGGAATAGCACCGGTTTGAATGTCGGTATTGATCTTATCGGTGAACTCTTTTACATCTGTAAGACTAGATAGATCCAGCTGATGGATCGTAGCCTTGGCAGAAGAGTATTTGGAGACGACAGCTCTCAGAGCCCGGGTATTGGAGTCATCGTCACTGGCGCTTCTGACGGTGAGGATGGCATGGTATTGGGGATACGTCTTCAGAAGGTATTCGGATGCTACAATGCCTGAAGATCCATTGGCACCAGTAAGGATGATAGATCTCACGGAAGCCATGGTAGCAAGACACAGAGTATGAGAAACAAAGCCTGAGTGAGGAAGAACTGAGCTTGCTCCGAGAAGATGACGAGGGTACAGTAAAAAGGCCAATTTCAGAGTTCAACAAATTATCCCTGGGCACTGGGGAGACCGGCACTATGTAGGGACCCTAGTTCAATATGATGCATCTCGTACATCAAAAGTATAATAGGTGAGATGCTGCGTACTGCAGTTGGTTCTGTGCTTCTTCAAGCACGCCATTGAATCATTTTGCAGAAGAAGGCTTTGCCGGTCCGTTTGTCCGCCAACCGCTAGGCCCGCCATTCAGTCGTATCACTTGTGCACCAACACTGACCCATACATGATGTCCACCCCTCCCCAAAGTTCCCCCGAGCTGTTGGGTCATTATTTGTGATGCTCTTTCTACTCCTTGTTGGCTGTATCTTGCTACGACGTTGAAGAGGCACCTCGCATCACAATGCATAATATGCCCCGCTTACACATAACGTGTAGCTCATCTTGCGTCACTGGATCTGTAGCACCGTGGCGGTCTGTTGGTTGGATAGATCTTCAGTGCCATCGACGTATCTCTGTGCCGTGCTGCAGCTTTAGAATGTCGACTATTATGTGAAATGTTTGCATAATAGCCAAATTGAATGCATTGAGACCAATTTCGTGAGTAATGGACGGTGTTCACACGGTTTAAATACACACTTCGAGTTATCTATCTCCTGTGTTGATATTAAAGACAATTACTATAAATACTTCTACCTAGATTCTCCTTACTTAGTATAGATTAATTAGTTTATAATTTTAGAGGACTTGTATGAATAATGCTTTCCACAATCCTCGGTAGTCATGACATGGGCCAAACAGGCAGCTTCGCAACTGCACCGGAGACCATATTGGAGTACAACAAATGGTATAACTCTATTCGCTCTGTTCGCACGCATTTCATCACGGATCAAAGTGAATTCGGATTCATGTTTGCCTATTTATGGACCAAAACTGCCAGGACACTGACAGCATGCGCCAAATGCTATCCCCCAAGACATTTCGCTAGTCGAAAACCACACTATTCCTCAGCGTTCCAATCTTTGAGATTGACACATCCATCACAGTCCCTGGGCACAGCCATTTTGGCGGAGTGAAACCAGCGCCAACTCCTGAAAAGAAAGTTGATATTAGAAACTCAAGGAGGAATGATACGGACGAATGGCTGTTACGTACCTCCTGGTGTACCGGTCATTATGATGGTTCCTGTGTCCAGTGTGGTGCCTTGACTTAGATAGCTGATGATTTCGGCACAATCAAAGAGCAAATCCGCAAGCCCTTCGTCCTGGCGTAATTCCCCGTCCACAAACGTCTTCAGATGCAGCTCTGCAGGATCCTGTATCAACTCGGCAGACACCAGCACGGGGCCGATGGGCGAGAACGTGTCAAATCCTTTGCTGAAACCCCACTGCGGCACCGGCCCAGCCAGGGTCTTGTCCCTTTGCAGCTTGCGGGCTGATATGTCGTTTCCACAGGTATACGCAGCAACGTACGATAATGCATCATCTCGGGATACATCCTTGGCCGGCTTCCCGATCACAATGCACAACTCACCCTCGTAGTCTGCCTGGTCGTCCTGCACGATCTTGGGAATATGGACAGCCTCGTTATGGCCGATCAGACATGTCGTAGGCTTGAAGAAGATGAATGGATAGGGGGGGTTGGTCCTTCCGGCCTCTTTGACTGCGACATGTTACGCGTACTGTCATCATTTGCTCACGAGAATTCCTGCTTACTATGCTTGGTGTAGTTGAGTCCTACGCATCGCAATATCGGAACCTCACGCCTTGTCAAGGGCCCGAGAAGCTTCCTAACTGTGACTATCTCGTCCGTCACTTTGGTTGCCCCAGTGGTGTTAAAGATGTCTTCTCCCGAGATGACTTTAGCCTGGAGACGAGTGTTCTCGTCCGCTGTGCCCAAATCGAATTCGGGAGAGGGAAGGATCGGCTCCCCGCGAAGAGTCCTCCCGTCGGTCGCGATAAATCGGATGAGTCTTTCCCAAGCGAGCTTCATGTTTGTGTGTGAGCGGTTCACTTTTTGCCCCGATTTTGCATACTTTCCCGACGTCAGAACTCTGAAATTAAATACGCCAGAGAGATTTCATTGTTTCCACGCAGGCCGCGTTTGCTCCTTGCTCCTCCATTAGGGTCTGTCGGGAAACTAAGAGAGACGGGCCGCGGGGGTATTTCGGGACCGTACCCTCGTCATGCACCACCATTCCGGACTTGTTTTGAAATGGGCAACTTTAATCGTGAAAGTTCAATGCCATGTATTACATTGTTTTCACACTTCTTCTGAAGCTAAGGGCTGATGGCCGTGGAAGTTGTGTATTGCGTAAATGTGTGGCTCTCACTGACCCAGACTCCGGCATCGGGTACCCGTGGGTAATTTTGGGCAATAAAAGATTCCATACTTGCTATTGATTTTTTCCTTGAAAGTTTGTTTATTATAATTATATCTTAAATTAATAAACAGTCGCTCATTGCGCCTTTGCTCCACAGCCATCTGCCCTGATTTTCAAACAGAGAACAATTCACTATTTGGGATTGGACACATCTATTTGATTAGGTGGAGAGCCGGCCAATACGGTAAAGAAATCGAGGTTGTCTTGGTTTAAAAACTCTGCAGTACTTAAACCAAAGGGGGACAGGTCAAGAGTAGATGCCGTCGACATGTTCATGAGTCCATATAATTGCGAGTCGGACTCATCTGAGCCGAGTAGATTGGTCCAGTTGTCTTGCGGTGGAGGGCTTATCAGGCCTGGGACTTGAGACATTAGCTCCGTCTACCGAAACATGGATGGATGAGACTAACCGGTTACTGCCGTTGTCCGCACGAGGACTGCTAAGAATTTGCAACACCTCCTGGAGAGCCTCGCACCATTCCCAAGTTTTCGGAGAGCCTGTGCAGCCAACTGTAGGCTGGCACGTAGGTCTGTCGCGCTGATATTACTCTGAGACCCTAGCCACGACTTGTCGTTGGCATGAATGAGCAGTGCCGAGAAGATGATCAATGCTGCGTTAAAAGCTAGAAACAGGTTAGTTAGAGTAGCGAGTTTAAAAGAGTAACCGTGCTCACTGTAGTAGGTGGAAAACCACCAAGCTCCAAGCGTCGATGGCGTGTCACTGAGGTTGTGGACAATGGTAATGATCTCTGAGGCGGATTCAATGCACGCCTCGAGATATGGCTGTCCAAAGCGCTGCATCCACATCATCTCATTTTGGTCTGGATCCTGAACTCGAAGCTGCTCCAGGTACCTCGCAAGGACCGGTCGATGGAGTAGAGTACGAATGTTGAGATACCTCAACGTGAGAATGACAGATAATTTGTCAAAAACAACGTCAGCTCCAGACTCACCCGATTTCACATCCCACGGCCTTCGGCTCAGAGTGTCAGGCAGGACGCGTTTCCACGCCAGAAGTTGGCCTTCCAATCTGATTGTATTTTCCAACAAGCATGATAGGGAGGTATGGGTCGACGTCCCAATGTTCTGGTCATACTGATTTGCAATGATATCGCCAAGGATTTGGTACAAGGTGCTGTTGCATGTTAATACATGTGATTGAACAGCGCTTCTGAATTCCTCACATGGTAGCAACAAAGAACACGGCTGTAGAGGTACCACCATCTTCAGGCTGGAATTCGTCCCCAGAGATCAATGACCCAAGATCAGCGCTTACGGGCAACTCCATCCGGACGTGTTCGGTCGGAATAGCCGGGGGCCGCCCAAAGGTCATGCTCATTGTCCTGTGGAGGTTTCAGTGCCGACGTGACAGAACGATGGTGCTACGGGGGGGCGCTTACCTGTCCAAAATGATGCATCCGTACCAGGTACGCTTCCGGACCTCTCTCTCGACAGCATTAAACCCGGACGATGCATTCTCAACATGAAGCCCCAGCTGGAGCGCAGCTTTGACTGTCAGCCCGTGAACATTCCACGTCTGGGCCGAGCGGTGCGTCCCCTGCAGGTACTGAGTCATCAGGAGCAGATACTGAACTGCACAACTCCTTAGCAATCACGGGAATCGGGAGAGGGCAGGTTGTTCTTACCAATCTCTATGTTGACATTCTTGAAGGTCAAGTTTCCTGAGAGTTTCTGAGCCCGCATGAAGTAGACATTTGAGTCGGCCGCGTTTTGTTCCACGGGTTGGTCAGGCTGGGCACTGATGCAGGTCACGAACGCTAATATCATATTGAGCAAGCACAACCACGAGCGTCGAGCCGAGCTAAAGCCGTCTCGTTTCACGGCTTTGACTCCGTCGAGCACCGACTGCTCGTGAATGTACGGGAACAGCATGCCGGTGTCTTTGAAAAACAACCTTACGAGATTGAGCGTGTCTACCTCTGGGGGCAAGATGTACACATCGGCGATGTCTGACGCGCCGTTGAAGACCTGGGGGTTAGTTACTGGCGATGCAGGTCTGGAAACACGTAGCAGCTCGCCGTCGACTCGGCTCTCAGAAGGTAGGACGTGGTCTTCTGAGCCTGGGCCTGCGGCAGCAGAGGATGCTGCAGCAACTGCACCTGCAATCTGCTTTATAAAGGCCACAGTGGACGACGGCCCTGGACAACCCAAAAAATCATCAACACCATACTACTGGCAGAGAAGGATTCGAACTCTAGGTCAAACACTAACCAAAGAAGCCAGACTCTTGCTCATCCGCAAATTTTATGGCCCCCATGCCATCAACAGTGTCATCTTCTGGGATATTGGCGACGGGATTCCCGTAATGAGACGCAGTCGCTGCGTCTCCTTCCTGAGGCTGGGAAGTAGCATATGTACCGCACTGGGAGTCAATGGACGATAATTCAGCCACGCCCCAGGCAGCTTGTTGCCTGTCCCTCTGCCGGTTCTCCTCCAAAAGGAGCTGCAGCGTTTGCTCTATGGAGCTCAGTCTAGCCTCGTGCCCCTCAGACACTCTGAGTTGGACACATGAGAAGTCAGTTGGAAGTTGACGTCTGATTGTAACACGCTAGAAAGGGAAAAATGACTTGATGAGGGGGTAGGGCTGTTGAGATTGAAAATGCCATACTCTTTGCGTCGGTATCCTGGCTGCTGGTAAACGCAATCCAGGCCCATCTCCACGCACATGGCACATTGTGGGCGCGTGCCGTTGCACTATCATGTCGATTAGCTGCTAGAAGCCATACCGGATGTGAAGTTTCAATTAGATACCCTTGATTTGCGGTTCCTGCAACCAATGCATGGTCAGTGATCTGGGAGCTGCAGCAGGGGGGCCTATGGCCCCACCAGAATTCAGGAGAGAGTAAAGCAGTTTGTCAAACTGCTCGTATCATACCGGCAACTGTTACAGGCCAGAGCAGTCCTCTGGCGTTTGAACGACGGCTGCGAATAACCCGAGTCATCCATGCTGGTGGGCCGCCGCGGGTCTGAACGGGAGCCGTTGTCACTGGCCATGATTCCGTAGGCTTCCAAATCCAGTCACCCCGGGTATTCGGGTCTGTATTGAGTACTGATTTGGCACGCTGATGATAAAAGGCGTCGGGAAAGATTTGGTAGCTTCTGCGTGTCACTGAGGGCGGTGCGTCCTAGCCGATATATCCCCCGCTCCGGAGTTAAGAACATGCCGGCTACTTTATTCCGAATCCCCGCATGCCTAACAATAATAAGAAATCCGGGGGAATAACGGTAGCGAGTCAAGTCCACGATTTTGGTGGGGCTCTATAACGCTGTTGGATCGTTGTGCCGTCCGTCAGGATAGATAAAAGCATAACAAGCACGGCTAAAGATCCGACTTGTTGATATCCGAAACATCACAAACGCTCTGCCAGCGAGGTCGTGCCAACTTGACATCAATCTTAGTCATCATGCCTGTTTTAGATCCCTCAAGTGTCTTGCCTGGGAGGTTGGATCTGTTCTACGGCGGAACGTGGCATCCAGTCCAAGATGGAGACTATCGACCCGTCTTCAGCCCTGGGAACGGCCGTCCGATCGCCAATGTGGCCTTCGCAGGCCGTCAAGACACCATAGCCGCCATCGAGGCCGCCCACGCCGCCTTCCCCAAGTGGCGAGCTGTCCCAGCCCTCGAAAGAGGTAGAATTCTGCGCAAGGTGGCTCAGAAGGTCCGGGATAATGCCAGCGATCTGGCACTGCTAGACGCCTTCAACTCAGGCAATCCCGTCTCCATCATGAAACAGGATGCCCATTCGGCCGCCGACCACATTGACTTCTTCGCGGGCCTGATTCCCGCCGTCCAAGGGGAGACGACACACCTAGACGATTCGGCGCTCAACTACACGGTCCGGGAGCCACTTGGTGTCGTCGCCCGTATCATCGCCTCCAACCACCCACTCATGTTTGCCGCTATTCGCCTTGCGGCCCCGCTGGCCATGGGCAATACGGTCATCCTCAAGACCCCGGAACAGGCTCCCCTCTCCGCCCTACGCCTGGCGGAGATCATCGGCGACGAGTTCCCGCCTGGCGTTGTCAATATCCTGTCCGGCGGCGTGGAGTGCGGGCAGGTTCTCTCAACCCACTCACTCATCAGCAAAGTCACCCTGACTGGGAGTGTGCCCACGGGCAAGGCGATCCAGAAGGCCGCCGCCGACAGCTTGAAGCTGACGACGTTCGAGCTCGGAGGCAAGAATGCTTTGATCGCTTTCCCCGACGCGGATCTCGATGCCCTGGTAGATGGAATCGTGGGAGGCATGAACTGGGGCTGGTGCGGACAGTCATGCGGATCGACCTCGAGGGTCTTCCTGCATGAATCGATCCACGACAAAATCCTGCCCATCGTGGCGGAGAGAGTAGCCAAGTTGTTTAGGCCCGGCAATCCCGTCGACACCGATACGACCATGGGCGCCCTCGTCAGCAAGGCGGGCCAGCAGAGGGTTCTAGGTTACGTCGACATTGCTCTGAAAGAGGGCGCCCGGCTGGTGATGGGCGGCAAAATCCCCAACACGCCCGACACTGAAGGAGGCTTCTTTGTGGAGCCGACTATAGTGGCAGATGTGAAGCAGAGCATGCGCATCGCCAACGAAGAAGTATTTGGCCCCATAATGTCCGTTTTGTCGTGGTCAGACGAGGAAACGCTCATAAAGGACGTCAACGCGGTAGACTACGGCTTGACAGGATCAGTATTCACCTCAGATATCAAAACGATGCAGAGAACAGTGAGGAACATCCAGGCCGGCACCGTTTGGGTCAACACAACAAGTAAGCACTACTTTGGGATGCCATATGGAGGATACAAGCAGTCCGGTATCGGGAGGGAGGATTGCTTCGAGGAGATGCGGGAGATGACCCAGACGAAGGCTGTGCACGTCAAGCTTTAGTATATGTAGTTTCCGTTGCTGAAATTTAGTGAATGCCACCTGCAAAGGGACCTCACTATATCATGCTTATAGCGAATCTATCTATAGCGTGGTAAAGCTTTGATGGTCACGAAAAGATGACAAAGTTAACGCATGTATCGCTGTGCTTGTAAATCCGCGAGCCTTCTCCTCCTTAAGGTTGTCCATATTGTCCCCCCCCCCCCCCCCCCCCGTCTAGCGGAAGTTATTTCATGAAGTGAAACCGTAGTGGGCTTAAAATACAACTAAAGCACGTCTTATGGTGTCTCTTCAAGGCTAAATCCGCATTCTAAACAAACATTGAAAAGAAGATTGAAAGAATTCTACTCAGCCATCACTTTTCACCACGAACTTCCTCTGAAATTAGACTGCAAACAATTCCCGACAAGATGATATACCGGATTAGCCGCGTATGCAAGTTCTCTTAATGGTACATGGCCTTTAAGCTGATATTGATTGATTTGGGTGCTTCCATAGTTGAATTCTTCGTTCCAATTTCCATGTAGTTTAGAATTCCAACGGCGAACATTTGTTAAACTGCAGGAACAAAATTGACAATGCTCTACTCTTATTCAACCCTCTTCGAACATGAGATAATAATATTAGCGTTGATTGACCGTGACACTTCTGGTCGATCAAGTATTTGAGGACGTGGAATAGAATTGCGGGTTGGTAGCATGTTCCGTGGGAATTGAATTTTTCATGTCAAATCCTGTTAGATAGCGGTATTGACTCCGTGAAAGCGCCGCTTGCCTTTCCTTCAATTCCGGGTCGACGATGTGCTCACCGCCGCCTCCTCCGTGGCGCTGACGTACAATTGCTACCTGATTCGTCCCCGTTAAGACTAGCAGAGGCTAAGCCAGATTTGATCTTGGCCCTCCATCGTCGATATTGAGCTTCCCCGTGGGGAATGTGTACCCCATCCGCATATCCCCGGAGCCACGACCGTCTGTTACCCGATGGATGGTCGGGGAACGCCCGGCACGCTTACAATAGGTAGATGGAGATAACCTCCCTGCTCGCTGATTCGCAGCCTTGGCGCCATGAGTGCTTACTTAAGGCAACATAACCTCGTATGCTTATGAGCTGTTTCAACCTTTGGATAAAATTTGGTTCCTACATACTTCTTATCCTAGAATTTTACTGTGTGCAACAGCCGAAGACACCCACCACAATGGATGACAAGGACAGAACCCCCGAAGTCAGCACCGAGTCTAACAAGCAGCAGGAAATCCGAGTCGAGAACGTCCTGCGGCCGGAGTATAATGCAACGTCCAGGTATGTTGCATGCCGTCATTTGCTTGATCATAGCCGTTGCTCTTTTATGCATTCCCAGCTAGAGAAATAGAGACTAATCTATTGACACAGGCACGACGCAGAGTCCGAGGCTGCCGAGACACGGCTGCGTCACAAGATCGATCGATATGTGGCTCCAAACATTGCCATAATTTACCTTCTCTGCTTTCTGGACCGCATCAACATCGGTATGGAAGCTGTTGACAACTGCCGTGAGGTCCGCCTTGACCAAAACTGACCTTCAGTAGGCAATGCGAGAATCAGCACTCTTGAGCAAGACCTCGACATGCACGGCTACGACTATAACAAGCTTCTCGCCGTCTTCTATGTAGCCTACATCGTCGCCGAAATGCCCTGCACGTTTGCTTGCAAGCTTGTCGGGCCCGGCTGGTTCTTGCCAGGCGCAACCGCCGCCTTCGGCCTGCTGACTCTGTGCATGGCCTTTGTACAGAGCCTGGGGGCAGCCTATGCCGTCAGATTTCTCCTGGGAATCGCCGAGGCTGGAGTCTTGCCCGGCATCGCCTACTATCTTTCTCGCTGGTATCGGCGAAGCGAGCTCACCTTCCGCGTCGCCGTGTGCATGGTCATGGCCCCCCTCTCGGGAGCATTCGGGGGGCTTCTCGCCTCTGGACTGCTTTCACTGGAATCCGTCGGCAGCTTGAGAGCATGGCGGATCATTTTTCTTGTCGAGGGTATCATCACCTTTGGATTGGGGGTCATTACCTTTTTCACCATGACTGACAGCCCCCAGTCGGCGAAATGGCTCACGGAGGAGGAAAGAGAGCTGGCCATGACTCGCCTCAAGGTAGAGCGCCAGGGGACCATTGAACTTGTCGACAAGTGGAACTTGAAAAAGCTGAAACTCGGTGTCCTCTCGCCCTCTACGCTGACTACATTCTTCAACTTTCTGTTGCTTGGCGTCATCGTTCAAAGCTTCAGCATCTTCCTCCCCACCATCGTCAGGACCATTTATCCTAATGAGTCAGCCATCACGCAACAGCTCCGTTCCGCGCCACCTTATATACTAGGTGCTTTCTTCGCCATCTCATTGCCGTGGTTGAGCTCTCGAATCGACCGGAGACAAATCTTCCTCATTGCGGGATCTCCCTTTCTCATTGCCGGCTACTCGATGTTTCTTGGCACAAACTCGTCGCAGTCCATGGTTCGCTATGCCGGTACGTTCCTCATTGCAATGGGATCCTTCAACCAGGGGACTTTCAACAACGCGCAAGCCGCGGCCAACTGCCGCTCGGATTCGTCTCGGAACGTTGCCATCGGACTAGCCAACCTCGGCTCCAATATCGGAGGCTTAATCGCCACCTGGACGTATCTTCCTTCGGGCGCCCCCGACTTTCGTCTCGGTAACGGCATCTGCGTTGGGTGTGGCTCCGGGATTCTCCTTCTGTCCACCGGCTTGCTGGTGTTTATGAAATGGGACAACGGTCGCAGGGAGAAGCGCGACGCCGCGGCAGAGCTGAGCGGCCTGTCAGAGCAGAGTATTGACGATCTTGAATGGAAGCATCCTGAATTCCGATGGAGGCCTTGAGATTTTTCCTGCTCTTGGAGGGAGAAGCGGAACCCTACGGACTCGTAGAAAGCACGAAGGGAAGGGTAGTCTTGTAGAATTTGGAGCCTATCTATCCATTAGGGGAGGAATTCCCTTAGCTAGTTTGGTCGCAGTTGAATGAGAATACATGTCTCTGCACAAATTTTGATCCTTCAGAATCACCGAGCACTTGATGGGGAGTCGTTGTTCTCGCGGTCACCCCACGCATCGTATGCCATGCCCCGGAACTAAATTTGCGAGCAGCACGAACTCTCCCGTCAGCGAAAGCACAAGTGTACTTCCATGGGCCCAATAATTGCGAAGCTGGTGGGTGGCGTTCGCGTTAGGGGGTAGATCGGCTCGTTGCTCCGGCTTACACCAGTCCAAAAGCCTGATGCCTCCTCTCATTTCCGGCGCAGAATGAGCGAGCGCTTTATCCTTGTTCAGACTGCTTGTACCTTGGATTGCCAGAAGATCAGCTGCGAAATGGCCACTCCCCTCAAACAGGTAAGGACAAGCTCTCGACTTGGGGACCGCTGACCTGCTTGCCGCCTCAAACTGACCGGGTGCCTACGATAGCTTCTGAGCGATCTCATTGTCGCAAACCACATCATTTACTCCAAGGGTGTGGTAGATGCGTTCGGCCACATCTCAGTGCGCCACCCACATGATCATGATACATTCATCATGTCGGCAAACATGGCACCTGCGTTGGTGAGCTCGGAAGCGGACTTTATACACTACCGCGTATCCGATGGGTCCCCAGTGCAAGAGACATCCTCAAAGCACTTCATTGAGCGATTCATCCACTCTGAAATATTCAAGAGATACAAGGACATCAACTGCGTGGTGCATAGTCACGCCGAAGAGGTGCTACCGTACGCCATCACCGACGTGAAACTTCGGCCGGTTTTCCACATGGCAGGATTTCTCGGTACAGCTTCGTCTCCTGCCCGTGGCTGCGCAAGACTTTACTAATGCCCCAGACTTAACAGGCAGGGAAGCACCAATCTACGACATTGAGAACACTTACGAGACCGGGGAGCTGCACGACCTGTTGGTAAAGGATATCCGACACGGGGCCACTTTGGCTTCGTGTTTCTCAACCCATGACTCGGAGTCTGACGCCGCTACTCCTTTGCCCAATCATAATGTCGTACTTATGCGACGCCATGGCTTCACAGTTCTCGGCAGGAACATCAAGGAGGCTGTGTTTCGGGCCGTCTTCACTCTCAAGAATGCCAAAATCCAGACAACCTCCCACATGCTCCAGCTTGTGGCTCATCCGAACAATGCAAGTTTGCAAGAGGCTGTGGACGGGCTATCGGTTCAGCAGATTGCCGACAGCTCTACTACGACACAGGGTGTATATGACAGGCCGTGGGATCTTTGGATGGTGGAGACTCGCGCACAGGGTTTGTTTAAGAACAAGATACTCGGATAGGACCGGTCGGGCTGTTTAATAACACTAAATGAGAAGCCAAACAACAGTCTTTCATCCCGCACGTCCAGTCCGCCTCCTCCATCTGATTTGCATCCTCTGGGTATCAAACAACGGCCCAGTGGGTTACCTTTCAACTATTCCTAGCTCTACGAAACCTTCAATCACCGTTGGGACAGAGGACCAGGTAGATATTCGGCGCTTCCACACGTGGCACAGGTCCGCTGTCGAGACTATAGACAAACATTCAAGCCACATGGTAAGATTCAAGACGCGTGTAGCTAAACCTAATGAATGCTATGGGCTACTGTCTAGGCTTAGGGTGTACAGCTTAAGCCCGAAGCCCGAAGCCCGAAGCGCGGCGGTAAAGGTACAGAATGGAATCGGCGCCGGTCCCGCACACGCCCATCCCCTAGTCTGATACCAGAGACTCAATGTCCACTCCCTCTGACCTTAGAAAACCCAACGACCTCAACATGGGCTTATCATCAAAGCGGTACAGATATACCGTCTCGCCCTCGTCCGCAAAATGAAGATATTTATGCCATGCGGGGATGCAGAAAGTGTCACCCTTCTTCCATTCCAAGGTCCTCCCATCGATGACGGACTTACCCTTGCCCTCGACAACGTGATATACGGAGGATGCAGTTTCACGAATGGCCGGCGACCAAGTCTCAGCGTTGAGTCTCTCGGCAGACCCGCCTAGAATCTTAGATACTATGAACGAACGGGTTAGTCAACAGCAGTCCTGTAATTGTGTAGACAAAGCCTCTGCGGCTCACCTTCGCGCCCATCCGCCTTCAGATACGGTTTCGTGACCCAGCTCCCCTCGGCAGAGTCCAGTTGCTGCTGCATGTTGGCCCAGGGGAACACAATTGGGCTGTCGTCCGAATTGACGTCCACAGCAGGGTACCTCGGCTGGTCAAAGTGCTCCACAAAGTGCACGGGGAAGTGCGTAAAGTTTGGGAGGTCGAGCCCGTCCAGCCAGATCATCGGCCCAGAGCCGTCCTTGCCGTGGTCGTGCCAGTTCCAGGTGGGTGTCAATATCACGTCGCCACGTTTCATGGTGATTCGACGACCGTGGACAGCGGTGAACCCACCGCTGCCTTCGATAATGAAACGCATGGCGAAGGCGGTATGGCGGTGAGCCGGGGCTACCTCGTTGGGCATGACGAGCTGAAGGCCAGCATAGACCGTGTCTGTTGTATATGGAGCCTCTAGAAATTGTGGTCAGCGCGGCACATAGATCAGGATTGAACAAGAAACGAGGCGTCTTGACTATGCCTCACTCTTTCGCCGTACCTCGCGCCGGATTGATCAGCATCAACACCCTCCGCTCCGCTTGTTTCTCAGTAATAAGCTCTCCGGCGCGGAGGAGGTAGGGCTTAATCTCTTCATACTTCCAGACATGGGGGATGGCTGTTGGGTTGGGAGCCGGGGGGTTGAGCTTGGCCATCTGTGCCCACAAGGGTAAGGTGTGCGTTGACTGGAGCTCCAAGAGTAGCTCCTTGGTTTGTTCTTCTCTATTTTCTGCTTGGATAGCCATTTTAGTTATGATTCAATGAGTATCGAATCTGGGAGGAATGTTTGCGGGCTGTTTCTTGCTCAATACGTTAGCCTGCTGGCGTGTGAAAAGGCCTTGGTGTCAACGTAGCCCTCTATATTGTTCTTAAACAAGGCTCGAAAGATGTAATAATCTATGCTTCCTCCAGTATTCTGGGCTTGTGCGTAATGGGGCTATTCCGATATACCCCCGAGGCTTCTTGATCGTACCTCGGGGGTAGACCGGAACAGTCCCATGGCTAACGTAACGGTTATTACCTCGAACAAGACAGAGTAGCCAACTTTGATTAAGCACGGAGATGCCTCGAATTTGAACTACCTATCAAGCTGTCGCCATCCATCGGAAAAAGAGCTAACACCTTGCAAATTCTTTCTCCACTGCTACACATAAGACAAGATTCAAACATGACTGTTAACGCACTCCCGGCTATCACTTCCTCGCGAATCGAACTCGAGCCACGAAAGGGCGCTACTCCCGCCATAGTCACCTCGATCAAGGTAGTTACCACGATACAGACAGAGCTTTCTTGCTAACAAATATCTAGCGAGCGTCATACCCTACGCGCAGCCTCCAATTCCTCCGAAATTTGGAAGGAAAGTCCCCAGGAGCCTACTCAAATGTCGAAAGCATATGCAAAGATCGAAAATTACAGCTCCAAGTGACGGTTGTCGGAGCCGGCATTGGCGGGCTCGCCACTTCGATTGCTCTTGCTCGGGAGGGCCACGCGGTCACAGTTTTGGAGCAAGCGTCAGCCCTTGCTGAGGTTTGTCAATCCCAAGCCATTCAACTGCCATTTCCAGGTTTCTAAGGCTTGTTCCCAGGTTGGCGCGGGTATTCAGATCCCTCCCAACTCCTCCAGACTACTCCTGAAATGGGGGCTAGGCCCGTTATTCGAGGGCAAGGCCGTTGAGCCACGAGGAATAACTTTCCGTAGATGGGAAACCGGAAACGCTATTGGGTACACCAAGCTCATACCAGACTTCCGACGCTCCTTTGAGGCACCGTACTATGTGATCCATCGGGCCCATCTACACGAAGCCTTGCACGAAACCGCCGTTAAGCTCGGAGTCACGGTAAAGCTAAACAGTAGAGTCACCGAGTATGATCAGATGGCACCTTCTGTCAAGATGCAAGACGGGACGATCTTGAATTCGGACTTGATCGTCGCAGCCGATGGTATGGAAATGCTTTCCTCTCTCCGCGTGTAACTCGGTGATGATCTGACTAGTAAACAGGGGTCAAGTCAGCTGCCCGCAAGCTCATCCTGGGCAGAGATAATAAGGACCCCATCCGGACCGGGTTTGCAGTATATCGGTCGACAATAGACGTGCAAAAGATGAGGGACGACCCCCAAACAGCCACACTTCTACACGAGCCGGCCCTCAACGTTTGGATCGGACCGCAGCGACATGTCATGTCATACACAATTGCCGCAGGGAAGTCGTTCAACCTGGTTCTCTCTCATGTAGATGACACCGACCCCGCCACCTGGCGCCCGGAAGAGGCATTGGACAATATGAGAGCCCAATTCGAGGGTTGGGACCCGGTGTATGGAACCTATTCTACCATCCGTGTATACGCTCGCCCGCTGACCAGCCGCTTACAGACTCACAAAGATCATTGCAATGATTGACAAGACAATCAAGTGGCCTCTTCTCTCAGGCGATCCTTCCATCCCTAGCTGGATCTCTCAATCTAGCAAGGTCATTATGCTGGGGGACGCAGCCCACGCCATGGTCCCCTATATGTCTCAAGGCGCGGCCATGGCCGTGGAAGATGGTGCAGCACTAGCAGCGGCCCTGTCCCACGTGTACACCATCTCTGACCTTCCCAAAGCACTGTCCGTCTTCGATATTGTGAGGAGAAGACGGGCCGGTCAGATGCAGGAGGCTAGTCTCGTCAACGGCAAAATCTGGCACTTTGATGACGGCCCTGAACAGGCTGCAAGAGATGAAGCCATGGAGCCGGAGATCAAGGGGCTTCCCATATCGGAAAGCCCAAATCAGTGGACTGACCCTGTTACACAAGCGTGGGCGTATGGGTATAACGCAGAAGATGATATTCATTTGTCTTGGAACCAGTTCAAATCTCGGCTATTCTAATACCCAATATAGAATAGGCTAAATCTCCGAGCAATTATCCAAAAGGCGGATTATATAGAAACCGAAAATGAACAAGAAGAGGGAATCTTTAGGCCGCTAGTCAGTTTCTGTACCTATTAGTCATCCATAAGCTACACAATGTGCATCACGACAATTTACTACCTCTGTCTAATCATCCCTCCCCCTCTTACCGCCAACCAGCAATATAAACAATGCCGAGGTGATCGCCTCGTTACTAGAATCAAGTATGCCCCAGAAAAGGAAGAGGACTGTTATCTCCTGCACAGAATGCCATCGGCGCAAGCAGAAGGTAGGACTGCTGAATTGAACATTGAACAAGGAATCTGAAGAAGACCCAATAGTGCGACCGCCAGTATCCGTGCGCCAATTGCATCAAGCGAGAAAAGCAGGTATGAATATCAGCCCCCGCTCTATAGAAACTAGTCTGATCATATATCGCAGGATCTTTGTCAGTATGAAGCTGAACCAAAAGGCTCCCAATCAACATTGAGCTCGAATGCCAGTAGCTCATCGGATATCAACAATAGCACCAATGTGGTGCATCCCTGTCCGCCTGCTAGATCAGGAGATAAGTGGAATAGCACGCTTCAGGACCAGATCCGAGACTTCGGCTACTGTAGTCGAAGCAGCCACAACTCAGTGAGCTTACTACGGACAACCGAACTCTATGGAGGCCTGGACGCGGACTTTGCTAGCCCTTCTGCCGCAAAGGAACTCCCTCTACGAGGTGACGGGTATCGCTTGTATGGAGCACGGGTTCGCCAGCTGCCTCCACAAACCTGTATCGACGTCCTTGTGCGGACGTTTTTCTCTGATGTTAACTGGCAATACGACGTGCTCGACGAGAAATCATTTCGAAACCAACTCGAAGCATGGGGGATGGTCTCGTACTCTGACCTTAACGGGGCCTTCGAGAAATTGACGCCGCAAACATGTGTATTCCCCGCCTTGCTGTTTCAAGTCCTTGCACAGGCGCTTCTTTTCCACCCCTCTGATGATAAAACGGTTTTGTCCCTTATGACCATGGCCGGTATGACCTTCCACGATCTTGGGGTCGAATATAGTGCTACGGGTGCTGAGATACTCGAAATTTTGGGGAAAAAGAACATCACAATATCCACTGTACAGGCCGGCGTGCTACGGGCGTCGTTTTTGAAGAGCAGTGGCAAAGTTGTTGAAGCCTGGCATGCACTCGGAGCGACCATCCGCGACGCTCAGGAGATAGGCCTACATACGGGACAAGTTGCATCTGAGCGATGTCCGAGTGGACTCGAGGAGGACAGTCTAATTAACAGTGCTGTTGGACACAGAATCTGGGTTGTCTTGCATATCTGGGATGTCCATATGGCAGTTGTGCTCGGTCGACCAATCGCCACTCATCTCCAAATTGATAGCTTTGCTGGCACTTTGGAGGGAGAAGAACGGCGGCGGGAGTTGTTCTCGCATTGGAATACCGAGACTGATCCTCCCCGGCCATTTGATATCATACTCGCAGGCTATAATGTGGCCTACCGGTATTTCCAGGACATTCACCAGCTGGAGCACAACGGTGCCAAATCGCAACAGTACCCCATCGTCGAACGTCTTCACGTGGCAGTCATAAAAAATATGCAGCTTCTGCCATCTTGGTGTCGTCTGGAAACCCCTAATACGAGGTTTGATCAGTTTCGTGGGTGTCAATGGCTGCCTGTCGCCCGAGAAGGACTGTACTCTCTCATCCACCTCGTTCTTCTCACGCTCCATCGGCCGTACATATTCTCTGTGGCCAACAGTCGCACCGAAGCCCTCAAAGCTGGTGTCGCCATTCTTCGTGCACAAGAACGACTATTCAGATTGTTAGAGCCACGTCAGTGCAAAGTGTTCAACACAGTCTACGCCTCCTTCGATGCGATTGTTCTTATTGCAGCAATCTGTCTCGTCTTTCCTAATCAGAACCCTGAACTACGAGCGGAATGTGTTGAAGTTGTTGAAAGAGGAATGCAGAGGCTTGGCATTACCAGTCAATTCAATCCTATGGCAAAGTCAGCACACGACGTTGTCCGGAGCTTGTACCGTCGCCTAAAGCAACAGCTTGGCATCTCTGGAACCTTGGAGTATGGTGGAATATTATTTCACAACCCAGATTGTATATTCCCGAACACGCACGCGGCTCCTGATAGGGAACCATTGGACGTTCCTGTTAATACTGTTCTTCCTCCTCGTCCTACTTCTGACTTGTTCTATGACCATGTCTCAAGCACGGAAATCCCCATCATGGATACGCCGCCTAGCCTACAGATGGATCTATCTACTATAGACATTACGGATAGTTGGCACTTTGAAGGAAGCTTCGACGATGCTAGTTTTTGGAGTTTTATGAACGAGCTCAACCATTGAATCACTAATTATCCTCTATTTGATCTCCGCAAACCACGCTGCAATTTCTCCGACGTTGCGATCAACACAATCTGGCTGGTCGTAGTGCTGGAAGTGGGAGACCTCATTGTTCCAAATCAATTTCTTCTGAGTTGTGGGAATGGACTCGTAGTGACGCTTGGCGGCAGCTGCATTCATGCAATTGTCACCGTGGATCAGCAACGCCGGCTTGGTTAGCTTCGCCACCCCTGGGACAGTGGTGTAGCCAAAATGGTCTAGATCGCTCATCACTGCGTATCGGTTTTCAAACCCCTTCAGTGTCCATGGCCCATACCAGGACCAAACGACTGGACCAGGAAGGCCAGCCAATGACCCGGTATCAGGGTCGGCGGCCTTCGGGTCAACGAGCGGCTGGTACACCACTTCCCCAGTCTTGTCATACAATTCACGGGCCCGTTTAGCGCGCTCCAGGCGTGCTTTATACAGGGCTTCTCCCTGCTCGGCGGTGGGCATTTTCATTGCCGCGATGTCCGCTCCAGGCTCCCACGCAACACAACCAGCGCAGATCATGTAGATGTCGGTTTCGTGGTCCCGGTAGTATCCCGAGATAGAGGCCACGCCTGCAACCCTGCTATCATAGGACGCAACATCCAGGGACTCGGGCCCGCCCTGGCAGATTCCGACTAAGAAGAGCCGAGATGCATCGACGTCACTGCGTGCCGCGAGGTAATCAAGCCCAGCGACCATATCCTCGTTCTTCATTTTAGGATTTTCCAGTCGTCTGGGCTGGCCAGTACTTTCGCCGACCGTGCGAGGGTCAAAGATCAAGGCTGCGTAACCTTCGTCTGCGAGTCGAGTTGCATATTGAAGCGGTGCTTGTTCTTTCATAAAAGAGTATGGACCGGTGATAACGATACCGGGTGGGTTGGCGACATTGGTGGGGCGATATAGGATCCCACTGACAGTCTCTCCATGCGACGGATACTGGATTTTTTCGACGACATATTGGCCATGGAAAGACATTTTGAATTTAATTCAATGAATATTGAGTATGAGGCTTGATTAAGATCTTGATGCTGCCCATGACCGTCAAATCTCACTGGGTTTATATAACCCAAAGTTATCGGCGTTACACGATGGCCATACCCATCTCCGAATAGTTTCATTCGCTGGGCCATGGAAAGCGCAATAGTCGCCAATCACCGAAGGAGTGGCTGTCTCTTAGCTCCGGTTTCGTTCTTGATTACCTACTTACCGCCGATAGAAGTGGGACGGCTGGGGGTTTAGCGCCGATGAGCCAATCACAGCCTAGGACCTCATTCCAAGTCTGAGTTATCCACCCGAAATTCACATTTCAATTCCGTATGCGTTTGGTGTCATGCGTATTTCCCATTTGTGATGACATCATACCTAAGAGAAAGAGAATAAAGTTTAACAGCAATGGAAGCTGCCAGAGCCCGACAACTCAACACCATGAATACTGTGATGACATCATAAATAGCAATTGCAGCATTATTTCGGGGTTTACATATTATCGAGCGTAGGGACCCCAGGTTGAAATGTGGTACAGGGTACATGTAGCTGACACTCCGGCCTACCCTATACTCACGTGACTACGATCTGTGTCAATGGTACAATTAGACCCTTAGTTAGATCTCTTGCTTCTTCAATCATTCAAGCTGCTCATTCTTATACACCTATTTCAACACCCAAGCCAGTTGTCAGGTAGACCATGTGGCATATACCAGGGCATAATGAGCAAGTAGTGATCTTAAGAGTGGGCATGGAATAGTTAAAGCCTTTACAAGACATAATTCAAGCTCGTGATGGAATAATCGACAATTTTGTAAAGTACATTGCCATCCCGGTAGAAGAACGATTAGACTCCAACGACTTCTTCAGCTCTGTCGAAACTATGTTGTGAGATGTGGGAGTCGATGAGCAGGATATGGCTTCTGGGCGTAAGACAGCCTCTTTCGCATTCCTTAGCAGCCTTCTACTGGAATCTCAGCGCTCTTTCGCCCTAATCACCGGGGATACGAAAATAAGAATAATACAAGCTCGGCGTTTGTATCCTGCATACGATAGGTCGGGAAATGGGAAATAGACTTTAGGTTCCTACCTGGGACGTTGAAAGCGAGTTACGAGTGGAATTTCACCGCTTGGTCTGGACAAAGGCAGAGACTAACAGCCCTTCAATGCTACATAGATATCTTTGACTATTTTGCGTAGCGATAGGTCGGTGATAAAGCTACAATCAAAGAGTTCCTTCTCAAGAGGTAGGGGGTGGCTATTGCTCTAAATACAGGGTGAGTTGAGAGTCTGATAAAGAGTAACTAATCTCGGACTTACCACCCGCTCGCGCTCAAAGACCTGAGAAGCCGCGGCCGTTACGGAGCCGTAGAGCTCATGGTAATTTTTAATCCCCGGAAATCTTTGACCGTGAGAAGCGAGCGACGAAGTACAATTGTTGAAGAAGGCCATCATGTCCGTGAGTGACTGTTGCGAGCGCGCGTAGCGATCACGAATCACAATGTCGAGGTATAAGATGCCCGCGCTGAAAACAAAGCTGCTGATTATCCAGCACAGGGTTCTCTTCGCCAGCGTCCAGTGGTGAGCAATCTCTACCACTCTTTTGCAGGCACCGAGAACTTCTATTGCCGTGGCTGAGCCGACATATTCGCGGGCGGGATTCAACTCGAAAAGCAAGAGGAGCCCTTTGAGGTAGAGTAGCTCGTGGAATTGCGTGCTGTATGCTAGTCGGAATGAACTATCTGCGGCATTTACCCTATCTATCCACTCGTGCAATTGAAAGTAGTGGTGGCTGGTATCTGGTCCTTTGGCCCTTGAGATGCGAGATAGTATATTGGTTAAGGCAGAGGTGCTTTGCATTTTTGATCGTTGATCAGTTGGGAGTGGAAGCTGTTCAAAGATGGGAACGAGAGAAAGGAATCGTCAGTATAAATGCCAGTACCCAAGAAAGTCAGCTGTAAGTATGCCTTACAGAAGTTGTAATGTCACAATCTTGTATGGAGAAAGGCTTTCCTAACGCTAGACTGGTAATGCTATGCCGTCCTTTAGCATGCGCTCTCTGTGACCTGAACCTCCGAGGCATACATACCGATCTAATGAATACGCAGACCAAAATGTGTTCCTGCGAGCATGGACATGAGGTTCTAATGAGGACACTGAATCGGTATAATTGGGCTCCCGATGGAGTCCAAATGAAATCGCTCGTGTGATAGTCAAGCCAACATGGTGCCAAGTTAGGCCCGCGCCTGGATGGTATAAAGAGAGAACAGACAGTAGCAACAACGATTGCGTGTCCCGTAGTCCATCCGGCTCCCCTTGAGATGGAGCGGGAAAGTATGAGTTCACCTGCCGGGAAATACAATGAGCGAGTAGGTCAGCTTCGGAGGTGCGGCCACACATGTCCATTCCTAATGCTAGCACAACTGCCATTAGAAGCTCCTCCATCGGTGTGTGCGAAAGCCCTGTTTGTGATGAGATTTGGGAGTACATGGTAATGACGGAGGAGTGGTCAGTCCATGGGAACATCAAATGAATGGTATCAAAGTAGCTATCAATCAATTGAACTGCTTGCTCGCTCGGTATTGCGGTAATGAGCCGTGACAAACTTATTGCAGGCGATTCCTCAAGTATGTCGCCAAAGGCAAAGGCACCATCATGGGTGTCCATGGTGAGCATGGAGCCATTGCAACACGAGACGGTGTTGATAGCCTCGGCTAGAGTGAAATTATAAGCATGCTGAACCTCTCCTCCCACGGCCATGGCAGCAAGTGTTAGATGGGCGAGAGGTGAGTCAATGTCCGGGACTGAGGGAAGCCTGCCGCTGCCGGCTGCTGAATCCGGATGCGCAATACTGTGATTATCAGAAGAGGGCGTAGATTTCTGAAGCCTTAACAGTTCGGGTTCAGATTGCTGGGGAGCTGCGAGATGTAGTGATTGCACTGCTCGGAGTTTTTCTTCTAGCTGCTCGACATAACCCCTTCCACCATTGGATGCTGCGACATCGACGGTCATGGTGGTGCATTGGGCATGGGCAGCAATGCATCTTCGGCAAGACGGGACGCCTCGGTCACACTTCTGCTTCCGCCTCCTGCAACGATCGCAGGCAAGGGCAAGTCGCTGTCCCGATATTCGGGGCCTGCTGCCAAGTGATGCATCATTCATTGCATCAGGCCTTCGGGCGTAATGTTGTCCCTCGGAGCTGAACTAGAACCAAATCCTAGAGCAACAATGTATGTGAGGGTACGATTTGTGCTAGCTTGCTGCAGGCTCTAGCATCTATCCCAAACGAAAATTGCCAGGGGAAAGGGGCGTTGCTAGGGCTCTACATCCATCACATGATCGACAGTATGGGGATGTTTAATGTCGACCAAGGAGTGCGGGGGCCATTTTGAGATCAAGAACCTTCTTGAGGTCCATATCATCGGCCCCACCGTACTCGTCGCATTTTCGCCGAACTCGTCTCGGAGATATCCGATGAGTCTGCTCTTGAGTCACACTCACTTTTTACCGAAGCGGGTAAGCCTTTACCAAAACCAAGTATAGCGTCAACGGGGGAAGAACTATGACAGCATGCTCTAGCTATCAGACATCGGGTAAGTATCGAGTCATAAACGCAAAATACTGCCACCAAACATCCTGCCGAGATCTTCAGCTCTTGGATTCCCAACAAATAATCAATAGATTTGACTTTAATCCTTTGAATATCGAAAAATCGTCTCCAAACGATCACTATGACGGCCCCGCCTCGAGTTGTTGCTCTTGTGGAGAATCGTAAGATTGTCCCAGCTCATTCCATGACCCTTTTCGCGCGGAGTCTGTCTCATATTTCACTTGCTGACAAGTATCTACTTCCACGGAGCAGTACACCCGCATGCTATCAAGCTAGCACAAGAGCTTTTCACTGCTCCTGCCTACCAGTTACTTCTTCCTCCGGCGGAGAATTGGCGAGAATCGGCTCATGCAATTGTCATGAGAACAGGGTCATTGACTCGGGAAGTATGTCTTCACGTTGTGCATCCTCACGATGACGGGCCTCACTTACTGATGAAATCCATTACAGGATATAGAAACTGCCAAATACCTTCAAGTCGTTGGCAAGCAAGGAGTTGGCCTTGACAAGGTTGACCTTTCTGCGGCCAAGGTAAATAACTGGTCGCGAAAACGTAAGCTGCTCATGTATGATGAATTTAATAAGAGTGTAGGAGCAAGGTGTTATCATTCGGAACACACCTGGCATAAATGCCACTGCGGTGGCTGAGCTGGTAGTTGCTCATATCTTTGCAGTTGCGCGGCAGATTGTCGATATTGGCGTCCGGCAGCGCAACGGCGAGGTATTCCAGCGTCACCAATGCTCTGGACTGCAGATAACCGGCAAAAACATTGGCATTGTGGGAATGGGCGCCATCGGAAAAGCCGTTGCTAGAATGCTCCATGATGGATTTGGTTGTACAATCTTCGCATACGATCCATTTCTTGCGGACGATGCTTGGTCCGATGTGCCGCACACTAGAGCCCGGACAGTCCAGGAGATACTTCCTCTGCTTGACGTCCTGACTTTACATGTCCCACTTGTAGATGGCACCCGAAACTTGATCAGCATGACAGAGTTCAAGGCGATGAAACAATCATGCATCCTCATCAACCATTCAAGAGGTGAGCATAAACGCAAGCCGCGCTATCGTTGATCTACCGGCAAGCTAACATAAACCTGCAGGGGGCGTAGTTAACGAAGATGATATGGTTACTGCTTTGAAGGAGCAGAAGATCCGGGGTGTTGGGATCGACGCATTGGTGTATGATCCGCCGACTTTGGAAAAGTACGGAGAGTTGTGGTCGCTGCCAAACATCATTACGACACCACATATCGGAGCCTCTACGCCGCAGACACAGTCGGAATCTGCTTGCGCAGCGGTCAGAAACGTATGGGAATTCTTTGAGAGCAAGAAATAGAACCAAGTAATGTTATGGGAACTTCAAGTGAGAGATAGCCTGGTTGTTGTCCTTCCATTGTCTGATAGCTTACAACGCGACCAAGATCCATCCTTGATATTATCAAGAATTTGGGGATTCCGCATTTTTCTACACTTGAAAGTCGAAATGATATTTATCATCCTTATGCTTTGGGAAATCCATAATTCTAGAAATTAAAGGGTTTGATTGTAGCGACATAACAATAGTCCTGATTATAGCTGGGCAGTTGAGCGCGGCGAATTTGACTCCGGATTCCAATTGGATCAACAAGAGAACGACCAGGTTAAACATGTCTGGGGTAATATGGAATCTAGAGAATTCGCGCCTGAAGTAGTGTCTGGTCCCATATTATTCTAGCAATACTGTTTGGAATTGACAGATAAAATATTATACATGAAGTACGGTGATAATGCTGAGGCTCCAAATTAGGAATTCGCGACTGGGACAAATGGAATGAATTTGAGATACAGTAGATAGATAGAGGGTAAGATTTATCATTGGGAACAAGAAAAGCTTTCGACCCCTTTACTTCTTTGGCAAGGCAAGACCAAACCAGGAGTCCTGTGCTGCAGGCAATTGTCTACCCAGAGGTTCCAGAAACGACCTAGGTAACGTACCTCCAGGTGTTAGTTTCGCCAGTTTCCTCCTGCCTCTTGATCAGCTGCTTGTTCTTCTTGGCAATATACCACCGAATAATAATCAACACAATGACAGAAGCGCCACACGCAGCGATGATGGAGCCACCTCCGGTCTCATAACGAGGCTCTTGATTTGTCAAGAAGAAATAAGGGGTAAACCAATGGGTTACGTTGCTTAGACTATTGGCAATAGCAACCAGTGCCGCTCTCTTGGTGCGAGGCCTAGGAACAACAGCCGTCTCCCATGAGAGCTGCAGGTTCAGAGCAATGAAGGGGCCACTGCAAAGAAGGAAGAGACTGAAGTATCTCGCTGCCTGCTGCAGGGTAGAGATCATGACAACCGTGCCAGCAAGCCCTACCAGCATAGCCGCGGCCATGTGCCAGAAGTATTCCAAGACCCTTCCGCTAGACCACGAAACAGCACAGCAGCTTATGAAAGCTACAATATAGGGTGGAGCTTGTAGCAAATATGTTTCCGTTGTGCCAAATCCAAAGGTGGCCATGATCTGCAAGTGTTAGGTAATGTTTCGGCATGGAATGGAGGCTTCGTACTCACGGAAGGGAAGAAGTCTTTGAAGGATTGCGCCATGATGACGAAGAAGTGGAGGACGGTGAACAACCAAGTAAATGGATCCTTGGCCGCCATAACAATACCAGCCCATCGGCCTCCCTCGTCGTCTTCTGATATCCCCCCGTTGGATACTTGCATACGAAACTGCGCCATTGCGGACTCTTCAGCTGTCAAATAGTACGTGCCTGTGTTGTGTGGCCACTTTGGGAGGAACCAGAATGCTGAAACCGCGATTATAATGCTAGCGATGCCTTCGATTAGAATGAACCACTGCGAGGTACATCCGGTTAGCACACCACGATGTTCGGGGGTTGACAGCACGAACTTGGCAATGGGATACATACCTGCCACGCAGAAAGTGAGCCAATGTTATGCATTTTCGTCAAGATAGCGGCAGCGAGGAGACCAGACACGACGTTGGACACGATGTTACCAGCGTGCCAGATGGCCATGCGCAGGGGACTCTCATTCTTGGTATACCAGGAAGACGTCATTAATGACACTGCGGGTGTGAAGGGGCCTTCAAAGAAACCGACCAGGAAGCGGCAAAATATGAAGCTCCAAGGGCTGCTGAGAGCGGTCATTGATATTGTAACAGCCGACCAACAGAGCATGCAAACAGGGAGAAGAATTCTTGGGTTTCCGCGTGCAAGTATGACATTTCCAGGGAGCTGCGAGATTAAGTGGCCAACATAGAACATACTGATGCCAGCTGACCACTGTGTATCCGTCATGTGAAGGTCTTTCTGCATACCGGCAAGCCGTGCGTTGCTTACGTTGATCCGATCGAGAAAACTGTGCATTTCATCATGTTTTGTTAGCAGGTGTTTGAAAATCATTCAATTTCGATGTTTGCCCGAACAGATCTACTCACCACATAATCAACATGAGCGTGACGCATGGGAGGAAAAAGAAGTCGAGCTTCCTCAACAACTTCTTGTTTATAGAATCTCTTTCCTTTGCTGGCTTGTCCTTCAACAGTGGGTATTGCTGTAGAATTTGCTCAGTAGTCAAGGCAGATGCCGACTGCTCTTCGACGAATTGAACGTCGACTTTGGATTCGATGGACTTCCTGTCCTCAGTCGGCTGGGCAACCATGGTAGTGACTCTAAGACAGCTCCTTGTCTTGGGAGCTTATTCAATCAAAGAAAGTCTTAACAAATGATGCTTGTTGAGATCAAGTGACGAGGGGAGGACAAGACATGTTAGGGAAGAGGTTTTCGAGGTCGGGACGCTTTTATACCTGCGAGGGCGGCTAGATCGTTTTGAAGCCAAGGCTAATCATTCGATTTGCACTGTGGAGATAGAAGGGGACATCAAGTTACAACCCCAGCTTCTCTTCTTCCCCAGACCGGCGAGAAAGAACAGCGAATCATAGAGCAGGGTCTTCTCCCCGCGCCAGATTGTGGGGGAGAAGGTGGGAAGATCCATGAGAAAAACATGCCAACAACAAAGTGCTCACACCTGGATCGTGACTCGAGGATCGCGTTGGGCCTTCGGCATGGGGGCGAAACTGCTCGGGCGCTTGTCCGACACTACCGAGGGTCGTTAGGTAGACTGCTTGTGCCGGACCGAACCCTTGAGAGGTTGAGTCGGCGTTTCTCCGATGGACGCCAGTGGGGTCTTGTCCGACGACATGGGTAGCACTTTTGCTCCTACATGGCTCAGAAGTTCGTTGTGGCCGCTCCAGCTGGTGGAAGAGACACTGGGTAGAGTGGGCAAAAATTACCTCACGTCTCTGGTGACTTGACAGAAAATGATCCGCAGACAATCGAATCACGATTCATCTCACATGGAACAGCCTGGAGAACCAACACCCCGCAATGGAATCGATAGCGTCTGTGCACCACTTGAGCAACCATAAGCGACCAATATGCATAAACTAACCATACGAAGAATAGGGTTTGTAACTTGTGCAGGCTAGGTAGTCTTCTGATCTTCCATCCAACTTCACTTTCAGCCCATGCTGCGATTTATACAGGTCCCGCATCAGTAATACCTCTACACAGTGGGCTCAGTATGACGGGCATAGAACAGGCGAATTATTCAATGGAGCGGCAAGGCACAACAGCATTAGACTTGCAGGAGCGGGGTCGTGATACGCCAGCAAGGAGGCGTATTCAGGCATGCCAAAGATGCAAAAAGAAAAAACTCAAGGTTCGTTCAGAGGCTCGTCTAGTCGCATCGAGTCGGCGTCCTTGCTCCTGAACCATCACTGACTTCTGCCAAAAGTGTGATGTTGAATTGCCAGCATGTAGGACATGTGTCGCAGCAGGACAACCATGCACCACAATGGACCCTATCACCAAGCGCGAGTATGAAAGAAGGTCGGTCTGCCTAATTAAGAAACAATCCTTCCAACCCACGTGCCTAATTGACACCGAAGAAAGCTACGTAGCAGACCTAGAGCGGCGCATTCATGAGCTCGAGGAACAGCCAACTGGGCCTAGCCGCAACTACTTGTCTTCTGGCCTACCGGAGGCGATGCATCATTCGACGTTAATCCGGACATCTGTGGACGAGAATGAATCACAGTCTTCGTTCCAAACAGCTTCAACCCCCTCTCAATACGTTGGTCACTCCAGTGAAATCAAGTAGGTTTTTGCAGAGTGCCGCAGACACTCACATTCAGCTGACTCAATGGTAATAGCTTTACGAAACTTATCATTGCCAATTTGCAGTCTCGGACTTTGGCAGCAAAGACACCGAAGCTCACTGAAGCCCTGATGTCTATCCATCCGAGACGACCCCCGGCTGTCAACACGATCGCCAACGACCTTCCAAGTTCCGTGATAGCCTTGCAACTTATAAAGTCTTACTTCATCGGCCATCATATAGTGTCCCCTTTTCTCTCCAGAAAGGAAATCCTAAATCTCTATATGGCAGTGTACCAAAGCCATGAAACTACTCGGACGACGGATAACGGCTTCACGAACGCGTCCCAATCTCACCAGAACTTATTCAGGCTCAATATGGTATACGCTCTAGGGTCTGTCGAGATGACACGCAAGGGCCTGCACGAAAGTCCATCCATGGGCTATTATATATCAGCGATGCAGCATTTTCAGTCAGTCCCCAAGATTGTGTCCCTTGAAGCCGCCCAGAACCTTCTTCTAGTAGCGGAATTCACGATGCTCCATGACACTGGCTGCTCGATTTGGGACATAGCTCGAATATGTATGCGAACCTGCCTCTTGATGAACTTGCACCGCGAAAACCCAGATCTAGACCAACATGCCCGCCACCGTCAGCAGATGGTGTTCTGGGCTTGTTACTCGGTAGACCGCATGGCCTCGATGACTCTCGGTCGGCCGTTTTCCATCTCTGATAGAGACATCAGCATCCAGGTAGGCGGCTTGGTAGACAAAAATGTTAGAATACTCTTGACTGGATCATGCTAATCTTTCTCCGAGAAACAGCCCGTCAGCGCAGTCGATGATGATGATACGGAACTCGTCTCCCATATCTTGGGGCCTTCCACCGCGGCGCAACTTCCCATCGAGAACGGCTACTTTGTATCGCAATTACGGTTGCGGCGGCTTTCGTCAGAGATTTCGACATATTTCTACCGCCTTCGAAGACAACGGTCCAGCGAGGAAGTATCTACGGACATAAGAAATTTCCTCAACCGGATCGATGATTGGCGGCGTACCTCAGCGCAGGCGCCCCGCCAAGGAGTAATCGTATATTACGAAGCTGACTGGCTCGATTACATGGCGGCCAAGGAGAGACTATCGGTGGCTCGCGCAGCAATAAACTTTGTTGTTTCTGGACAGGGCAAAGTCCCGAAGGATCTTCGCGACCTTTGCTTAGGAGCTGGTCTCTCCATCATCCAAGCCTATACCACTCTCTTTCAAGCTGGTGAAGTGACGCCCAATAGGATGTCCTTCTATGTTCTCTTCTCGGCCTCTGTCTCGTGTCTTTATTGCTTGTTAGTTGAGTTTGGGCCTTCCATTGGGCTTCAGTCTGCTGCATTCGACTTGTGTCCTGAGTCTTCATCCAAAGCCGGAACACTGAAGAGCCTTGCTTCCGCTGTGCAGGTATTGGCTCAAGCCGTAATTCACTTTCCAGATCTCAGAGGCTATAGTGCAGCCCTGGAAGTTGTTGTCTCTCAGATGCAGGGGCCTCGGACATCAATGCAAGCAGGATCTGGCCAGATCAGCTCGCACGTGGCCGACGCACCGCTTCCAGCCGATGGTGATTTTGGTCATTTGGGTAACCTAGGTATCCCTCGGGAGTTTGATAATTCATGGCCCCTATCTGACACTATGTACGGACTTGATTGGCAAAGCATCGGAGCGGAGATGTGGCAGTTTGTTGAACCCGGATGGCTTGGTTCACTGAGCGAAAATGACATGCTCAATTTACAAGGCTCTCCTAATCACTTTAGCTTCAACTAGCAAACAGTTTTCATGTTTAAATCTAGATAAGCATGTATGTCACTATCGAATCCTCATAGCAAGAATCTCTCGAGTTGATTTGCTTGAGCACGGCAGTTACCTCCCTCTCCCTTCTTTCCACTGGTAGGCCCGACTTGGTTTCAGACAGCCCTCACACTCTGATCTTAGAAGTATGCTAGCGCATTAGGTGGGCTTGCCACAGCACCAGGTGCCTAAAGTATGAAAGCGTGAGCGTTGGTAGGAGAGTGGATGAGACTAAAAATGGGATTTCTCACATTCATTGGAGAGCTAGACATGAAGAAGATGTACCGCTTCTGCGACCGACACACGCGGGAAAGCTCTTCCAAGTCAAACAACTCACCAATGGGCATACCCCATCCTGCGAGTAGCCATTCATGGAAGTGCCATTCAAGCTCGGTGCAAGGCCATGCCTCAAATGAGCGAGAGTCTCCAGCGACGGCGCTCAATCTCCTGTTCCACAAAAATTCCAAGAAACGCTTGGATGGCTTCACACCGATATTTTCGGGCAATTCAGTCTTGTACTTTTCGTTTAGCAGATCTTTCTTCTCCTGCAGCATGGTTTCATACTGGAGAATATACCCGCTTCTCACGACCAGTATGTCGCCTTCCCTAAAGCTGTCCTCAGACAAGCCTTGGTGTGCCAAGACTTTGAGAAGCTCCTCAAATGGGATTTGATAGCCAGTCATTGCATCAACTTCAAGGCCCTTGACCTCGGTAGCCCAAGAGTACCAGTCAATCAAGATTGCACGGGCTGCTATGCCCTGCTTTGACATGTCTGTCACCCATTCTAGTCAGCTTTAGCCTATCAACGGATGGGATGCGTGACCCACGTTGAATCCCGTTGGGCTCCGGTGAGACAGCAAATTCCTCAGCAGTACGGCCCATGAAGTAAAGCTTATGGCTTGGAGTTAGCTTCTGGTACCATGAAAGCTCACATGGGTCTTTATTGTGACTTACAGCCTCTTCCTGATACGCATAGTGTCTTCCTCCATCCCACTGCGAGCTACATTGAGAGTTGAAATGCCACTATGAACAACATCAATACTAGATCTTCTTCGTATACAATACTTTCGGATCTAAAATTAACCACGTCTTACCTCGTCATCGTGAGCATGCTTATGGGGCGCCTTATTCAACAACTTCAGGTCAAAGATCTTGCGTGCGAATCGAGGGTAGATGGGCCCTGATAAAGACCAGCTGCAGGCAGGGCACTAGGGTTAGCATGTTTCTGAAATATTGAGGATATTACATGTACTTTAGCGAGATTCGTTGTCCGGTCTGGACTTGTTCCTTGACCGCATTTGCCACAACGTCTGAGGTCAGGTAGTTGAGAGTGCCGAGCTGGTCGTCTGGGCCCCACAGACCCCAGGCATTTCCGTGAGGTCCTTTCTTGTCCACGGGCAGCTCGGAGAATGAAGGAATCTGGAATTGATTCGCCATTTTCGTCAATGGATGTATATAAAGCCTAGTTTAGTAATCCGCGGGGTCTGGGATGGTTGTCAAGATTTGTCAAGTCCAGCAGTACGCATATTACTTTACTTGTCTCCTTGAGCACATCAAGTATACCTTTCATTCTTATAAGCATAAGCAAGACCAATCATATCTAATCTGTGGCATAATACCCACTAACCCTTTACTCATTTGGGTGTCGCAGCTTCTCCGTGGCAACCCACTCATCGTCGGAATAGCGCCCGAAGACATTGATGGCCCGATGGAATTACATTTCGGCCGATATTAGAGGAGTATGGTAGTAGAGGTGTAAGCGTGGTCACATATGAGGTTACTTAGGAAAGATGGTCGGGTTCAATACTGTACGTCGGTCTTCATAGTTAAATATGCCATGTTCACCCTTGGACCGTCGTATATTGAGGTATAATTCCTTTAGAATATTTATCTGTGTAAGCCAAAATCTCATTCTACACTCAAGATGGCTGCCAATCAGCACGTTTATCACATCATTCTCATTAAGACGAAGCCTTCCACCACGTCCATACAAATCGACGAATGGGCAGCTGTAGCTAAGAGTAATGTTGGCAAAATTCCTGGTAAGCCACCACTTCTACTTTGGCTCTTAATCCCTTTATTCTCAACCCCTTAAATACACGAACTAACTCCGTAATACTTGGTTGTCATAGGCCTTCTTTCTTCTCGCATAGGAACTCCTCAAGCGCCGCTGTCTACTGCGCGGACAAAAGGCTATGAAGTTGGTGTCGTCATGATATTTGAAAGCGCTCAAGCTCTCGCGGACTTTGGAAAGAATCCCATTCATGAACTGTACGTCATTCGCATATCTTCATCATTTTTTGAGTGCTATCTAACTCATTCAAAGGAGCGCCAAACTAAGCAAGGAGTTTGCTGAAGATCGACTAGCATTCGACTTTTTCGATATGCCTTTATCGTGCTGACCTAGACTCCGGATAAAACTAGCTGTAAGCGATGGTTGATAGTTCAGTTAAAAAAGAACCCAAATCAAGCCACCGACGGTTATCCACAAGGCATTCCATGGCTTGGGAATTCAACTAGATATCTCTTTATTCGAGCAATATGTGATAAGGCGTATTAAATTAGATTTAGTTAGCTATTTCTTTACCCGTTTTCTCCCCAGTTCATTCACTATTCACAGTGATGATATATTTGGAGCTAATGGCTCAACGTATGAGAACTCTGAAACTCTCTAGCCCATGACTGGGGATTACGAGAGCGACAGCACTTTCAAAACTCCATGCACACATGTATTGGCCACGGAACGAAATGGCGGCGTTGCTTGAACATCTGCCAGCTTCATCAGGGTAAGCCAATGTGTGCTGCAGCACAACAAGCCGTATATTTCTCGGTGCCCAAAGACGTGACGTGAGATTGAGGTGGTCGTCGAGTATAGGGTGTGGCGACCACGCTTCACCTTTCAGCCAGTAGGGTGGAAAGCAAACTAGTCAAGCCAATGCCTTTGGAGAAACTCCTACGGCAAGCGACCCATAGATTGCCAAGCAGTGGAAAATCCCCATTGCTCAGATATCCTTTCGACTCTAGTACTAGTAATGCCGAAATTATGCTAGCTCCGGGTATGAACAGGAAGGATTTTTGGCGCGAGTGCCATGGCCGATAACATCCACCTCGTCGGCCAAGTCTCCGGATCGGTAGTGGGGCCAGATTTGTCCTCCATTGGCTTATTCAAATTGCCAGTCGAAATACCTCCACTGAAAATGGGGACTATCATCTTCGGAGAAGGTTGTCGGGATAGCTATTGGCAGCTGGAATACGTATACACTTGATTTGAGGCTGTTGCAGAATTGAGTGATTTGTTTATAAGCTGCCGAATGTGACGATCGGCCCAAACACAACCACAGAATCACCAATTTACAGACATTGATCTTCAAACCAAGACAAGATATCTTCATTAAAAAAATCATTTGTTTTACTCACTTTGCAATGTCCGACGTACCGATTATTACGGTATCTAATCCATGGCGGGACCGTATTCTTAGGGGGGAGATCTGCTCCGTCATGTCCTGCAAGTTCTTCGTCAGCAATGAAGTGGCCATGATGGTCAAAATGGCCGGTATTGACGGCATGTTCATCGATATGGAGCACTCTGTTTTAACGATACGCGAAGTGTCACAGCTGATCACGGCCTGCAATTACGCTGGTGTGAGTCCTATTGTGCGAATACCGTCCAAGTCTCACTGGCATCTCAGTCGTATTCTCGACGCCGGAGCTGCAGCTGTCGTTATCCCCCACTGTGAGACCGTGTCCGAAGTCCAGGACATCGTCAAGGACGCGAAATATGCGCCGATAGGACGCCGCGGCTGTTCAAATAATCAGGCCATTCTCAACTTCCAGCATGTCCCAACATTGCAGCAAAATGATCTGCTCAACCGACATACTATGGTTATCCCAATGATTGAAACTCCGGATGCGGTTGACCTAGCTGATGAGTTCTTGGCCATTGAGGGCGTGGACGGCATCTTGGTTGGTTCTAATGACCTCTGCACAGACCTTGGTATCCCTGGTCAATACGATACTCCTGCATACCAAAACGCGGTTGAACGCGTCATTGAAGCTGGAGTAAGATCAGGGAAGCCGATTGGGATCGGCGGCATCGGAGGGCGCTTGGACTTATTAGAACAGTTCTTCCAGAAGGGAGCCACATGGTCATTGAGTGGCGCGGACGGAGCCATACTGCAAGCTGGCATGAAGCAGCTCGGGAAAGCATACACAGATATAAACCTTCGCGTGCAAGGCTCCAGAAAAGGGAATATCTAACGTTCGCTTATAAAGCTTATCACAGACACGGGTAGGTGAGATGGCTGTGGCATGCTAAGAAGTCAATCACTGTGTTGAGATGTCGGGTCTGGCATCTTCCATTGTTGTTTAACTTTATAATCGAACTCTCTTCCGCTAAGAAGTTAAACATCCTAGACAAAGGTTGCGTTCCTTTCAGCCAGTAGTCTAGTAGCTAGACTAGTAATAAACTTCACTTTAAACCATTTATTAGTTATTCGACGCTTACTCCCCTCTTAAAAAGCAGATGAACTGTACCCTCATAGGCATATTTGGCCGCTAAGAAGAGCGCCACAATTATATGTCTAGTGATTTCAGATCCGTGCCTCTCTTAAGAAACAAACAAGGAATAAACTTCAAGCTTTCTAGAACAATATGACCTCCTTAGGGGTCAGTTCGATCGCCAAGAATTGCCAGTATAGGCTAAGGGAGAGCATTGGAGAGACGGAATAGCTTGTTGAAGTGTTGAAGAAAGATGGTACTCGTCATATTTGTTAACGATTCATTATGAGCTTCTAAAGTTAAGGTAGTTCAAGTACTGGTGGATCCGGAATGGATATAGCGCCAAGAAACAATTCTCACTTAAGAAGTGATGATTCATTATGATAATCATTATTAATACCTCTCAATAATCCACTGCCGCTGAGCAGAAGTATCCATGGCCCCCAGCATCTTCATCTCCGCCTTCTTAACCGCGATATACCTCTCTACGGAATCCTCACCAACTATCTCACGCAAAGCGTCATCCTTCTCAAGCGATTCAAGCGCCTCTGACAACGTTGCAGGTAGTTTCTCCGTAATATTCAGCTTCTTCCTCTGTTCTTCGGTCAGATTCGCCGGGTCCTCTGTACACTCATCCCACAATAGCTTCTGTCCTAACTCAACCCCATCAATTCCAGCAGAGAAGATAGCCGCCATAGCCAGGTAAGGATTAGCCAAACCATCCATACATTTCAGCTCCCAGTGGCTGTCCTCTATCTTACGCAGCGGTGTCTCTCGATTCTGACTCCCCCATGTCACCCAGGTCCCGCCAGCCCAGCAGCCATCAACGAGCCTGCTATAACTGACAGGACTTGCACATGTATAGGCAAGAATGCTTCGAAGGTGGTTCAATATGCCAGCGTAAAAAGACTCCCAAGTATCTCGGTCGGATCCTCGAGGAGAAGAAATGGACATGTGGACGTGGGCTGCGGTCCCAGCGGCTTTAGCATACGGCTTAGGATGGAGCGTCATTTTGTATCCATGAGAATCTGCACACGCTGAGAGGACTTGTCGTGCGAAGATGAGGGTGTCAACAGCTTCGAGCGCTGGCGCGGGTGGTAGTACAATCTCGTACTGACCAAACGCGCTCTCTGGATGTATCGTCTCAACGTAGATGCCTGCCTCATCCAACTTGCCGACAGCTTCCTCAACAGCAATAGCTGCATCATGATCTGCGGCTCTAACAGAACACCAGCCATGCGCATCGCCATCAAGCATCTCAAACTGTCTTACTCCAGTCCGCTTCAGCAGCACAAACTCAATCTCGAAACCCAGGATAAATTCAAGATTGTGACTAGACGCAAGCCTCAGAGTATCTGCTAGCGTTGTCCTCGGGCACAGGGAGACACTAGATCCATCCTTTTCTTGAAAGTCGCCCATGACTGTGACGAGTCCCTTTCTCGGACCTACGCGCAAGCTTTTAAAGTCTGCGCAGAGATCCCACTCCTTAGCTGGAGATATGCCGGGCAGCATTTCGTCTGTCTGAAGGAGTGCTAATGCTGACGTGGAGACGCTGAATTTGAAGTCTGGTCTGGACTGTAGTATTGACATGGCGCGTCTTATAGGGATTGTTCGCCCTCTTGTTGTTCCGGTTATGTCGTGCCAGCACAGGCGTACGTGTTGAATGGAGTCACGGGCACTTTTTAGTATTGCCAGCCCGTCAAAGATGGGTTTTGGTCGATCTGAATCTGACTGGTTTGATCCCGACTTAGATTCCGATTGCTGCTTTTCTTCCTGATCTGGCTCTGCCTTGTCCAACTCTGCCTGGACGGGTTCACTCTGTGATGTCAAAACTGGTGGTGGCAGGTTAAGATCCAAATCGAGACTGTATAACTTATTAGAGTTGCGGAAGAGTATATCCTCAACAATTTCCTTTGCTTCCATCCAAGTAAGATCGTCCTTCTTCACATATTCACTCAAGACAGTCTCAAAGGCCTTTCTCATCTGCGTGACGGCAAGGAGATATGCCTCGGGAAGATAGTGCCCGCCTGTGCTCCAAAGAACCTTTGATGAAGGGCAGAGCTCCAAGGTCTGCCTTATCATTTTCTCCTGCCCATCTCGACTGACCATGGGAAATACTAGACCAATATCGGCATACACATTAGCATACACCGTGGCTAAGTATCCCATCTCGCGGACAAATGGGTAGCCGGAGTGAAGCAAGATGATAGGCACCGTGGGATACTGCTTGATGAATGACTGCAAAGAGGACGGCGATGCCTTCGTCAGTGTGATGTCGTGATCACCCAGGCCTGTGTGGAATTGGATCGGTTTAGTATGGGGAGAGGCCAATTCGCTGATGAGGCTGGCCACACAATGGACAACATACTCATTAAGTCCATCGTGCTGAAGCCTAGAAAATGGCTCTGCCTCGATACGCCTCCTCTCCGTATAGATCTTTTGAAAAGCGATGAACGCTTGGTATTTGTCTTCGTTCTGGGGGATACCGAGACCAGTCCGGTAACATATAGCAGACTTAAACCCAACCACCATAGGATCAGCTATATTTTCAGTGATGGCGCTCCTAAGATTCGTAACAAACGAGGAGAATGCCGTCTCCGGATGAACATATTCTTGGCAAGCCTGATTGAACAAGTTGGCAGCCACATGCTCGATCCGAACCAGCCTCTTAGCCTCAACTCCGAACTTGTTAAAGTAACTATACGGCTCATTATCCTTCTCATCCCCAATCACGTCGTCGACAAGAACAGTGTGAATGCTCGAAAGACACGACTTGGCCCAATCCTCATACATTTCTTCTCCTTGACGCTTACTCTCAAGCGCGGCTTGGACCAAGCTCCATGTCGCCTCACAGCCAAGCACACCGGCAAGCTGCTTGACAGCCCGAACATGAGCTAGGCTCGCTGTGGCAGCAGCCAGTGCACTGCCCTCGGCCTCGGTCGTAATAGCCAGCAGGGGGAACTTGCCAGCCGCAGTAGCTTGGCGAGTCAACAGCGGGTGTGCATGATGGTCAATTATAGGGACCGTCCGGACAGCACGGAGGAAAGCGTCCTCTTCTTGTGCCGCCTGGTCTCCCATCCCCGCACTTATTTTTCCCCTTCTGTCTGTTTCTCGTCAATGTAGGAGAGGACTAACTAGCTTGCTCGATGGACAAGGCTTGATCGACAGAGTGGGATCGGCGCGGGAGAATGGGCAGCGAACGGGAGCAAGATCTAAAAAGTCTGCTGGACAACTAGCTCGCTTACCGGCAAAAGAGGCTCGCGACATCAAAATGTTTCAAGGAGCTAATCTATAGAAGAGTGAGTGGCGTGAGTGCCGTCGTCTGATCGTTGGACAGCAAAAGGCTACAGAAGTGGGGGAACAAGTTGAATAACCGCCCCTTAACCACGCATTTAACGCTAAAAAAAATCAAATACCCGCTTAATGCGCATACATGTATGCAGCCCAAGAGGTTGCCCGACGACTGGGCCACCATCACGCGATCGAAGGTAGGGTAGAGAGGGATTTTGCTAGACTCCCACTCGGAACAGGTACGAACGATATCCCACAGTGACAGTTGATAATGGAATGGCTCTCGAATCGGTCAACCCGCAAGCATGTCCCTGAAATGGTTTAGTTTATAATATTTACATAATATCATCAAGGGCCCTTGAGATCGATAGCCGGGTCTCATTCTGTAGTGTAGTGGAGAAAGTGTAAAAGGAACGATAGCCGGACGCCACATCTTTTTCAATCTCTTCACCCCCCCAGAGCTCTAGCTAAGCGTCATCTGCAAGGTCCGTGAGAATCCGTCAATGGTTCGTCAGCGGAGTTCAGGCCGAGGCATAAAAAAGAAAAACATTGCGCATGAACCGCCGTTTCGACTATCTTCGATCCCAGGACCATGATAATTGCAGGAAACTTGCCCGCCTGAATAAACGAAACAATAGGCTGCAGCTCGGTTTCAGCATATTAGAAAGCCCGACTCGTATTATATGACGGTGGGACCCCGGGGCCGGTGTGCGAGTATTTGACACACACACGTTGTGTTACGATCAATCACTCACAGATGGGGAATCAATCACATGCATGGGACGAAATGAAGGGAGAGGGGCGTTTGTTGAGGCAGCCCATCGATGGACTTTTCCAAAAGAAAAAAAGAACTAGCTTGTACGTTTGAAGGAAGAAGACGACTTGACAAAAAGAGAAAGGATTTGTTTAGACTTGGCTCAATTCGACCTGTCAAAGTCTGATCATCGACCATTTAGGCAGGTCAAACGTAGTGACAGTCAGCCACCCGCTCTGAAAGCGACGATCTGGAAGCAAATTTGGAAAGACCAGCAGCCCTTTCCTGCCCGTTGTAGGAAGGTTTGCATTCCTACTAAGAGGGCTAAAAAAAAAGATCTCTGGTGGTCCGCACAGTAACATCGTGCCTTGCGGTGAGGGCGAACTAGTAACTAGCACCGACAATATCAGTGACCACATATTAATCCCCCTCATAGCCACTACCCACTATTGCAACGTATCCTGAAATCGAGAAATAAGAGAAAAGGACAGCCGACATCCGAGCTCCCCTAGCGCAGTTTTTGGAGCTGCGGCAGTGACCGCGCTGTCGATTCTGACTGGCCAAGGACATGGATGCCATCAGCTCAAGAGTGTCATGGACTAAGCCATAAATATCCGAAGGAGCCAGCCCCGGGGCTACAGATCCGCGCCCGAAGTCTAGGGACCAGGGGGCCCCCCTCCCCTCCACCCCCAAGCTCTAATATGTTTCTAGTTTAGAGTTATGGGGACTGTCTCAGCCGAGAACCTCTCTTGAAAGCAGTTGCCAGGTGTAGGCAAAAAGTTCACGGCTCTTCTGTGCGTGTTGCCGGATATACCCTACCACAGGTTGCCATGGACTTCTCCGTGCTGAATGGAGTCGATTCGTATCTTGCCGTTGGGGCCGCTTACGGGACAAAGACCTTGTGGTTCGCCAAGCCAAGTAATTAGCTGGTATTGAATCAGAAGGAGAGGAGGAAGAGGAGGAAGAGGAAAATCGTATTCCATGCTTCTCGGGCGGCAGATGCCGAGGCGTGCGCCTAAAATGAAGGAGTGTGATTCCAGTGAGCTACGTGCCCGCCCAACTAACTATCTAGGTAGGTAAATAACGATACCGTTGCGTGTGGCACTGTTATGGATGCTGACGGTGCCTTTTTATCTTAACACCACCTTCAATCATCTCTCTTTCTTTTAGTTTAGCCTTGTGAATTTCATTTTATCCTATCTCTTTATACATATATATTCGATATTATTGCTCGCAGGGAGAGCGCCGACTCATGCTGCAAACATGATTCTGCCTCGCGAGCATGAGACGCCTTTTAACAAGGCGCCGCTGATTCGGGCGATGGCGGCGCTACTCATGGTGATCGCGATTCTCTCGGCCTTCACGCGAATCGTCACTCGGCTCCTCACCGTGGGGACTTTCAAGAAAGACGACAAGCTTGTCGCAGCAGCCACAGTAGTAGTCATTGCGCAGTCGGCCGCTGTGATATCTCAAGGTGCGAACGGCCTAGGCAAGCTCGAGAGCCTTAGCCCCGATAAGGAATCGTACATCTTGAAGGTAGGTAAGCATAACACAACGAACAAGTATGAACCAACTGTTTGTTGGATGTTATGCATGCCCCCAAATTTCGACGATGATGAGACGACTAACATAGTGGATTCATAGAGTCATTATGCATCTGACGTCCTGTACATTGCTGGATTGCTGCTATCCAAAGTGTCTGCAACGAGGACACTCTGGGGCATGGCGCCGCGAGAGCGCAGAAAGACAATCTGGGCCATTGAGGCACTCATTGCTGCTTGGGCCTCATCGTCTATTCTCGCGTCATTGTTTCAGTGCTCGCTCCCGCAGCCGTGGGACTTTGTTCACGGTCAATGCTTTAATCGGGTAGGCTTCCCTAATTTACCATATTTCTTTTGCATTAGCTGGTCTGGAAAGATGTATGATTAACTGGGGTATAACAGTCTATCTTTTGGATCTATGTCGATGCCCTCAACATCGTAACAGATCTCGCCATCACAGGCATCCTCGTCGAGATGTTCGTCAAGCTCAAAACATCTACCTCCAAAAAAATTCTAGTCATCAGTGTATTCGGATGTCGCATCTTGTGCGTCACATATGCACCCATTCAATGGCATGAGCATGCGCTAACCCCCAAATCATATAGTATCATTCCTCCGATTGTCTCACACATGTACTACTTTAAACGTATCGCCGACTCACCAAACCCCCTCTTCGACGTGTGGCAGCCCACAGTCATCGTGCAGGTCATCCAATGCCTCAGTATCATGGCGACATGCATTCCCTACCTCAAGCCTTTCATGGACAGCCTCAACTCCGGGCAGATGGCCGCCGGCGACTACCGCGGAACCAGGAGCAAGGGCAGCAACAGCAGGAGCCAGAGCGGCTACGCATCTGCTCGCATGAGCCGTCCGCCAAGGAGCTCACGAGGCACAGGGGCAGGCATTACGTCCTTTGCCACGCGGGCCTCGCACAGATTACAAAAGTACGAAATGATGGACATGAGCGTTAACCGCGACCGGGCAGACGGGGTTGAGGAGAACATTACTACGGTCACGGCGGGGAAGAAGGAGGATGTCAGCAACAGCCCCAACAACAAGTCGTGGGATGGGCAGAGCCACACGAGCCAAACGGTGCTCGTTCAATCAACGTGGCGTGTAGACGTTGAGGAGAGTGGCAAGGATGACAAGTGTGCCACAGCGGCAGATACCAGATAGAGAGTACTCTTTTAAGTTGCCATCAATTTAGGGCAAGTACCGACCCCGCCAGAGTCTTGATGCCAATTTTCTTATTTACGTCTTGGCCTGGTTACAATACATGAGAACCGTTGGCTGTCGGCCACTAAAGCATGGGACGGGTTGAGACGGGTTGCCAGATCGGTGCTGGGGTCCGAGGACCTACGGGAATACGGGCCTCTACACCACCACTCCCACTTCCATTTAGCGTGTCTCCGGTGCCCTCTTTCCTAGAGCTTCGAGCTTAATAACCAAAGTTCAGGCTAGAAGGTAGACAGTCAACGGGGGGGGCAGACCAGTGTCGGGCGGGCTATCACTAAGGGACTTCCCCCCTCTGACGTTGAAAAACCTCTTAGGCAGGTCAAAGTCAAAGTCAGGAACAGCTTTCGCCCGTGCTTTGGCTCGCTTGGCCATTGCAATCCCTGTCTTTGTCATTCTTTATGCACGTCCGCGGTGGTGAATCTGCAACGAACTAGTCAGGTCGTTCTATGCTCTATACACTGTCTGTCTGGTCGAGGCACGACCGCCCTGGCCGCTGCATCCTAAATGACAGGTAATATTTTACGCAGGAAATCTTGTCCGAGGCGAGTTTGTATTACCTACTCAGCTGTCTGTGCTGGCCATTCCACCTCAGGTGCATGTAGGCCTGCTCGGTAATTTTAAGTAGAAATGGAATGACATTCATCAGCGACAGGGGGTTCGTCTCAGGAATGCTGGTTGACGGCCAAGGACAGCTTTCGGCGAGACAAGCCCGAATGTCACCGTGCTTTGGCCGGCCGGCTTAAGAAGAAGCCCTTGTCTTACCACGTACTTTTTTACTTTTACGTACTTACCTTAGTGCATCGCAGTCCCCATCCCTGTTCGCCTGGAACCTGTTGCGTCCCTGCTCTGCCAAAAATTGCTGCACACCATTAGGTACGCATGAGAGAAGATCGCTCCACGAGTGCGATAGGGGAGGAACCCCTGAAGGGTCCCTGGGGTCCTTTGGACTTTGGTTTTAGCTCATTGTTTTCCACCGTGAAACGACCGGCAAGCCGAGAAGCTGAGCTTGATTGCTCCATGAGGGTGAATTCTTGGCATAGAAGATGAAGGATGAGCTAAACTCAGCCCGTTCAAAAGTTGGAATTATTGAAAACCCCGCAAGTGCTGGCGCAAATACCACACAAACGACACCCCCCCCCCCCCTTTTCGTGGATCACGGTACAAGATGCGGCCAGGAGGGAGGATCATGGACTACTTTAGAGAATGGATCTCTGCCTCTACTCCCCACTCTCCCCACTCAGGTACGATTATGCGTTTCCGATCTTGTGCTGCTTCTCTCACCAGAATGGCTTGATTAATTGATGGATGGATGAATGGCTGCTTGTTAGTGGCGATGGCCAAGACAGCTGGAGGCACCAAGGACCCCTACAAGAACCAAAAATCTGTGTTGCACTAGAACTCAGCCTATATCGTGTTACATCCGATTACCCACAGCAGGCAGGCTTTGCATTGTCCCCATCCATCTCCTTCGGTAGAGCTCGTTCCCACCGGGGGTCATACATAGTTCCAGGTTTATGGGCTGCATGCACGAGCCGTACTTAATACTAGCCTTCGCGTGTTCGTCTGTCTTGTCTCGTCTCACTTGCAGGTGCATCACCCTCACTCAAACCCTTTCCCTTCCCTGGATCAACCCTCACCCAAACCCAACGTTGTCCAGGTTTATCTTGATTCGTTCAAATCAAAGGATATACCCCGCGACCGGTGCGCCGATGTGTCCATCATAATTTCCAGCAATTGCGCCTATTCCACCAAAACAATCATTCATTCCCAGAGTGCGCCCGTCACTCTCCCTCCCCCCCACCTCAACAAAATGAACAGCGTGCGACGGGAGAGCCGCGAGCTCAGTGACGTGAGCGAAGGCGGCAAGCCCTCAGAGGTCAGGGTCGAGCCCGTATCGGAATCTATTGATCGCGAGCAACTAGATCGCGAGCAATTGGCCAGGCTCGGCAAGAAGTCTGTTCTCAAGGTATGATCTTTCACGTATCGTCGCCTGCAATCAGTGCGGCCGCGCTAGAAAAAAGCTGACCCAAACTCTATGTAGAGAAACTTCCGTTTCCTGACCATTCTCGGCTTCAGCTGCGCCATTCTCGTAACATGGGAGGGCACTCTGATGAACTTCGCGCCTGGCCTGGCAAACGGCGGGCCAGGCGGTCTCGTCTACGGCTTCATCTTCGTCTGGATCGGCAACATTAGCGTCTTCTCAACCCTCTGCGAGCTCGTCTCCATCGCCCCGACCTCCGGCGGCCAATACCACTGGGTCGCCATGCTCGCGCCCCGATGGTGCTCCAAGTTTCTCAGCTACCTGACCGGCTGGTTGACACTCGCCGGATGGCAAGGCACGTCGGCGGCTGCTGGCTTCCTGACTGGCACCATGATTCAGGGTCTGGTGACATTCATGGTGCCCTCGTACAATGCGCAGACGTGGCAGGGGACATTGATGCTGTGGATGTGTATTCTGATTGCCGTTACTATCAACACGGTTGTTAGCTCCTTGCTTCCCAAGATTGAGGGCATGATTCTTATTCTGCACATTATTGGATTCTTCGCCATTCTGATTACACTGACCACGTTTGGCGCGAATGCCTCTGCCACCGATGTCTTCCTGACTTTCCGCAATGAGGGAATGTGGCCATCCCAAGGTCTGTCATGGTTCGTCGGTTTACTGGGCTGCGTCTTCTCGTTTGCTGGTGTCGACTGTTCCTTCCACGTAAGGCCACGCTCATCTGCTATCCATTGAAAGATTCGTTGCTGACCATTCTTCTATTTAGATGTGCGAGGAAGTCCGAAACCCTTCCGTCGCTGTCCCTCGGTCCATCATGACCAGTGTCACCATCAACGGCTGCATGGGTCTTGCCATGGTCATCGCCATGCTCTACAGTGCTTCTGACATTGACGCCGCCATCAACTCCCCCACTGGCTATCCCTACATCGAAATCTTCTACCAAGCTACCGGTTCTAAAGGCGGCACTGCAGCCATGACCTCTCTGATCATTGTCATGACCCTCTCCGCTATTGTTGGTGTCATTGCAGCCACTTCCCGAATGTGCTTTGCCTTTGCTCGTGATCGCGCCTTGCCCTTCTGGTCCACACTGTCGAAGGTAACACCCCCAGCTTGCTTGAACAAATTACATAGAAATGAGCCCACTAACATCAACTCTCCAGGTTGACGAGCGCACCAACGTCCCCGTCTGGGCCATCACCGTCACCAGCGTCATCGCCTGCCTCATCGGCCTCATCAACATCGGCTCCGCAGTCGTCTACAACGCCATCATCTCCGTCGCCGTCTCCGGCCTCTATTCCTCCTACCTCATGGCCGCCTCCCTCCTCCTCTACCGCCGCGTCGGCAAGGGCTACAAGCTCCCCGACCCCAGCGCCCTCCCCGCCCTAGCCGACACCACTGCCGGCGAGGGCCAGACCCTCGCATGGGGTCCCTGGCACGTCCCCGGCATCTTTGGGATCCTTAACAACACCTTTGCCTGTATCTTCATGCTCATCGTCTGGTTCTTCAGCTTCTGGCCTCCGCAGACTCCCGCTGACGCGTCCACGATGAACTATGCCTCGCTGATGACGGGTGGAGTCGCGCTGTTTTCGGTTGTGTACTATATGCTATGGGCCAAGAGGGAGTACAAGGGCCCTCATATGGAGGTCAATGTTACCGAGGAACAGTATCACTAAGAGAAAGAGAATAAAGTTTAATAGTAATGGAGGCTGCTAGAGCCCGATAACTCAACACAATGAATACGAAAACTTGGAGAGAAAAAAAGCTCCCCAATGGCCCGCGCCAGGTCACGCGCTGACCCACTCTGTATGATGGAGCGACTGGAGCGCTGCGCTCCAGTTCGCAGGAACATTTGGAGCACGGTGGAGCAGTACGTACGCTCCCCTCAGGATATGTATATATACACATTCATTTCTTAAATACACATTCATTTCTTAAACAGAAGACATTCTCTTAGGCAATTATCAATACAATCGCTACCGCTTTCATTGAAACTAGCTCCCCAACGCTCAAACATCAGCAGTGACTCACACAGTACCAGGACAACCTGATCGCCCATTCAGAACAACTCTGATTGGTTACACCCATGACCTACCCTAGACCCCCCGTCCAGTGTAAGTCGCCCAACCATCACAACAACTCAACACAATGAATACGATATTATATATTATATTAATTTAATTTAAATAAAAGTGTTCTTATTTAAATTTTTCTCTTCCTATAATTTAATTTAAAGTTTAAACTTATTTAATAGCCGCCGGATAATGGCTATGGACATACGCCGAGACATTTGGAGGTTCAGCTGCTCTCTTTAACTACGACAATCATCGCAATTATCTGACATACATATAACACTGCCACCGCCACGGCGCTAAGAGCACTGTTTGTGGTGTTGTGTTCGACAGCTATTGGACCAGGTCGCCATTCGATCGGCGCTGGCGGGATTGGCTCCTATTCCAAGTATGCAAGCCAGCGTAATCTGACATATCAGGGCTGTGATAAGCAACACCGCCTAAAGACTGCCGAATAGCACAACTTCGCATAAAATGCCGACCATTCCCAAATTAGTATGTGGATTACATCCAAATTGAAGAATAAAAGGTCCACCTTTCATAATTTCGCTTCACTCTTATCACACCCCTATATTTAAGGTACGCTCTCTTTCAGCAAATTCCATCAAGCAATTGGATAGAGGTGAGACATGGGTAAGTAAACCACGATAGCATCGCCCGGCCTGGCTGCACTCATCTATATTGCTACTAAAAGGTAGATGCGCGGGTAGCTGCTCTCTATTTAGGTCAGAGAAGTCAAAAGACTACCTAAGTTTTTGGGCTCTCGGCTTTTGCCGGTTGGGGCACCTCATGGATTTCTGCCTAACTCTGCACTTTCCGCCTCGCCCAAGGAGGCATGCATGCAAAAAACGAACGCGCAACTCACTACCTAGTCACATGAGGTAGAAGGCAGTCTAGAGGTTGGGGCAGGTACCTTAACTGTTGTACCTTTATTAGTGCTGCTGTGGACTGCCGGCGGTATTTTGTACCTTGCACCGTTCAAGCTTCTTTCCATCTCACATTCAACTCGCGACCACAGACTTTTTTCTCCCTTCACTTTTACATTTCTTCTCACACGCCACATTTCCTCTGGCCATCACACTCTCATCCCATCCCACGGATACTTTAGCACCGACTTTTACCCATTTCTAGTCTGTATGCTCCTAATTCGCTCTCAGCCTTCTACGATCTGGTGTTCGTTCCCCCACGCACGAGCTCTCACCCGCAAAACTACTCTCTGCCGTCTCACGTCTTGCCTACCACCGATTCTTTCTTCCCCCATCTACAAAAAATCGGCCCCATGAGTCGCTGCGACCATGACTAGCACGGGCGATAAAGCGCGCCTGGAGGTGTTGTATGAGCACCTGGTGCTCCCATCTCAGATCCACTACACAGCCTCAGACGCAAACGACCAGGATTTGAACTATGGCCTTGTCCAGTTGCTTCTGAACTCATTCCCCGTACTTCGGAATGCCGGTGATCAAACAGTCTGGAATAGACTTCGGGGTTGTCTCAAAGCCACCTTAATCCTCGAAACAACCAAGGGGGATATCGATTCTCTAGCTGCTTCCTTTACTAGGCTCAGCCACGAAGACGACCCAAGTCGTGCTTGGATTGCCCTTTTCATCGCTGGTCAAAATGCTGGCCTGCTTATTCACAAACACCCCAGGTACCCTGCCCCTTGTCTCACACCACAGTGACCATATGCTAATTCTTCTCTCTAGCGAGGTTATTTTCGAGGCCTTCCAAGCTTCCTACCAAACAATGAATGATCTTCAGGCAACACATGCTCTCACCCAAGATTTCCCAGATCGGGCAGTAGCCATACCGCTTGAGGTTTTCAGCTCGTTATCCTTCCATAAAAACCTCGCCGCCTTTTTAGAGCAAGCAACCAGGGACTCATTTGATCGGTTCGCGGCATGGGCGCAGAAATCTGGCTGGGCAATTGTCGAGACGCGTGACTACCGTAGTCCAGCTTTAATTAGTGGGATGCTCATGTCCCTGCTTGAGGGGCTTGGCCATTCTATTGAATGCCCGAGAATCCGAAAGAAGATCCGCGATGAAGTCATTCTCGATACACCTGAAGCTCCCTGGAGACGAACACCATTTTGGCTTGTGCTCCGTGTCTTCATCCGGCGCCACCTTGCTTCACTTCTTGGCAAAAGCCAAGATGGTGCCGAAGGAATTAGCAGAGTCTACTATAAATTTCTTATCGCCGTTGCTCTTGCTAAACATCTGGTGGCTTGTACTACTTCGATTCATCCCGAGAAAGTCATAACTCTCCTGGCAAAGTTATCTCGAAGACTTGCTAAGTTGGAGTCTGAAAGGGAAGCCGCCATGGGGCCCCTACGCTTAACTTATGATGCTTTCTTCAATGGAACCAAGAATTACTTTGTCCAGGTAATCACAGAATACAAGGCCACACTCAATGCGCCATCCATGCCGGAGGGCACCATGACTGAGATCAGAGAGATTACAACTCAATTCACAAGCCTACACGACTTTGAGCGAGGGTTAGGCTTAGATAGTCACTTAAGCCCTCAAGCAAGATGTACCTCCATTTCTCAAGAAATCACCGATTATATTAGCCATGCTAAGATCCTATATATTGGCGACTCGTTGTTGATGAGCCGATGTTTATTACGTTTATTTGAGCAGTGGGTTTCCATGGATAAATTTGCAATAGACGCCTACCCTGGCCTTATTCAGTACCATCCGATCTTTATCTCCAGCTCACTAGATGTCCTCTGCTTACAATCGCGGGCGGAAATGGGCCAACTACAACAAGTCCAGCAGTATCTTGAAAGTCGCGCCGCTCAGTGTGACAAAGGAAAGGGAAATATCTTCAGTAACCCTACAGATTTAGATTCTTTCGCAGCACAGTTTATTAAGGCTACCAACACAGGTGCTGAGATGGCTAAACTTGGTACTATAATCGACTTTGAGTCGAAGATGTCCCGTGCTGCAACGAAAGCAAAGCTAGAGAAACTCATGGGAGACTACGATACGCTCACCGCAGACATCAATACGTCTATCTGTACCTGCTCATTCTTACCGGATGGCACAAGGGACATACGTGGCTGTACGCGGTGTTATAAATGGAGGCGTCGCAATCAACTCAAGATTTCTGTTCATGAGGACTTTTTACCGAGCGGAAGAGAGATGGCGGGACAACGTGCTGCAATCCTTTTTGAACTTCGGCTTCCAGCATTCCTTGCTAAGTACAGAGAGGCTACCTGGAACTTGATTATTCTTGGAACAGATCTTTTATCGTCAGATATTCAGTCTAAGGAGAAGCCATCTCTGAAACTTAATGAGATGGACCAGTTAAAATCATTCCAACTAGCGGGTACTACATCTACTTTGATCCTTGCCTCGATCAAGAAGTCATTTCTCCAAACACATTACCGAATCAAGAGAATTCCTGTAACCCCTGACCAAGTCATCCTTCCTTTTGCACCCCAATTCTCATACTACGACACCGCAAATAACCTTTGGATCAGTCAACTGAAATCTCTTGCGCCCAATTTCGAACGCTTACTGGGGTCGTGGCTCCCACACGCACATCTCATCCCTGACCCCTACGAGCAGAGTACCCGACTGCTAAGTACACAGGCACCCACTAATCCATCATCCATGCGGCATTCTGAAAAGCCTACCACGGACTCGGGTTACGAATCCAATACCCATGGAAGATCATTAGAATCCTCCAATTGCCCCGAGAAGGGATTGAATGCGATTCCCGAAGCAGACGATTCGGCTTCCCTCAACTCGTCAATCGACAAATCCGGCTCTAGAGACAGAATTAGACAACCTGTGAAGATGGGGCTTTACTCCTCGAAAACAAATTATTCTGGTTCTGAGGTTTCAGGAATTCTGTCCGCGGAGAGGCAGAGCTACATAGTAGACTTAGCCAGTGAGATGTTCCGAATCGTCGAGTCCTATGATCAAGAAAGCTTGAAGAGAATTTCGAACGTTCTTCCTGACTTGTTGAGGGCTTTTTCAACTCAAATTGCATACAAGGCTGAAAGTCAAGCATATATTGACATTTCATATTTTGTTCAGAAGAATCGCTAGTATGTTAGATGTATCGGAAAATCGGGGAGGATAGATATACTGACGAGACACTCAGTCGCATACAAGGATTTTTTGACGATCTCCTTCCGCTGAAAGAAGACGAATCACCAAATGAGCACGTCGACAAGGCGGCAATATTCGAGCGATTCTTCGAGGGAGGCGATGAGGATATCACCGCGATAACTGTTGATGGACCCTTGGACTACCCCCCGACTACTCAACATGATAACGATCACGAAGATTTTCCAGAACACGAAGCGACAAGCGATCCAGGAATGTACTATAGATTCATCCAGGGGTCTCTAGCCTTTGAATGGCTTGTCTCTATGTTGAAACGCGAGGCCACGTTGACCCGCGCCACACCTGATGTTATGGAGGAAATTAAGAATGTTGTATTGGGTACATTTCCAGCAGAACACCGGGTCACGCGAAGGGCTTCTTCGAAAGAATATTCAATCACTTTCGAACTGTTCTGGGATCTCCAATACCTTACACCTCCTGAGGGGACCGAAAATCCTGGAACAGTCTTGAAAAGATTCGTTACTATCACCGGTAGTGAGAATGAGTCGCAGGTTGCGACCCTAGAGGAATATCTTTCTCAAGCATGGCCAACATCGTCAAAATATGTGTTTTCACTGCTGCACGATATTCTCAAGGGCAATCAGTCTGCAGACATCATCAGTAAGTGTATCATCACGTCGGGCATGTGGACAATATCATCTGATTTTTTTAATCTCAAGCTACCTTACCCGACCGTACTACGATAAAAGCTGTAATTGGGGAGGGGAGGCTCATGTTGACCACAGTCGGTACTGGAGATTCTGTCGTAGAGGTTGGCCAGCAGTTTGCTTGGCTGGGAGCCGCACTCAAGCATTCTTCATTTGAAACGGGGATTTCACATTGCACCCCGGAGATTCGCTTGATTGATTCCTCTACCATCGAAAATGGACCCTTTCAAGCGAACGTCGTAATCAGTTTCAAAATCGAGGAGCCTCAAGTTCATATGGAGGGCCAGAATGATCCATGTTGGTTCAACCTTTTCAGAAACCCAGTCATAGTCAGAGGGTTTCCGACGCTGAGCCACGACGAAAATAAGACACGCCACCGGCAGCAACACCTTTCAGACAGTCGGATAATCGGTAATCTTGCCGATATATACCGTCGGTTAAACAGATATGAGGAGGCGGAGCTTCTGCATCGACAAGCATTGGCGTTGTGGACGAAGTCACTTGGTGAGAGTCACTCAATTACGCTCGCCACAAGATCGAACCTCGCAATGATACTTGAGCGTCAAACTAAATATAAGGAGGCCAAGCAGATTCTTCGAAGCCTTGTGAGGCGCATGAAAAGCCAGCCAGAGAAAACTCAACATCTCAGACTCGCCAGCCTGAGCAACTTGGCTCTGGTTTACCAAACACAAGGCGATCATGATCTAGCAGCAGGACTGTATCATGAATTCTTTCGGCTGTTGGAAAAGGAAATGGGCGAGAGCGCTTCTTACACTCTCTATGTTCTGAACAGACTTGGTGAGATGCTATTGCAGCGCAGGAAGTATGAAAGGGCTGAGGAGTGTTTTCAGGAAGCTTTTCAGCGCCAGGAACAGCTATTCCCTCAGTACCATCCGGGAACCATAGTTTGCTTGCGAAATTTGGCTCTTGCACTCAATCATCAGGGCAAGGGAAGATTTGCCAACAATAAGATCCAGGAAAGAGTGCAACAAATGACTCGCCACTCCAAGATTAACAAGCACACCAACGGGCCCATTGGTATTTTCCATTCCTGGACCATCTCCGATTCGGCTGTTCGAATGAGGTTCACTCAAGTTATACCGAAAGAATTTATGTCTCCGGGCATTCTCGATGATGATGACCTGTCAGATAAATACATTGAGACTGAGATAAATTCCTGCAAGGAGGAAAGATCCGACCATCCAGACAGTAACAGATTGCGTATTATGACGACAAACGGTATGCACCTTCATGTGGAGCGCTACTTACTCAATACTGACCTATTCCGAAGCGTTCCCACGTACTCTACCGGAGGTCATTGATTCCATATTCAATGGGTCTTATGCGCTTCTCGAGCCACCAGTGTCCCGAGGAAAGACACGAATTCGATGGAAATGCGTATGTTTCCTGGTCTAATACACTTTATCTCTAGCTAACCCTAAGTTTAGGGATGCGGAAGGAAGCTATTTGATGATTTTGAAGAAACTAGTCCTGAGTCTTTCAGCACATTGCAGAATCGACTCCGCCAGTTCAGCAACACGTCTCACCAACAGCAGCACAGCGCCTTTAGGCAAGTTATCCTGCCACCCATAGGCGGCTTAACGAACATTATTTCCTGGATCACAAGTTATGTGCCTCAGGGAAACACAAATTCGAATCAAGGATCAAACAGCCTCCCTCTCCACAACGTAAACCCGCCAGTCCATCGACAATCTCCGCAGAGCCGGGAGGTTTTGCATCTTCTCTTCTGTATTGGAAGTCCAGGCTATTTAGCACGTCTTTACCAGGAACGTCTTGATTGTGTGGACGGGAATGATGAACTACTCTTCCTCTTTCTTAGAGACAGCTATTTCAAGCATCGGAAACTGTTATCGTGGTTCACGCTACGTCACGTAAGGAGAGTGTCATTAGTCAGGGTATAGTCCAGTCTATTGTTAATTGTGTTATTTCAGGGAGGTCACTGATTACTCTAAAAGCTTAGTGTCGACGCAAGCGACAACGCTGAAATTCACCACCACAATGAGTATTGTGACAGATCTAACTGCGTTTGTCTCCCGACAAAGGCCAGGATGGACTTGAATGAGTATAAATGCAAGCCGGCACCTGAGAATGATCCCGATAGTATCCCTGCTATTGGCCCTGTAGCACTCACGCACTATTTCCACAGACCACATTCCTTCAACAAAACACAGTGGAGGTTCTACGACCAGATTCCTAAGCGATCTTGTGGACAGCTGAGAGCAGCTCAAGACAGGGGGGAACTTGGGTGGGGTTTGTATATTGAGGAAGGGTGGCACTGGATGACGATTCTTTTCATGATTGTTCTGCTCTGTGTGGGCGGTATTGCTTTTGCCGTGGCGTGGTCGGTCATAAAGAATGATATTCAAGGTGGTTTTGCAATCGGGGGGACTTTCTTTGCCATGGGATCGACGGCGCTTGCTTATATTGCAGCTCGGGATACTCAATCTCTATGTTAAGCTCTAATTACGATTCGGAGTATTCTGTTATTTGGCTTAACAGGTATAACCTGCGTCGTTTGGCACCCAACGAATTCTTACAGCATCGCTGCCGCCAACATAAGAAGACGGTTTTTTCGATCTTGTGCATACACGGCGCGAAGATGTTCTGATGGTCCGGATGAGAACGGCACAGACCAATATTGCATATAGCGTCCAGTCTGTCTATGCATGTAATGCTGCAGAAGCAGAGGTGTTAAAGTTGACTATCCTGTAGTCCTTGGATATCGTGCTCAATGCTAATATGGGCAAATAACCGTCTTGATTCTCTTACTCTTCTAAACTATGAGTAGTTTACAACTGCGAGAATATATATGCCTAGAGTTGGGTTGTCAGGGTTTATTCGGATTGCCGATAATTGATATTGCTGTTCTGGATGTATCCCATGAGTACCGTATCCATGTACCCTAGGCATTCAGTGTCTTGATCAAGTCCTCGACGTCGCGATCGATGTCTACACTAAACAGCCAGTCCAATTGCTCCTTGCCAGCATTCGTCCAATCAAGCTTCCACGTCGTCGATCTCACTTCCTCGGGCATATTCTCCCTTTCTTCCTCCTTCATTCTAAGGGTCATAAGCCGGGTGGTCAGCAGTAGTGCGTCGTCCATTCTCTTCATCCTGTATGTCTCCCAAGTCCTCAGCATGTCCAACAACTTCACCTTGTCATCGAGGCTCGCCAATAGCATCCCGAGGCTGTAACTGTCCTCCAACGCTTGATTTGCGCCTTGTCCAGCAGGCGGCGGAATGGCGTGTGCGGCATCTCCGATGACGAGGACTCTTCCCGTTGGTGAGTGCCAGCGGTCCATGCCCTTCATGGTGTAAAATGGCCAAACATTCAGGAACTCGGCCTCGGGGGAAACGACTTGCGCCTGTAAGGTCTGGACGAGTGGTGTCCAGGCGTCGGTATCTCGCTGAAGGATGTCAACGATGGCTTGTTTATCCGCCGTCAATACCTCCCATCCTGATTTGGTATGGTCTTTCTGCTCGTACTTGTATTGTCGTCCAATGAAGATCTCTTTGCCACCTTCAGCCTGAGGCGTGATGATGAAGTTACTTCCCGACTTGTCACGCAAAGACGCGGGGAGTGGGAAACCCTCCTCCAGGTGCACGTTGGCTCTCGGAAAGCTATATGTGAGGCCCACGAAGCCCGTGTAGTGCGGATCGAGGTCTGGGAAGATGTACGACCGAACTTTGGAATGGATACCGTCGGAGCCAACCAACAGTGCACATGTCTCTCGGGTGCCGTCTGCAAACTCGTATTCGACGCCATCGTCGTCTTCCTTGACAACCCTAATGAACTTCTTTTCGTAGTGAATCTCGCAGCCGGCTTCTTTCACCATATCTCTCAACTCTTGGATCAAGACTTTTCGCGTGATGCGTAGACCATCGTAGCCATACACGTCTTTGTGTCCAAAATAGAACTTGGCTGTCATCTCGAGCTCGGGAACCGTCAGAAATGTCATCTCCTGGAAACAGTAACCCTGGGCCTTGATGCGACTGTATGCGTCGAGGGAGTCCAAGGCGCGCAACCCGTTTGGGGTGAGCGAGACGGCGCCACCAAAGTCATAGTCGGCAGGTCGGAATTCAAAAAATCGTGGTCGAATGCCATATTTCAAGAGGGTTAGACCGAACGTGAGACCGCCAACGCTGGCACCGATGATGTCTATGGACTGACGGGTAGAGGGGATCATGATGATGCAGGGATGGAATATCGGCGGCGAAACTCAGAAAATGGTCAAACTTTGCTTGCCGGGGCGAGTTGAAGCTGGTCGTCGAGTGTGTTTGACGAGGTAAGTATGCTCAAAACATCTATTATATGTCATGATCGGAAGTTTTGAGTCTCGCTCGGAGAAGAAACGATCGGGGCCGCGGACTCGGAGTCGGTGGCTCGGTATAACACATACCGCACACGCACACGACCGAGTCAAGATCGCCGCCGAATGCCGAGTCGTCTCAAACTACCCCCGTCACTAACACAGATAGTAATGCCAAATATGGGACCTGTCACGGACACAGAAAGTACTCTGCAGAGTCTCCGAAGGTGTACATTCGTTCGCATCTGCATGCTCACAAACATCTCATGGCTGGCCTCACTACCTGTGACCCTATCTCGGAATTCCACCCGAACAAATCCCAGGTGTCATGTCGCTCTAAGAGCATTGTATCATTGTATATCCGAGTCAGATGCGAGAACTTGCGCTTATCTGCCTGCCGTGTGCTCTTACGGTACTCACCTTCAGCTGTGTTTAGTCTTCACCTGAAATTTATTTCGGGGACGAATTAGAATTTCTTCTTTGGGCTGTAAATAAAACACGAAAATGAAGTTTGTATTTCTATCTAGTTGTTTCAGAGCCGCATGTGCTTCTTCAAAAACTCGAGTTGCTTATTGAAAGCGGTATCCATATCTCCAAACATCCAATTGAAGTGATGCTTGTCAGTAAGAATGCAATGTTCTTTCGGCTCACACAGCATGTCAAATGCCTCCTTCTGCCTACTGGCTGGAAATACCTGGTCGTGCTCGGGCGTCACCATGATGACCGGCGTCGGGCTGATCTTGGGCAGTAGATGCAGGATGCTCCAGGTGAGGCATCGCATGTAAGTTTGGACCGTGACACGGTTCTCGACAGGCATGCCCATGCTGTCCATTGTCGTGAAGAAGGTGCCCAAATACTGATTAAGCGGCGTACAACCGTCTTCATCGACTAGGGGCAGATACAGAGGCTCCCCACCAGCCAGACGATCGGCGCGGTCCTCGAGTCCGAGCTCGAAGATGGCTTCGCGGCGTTCGGGGTCACCGGTGACATCTATCATGGGCGCGACAGCCACGACGGCGGCGATTCGCCGGTCGTGAGCTGCAGTAGCGAGCATGATGTTGCCGTCGAAACAGAGACCCCAGACCGCAATCTTGTCCGGATCTACCAGAGGGTGCTGGGAAAGCCAGGTAACAGAGTCGCTGAAATCATCAATTCGCCTCATCATGTCGCTCTGACAGGCCGATGCAAGGTTAGCTGATGACATGCCCGAGAGCTTTCGCAGATATATTCAATATAACATACATCATTTCTGGGTTCACCCTCGCTGGCGCCGATACCAAATGTATCAAAAATGAGAGACGTGAAGCCACGCTTATTATACCAGTCGGCGATATCTGGAACGACTACATCCTTGGGCATGTTAAACTGCATGCTGAACTTGTCAGACAAATCTTCCTCATCTAAGGCCAAAGGCATGAATTCTCACGTACCCCTGCAGAAAGAATAATTGCAGGTCCGCGTTGCTCCGCTGGGTAGAGCCAGCCGCGCAACTTGACGCCACTGAGCGTCTTGAACTCGATAGCCTCGCGAGGTTGTGGTGCCATTGTCAATAGGTCTTGTCAAATAATTGCAAAATAGTTGCAAAATACGGAAGCAGCTTAGCCATTTGCTTTTTTTTTGGGTTTATAAGACTTGACTGCGAGGCAAGTCCGGCCTAAGTTCGCTAGAGACTCCGAAGTCGATCGGACCGCCGGTGTCGTATGAGCCGGTGTCAGCGCGGCGCCGAGTCCAACCTTCCGACTCGAGATACCGAGATTACTCGGGTCAAGATAATGAGGTCTGAAAGCCATACATGGCTCTAAGGTGCTCATCTTTTCGGTGGACTCAGTACTACAGACACGAGAGCAAAGGTTTTGAGATGAGGTTAGGTCCCGAGGGAATAGCATAGCATTGTTGTGTGCTGTCTTATGTTGAGTATTCAGATTCTTAGGAATATGAGTGTGGGAAACACTGGTCTACATACACTTGAGTGGGCATGCTGAGAAGGATACTAAGAAGAGGAAAGAGCCCTTGTTTGACAGCTGGGCAACTATTGATAAAGCGCCTACCAAAATGTAAATAGGCAAGCCGCAACCAATTACGGCGTGAGTCCCTAGCTAGAAGAATGAAGTATCCTTGGGTATGAGTATACTACAGCCTTTTCACTTGTCTCTACGCAGCCATCAACGGCACGACCATCCGTTTGCCCCGCACATTCCCGATACGCAAGTCATTCACATACGTGGGGATCTCCGTCAAGCCACCCTTCTTGATGTCCAAGGGATGATTCTTGATGCTGCCCTCCTTGAGTAACTTCTCTGCCAATAGGAACAACTCTGCTCCAAACACCCTGTGCTCTGGTGTGCTAGGGCGCCCGTACGAACCTGGGATCTCCACTGGTGCTCCTGTAATGGTAGGGGTCATAAGCCAGTCAGTGCGGACATCCCTCCGCGTATATTTGACGACCGTGGTGATGGCCTCGAGAGTGACATATCTTCCTCCGGACGAGCCAATCGCCTCATAACACATGCGCATCGTTGACGCGTCGGTCACGCAGTCAAACACGAATACAAGGTTATTGGCGGTGTATTCGCGGATATCGGCACCACAAGTGGATGAACGATAATCGAAGCAGGCGACAGCGCCGTAAGACTCGCAGAGGGCATTATTAGCGGGCGAGCAGGTGACGATGGGCATATAGCCGGCGCTGTGGGTAGTAGAGTAGAGTAAGTGAGGTGGTCCCAGGATGCGTCTTTCATTCAGGGGCAGCGAATAACACGACGAGACAAGGGGAGGAACACTGAGCTTTCACTTACACCCTCAACAACTGTATCGCCATCGTTCCGGTCCCGCTAGCTCCCCCGGAGACTAGAACAAACAAAGGCGCGTTCTCATCAGCGGGCTTGGTACATGACATCTCCAGGTTCAGCCCGGGTGCTTGGAAAAGGGCAAGCCCAGCAGTAGCAATGCCGAGTCCCATGGAGCTTGCCTGTGCGAATGACATTTTCTCCGGGACGTGGCAGCTTAGGTCCTCAGTCGCCAGCGCGTACTCGGCAAAAGCGCCCGCCGTCTTGTCCGAGGCGTTCAGTCCAAAGGTCACGGCCAGGACACGATCTCCCTCTTTGAACCGTGTAACGCCTTCACCCACCCCGACAACGACGCCAGCAAAGTCACAGCCTCCCACTGCTCCCGGAGTATTCGAAAAGTCCACGATCTTGGCGTCGTATGGGCTGAGGGCGACTGAATGCACTCGACATAGCATCATGCCTGGCTTTGGGACGGGAATGTCCATATCGTCCGCAAGCCGGTAGCCGCCGGACTCGCCCCCCACGAGAGCCTTCATTACTGCGCTGGCCATTATTGTCGATGGGTTATGTTTGGGGACGTATGCAACCAAGAGTAAACGGAATACAGAGACTTCAGAACAAGAAGGAAGTGCGAAACAATCATTGAATTCTCGCCTAACTGTTCGGTACCAAATGTTTGACGCACATTATAATAAGCGTCTCTTAACTCCGTCCGTCTCTTAGATTAACCCCTACTGTCTCTTAGATTGGTATTATTGGCTTATTCCGACTTATTTTATCCGAGATATCTCTTGCAGCATCATCATTCGCGTGCCGCTGAAACCCGATCGGTGCGCCGACCGATCGGAGCGCCGACAGATCGGAGACCCGATATCCATCCCCGGGACCCCACGGCGGAGTATCAAGAACGCCAAAGTCAGCGCGAACCGACAATTGTTGGCCGAACCCTTCGCGTCGGAACTATCAATGAGAGATCTTCTAAGACTAGAATCTGCATTTGATTACCAAGTCCGTTCCTTCGCCTTGCACCGGCCCTGCTTACAGCCGACGCCCATCCGTTTTCTCCGTGAACGGCGCCGCTTCAGATAAGTTTGTACATGGATTTCTCTGCTAGTTATACTCTCATCAGTGCAGAAGCGACACAGTGGCCGTTCCGGTAAAGTGAGCGGCAAGTGCCGAAGGTTACCGTACCTCTGTGTACGTATCTCTTTTAACAGTGGCCTGGGGCATTATCCCGCAGTCGGCATTTGGCGTCTTGGCCCCTGCAGTGGCAGACCTTTCTCTTCTACTTTTCTCTCTTCTGGAGAATGTCTTGATTAATGCTACAGCTATTACCCACAAAGTTTCCTTTCCCCAGCTTCATCATATTTCAACTCCAAGTTATCAACTCCTCGATAGTAGACGCAGTCAGGCCGTGAGTCAAAGAACTCTGGGCGCAGGGAAGTAAGGGGAATACTCGGAGCCTAGGGCTCCTTATATTTTGGCAGGTTTACCACTTAGACCTAGAGTTAAAAATACACTGCAGTACTCACTCTGAGCGACTAAGCTGCACAAAAATAAACCTGAGACTAAATAAGGAGAAACTCATCAATCCCCCACCAAATATCCTTAACCCCAGTAGTCCGACCGGGAGGGAAGCTGAGCCTAAAGGTTTGAATCATACTATCAGGAGGACTCTTGCAGCTCAAAAGTCCAAAACTTCCTTGAGAAACGCTAGCTGCCCGTCCAGCAGCTCATCAAGGTCAATGCTTAAAAGGTCTGCGTGTCCTCTGTTCTTCACAATCTGAAACTTCTTATGCGGCGATTGCAGGCTGTCAAATATGCTCTTCTGATAGTCGGGCGGCACGACCTCGTCATTCTCAGGCGTCAGTATCATGACGGGGGTAGGGCAGACGGATGCGAATAGGTGGATGGGCTGCCACTTGGCGTGACGATAGAAACTCTGTATGGTCAAACTGTCCCGGAAGGTCGGGGCGGTCTTCCTGGCCCCGTGGACCCAGTTGGGTAGGTGTGCCTGATGCTCGGGCGTCATGTTGGCCAGGTACTTGAAGAGTAGGAAGTGCTCGCCCTTCTCATTCAGTAGGGGTACGTATTCGGGAGGATTGCCGCGGAGCTGGTTCGCCCGATCCGCGACGGCACGAGCGACGAGCTGCTCCTGATCAGCGGGATCCAGGTACCACTCGGGCATCAGGCCTTGGGCTATGACGGCTTTTATGCGCTTGTCAAATGCCGCGGCCTCGAGTGCTATCCCGGAGCTGTAGAAAAACCCCCATACGGCTATGCGGTTCGGGTCTACCCAGCCTTCTTGTAGCAAGAACTGTTCCCTGTCTATCAGTATAAAGAACTGCAAGTCATACATACTGTTGCCGGAAGAATGGGGGTAGATACATACTGTGACGGCATCTGAGTTGTCTTCAGCGTTCTTCTGAGGGTCCAAATCACTTCGAGGCATACCGTCGCTAGTGCCTAGAGAACGGGCGTCGTATACAAGAGCCGTCACGCCATGACGACCGAACCAAGCTGCTATGCTCGTGACGAAGATCTCTTTGGGACACATGAACTGTGATGAAATAGAACGTCCTCACGTGAGCGATTTCTTTAACTAGCCCTGAGGGAAGGGGGGACGCATCACATGATCTCATGGTGATACGTGTCCGTTTGGTATATTACTTACTGCGCCATTGACAATCACTGCAGGGCCACCTTTGGGGCCCATGTACATCCATCCGCGTAGAGTCAAGCCATCAAAGGTCTTGAACTCAATATCTTTATGTTCCTGCTCTGCGGCCATGATGATGTCAAATCGATAAAGAGGTGTAGCCTAGCGTTGACAAGTTTTGGATGAGAGTAGCTTATACGAAGCTTTTGTTTTGGAACATTTGCTAAAGCCCGAAATGGAGTTTCTGAGCAAACGCGGGGACTGACGCGGTGATATTGAAAATCTTGTTTGCTAGATTCAAACCGACAGGTCGGAATATCGGAGGGTCGGTCCAGTCTGACAAAGGCGACTCGGGAAAGTCACTAGGGGTAAGTTTACTTTCCCCGGTCCCGACCCAACGGGCCTCCGTTCGATTACCCACCAACACGAATGTCAGCATCCGAGGGGCGTAAGGCTCTCAATATACTATCTGACTTGTAGCCGGCGTGCTCCAGTATCATGTTTCGGATTCTGTGAGTGGGTGGGATTATGGTTATACTGGGTACATGTTTAGCTAAGAGGGACATAACAGGACGATGGTCAAGACGGAGACCTCAAAATGGAGTATATGGCCATACATGGCTCAATGCTCGATTGTAGGCCCATTATTAGATTGAAAGCATTCAGTAGAAAGACCAGTCAATATGATGTTTAGACTAAAGTCAAGCACCGACCGGAGCGTCCTAATGGACCGCCGACCGGCGTCTTATTGATGGGGCCAACCGGGTCTATGGGAGTGGCTCGGTCATTATTCGGATCCCGTTAGATGGATGAAAATCAAATCGGAGGGAACAAGGTGCCGAAAATCGGAGACTTCCAGTAGCCATAAACTTGATACGCGTAGACTCATAGTCTCACTGGGCCCAGAGGTAGAGATCCTTGGTATACTTACTTCATACACTTAAGCCCCGAGTTGCCCAAGCACAGTCACACACATCGTTTGAAACGCACACATCTTGTAATAGCCATACTTTTGTGTCTTATCTACTCTAGACTCGAGCCGAGACAAGCCCTGTAGTCTTGGTATATTTGATTCATAGGACAGAGCCTCAATCATGAGGAGTGTAGCAGGCTCTGATGCCAAACCACTACGGGAGCCCATCGCGGTAGTGGGGAGTTCATGCCGCTTTCCAGGTGGCGCCAACTCCCCATCGAAGCTGTGGGGGCTTCTGAAGAACCCCGAGGATCTCGTGCGGGAAATCCCCCCCAGTCGGTTTGATACCAAGACGTTCTATCATCAGAACAGCCAGCACCATGGAGTATGTCAGCGTTTCGTACTTGATGAGCCCCAGTGACTAATGACATGTACGAACAGAGCACCAACGCCAGATATGCCTACATCCTACAAGAGGAACCGCGACTCTTCGATCGAGATTTCTTCAACATCAGCCCCAAGGAGGCCGAAGCGATGGACCCTCAGCAGCGGTGTCTTCTCGAAACCATTTACGAGGGCGTGGAATCGTCGGGCTACTCGATCCCTCAGCTACAAGGATCATCCACCGGCGTCTTCGTCGGCGCCACGTGTTTTGATTACCAATTCGCTGCCATGCGCGGCTTCGACAGCCTCCCACAATATTATGGCACCGGCGGTTCCATGGCGATCCTTGCCAACCGCATATCATACTTCTTCGACTGGAAAGGCCCGTCGATTGCGGTCGATACGGCTTGTTCGTCGTCCTTGGTAGCGCTGCACCAGGCCGTCCTTTCTCTTCGGAGCGGAGAAACAGACATGGCCATTGCCGCAGGAGCGAACCTCATTCTGGGGCCGGAGCTTTTCGTTGCCTATTCAAATGTACGATACTCTATAAAAAGTCGAGAGCACATGGTTGCAGTTCTAGCTAACAAAGTGATGTTGAAAGTTGAACATGTTGTCTCCAAATGGCCGATCTTATATGTGGGATTCCTCTGCGGACGGGTACACGAGAGGCGAAGGCTTCGCCTCGGTGGTTCTCAAGACGCTGAGCCAAGCTATTGCCGACGGTGATCACATTGAATGCATCATCCGCGAAACCGGCGTGAACTCAGATGGTCGGACTCCAGGTTCGTACACCGCACTCACCTTAATGACGCCGCCCCTGTTTTCTAATCCGTCACGCAGGCATCACGATGCCGAGTGCAGAGTCTCAGGCTCAACTCATCAGAGACACATACATGAGGTGCGGGCTGGACCCTGTACGCGATCGCCCTCATTACTTTGAGGCTCATGGGACTGGGACTCTGGCAGGAGATCGTGAGTCGGTACCATGCCTGTCATGCCATAGTCTGCAATTCTAATGTGCCATATAATAGCTATCGAGGCACAGGCCATACATGACACTTTCTTCCCCGGAGGCCCGGGCCGACACGAGGGCAAGCTCATTGTAGGCTCGATCAAAACCGTCATCGGCCACACCGAGGCATCCGCAGGACTCGCTGGCGTGCTCAAGGCGTCACTGGCGGTTCAGCACGGCCAGATCCCGGGCAACCTCCATTTCAAAGAGCTGAATCCCAAGATTCGACCGTTCTACGAGCACCTCCGCGTTTCGACAGAACTAACCCCGTGGCCCACCCTCCACGAGGGTGAGGCGCGCCGCGTCAGTGTCAATAGTTTTGGGTTTGGCGGTACGAATGCCCACGCCATCATCGAGAGCTGGGATGGATCAGACGACCGCCTTGCCCTCGACTCATATCCAGGTGGACTTGTCGTGCTGTCTGCCAACTCGGCCCAGGCACTGGCGGCAAAGGCAACAACGCTGGCCCGCTACTTGCGGGAGAATCCTCATACCGATCTCGGCCGGCTTACTCGCACACTGTTCCAGAGGGCCGACTTCCACTTCCGGGCTGCTTTCCCCGTCACTTCTGCGACACAGCTTGCGGAGAAGCTTGAAGCACGCGCAGAAGGGCTCAAGAAGACGGTGCGATTCCCGTCGATCCCAAAGACCCTTCCTCTTCGCATCCTTGGTGTCTTCACCGGGCAAGGCGCCCAATGGGCCACCATGGGCAGGGAGCTCTACGAAGCTTCATCCGTGTTCCGCACGACCCTGGATCAGCTCCAGGGCAGCCTTGATACGCTTCCCGAAGGCGACCGGCCTGTCTGGACTCTGATCGACGAGCTGTCCAACCCCAAAGAGACGTCCCGGATTGGCGAAGCCGCCATTTCGCAACCTATTTGCACTGCCCTTCAGATTGCTCTCGTGGACACCCTACACGCGGCCGGCGTCGATTTTGCAGCAGTTGTTGGACACTCGTCTGGAGAAATTGCCGCTGCCTACGCTGCCGGCTACCTTGACGCTTCGGATGCTGTCCGAGTCGCGTACTACAGAGGGTTTCACTCTCCTCTAGCACAGGGACCGGACGGGAAACGCGGCAAGATGATGGCGGTGGGGATGGGCTTGGAAGCAGCATCGGTCTTCTGCAGCCAGATGGGCACAAATCTCAGAGTCGCCGCTAACAATTCGCCGGCGAGCTGCACTTTGGCCGGAGATGCTGTCCTGGTTGATGCAGCCAAAGAGCTGTTGGACCAGGAGAAGGTGTTTGCTCGCGTGTTGGCAGTGGACACGGCGTATCACTCTCATCACATGCTGCCATGTGCCAAACCATACATTGAATCGCTCCGTAGATGTGGCGTCAAGGCTCTGCAGGGACCCAAGAAGTGCGAGTGGTACTCAAGCGTCTGGGGATCGAATGACCGCAGTCGTTTGTTCAATTCCAAAGAGGGTCTTGAGCTGCTCGAGGGACAGTACTGGGCTGACAACCTGACCAACACGGTGTTGTTCTCCCAGGCAGTGGACCGGGCTTTGTCGGAAGAATCCCTGGTTTTGGACATGGCACTTGAGGTAGGACCACATCCAGCTCTCAAGGGGCCAAGCTCCGAGGTGATCAAACAGGTCACCGGGCTGAGTCTTCCGTACTCCGGTGTCCTCCAACGTGGGCAGAGTGACATTGAAGCATTTGCCGATAGCTTGGGACTTGTGTGGACGTCTTTCCCGTCGTCGAGCCCTCTGATCACCTTGGACGGTATTCAGCGGGCCTTGCCTCTGGCCGGCCCCGAGAAGCCCAGCACTCTCAAGGGCCTCCCAACCTACCCCTGGGACCATGATATACTCGTGTGGCGTGAGTCGAGGACGTCCCGGCTCTTCCGCCAGAACCAGCCTCTGCACGAGCTGCTCGGTCGCGCGACAACGCTGGGAGAGCAAGCCAGGCGCGAGGTTCATTGGCGCCAAGTCTTCAAGTTGAGCGAGCTCCCGTGGATCAATGGTCATACCATACAGGGCGAGGTCCTCTTCCCGGCGACGGGCTACGTGACCATGGCATACGAGGCCGCCGTGCGCCTTGTCGATGACCAGCAATCTGTGCAGCTTATTGAGCTACACAAGATGGACATTGTGCGCACCATGGGGATGCAGGAAGATTCCGCGGGCCTCGAAGTCCACTTCACTCTACGCGTTACAAGCCAGACTGACAGCTGCATTGTCGCCGACATGGCTTGTTACAGCGGGGATGTCAACTCGACCAAAACCGAAGGCCCTGTCGGCGCCCTCACGGCACATTTCAGCGGTAGCGTGAGGATCTTGCTGGGCTCCTCTCGGAATGATGCGCTCGCGATCCGAGAGAAGCCCCTACTGCCCATGAACACTCTAGATGTTGACGAGTTCTACTCATACCTGTCCAAGATTGGCTATAACTATTCTGATCCTTTCCAAGCCGGGTCGGTGGATCGTCGCCTCAACCATGCCGTGGTCTCCGTCGCGTCGCCGCCTGCCTCTGATTCGATACGTGCTTCAATCCACCCTGCAGTCCTCGATACCGCCATCCAAGGTCACCTTGCCGCTTTTTCGTACCCAGAGGACGGAAGGCTCGGGACCGTCTATCTCCCCACGGGCATCGATTGTGTCCGCATCAACATGGCGACGGTGGCCTCTCCGGGTGGCCTGATGGCTGACTGTACCCTGGTGACATCAGACGAGAGGGAACTCACCGGTGATGTAGATCTTTTCAATGCGAGCGATTCGACCGTCCAGGTCCAAATGCGTGGAGTCCACTGGACCGCCTTGAACCAGGGCCGAGAGCGTTGGCTCTATGCAAGCGAAACGTGGGTGCGGGATGCAGCTTACGGACTCGAGCCCAGTCTCAAGATCGAGTTCTCCCGGGAGGACGAGGTGTTGCGGAGGCTGCTGGTTCGCACGGCATACTTTTACCTACGGAGGCTTCGCAGCCAGATCAAGAAGTCTGAGATGTTGGTCATGGGAAAACATCGCCGGCATATGATGAAATGGGTGAGAGACCATCTGTTCCCGCAGATCGAAGCGGGCAAGGAGGTCCCCGACTATGAGCCGGGATGGGAAAATGACACACTGGAAGACGTCGAGAAATGGAGTGCCCCCTACGTTGCGTCGGAAAACAATGACATGCTCATACTGCATGCCGTCGGAAAGAACTTGGCCCCCATTGCTCGTGGGCTCATGCCAGCCCTCCAGGTCATGTTGAAGGACGACATGCTTGATCGCTTGTATGTGGAGGGAGTGGGTTTTGCTGACGGCAACGTCGATCTGGGGCACTTGGTCAAGCAGCTGGCACACAGGTTCCCGCGCATGAAGATTCTCGAGGTCGGGGCCGGAACGGGCGGTACCACACGAGCTGTGCTTTCGGCCGTGGGCGACCATTACGCATCGTACATGTACACGGACATCTCGGCCGGTTTCTTTGAGCCGGCAAAGGCGAAGTTCAATGAGCATGCAGGTAAACTGTCGTTCAAGACGCTGAATATTGAAAACGACCCGGTGGATCAAGGGTTTGTCCAAGGGGCGTATGACATGGTTATAGCGTCCAACGCCCTACACGCGACTCGTTGCTTGAAAGATACGCTCAGCCATTGTCGTCGCCTGCTTCGGCCGGGCGGATACTTGGTATTACTGGAGATCACAACGAACCATCTTCCCATACAACTAATCATGGGCACGCTCCCGGGCTGGTTCTTGGGTGCTGACGAAGGCCGTGTCTGGGTACCCACGCTCAGCCTTGGTGAATGGGACAAGTCGCTTAAAGAAGTTGGCTTCTCCGGCGTCGACACGAGCTCAACGCCTTCCTTCTGTTCCGCCATTATTTCCCAGGCAACCAACGATGCTTTCCAGACCCTTCGAGAGCCGCTTTCTGTCCATTCACCCCAGACAGGACAGCCCCTCAGCAATGTATTGGTTGTCAGTGATGTGGCTTCCGAGTTCGCCACCAAGTCGCAGTCACTACTCGCCAACCACAGCAGTGTTGTCCAATGTGACTTGGCGGGTCTCGAGGAAATGGACCAAAAGTGTCCGATCGGAGCAGTCGTCCTCTGTCTCTGCGACCTCGGCAGCCCCGTCTTCGATGAGATGACCGAAGCCAGATTCAAAGCCATGCAGACTGTCTTCCGCAACGCCAGTGCTGTGCTGTGGGTGACCTCGGGCGCGGCTTCGGGCGAATCTCCGCTGGCCAATGTGACCATCGGCCTGGGTCGCACACTGCTGGCTGAGCACAGTGAGTTGCGGCTTCAATTCCTCGACACGGACCAACCCGCATCGCTTGACCCATCGTTAGTCGTCACCCTTCTCCTCAGACTGGCCGGAATGGATCAGCCTAGTCCAAGCGAGAGTCTCTGGACTCACGAACCCCACATCGCTCTCAGAGACGGCGCCCTCTACATTCCACGGGTTCTGCGTCTGGATAGCATCAATCGCCAGTCCGCGGCGGAGAATCAACAAGCCGCCACGGACAAGCTGACCGACATCTCGCCCGCGGACTCGGCTGTGGGCACGTTGGAGGAAGACAGTAGTCGCAGCGATACCGCCGCGTCTAGCCTTGTCGAGCAAAAGGCGACGTTCGCCGACGACAAGACGTATATTCTTTTCGGCATGACGGGGGATCTTGGAATCTCCATTGCTCGATGGATGGTGGACAATGGCGCCCGACACGTTGTACTGACCAGCCGGCATCCCAATGTTGGGGCTGGAGTATTCGAGTTCATGTCGCAACAGGGAGCTGTGTTACGTGTCGTATCCGTCGACGTTAGGCATAAAGAAAGCCTGACAGCGGCATATGGCGAGATCAAGTCTAGTATGCCTCGGATTGGCGGTATCATCAACGGTGCCATGGTGCTTCGGGACCGTCCCTTTGTCGACACCTCCTGGAATGACTTTGAGGCGGTGCTGGCACCCAAAGTGGCGGGGACACGAAACCTTGACGAGCTATTCGGCCAAGATGAAGCCTTGGACTTCTTTATCATGCTCTCGTCGGCAACGTCCATCGTGGGCAACATTGGGCAATCTGCCTACAGCGCGGCAAATCACTACATGGCGAGTCTCGTGAGGGGCCGACGCAGACGCGGACTGGCGGGCTCCGTCGTCGTCATTGGTTTCCTGACGGGACTGGGGTATATTTTCCGTTCAGAGAAGAAGCATCTCGCCGCCATCGAGAAATCGCTGCTGCCAAAGCTCGATAGGCAAGCCGAGACAGATCTGCACCACATGCTGGCCAAAGCGATTGAGTGCGGGAAGCCCGACTCGGACCAGCCATCCGAGCTCATTACCGGGATCAGGAAGGCGTTCACCGAGGCGTGGCATGAAGATGAGCGACTGTCGTGCTATCTTCTGCAAGACGGTGCGCAAGAAGAGAATTCCGGCCAGGAACAGGTTGACGGAAACGTCAAGGTGGAGGTTCAGCTGGCGACAAGTGAGGATCCAAAGGAGAGTCTAGCCATCTTGGTCAAGTGCTTTTCCCAGGCCCTGGGCAATATGCTTCAGCTCGACCCGGCTGAAATAGACGCCAAAATGCCAGTGGCCGAACATGGAGTCGACTCGCTCGTCTCGGTTCGCATTCGCGACTGGTTCTTGAAGGAGCTGGGCGTTGACGTGCCCATACTGAAACTCATGTCGACCAACCACACCCTGACGCGAGTATGCGAGGACGCTCTGGCAGGATGGCGCAAGCTTCGTCTGGGGTCTCAGGCAGAGTCGCAGCCAGCAGCTGCCAAGGCTCCAGAGGACCCAGAGATGGACTGGCAAAGGGAAGTGTCGCGGGTTCTCGACGGCATCCCTGCCCTCATCCCACCCGGCACGGACTCGATCAAGGACGCGCCGCGGAACAGCGCTCGCCGCATCGTCCTCACAGGGTGCACGGGATTCCTGGGCACCAACATGCTGCGCAACCTCGTCGCAGATGACAGCGTTGCAGAGGTGCACTGCCTCTGCCTCCGCTCACGGCCTTTGCGCGTCGAGGATCCCAAGATCCGCCAGTACAGGGGCGATCTGGTCAAGCCGCTGCTGGGGCTCTCGACGGACGACTTCAAGCGCCTCAGCCAGACGGCCGACATGATCATCCACGTCGGCGCCGATGTCGCCCACCTCAAGTCGTACGAAATGATGCGAACCGCCAACGTCATCTCCACGCAGACCCTCCTCGCCATGGCGACGCCGCGTGGCGTTCCGGTCCACTTTGTCTCATCATCGTCGGTGGCTATGCTCCAGAAGGACACCAACGAGCTGGGCGAAGTGCCGCCATCGAGCTTCTGGCCGCCGGCCGACGCTGAATCCCTGATGAAGAATGCCATCGGGTACGCCGCCAGCAAGTGGATGGGCGAGATCCTGCTGGAGCGGGCCCAAGGCGTTCCCGGCGTGGTCCACCGCTTCCCGAACATTATGGGACCGGATGCGCCGGAGGAGATCCCGCTCGTCGCACTAGACAAGTACTGCACGATCATGCGGGCCGTCCCGGCGCTAGATGCCAGTCAGTGGGTCGGCGAACTCGACATCATCGACGTTGGCGACGTGGTGCCTGACTTCATGGCCACGGCGTATGCTCACGATCCCCGCAAGCCCTTCGCCGTCCACAATTACTGCAGCGACAACAGGTACCTGTTGTCGAACCTCGTGGGCATGTACAACGCGCGGCTCAACGCGACCGTCGACGTTCTGCCCGTGTCCGAGTGGATGCAGAAGGCCAAGGACTTGGGGATGCCCAAGGGTGTCGAGGCCACCTGGACTGGAAGCGAAGTGTTCGTGTCGCCGGTGTTGCGCAAGGGGATTCTTTAAATGATACTCGTAAAAAGGAGCTTGGTTGTCTGTTCATGTCTCTCATCAAATGCTTTGGATGCTCTTCGCGCCGTCATCGGGTCTTGTTGTCAGATTGACAATTTACACCATTTGCTGTTCGGGGCTTGCCCCAGTGGTGCAGGGGTTAATGCACCCTGAAGGCCTTGAGAGAGACTGGTCTAAGCCTGGCAAACTTGGCTATTCTTGGAGCGTAAGCCTGCTCAACCAAGATCCCTGGTTGGACTCACTGTGAGAGGTTAACCCTTTAGTTAGCAATGACCATTATATCTTATCAAGCCTCCCAGCCTAGCCTAGATAGACAGGTTTCAGTATTCACTATACACCGGATTATTATATACCCCCTGGGTTCCTGCACGGCGTTTTTACTCAAGGATTCTAACATCTCTAATAGGTAGGTTTTAGTCCCGGCCTGCAAGGTACTATAAGCAGATGGGGTTTTTCTAGGCAAATGACTATATATATTAAGTACCTCTTTTCTAGATAGGAAACTAACTTGATTTCTAGTAGTAGCTCTAAATCTGTATATGCCCCCCTTCTTCTATATGGGCTTGAAGCTCTTGAATGACTGCACCAAGCTTGAGATGCTCTTCAGGCAACGTCTTGAGCATAGCCTGAGCAGAGCCGACAATACCTCGTAAGCTGCCGCCTTCTTCATCCCCCCCTGGCTCGACCATTAGCTCGCCTTGATCTGTGTCTCTGCGATTGCCTATTCGAAGCCCACGCCCCAGGCGGTTCAGTAGGTGCATCATGAGCTGCAAGACCATGGTGAATTGTGCCGACGACGAGCCAGCACCATGCAGAGATTGCTGTTGCGGCTCTGGAATACGAGCTACAGACCTCAAGGACCGCTTGATACAGTCACATAGTGCTCGGAAAAGGGCCAATATATGCTGGTGCGAAGCAAGAGCCAGGAAAACTGGGCTGATCACGGGATTCTGCTGCGGGTCGCTTTCGTCGCGCGGTAAAGGCCGCGACCAACGGCGGTACGTGCCGTTGGCGGGAGAAAAGCTATCAAGAATGCGTACCAGAGTATCCGTGGCCTCGTAAGCCTCATTTAGCACCGACGAGCCCACCACCAATGGCGTAGGAACCACAGCGCTTTCCAGTTCGTGTGTCGCATCTATAGCCCAATTGCTCAGTTTCAATAGCTGACGTGTTAGCGTTTCTTTGCCCTCCTCCCAGGAAGGTGTTGGGCCGGTCGTCACTGGGTCCTCTGGGGTTCTGTCTGCACTGTCTCCTTGACATGTTGTGCCTTCGAGGCTGTTGATCCAGCTGTATGCTTCGCTATCCCCGAGGCAGGAGACGTTGGTGCTGAGCGCCATCAGGTTGTTGAAGTCGAATCCTTCAACATCTCTGTTCGTGAGCATGCCTGCGAGCCCTTGACTCGGATCCGCCTTTCTTCTCAGCGATGTGACATCATCCCCTTTTGAGCGTCTGCGTCGCTGTTTCGCTGCAAATATCATGATTAATTGCACAGCCTGGGAATGAGAATGCATTGATGCCTGATTCGATTGCACAAAGGACTTGAAGCTTAACATACTGCTGTAGACACATGGCACGTCCGCCTTGGTACATCGCTCGCATGCGGAGAAATAGTCGCTGTCAGCGCTGGTCGTCACTGATGTTTCCCAATTCTTAAGGCATCGCACCTTTTGCTGACGACAACGATCGCACGACTGTCTTTGGGGAAACATATTTGTAGTGCGTTGCCTCGGAGAAAACACACCTGTTTGACGCCCCCCAAAAGACCTAGGCGGAATGAGCAGCGAGGCTTGTTATTAGTTAGTTGCCTGACCTGCTTTAATATAACGGGGGTTCCTTGAAACAAGCAGGGGCATGATGAACAGGTATCCGATTGAGCACGTTGGCTGTTTTCACACGTTTCCGGTTGCCACCCGGATACAACCCAACAATCCCAGTTTCGCTATCATGTGGATTATGCTGCAGTGAGATTGCCAAAGTACCACGTCGCTGAGTAGCCCGATAAGAGATCTTCATCGCATCGAGTAAGCAAAAAGCGCCTTTATGCACGCTTTAAAGCCTTCACAGAATCGAATGATGGCTTGGCTGGGTGGCTTTTTGCCTTTTTCTCGTAATACCAAGATATGTCGGCCGTTGATTCACCTTACTAACCGTACAAGTCGACGTCTGGGGATGGTCCCCCACATCCTGATGGATACAAACAAAAGCCAGACCCTGGGCCTCGAGTACGTACATACCTGTGTGAGCCGGGGGGTCGGGGGCTTTGATGCTTCAGGCATGGAGTAGATCTCACGTATGAATCTCGCTTTCGGCTTGGCCTGCACATGAGAAACAAGGATCGAAGGGCGGGCACTTTTGACATACGAGAGGGTAAGAGGGTGGACCCCCCTGGTAGGTCCCTTCTTGTAGAGGCTTGCAACTGCGCCATGAGACTGCATAGTGTGCCAGCAATTATTGAACTTAGGACACGACATGTCTGTAAATGATTTGTTGGACGCTGATGTCCCCCTGCCCTGGAAACCCCAACCACTCCCCCTCTTATCTCCCCTATGTAAATAGTGTAGGTGGACGACGCCCTTAGTCGTTACTAGGAACGTACCGGCGAAAAACGATATAAGCAAACAAACAAACGAACAAACAAAATAATACTGCGTGATACTTACTGCTGATTTCGTGATATTGATGCATTTGTTAATATCATTATGACAACTTGCTGCTATGTTGTAAGCTTCGTTAGAGCTCTTATTACATATACCTGTTGGTAGTCTACATATTCTTTCTTGTTTTTTGCCCCCTTTCTTTTTTAAAAGAATATCTCAGCACAACACACAAAGATCCTTTATGGTCAGCTTAATATCTCACGTCAGCTTAATATCTCACGTCGCCATGCTTCATCAGATCCTTTGTGATACCATTCAGGCTGGGTGGGCCTAACCACGGAGATGCGGCACGCATGGTAAGTAGGCTGAAATTGGAATAGGAAAGAATCAACCTTTTCCCATGGCATCGGTTCGTCCCATTACGTTTGGTGGCGGAAAGGATCGGCCGCCGAAAACGTATCTTGTCTTCAAAATCATCATCGAAAGCGGGTTACATCTGTGGATTCAGCAATTTCTGACTGAAATATTTGACACAGACCAGACCATGATGCATCGAGATTTCGGATATCCGAGTTCAATAATGAATCTGCCGATACTGCCGACCTTGACGTATCGCTGGCCAGCCTATTTAGCTTGGAGTTGCAAGTTGACTGCATGATATTGATTCAAAGACATGACCAAGGCTTTTTGTCTCTTGTGCCAATATCAATGCATAGCCCACGTTCAAAACTATTTACTTTGGCGACAACAGGTTTGGACTCATCGCTACCAGTCTAGAGTGTGATAACGGGACCATCAGAGCATCCGTTTGATTATTGATACCTCAAATGATGTCATGTCCTGTTCATATCCTCACCTTTCTATTAAGCAAGGAATGGATCCTTGTATTCTCCACCAACAGAAGAGAAGTCTTGCACCCGTAGAAGAAATGAAACTACAGAGGTGGGTCCAACACAACGCCCTAGGAGGTCCGTCTGGGCTGGTTCTGGAGAGGTTGGCTGGGAATTCTCACAAGTCACACTGGTGACGAGTTCATAGGAAGGGGCCGATAGCGGTGGTGTGTAGGCCGGCGTTGCATCTTCATTCGAAGGATAACAATGACAAACTAGTCCAAACCGTATGGACATTGTCGATTCCAGAAAAAATCCACATTCATCAAGGTTTCCGGGCCTTCTTAATAATGGATAATCCAAACAATCGAATCCATTGATAGCTTCTGTCGACCAGTTCCGGTTCAGCCCCTCGGGCTGATTTATACAAAACAACAGATCCCGGAATGTCTTCATGGCTTCATACCTCATCATTCAAGGACTAACAGGAAACTTAGGTCATAGTAGCAAAGGATCCAATAAATAATATCGCTATTTATCAAATTTTATTGAACCATGATGACCCTGGTGCTATGTTGAATGGCGTGTCGAGTGCTTATCTCAGAGCCCCGGAACATTGTTCGCAAGACCGCCATCGACAACAACTGTGCTGCCGTGAACAAAACTCCCAGCAGTACTGGTCAGGAACAAAATACTGTCTGCGACTTCATCAACATCTCCTACGCGACCCAAGGTGGTTCCTACCGCGAGTTTATCTCTAATGGCGGGGTTCGCGGCCACATATCGTTCAAGAAGCGGCGTCTCGATGGGCCCGGGGCAAAGGGCATTGATTCGGATCTGAGATGCACCGTACTCGTTGGCTATTCACAAAGAAAAGAAAAAAAGGATGTTGTAAGCATATTTCTTGCTTCGAGAATTCACCAATTTTTGCAAAAGCTTACCTGCAGTTTTCGTTATGGCGAGTGCCGCGAATTTGGAAGCGTTGTACTCGACCTGACTCGGCGTGGCAATGATGGACGCATCGGAGCACACGTTAACAATGGATCCTCGACCAATCGTACGGACCCTGTCGTGGCCCTGGATGACAACAGGATCCTGCTTAAGCATGACCTCCACGGCTGCCTTGGTGTGGTAAAGAACGCCCTTGGTGTTTATGTTTTGCGTGTTGTCGTACAGGTCCAAGGAGTTATCAGCGATGAAAGCTTTAGCAAAGGCAATCTATCCGCGCCAAAGTTAGCCGTTTTCATGAGCATATATTACAACGATAGCGTTTCTTTTTCTTCATCCATAATCTTACCCCAACTGAGTTCACACTATAGTCGACTCTCTTGAACTTATCGACGGCGAACGCAAAGACCTTTTCAACACTCTGAAAATCTCTCACATCGACACACAGCGCATACACCGTGAAATCAGGATTGGTGGCTTGCTGTTTGGCTTCTTTTGCTGCCTCCTGGGCACCAGGCTCATCGACGTCAGCGACAACGAGCCCCAAGGCACCATATCGTGCATATGCGAGCGCTGTGGCTCTTCCGATGCCACTTGCTTGAGCAGTGTAAGCTTTCTTTGATACCAATTAGTCAAGGTAGAGGTGAAGACAATTACCAGAACCAAGGACGACAGCAATTCCGGTTACTTGTAGTCCGGCCATGTTGAGTTACTGCACAGGATAGCAGATGTGGTTACTGTTTTTTCTAATAGAATGTGTGTAATAGCTGGTCTGACTTGACTCTTCCGTTGGATTTTGCTGCAGGTGTAAGCTGACTTATATACGCACGCCGCCAGAACTCTTTTCACTCGTCTAAAAATATTCAGTACTTGGCAAGTCATATGATGAAGCTAGAACAAGGTGATACCAATCACGTGGAGATATCTTTTAGCATTTGAGTGAATCATATTATATTGATTTGCCCATGTGAAAAGAGTCGAAGTGTTAGTTCTTACGTCAGGTTAGATGTCTAATTCAATTCCTTAATATTAAATAAAGTAAGAACTAAAAATTAAAATATTACGTGACTATACTAGCTGTAAATAGATGTAACGCAGCAAGATCTAGATAGAACCCCTGTTTTCTGCAAGATGGAGGGTCGCAGACAGTTCAATAATTGTACATACCTTGCTAATCCAGAGGATCGTTACACCCAACCGCATGTATGCACAAAGGTACCATAATACACGTAATTACGCACAAGTTACCCGTAATTACGCACAAGCTACCCGTAATTACGGACAATGGTAGCCGTAGTTACGGGCAATGGTAGTGTACCTTGATAAAAGTTGTCACCCAATCCGAGCTATTCCTGCGCCTCCGTAGGACGGGTGCCTTTATATTTGCTATGGTTTGTCATTCTTGATTTTGCTTGCACACTTGACAAAGTTTTGCCTCCTGAATCTGTTTAGAGTATGTGTTCAGTTCCTTGGTGTACGTAGTTTCAAGGTATTTGATGTTATTCACTATGGTTACAGCAGTATTGGCCTTGGTTCTATCGAGTTCTTTATAGTGTGTAAAACTGTAGTGCAGAAGGTAGCTTAAGAGATTTAGTCTCGGGGACAATGAAATTATCATATAGTGGTTAAGGTACATACGTGATGGCGAGAAGAATAAGGAGAGAATATGGAGACGCAATATCGGCGCTTTTCGTCCCAAGATACCTATCCCAACCCCGAGACATAACATGATCAATGAGCGATCCTGCTGTCCGCCAAGGTTCTTTCCAGCTTGTTTTGCTCGGAAGCGATCTCCTTCCACTCATTGTCAATTTCCTTTTCTGCTTGAGTCCCTGTTTGCTCTTGTATCCTGCTTCCACCAATATGTTGGTATCGATCCAGAGCCGATGGAAACCACGCCACCGGGATTGAACTCCTTTGTATATGATGGTATGCAATTATTCTATTAATACGCTTATGGTTTCATAAAGAGCCGTATGCCGGTTTCAATAATGTTTTATCAATAGATTATATCTCCTTACCCGGCCTGCTAAGTCTCTTGGGTGCAGGCTCTTCATAGTGAGATAACGCACCGGGCCCCCAGGGTTGATAAGTATCCGTATGCCTGTACCATCTGCCATCGTCGCGGAAATTCTAATGGCATCGTTAGGTAGTTGGCGCCTGTTTGATCCAGACTGCCTCGAATCTAGCGCGTTGAATGTTATGGCTACTTTAGCAACAATTATTCGCAGCAATTCAGTAGCCTAGCCTTCCAGCAGTCGGCGTTGTCTTGGTAGCCGACCAGTTCAGGGTACTCCTTTATTGGACGTTGTTCTGGAAGTGAGCTGCAGATGATATACTCTATCATAAGTAAGATGATCTGGCCAACTGCTCCAGCCCTTGCGTCACTGAACATCGGCTCAATGGGTGGCAAGCTGATCGCGCGTTATCTGGAGCTGGTTCGTCAATCTGTGGCGTCTTATTATAATTATTGTCATTAGACTTTTAAACGAATTACGACAAATGTGTGCGAGAGTGTCGTTTGTCAGTACTAAGAACCAATTGTAAGGCATTGCTCCGCCCGAAGTTCGGGCGGAGCTAGTAATCCACATACTGCAACAAAAGACCACCAAAAGCTTTGTCGATGCAAATAACGTGTCATTAAAGCGCCTTCTCCTCTCCCAAAGTTCCACGGAGCTGCCGTAATTAAGCATTTGGGCCGAAAATGTTCGGACCATTTTGTTGGCAGCCGTATGTCTCCGTTAATAACAATGAGACAGCCCGGAGTTGCACGATCTTATGCCCGAGAATGTTGCATACTCAAACTTGACGCTAGATAATATACCTACTCTTTCTTTGGTTCACTTCAGAATTCGATAATATATAATGGTCTTCCTTCGTCCGTCCAATATGACCCATGCTCATACATTTAACTATCAATCATACTCAAAACACCGAGCTTTTTCCACTTTTCACCTTATGATTGATTAGCTTCTGATCGATTGTTGCTTATCATCATGTCATTGGATACTAATACTCTGGCTGAGTCAGAGGGCCGTAAAGCCGAACAAGCTCTGGACGCATCCGAAAAATCAACAATGTCTGACCTGGAAAAGAAAGACGTCGAAGCAGAAGAGTTGGATACAAGTAAGGGAACAGCAACAACCGCTACGCTATCCCCCGAGGACGATGACGATTACCCCGAAGGAGCTGCACTTGTCTTTATTCTCCTTGCCCTTGCATTGAGCATGTTCCTCATGTCACTCGATATGGTAAGCTTCCCGCACTGACAAGTCGTCGCATTGTATAGCCAGCTAACACTTCAACTGCAGACCATTATCGCTACAGCCATCCCGAAGATCACCGACGATTTCCACGGTCTTTCCGAAGCAGCTTGGTACGGCTCCGCATTCTTCATGACAATTGGTGGTTTCCAGTCTTCTTGGGGCAAGGCGTACAAATACTTTTCGCTCAAGATTTCTTTCCTCATGGCAGTATTCATATTCGAGGTGGGCAGTCTCATCTGTGCCGTGGCACCCAATTCAACAGCTTTCATTGTCGGACGTGCCATTGCTGGTGCCGGCGCGGCAGGCCTCGGCTCGGGATGCTATACTCTGATTGCATTTGCGGCTCGGCCTCAACAGCGTCCCATGTTCACGGGCATTATAGGAGCTTCGTACGGCATCGCTTCAGTGGTTGGGCCACTTATTGGTGGTGCCTTTACCGACCACGTCTCGTGGCGATGGTGCTTCTATATCAACCTTCCTATCGGTGGCGTCTCAGCCCTGATCATGATCTTCTTCTTCAACACACCAGCCCGTGCTAAGCCCGCTGAGGCGACTCTGAGCGAGAAGCTACTCCAAATGGATCCCCTTGGCACGGTACTTATCATGGGTGCTATCATCGCTTACATCCTGGCTCTGCAGTATGGTGGACAGAGCGCTCCGTGGAACTCCAGTAAGGTCATTGGCTTGTTGGTCGGCTTTGGAGTTATCGTCTTGACTTTTGCGGTATGGGAGGCCTTCAGCGGTGAGCGCGCGATGATCGCCCCACGTCTCATCAAGAAGCGAGTCGTTTGGGTCAACGCCCTATACGCTTGTCTTCTGTCTAGCTCCTACTTTACCGTCATCTACTACCTCCCCATCTACTTCCAGAGCGTCGATGATGTTAGCCCTACTGCCTCGGGTGTTCGCAACCTACCAATTATCCTGACGGTGACATTCGGAACCATCATCGCGGGAGCTAGCATCTCCAAGACAGGAATTGCCACCCCCCTGTTGATCGGAAGTGCCGCCATCGCCACCATCGGAGCCGGTCTTCTGTACACTCTAGATATTGGCACCAGCTCTGGCAAGTGGATTGGTTATCAAATCCTCGCGGGGTCCGCTTATGGTGTTGGGTTCCAGATTCCCATGATCCACGGTCAGGCCAATGCTAAATTTGAGGATTTGGCAACTACAACTGCCATCCTTATGTGTAAGTGCCTTGCCTGATACTTGCATCAAAGTCATATTATTTATTGTTCAACAAACTAATTGAGAACTTTGTCCATACAGTCTTCCAAACTATTGGTAGTGCTTTCCTCCTGTCAGCTGCCCAGTCAGCCTTTGTTAACAAGATCGCCACTGTCCTGCGATCGAGCGCGCTAGACGTTGACGTTGGTACAGTTATCGCTACAGGAGCTACAGAGATCCGCCACGCATTCCCAGCTGACCAGGTTCCCGGTATCGTGATTGCTTACATGGAGGGGCTCAGGGTTACCTTTGCCATTGCTGCGACAGCTGTGGGCCTTGCTTTTGTGGTCAGTTTCTTCAGCAGTTGGAAGAGATTGAAATTGAACGCAAACGCTACAGGTGGTGCGGCATAATAGGAGTAAAAAATATAAATTGGGGTAAAACACGGTATAGAAAAAGGAAGCTTTGAGCCTTATCGGATGGGCATTGGGAATGGGAGGTTCAAGATCGAAGTGGTCGTATTTGGGAAAGGCGGGACATGACAGGGTACTTGGATGCAAGGATTTGTTATGGCAAATGGCGGTTAGACTGGCGATATTGTCACGTACTTATGTAATCCAAACAGTTATGCAAAGTGGTTCAAAGGCAAACAAGGGATAAATATCAGTACGTTCTATTCTTCACTTAATTTGGGAATACTCGATTAATTAATTGTTTATCGCATGGTATTATAATCGTTTCATTCAGCACTCTTGGCTAAAAAAATTTATACCAAGCAATATGTTTTTTTTTACCATATTACGCGCTTGAGTCTCCGCCCAGCATTCTCCGGTGCCCCTCGTGGGCGCTGCTAAAGAGAAATCAACCTAGGGCTCGAGCTACTGAGGCATACCCTATACCACCCCTTGGCCGCAAGGTCATGGCATGGTGAAGAATGCAGGTGTGGGAAGAGGAAGACACCAGCCCACATCTTCTACTGTCAAAAAGGTCTCCCTACTGTGGTTCGGATGGAGACGGGCATTGGAACACACTGGGAAACCTTCTCGAAGAGAGTCAAATAAACTGGCTTCCTCGACAGACACGACCGACATTCTCCGCTCTCTCTCCTAGGACTAGCCAATGGCTGCAAAAGCCACGCAAGGAATTAATGAATTACCGTAGAAACTCGAAAAATTCGCTCGTGTCCGCCCTACATACACACATCCGTCATACTTCTTAAGGAAGGGGTCTCATACTTCTTAAGGAAGGGGTCTGCCAGCTCTATTTCAGGATATGCCATTGAATTGGTTAAGCGAGTTGGCAGATGAGGGGCGGACACTAGCCAATTCTTCGAGTATCTACGGTAATGTCAAGGTGGACGCTAACGTCCCCTTCACTGCGGGAACCCCAACTACTCTCCCTACCCTTGCCCTCCCTGCCGTGGGTACTCCGTAGATGTACTTTAGATACGTAGTCTAACCTTTGCCCGAGCATGGGTACCCTGGCGTCAAACAATATCAATCGCTCCGCCCAGCCAGTCGGGCCCGTGCCGCGTCCCACAGCACCCACCAACTTTTCAACGAGAAGATGGAGATCATCGCCCTCAGCCACCATGTAGCAAAGATGGCGAGTGCCGCAAGAAATGTGGCCAAGCGAGGGGAAGGGGAAGGCAAGACAACGAATGATTGTGGGACGCGGCACAGGTAATGTAAACGCCATAGTATTTGATCTTTTGTAGCCAATCACGGACATAAAGGCCCTTAGGGGCGTTTTTCGTCCGTCCGTCCGGTGGAGTTAACGGAGCTAACGGGTTAACTACCAAAAAGTCTCTCGGTTGTGAGAGTATTGAGAATTTGAGATTGAGTAGAGATGTACGTGAATGAGCTTGCCCTGGTTTCCAGACCAAGGATTATTGGATGCTTTCATTTCATTATTGGACTGTTTGGTCCGTATCCCTTACCCCACCGCTCCGTTCGTTCGCTCCGGCCAACCAGCTCTGCAATCTCGGCAGCAAAGAAGACAGTAATAACAATACATTGCTCAAGCTCCGGAACCGATTAGATTGACGTGGGGTCATCGCTCCGCTATCCTCATCCTTGGGTCAATCATTATGGATGCAGATCCGGATGATGACAGTCTCTTGCCAAATCCTAAGCGCAGGAGAGCACTTCGAAAAGGAACTCGAAGCTGCTGGGAATGCAGGCGACGAAAAATCCGGTGCATGTATGCATCGCCTTCCGATGAAGTTTGCATCGGCTGTTCTAAACGCTGCAGCATCTGCATCAGTCAAGAGTTTCCAGACCAGACAACTACGCCTGTAGCGAGAAGTCGACTGGTAGGCGAGCGCATCGGACGAGTTGAGGCTCTTGTCCAGGGACTTGTCAAACTTGCCGGGAGCCCTACGTCCGCTACATCGGAGTCTGGTCATCCAGTCTCTGTACGTGATGGTGGTGCGCAATCAGGGGGAGGTGGAGGAGGTATCCCGACGCCAGTCTCCCCACACCACACGCCCCTTTGTACCTCATCTGTAGCCGTAAGTATTTGATTGTATCTAGACGGGGTTTCGTCATGGCTAACGTATTTTATTCGTCTTTTAACAGGAAGGGTACTCGGCTGAAACACCGTCCTCCGATACAGACGGGTCTATATCTCCAGTCGGAGAGGTTTCCAACAGCCAGGGAAACCTTGACAAGATCTCGCGGCAGCTCCTGGATATGTACCCATCAGCAAGCGATATGAAAGTCGTGTTTGATTCCTGTGGTGTACTATCCACATATTTCACCAAGGTGCTTGTAAAACCGTATCAGGAACTCAGCGATTCTGAACTAGAGTGCATAACCGAACTCACCGCTCGTCATACACACCAGACGCACCCTGTCCTCATTGCGCGCCAGATGCTTCAAATTGCGATTGTACTGCAGCAAGCTGGCCACAATGGCTGGAAAAGACTGTCGGAACCAGCTGCCACATTAACGGAGCGGCTTGCTGACACTGCGATACGGCTAGTGACGAAAAATGACGACATGATGGGTAGTCTTGAGGCCATTGTGTGCGTGCTTCTAGAATCAATCTACCAGTCCAACAGAGGCGATCTGCGTCGATCCTGGTTAACAATCCGAAGAGCTATTGGCATTGCCCAGCTGATGAACATTCATCGTCGCAACCGCCAGTCCTTGGAATCCATTGATCCTACGAACCCAATCGATCCTCAGTTCCTTTGGTACCGGCTTATGTATGCGGACCGTTGTGTGAGTTTGATGCTGGGACTCTCACAAGCCTCGACTGACGCTGCGATGGCTTCTGATGCAACAATGAAAAACGAGACAGAGCTAGGGAGGCTAGAGAGACTAGAATGCGCCGCGGTGAGCAGAATCCTCGAGCGAAATGAGCATGGGCCAAGCCCTGACGATTTGTCCGTGACCTTGGACATCGATGCCGAGCTGCAGAGAGCCGCCAGCACGATGCCCAGCCGGTGGTGGCTGGCGCCCTCCCTATCTACAGTCGAGGGTGACGTGCAGCTGTTTTGGGAAATTTCTAGACTGCTCGCTCAGATTAATCATTACAACCTATTAAACCAACTACACCTGCCGTATATGTTGTCTTCGTCAAATCCGGAAAATGCTGAACAGAGACATCGCTACGACTACAGCCGCATCACCTGCGTCAGCGCCAGCCGCGAACTGCTGACCCGCTACGCAGCCTATCGGAAATTCAACAAGGTCGCTTACTGCTGTCGCGTGCTCGAGTTTGTAGCTCTTTTGGCATCGCTGACGCTGCTGATGGCCCACCTAGATGGCCACCGGGCGGCGAGGCAAGGGGGAGATAGCACCAACGTCCTTGTGCACTTGCGCTTCTCCGATCGCGCCATCATGGAACAAGTTCTCGATAACATGCGGCAGCTGGGCGAAGTCAACAGCGGAGACGTCATGAGCGCCAAGAGCGCAGCTCTGCTACGCCACCTCTTGGATTTCGAGGAGGACGCCGCTCGGGGCTCGAGGTACAGCATTGAGAAGGATCCCGAGAACAACACGGGTAGCGGGTGCTGCGACAGCGGCGGCAGTGGCCATCAGACCGTCGTGGGCGACTTCACGAGCAGCAGCGGCATTTTCCAGATGTGGGTGCCATATATCGGGTCCGTTTCTATCACCTTGGATGGCGGGGTGACAAAACGATCAAGGCAATTGGTTCAAGCATCAAACAAGGGAGATGTCTTAACTGCACCGACGACAGAAACACAAGAAGACGAGGCAACACTAGATATCCACGGAGCTCCGATGGAAATCGCCGCTGGCTCTGCTGCTCATTCTGCACAGTCATCTGAATTCGGGCCATCATCAGAGGACCTTTCAGACCAAGCTGTACCGCGACTCTCGGACCTTATGGGATATTCAGCAACATTCCCAGCACAGCATCCGTATACTGGCATAACTGCCGGTGCTGAGCAGTGGGCATTTCAAGGTGTGGACACGGCTTTTTTCGAAAATCTGATGCGAGAATCGAATTTCCAGTCAGATAATAATGAAGCCGTTAATACTTGGTTCTAATACGAATATCTAAATATTAAGCTCAGGGAACATGAATTTTAGCGGAAGTGACTAAAATCATCTGTTGTACTTATAACTAACCTAATATTTCCAATTCCTGTAGGTTATATCCTAAATCCAGTTTCACTCATTAGGCAATAAATTCATCCTCGGCTTGATCCTAGAGGGCGAAGTTATCAAACAGACACAGAGGCTGTCCAGCCTATCGAGATATTTCAACCCGTTTGTAACGCAGCAATAAACACACTGTCTCCCCTGCAACGTGTTGACAAGACTGGCTTGATTCCGCTCAAAACCCTCTTCCCCCCAATACATATCCTTTTGCGACAATGCAACCCAGACGGCAAGGTCCTGTCCTGTCAAGACCCGAATGATTGGAACTTGAGATGATAGAAGGTCAAGTTCCTGGTTGATCAACCCCTCACCTTCAACGAAGACACTGGGAATACCCTCCAGTGATCCGCATACTTCATTGTGGCAGTCAGCAAGTGTGAGAGCCTGGTTAAGTTGTGACCAGATTGAGTACACGCCGATATTGAAATGGCCGGCGCGGTCGGGCGAAGAAACCCTGTACTTCGCCACCAGTGTCATCTGTTGAATGGAGGCTTCTTCAACGACCAACTTGACCTGAAGGTTTGTAGCTGGGGAAGAGATGTTTGAGAAGCTATCATATGTGTTAATTGGTCTGGCCGGGATAGAGTCGTAACCACTAGTAGAGGCTTGAGGCTGGGTATCATCTCGATCATCTTGTATTTGATGGTAGATGAAATCGTTCCATTGGATCCCCCCTGGAATAATATTCACTAGACAAGCACTTTCTGGGTTGGAAGTGACTTCGCAGAGGGTGTTCAGGTAGAAGCAAAGGCCAGCCGTAGCGACAGCAGCAGGATAATATCCTCTGGTTTTCTCCTCCAAAGTGTAATCACGGCCGACAAAGAGAGTTTTGATGGGCGCGAGGTAGGATGTAAAGTTCCACCTGGACAATCCCTCTAAGGGGGACTCATAATTGTCGTCACCCGCAGGCGGTCTGAGGGCTCTTCTGTCCCAGTACAGACTCTCAATGCCACTTCGGGTTGGTCGGAGTGTCAAGTCTTGATGAGTGCAACAACCAGACATGAGGACCACGAGATAGCAGAGAGTTTCCACAAGAAGTGTAAGGCAAAATTTTTCCTGCGGTCTTGGAGATCCCTGGTCTCCATCATTGCATGATGGGCAGGTACACATTTTACTGAGGTAATTCATATCCTGTGAGTATTTCTTTTGCGCTTCGGGATAGGAATATCCTATCGCATTTTCAATAGATGGGAGCAGATTTGGGTTCCTCCCCAACTCAGGCAGAAGCTGGCGAGCAGTGAGGTAAAAACCCCTTCCGTAGCCGATCGAGGTGGCCGGCGGATGTGTGCCACGGAACGTCTGCCGGGCGTCTGGGTCTACGTCGTCGCCTTTGTTACCCATCAATGCCAACAACACCCGGGCTGCTGATCCTAGGCATGTGCCAGTCATTGGGGCATGCTTACTGAGCAGATCCTTCATCGGTTTGCCAAACGTGTCGACGCAACAGGTGCTCCAGTCAACCCTGCCAAGGGATACCACCTTCTCCTCCTGGTGGGCGTTGTCGTAGAAAAGGGAGCGGCCGTTGGGAATGACGAAGCATTTTCGAGCAAGCTGAAAGCGTTTCGAGGGTTCTGCTTCGTAGGTAATGACAACCCTGGCCTCATTGTTTGCCAATTGTAGGGAGCCATCGAGTCGATAAAGTACCTCGCCAGAGACATCTTGGACTTCGACACACAGGTCAAGGAGCCAATAGCCTACTGCTGCAATCCAAGCACATTCAGAACCTCCAGTTAGATACAGGCGATCGAGTTGTCCGATGGATACATCAAAAAGGCCCTTCAGAACCTGGGCGATATCTTTGCTCGGGGCACAGTATCGACGATTAGTTTCGCCGTCTTGCATATAGATTTTTGTGACTTGGTGTAAGATCAATGGGAACTCTGTTGCTGCGAGAGAGCCTTGGCTAGTCTCAACGAGAGCCTTCCATTGTCGCAAAGCCGGAGTGAGATCGGCGGGGGGCGAATAGAGTTGGAGCAGGTCCCTCAGGACCTTTGCCGAAATCTCTGTGCTGAACTCCTCGGTAAGGCAAGCACATATTCCAATGCACGACATGCCCTCCCGAGAATCTCTCATGATTCGGATGATATGTTTGACCCCGAATCCGAAATAGAGCACGTTGTCGAAAGCGGAAGCCGCTCTGATTTCCCCCAAGGCTTTGTCGAGCCGCTCCTCGCCTCGGGCGCCGAGCTGCATCATCGAGAAAATACCCCGGGCGGCATAGATCGTGAGGGCGTCGACTCCGCATTTTGATAGCCGAGATAAAGCATCTACAGTGAACCCGACGCTGGATTTACCGACAGCAACCCAGTCGACGGTTCCTGTTTGTTGAAATGCGGGGTTTGATGACTCAAGATCTTGACATAGTAGAGGAGCAGAGCTCCCATCGTTGCCGGAGTTTGCCATAAAGCTGAGAGAGAAGATAGGTCTATTAAGTGTGCTTATGTGAAAGCCTAGACGATTTAGGGCATGATGCGTAATATACTTCTTTCAACGCTGCTTCGCCCCAACGACCCATAGCACTGCCTCCTAAATATACATCAGCAAGTCACGTGCTGAAGAGAGTGTCCTCGGATACCTTTTCTGGGCTGGTGCCCATGATACTGGCAGCATCCAGCGCCCATGCACAAAGGTTCTGCTTCATCTTGGCTGCTGGCGGACCTCAATTGACAATTGACAATGTTGTTGCAATCGGCACGTCTCAGCTCGGCAAGAAAAGAGAGATGATGCGCGAGACAGCAGCAAGCTTAAGTAAGTATATAAACATAAAGATGGGTGTCCTAAGCTCTGGGCATTGGCAAGATAAGGCGATGGGGAAAACAGGGGATTGGCCCATGCTCGGAAGAGAAGAGGCATTTGGCTGGGCAGATGCCTAATTGAACCGCTGGCGAACTTTTTGTCGGGAGCAATGGCATGCAGCTTCTGCTACCAGCTAGCCTACCCCAACCCAATGGAAGCTTATCTGCGGCCAACGTGTTCCCCCCTCAATCTCATCTCCCGTCGGCGGGGCAAGGAGAGGGCTTTACCACTCTTCATCGCCAAGGCCTGCAGGAGACAAAGGAGCCCCTTTAGGAAGGTGGACAGAGCGATAGAGCTTCGGCTAGGGCACTAGAAAAAGTACCTTATTCCTGGCGTTCAGATGTAGCGACTGGTAACTCGATGCCAAGGCAGCCAGAGACTCTTTTCATTTCGAAGCCACGTGCCATGACATTGTCGACGACGGAAACTGACTTTGCCTGTGGGCATCCAGTCGCTTGATCAATCCCAGCTCCCTGGCCATTTCCATTGCTACATATGTAATTACAAGTTGCAACAAGCTTGTTTCTCCACCGGGTTCTCGAGTAGGAAATAATTCATAGCAATCCCTCTAGTGTGCGCGCGCTGCTTGTGGGTCAACCGTTGCAATGGTCCGAGCCAACGAGATGGCTATAAATCAACCACGAGAAATGAGACATCAAAGCAAGATACTTGGTATTTTGTCAGAATTCATGCAATGAACAAAGATCAAGAGTCTATAGCTTTATACTATCTTTGACTTGTATTTTTATTACTACACTAGTAGTACAGACAGTAAATACAGAGTGTACTGTTCAGCGTGGAAATGTATGCTAGGCATCTGAATAACCAAAGACCCACATGCTATTTCTACTTCATGTCTAAATCACAAAAGCGTCTGAACTGCGAGTATAAGCTAATTCTCTTTTTTCAATGTTCAAAATTATGGCCCCAGACCATTTAAAATGTTCAAATGCAAATGCTTTATTATTCAAGGCTCTTGATACTGGGTGAGCCGGGGTCGAAGGTCCAGTCCAGCTGCGTGGGTTAGTAAGGCTATAGGGTAGTTGACCGTACAATCTTGGGAATGGAATGTCTCCCGAGACGCTTGACAACGTAGCACAAGCATTCAACACTCCGTCATTTGAAATTTATAATTAAATAATAATTCTACATAGTCAAATATGAGCGGCCCATAGTTTACAGCGACATGTGAGCTCTGTCTCTGCGGACATCTACCTTTTGCCATAACCTGGCCGGTATTTATTTAACTCTATTCATTGCGTCATCTTTTTAGTCATCATCCACAAAAGCGCCTTGTTCCAAAACAGTCCGCAACTCTTCAACCCAAGTCAAGATCTTGTCCTGATGAGACAAGTTCGTGTTCCATTCAAATTGGAGCACTAATTGACCGTCGGTGACCTGTGCCTGTACGCCAAAGAGAGCAAAGCGACGCACAGGCTGGCCGCGAGCGCCGAGGCCGCCTTCTGAAGAATCTGCAAACGCGTGGAAGCGCTTGAGACGCGTCTTTTTGCCTGTGCGCCCAGAGTCGACTTCGGCATCTTTGACCGTCCCATTCACACCGGAACCGAGATAGTTGAGGAGCACTTCCATCTGGTAGTGGTGTTGGAAGGTAGCTGCACCTTGGGCGGTGCAGTAACGGGAGACAAAGTACGGCAACCCATTGCCAGGGATAGATGCCCGAGTCGCCCCGGCGCGTTGCAAAATCGTTAGCAGGTCCTCTCCCTTGTCGACAGCTATGTGCAGCGGGGTGATTGACGTGAGCCAACCGACTGTTCGCGACAGATCCACGTCGGAACCTGGCGGCGCGTCTCGGCCGTGGCCGTAACGATAGATGGTCGGTGGTGAGCGATTGGTAAAAACGCAGCGAAAGGAATACAGAAGAGCAGCCGTGACGAGATCCTGCAAATCAAAGCGATCGCCGAGAGCCATAAGCCTCGCAGTTGCAGTTGCGCCAAGTCGTATCTGTTCGCCGACTAAGTCCTGTAGGAGATTTGGCTGCTCCACAGCCTGCCAATAGTTGAAGTCGGCTTCGGGGACTTTGAAGGGGAGGACATTTGACGGATCCAAGGTCTTGGCCATTTCGGTTTGCATCTCGCACCAGGCTTGGAAGGGGTAGGACTCTGTCGCCTCCTGGTCAGCAAGTGCATTGTTGCTTAGAATGTTCTCGAGGTCGTCCAAAATGACATTCCATGAGATCATGTCCGTCACTAAATGGTGGATGGTGAGGAAGAGAATCTGATCCGATGATGTGTCGACGAGGTCTGCGGCTACCAACGGCCCCGAGTAGATGTCAAGGCTGGTGCGGCTCTGGTTCAGCGCAGATCTAGCTTCCTCGACGTGAGAGCATCGGTGGCCCTGCACACGGTAAGAGTCGGTGACATTGTCTGTAATCTCTTGCACATGTCGCCGCGACGACCCCTGACCTTCAAGTCGGAACCGAGCGCGAAGCAACGGGTGTAACGAGACGATCCTTCGGATGCCTCTCTCGATATCAGGCAGACTAGTTCGCGAGGTAGGTTGGAAAGGGAAAGCGTAGTGAAATTGCTGATTCGTGTTCCGGGAGAGCTCATCGTCACCGAGCGCAAAATGTCCGTAGAATTGCTGCATTGGAGATAGTGGAAATGGTTTCCCAACCACGCTCCGGAGGGTGGCCACGGACCTGGCCGTAATGGACGTTGCACTGGCTGCGAGCTCTTCGAGTGATTTGGCCTGCAGCACAGCAGGTACTGGTATATAGAGGCGCGCGATACGAGCCAGGCCAGCCACCTGCATGGCGGACAGCGAATTGCCCCCCAGCCGAGCAAAAGAGCTCTTGAGGGATATGCGGACGGGCGGCACGCCAACGACTTTGCTCCATATGGATCTGAGCGTTTCCTCGGCTGGGGTCCATGGTCTGGTAGTATTGCTCTGGTCTTGTCCTAGACTCGCAAGTGTGCTCAAGGTCTTTTCGTCTACCGCGGCAAGCCACTTGGCGAGAGCATCTCGCTCGACCTTGCCAGATGGCCGCAGCGGGACGGACGACAAGGGAACCCAGAGCGACGGAACCATGTAGGACGGAAGCTGGCTGGCAAGTGAAGACTCTGCACGGCGCAGCACAGTCACAGCGGTCTCTAGATCTGCACCAGAAAGCAGTGAGATGGAGCCTGGCTCATGTACAGACGACGACGTCCGCCCAGATAGAGAAAAGAACCCGACGAGCTGATCCTTGCATCGACCATCGGTCGGGTACACCACAGCCGAGTTCGCGATCCCGTCGTGTGCTCCGAGGAGGTGCTCAATCTCGCCGAGCTCCACACGCTGGCCTCTGATCTTGACCTGCGTGTCCTTGCGGCCCACGTAGGTGATGCTGCCGTCGCTCGTGTACCGAACGAGGTCGCCTGTGAGATAGACCCGGTGACTGGGACCGTCTGCACTCAACTCTTTGAGCCATTGCGGGGGACTGATGAAGACCGCCGCGGTGCGGACTGGATCGTTGAGGTATCCCCGACCGACGATGGGACCCTCGATGAGCAGCTCACCTATGGCGCCGAGTGGTGCCAACTTCTGCGGGTCTTGAGGATCGACGACCCAGTTTCGGGATGCCAAGGACGTTCCGAGCTCGCTGGCTGAGTCTGGATGGGTAATCAGCCTGATGGTCGTCGATATGGCGCACTCGGCAGGGCCGTAGCCATTATACAGACGGACGGGGGAGGGCGAGGAGCGCCACATCTGAACATCAGAGGCCGAGGGGGCTTCTCCTGCAAGCACGAGGTCCCGGAGCGTGGGCACCTCGCGGACGGGGAGGGTCCTCGCCAGGGAGGGGGTCATGATGGCCCAGGTGACCCGGAGGTCGTTGATGGCCCGGGCGACGTGGCCGAGGCGAGCCTCGTCGCTGGGCACGCACACGCAGGCCCCGACGGTCAGCGTTGCCAGAATCTCCAGCAGCGCGTGGTCGAAGCTGTACGACGAGACTTGGAACACGCGGGTGCCTTGGTCGAGCCGCGAGATTTGTGTGTAGAAGGCCGCGGAGCTTAGGAAGTTGCGGTGCTCTACTATGCACCCCTTTGGAGTTCCAGTGCTTCCCGACGTGAACTGGACGTAGAGACCGAGGTCAGGACGGATCAAGTTTGGCGGGGGAACAAGCGATCGGTCATTAAATTGGTTGACCGAGTGGTTGTCGATGGTGATGAGGGGGATTTCATGATCCGAGGAGCGGAACAATTGGTCGTGTGGCGGGGCAGCGAGTATGACCCGAGATTGACTCGCCTGGACGAGCTCTTGCCGGCGAGATGGAGGATGAGACGGGTCAAGGAAGATTACGGTCCCGCCCGCTTTGGCGATGGCAACGAGGCCGGCGACTGTCCAGGGAGATTTCCCGGAACACCATGCCACCTTGTCGTCTGGGAGCACACCCAGGGATAGCAGCCGGTGGGCGATGCCGTCGCTGATGCGGTCGAGTTGGGCATATGTAAGCCGCGTGCCGTCCTGAGAGTCGACGGCCAATGCGTCCGGTGACAGGGCGACCTGCTCTGCGAACACTTCTGGAACAGATCTCTCAACCGTGGGTATGTGATCATTGTACAGGCTTGCTAGATCTTCTCTATCCGCCGGACTGAACATGTCCAGCTCGCGGACAAGCTCGTCAGAGGAGGCGCCACACAGCTGCTGAATGATGTGATCAAACTGCTGGACAACGCGCTTCGTCTGATATAGCGGTATGACGTCGGGGTCATAAGACGTGTACATGCGGACGGAGCCACGGTCAATGGTACATTCCATGGCGAGTGCATAGGAGAGGAACGAATCCGTGCCGTCTTTTAAACTGACCTTTTGCAGGCCGAGGTGATCAGACGAGCCAGGGTCGGCACGGTGTATCACAAGCAGATTCGATACGTCGCATGATGCCTGGCAGTCGGCGCTCAGACCACGGATTCGTTGAAGACCAGCCTGCTCGTAGGGGATGAGATCCAAGGCTTCCGATTGAATCGTTGATAAGAAATCGCCAACAGTGGCATCCGGCTTCCAGGAAAGGCGATATGGCAGGGTGGTTATGGTAGGGCCGAACATGTCGGCAACACCGGCGATGGGTACGTTTCGACCGGACTGGGTCATGTTGAAGACGACGTCCGGGCTACGGTTATCCGCATAGGACGACAGAAGTAATGCCCAGGCAGCTCTGATTATCGTTGGGAGCGTAGCGCTAGAGGGAAGCTCGTGGATCAAGCTGGCAGTATGGGAGATGCTCTCTGAGGCGCGTGCTGCATGAGACGAGGGCAAGCTGGGCGGCGGCTTTGGGAAGACGGTAGGTGTCGCCCCGGCCAGATACTGACGCCAGAAGTCATCCACTGCTGGGGTGTTTGTGCGATGTAGGTGTGCGACAAAGGCACTGAAGGGAGGGTGGGAGGCCAATGGTCTTGTATGGTACAGCTCTGTCAACTCTTCCCAGAAGAGAGAAATGGTCCAGGCATCGTAGGTAGAGTGGTGGGCTGTCCACAAGAAGTATGCCCGGCCTGAATCATCGTCGACGATTGTTGCCTTGACCAGTCTCTCTCCAAACTGTCCCACCTTGGCGTCCGCTAGCTTCTGCAGATGGGTCTCCAAGTCTGGGGCGTGGATGCGTGACACTGGTGAAGCCTCCTCGACGACCACCTGACATGAACCCCATGAGGTGGTGGGAACAATGCGCGTTCGTAAGATTGGATGTCGCTGGATGAGTGACTCGACAGCACCGGCAAACCGATCGAGGTCGACGTCGTTGGGAATCTGATGCGCCTCTCTGTTGACGTAGGTGCTGTTTTGGTCCTGGCTCATGGTTACGGCCAACAGTCCTTCCTGCAGCGGAGTTGTCGGGTAAATGTCCTCGACAATGTCTTTGGTCAACCGCCACGTTTGCTCCAGCTCTGCTAGCAAGTCGTCCACATTGGCGCCTGCGGCTAGTAAAGAGAAGGGCTCGACACTAGAGCTGGACGCATCTTGAGCAGCCTCCTTGCTGTCAACGATGTCTGCTTGGATCACCTGGGCCATGTTGGACAGCTTCGGATGGAGGAAGGCATCGTTGACGGACAGGATGAGCCGTTCTTCACGGAGTGCCGCAGCCAGCCGGATTGCAGTCAGGGAATCACCGCCGAGCTGGATGAAGCTGTCGTCGGCGCCGATTTGCTCACGCGCGACACCCAAGATCTGGCTCCAAAGCTTCTGTAGAACATGTTCAGTCGCAGTTGATGGCGGACGGGGGTCAGCACGACGCCGCACAGCATAAATGACGCGTTGCCTCGGGCTCAGATCAGTTCCCACCTGGCGCAGCGCTTTGCGGTCTACCTTTCCATTCTGGTTGGTCGGAAGAAACGAGAGTGGAATGTATAGCAACGGTACCATGTGCGCTTCTAGTCGGACGAGAAGCTCGTCTCGGAGGTCTAGCAAGGTTGTCCGCGTGGTTGGCGGTAGTAGCAAAGGAGCAGCATCTTTGCTCGACCCGGAGCCACTTTGCTGGAAGTATACCACGAGCTCGTTCCGGCCATTCCCAGGGTTCTTGAGAGTGTCGACTATGATGTCGAGGGGCTCAGCAAGGGCACTGCGGATGTGATGCTCAATCTCTGCAATCTCTACACGTTGGCCGTTAATCTTGATCTGGGTGTCTTTGCGGCCCACGTAGACGAGCTCCCCATTGTCCTTGTAGCGAACAAGATCTCCCGTCTTGTAGAGGCGCCGACTTTCGAGGCCGTTCGGGTTCAGCCGTCGTGCCCAGGCAGGGTCCTTGATGAACGCATCGGCCGTCTTTTGGGGTTCTTTGATGTAGCCCTCGGCAAGGATTGGGCCTTCAATCAGCAGCTCGCCCACTGCGCCGACCGCAGCCAGCTTGTCGTGGTTGTCTGCGCGAACGATCCACAGCGTACCTCCCGGCAACGAGCCTCCAATATTGAGAGCATCGTCGCCTGCTGCGTATTGGTGCACAGAAGCAATCAGAGTTGCCTCGGCCGGGCCGTACGTGTTGACCAAGCGGAGATGGCTGGCCCACTGACTGACATCCCCTTCCTGGGGTGCCTCTCCGATGAAGTAGAGGGTTTCCAGGCCAGGCACATCTCGAGGCTTCAGCAGACGCGCCACGGTTGGTGTGAGGATGGCCATGTTGGCGCCCAGCGCCTGGATAGACGTGGCAAGGTTGGCCAGTCGATCCTCCTCCGAGGGGACGCAGACGCACCCGCCGAGGCTCAGCGTGGTGAATATCTCCATGATGGAGATGTCAAATGTGTAGGACGAGTAATGGAGCATCCGGCTCTTTGGACCCATCCCCATTGCATTTCCGTGGGATGTAAGGCTCGTGGATAGCGCGTCATGCGAGACTGCGACGCCCTTTGGCACACCCGTGCTGCCAGAGGTGAAGATGATGTACGCTCTCGCGGACGCCTGGAATCGAGGGAGCTGCAATGGAGGCCTGGCCGCAGTCATGTCGACTTCAGCAGGCACCCTGATCCTATCTAGTCTATGATTATGCGCCAAGTGAGCAGCACCATTTGTTGTCATTATGTGCTTGAGATCCGCAATTTGGATAATCTGGTTGATCCGCCCCTGGCTGTACTTGGAGTCCAGGAAGACAGGCACGCATCCGACCTGCACAATTGCCAGGAGGGCAGCCACCGACCATGACGAACGGGGGAGGGAGAACCCGACGGGCGTCCCGGGGACGACCCCACGCTCGATGAGTATACTGGATAGCACGCTGGCACGCTCGTGCAGCTGTCGGTACGTCAAAGAGGCGTCCCAAGCGGCAACGGCTTGCCTGTCGGGGACCAGCTCCAGGTGTTGTCGAATGAGATCATGCACGCAGCGATCAACGGAAAGAGGAGGCTGCTGGTTCCACCGACTCACCAGCGTCGCGTCGTAGTCACTGAAGAGTTCAATGTCGCCGACAGTCTGCTCTGCCGGTCCGCTCTCGAGCTGCTTGAAGACGGCGCGCAACTGATGTAGAAGCCGACGGGCCTGGTCCGTCGACAGCGCTTCGTGGTCGTAGGCAGCCTGGAGATGCACTTGGCTCGGCGACATGGAGCATTCAAGGACCAATGGGTAGCCCGTGAAAGCGCGCGGCGCCTCGCGGACCTCCACGAGGCCGAGGGATGTCTCAAGGGGACTCACTGACTGGCCGGACTGGATGATGAATAGGTTTTGGAAATTGCAAGCAGCCTTTGCATTCTCATTCAGGTCGCGAATCTGCAAAAGCCCGACGTGCTGATTGTCTATTAGTTCTACAGCATCGGTGTACACCTGCTTCAGAAAAGTCGAGATGGGAGCCTCGCTGTTCAATACCACCCGCAAGGGGATTGTCGCAATCGTCGGCCCGGCCACAGCCTCGACGCCCGGCATGTCAATGTCGCGTCCACTCAATGTCAGGCCAAAGACTACGTCGGGAGAGTCGGTATACTGCGATATCACCACAGCCCAGGCTGCCTTTAGTAGCGTAGCAGTGGTCGCATTCTGGGTTTCCCGATCAGCCAGTGGCAAGCTGAGAGAGACTATACTAGGAGGAAGTGGTGCTTCTCTCACTGATGGCCGTGAAGGAAACGTTATCGCGGATGTACCTTCAAGGTAGCGAGTCCAGAAGCCACGGACCTTCTCTGGATCATGTCCGTGTATATGCCGGATGAAGCGGTGGAATGGAACTGACGGCGATGGTTGGCGCGCGTGATAGATTGAGGTTAGGCGGTCCAAGAGAAGTCCATCGGACCATCCGTCATAGAGCGAGTGATGCAGAGTCCAAACAAAGTAGGTGTCGTCTTCTTCGCGGACAATGGCATACCTTGCCAATGGCTCGAGTTCTCGGAGTGGTCGAGCATCGTCCTCTGCGAAATACTGCTGCAGGCTTATAGATGACCCCCACGAAATATCTTCTCCCACAACAACCTGGTACGCCGCTAGCGAAGGGGTGAAGAATATTCGGGACCGTAGAATTTGCGTTTCCTTTACGACCTGTTGCCAAGCGCTCTGGAATCTGGCCAAGTCTAGCGTTTGGGGCAGCCGATATGTTCGTCTTAGAGTGTATGACCCTGGGTCTCGCAGTGTGAGGGCGAACAACCCTTGCTGAAGAGGCGTGCAGGGGTAAATATCCTCTATTCGATCCTTGAGTCCTCCCAAGGACTGGATGTCGTTGAGCAGCACGTCAATGGATGCGATAGGTGCCAAAAGGCTGAACGGCGAGTACCCAACTTGCTTCCCGACCCCCGCCAAGTCTTTATTTTTCAGTTCCACGGCTTTGGCCATGTCTGAGAGTGTTGGGTGCTGGAAGATCAAACTCGCAGACAAAGAAAGACCAGCCTTGCGGATGGCTGCGGATAGGTGGATGGTGAGGACCGAGTCGCCGCCGAGATGGAAAAAGTGACCATCCTGCCCGATTAGAGATGTATCGATCCCAAGCACGTCTGCCCACAGCTTCTGGAGTTTTCTCTCCGATTCGGTGGTGGGAGGAGACCTTTGAGATCCAGCCAAGGAATATTGAAGCCACTGAGACTCTGTAATGGCACCGGTCAAGGCTGCGAGCACCTTTCGATCTACCTTTCCGGCAGAACTGTACGGTAGCCTCGGGAGAGGAACATATACGGAAGGAATCATGTATGGAGGTAGCGCCTGGGCGAGCTCCTGCTTGAGAGTGGACACGGAGTCTCGCAGGCTTTCGGTCATCGGCACAGGGCCGTCTTGCTCGTCGAAGCCATGGCTCGAGACGGTAAAGAAGGCAACCAGGGCCTTGCGCGATGTTGATCCAGGCACTGGGAGTACTTGAACAGAGCCCTTCTCTTTCGGATCCAGGTTCGAAGACAACTGGTGCTCAATTTCGCCAATCTCTAGACGTTGGCCGTGAAGCTTTATCTGCCCGTCTTCACGCCCGACAAAGATCAACGACCCGTCTTCCTCGTATCTCAAAAGATCACCGCTCATGTACAGCCGGCTTCCGACCGGTAGTGGCTCAGGAAGCCAGGGAGCAGACCCGAAGAATCTGGCTTCTGTTTGAGCCGGATTCTTCAAGTACCCCCTGGCGACGATACGTCCCTCAATGACGAGCTCGCCAACTGCACCAACCGGGGCCAGGCGAGTGTGGTCGCCCGGGGTAACTAGCCAGGCACGACTGCCCAGCTGCACGCCAATATGCTCCTTGTGAGACGACGGGGTGAGAGGCGCCGCGGTTGCCGAGCAGAATACGGAACACTCTGACGGGCCGTATGAGTTGAAGAGCTCGACCTCGTCGGCCCACTTCGTGATGACCGCCTGCGTGAGCCACTCTCCTCCCGTCACCAGTGTCTTTAGAGACGGGACCGCCTCGGGGTCGATCATTGCGGCCACGGTCGGCGTGAGATCGGCCCAGGTGACTTGCAGCCGGTTCATTGCTCCGGCAAGGTCGTCGAAGCGGTCGTCCTCGGACACGACGCAGACACAGCCGCCGCGCACCAGAGTAAAGCAGACCTCCTCTATGCTCACATCAAAGGTATACGACGCAAAGTGCAAGACGCGCGAATCCGAGTTCATGTTGATGGGACTCATGGAATGGGCGGCGGTAGTGCTCAGCGATCCATGCTCAAGGATAGAGCCCTTGGGCGCGCCCGTACTGCCGGATGTGAAGATGACGAATGCCGGGTCAGACGGCTGGGATACATCTTCCACAGATCTGGGGGTCGATCCGTTTGTACTTGATAATGCAGAAGGCACAACCTCGACTATAGTAGAGAAGACGGCGGACACGTTTGACCGAAGCTGGGGGAAGCAGAGGCAGACGGTGGCTTCTGTATCCGAGGCGATCGTCTCTAGCCTCTGCCGCGGCGCCTTGGGGTCAAGAGGCACCGCGGCGCCCCCAGCCTTGTGGATCGCCACGATCCCGACAATGGCCCAGAGAGACTTGGTGAACATGAAGGGGACCATGGCACCACGGGACACGCCTCGATCCCTGAGCTGCGCAGCCAGGCTCGTGGCCGCCACGTCCAGCTCGGAGTAGGACAAGTCGCCGTCGAACGAGCTCACGGCGGGCGCTTCTGGCTGGCGCAAGGCCTGCTCTTTGAACCCATGGTGGAGGCACACCTCGTGAGCTGGAGGCGGGGAAGAGTTCCACTGGCGAATCTGAGCCAGACTTTTCGGCCCGGCCAGGTCGAGGCGCCGTAGTTGCTCTTGCGGGTGGGTGATTATTGAGAGAATGGCCTGCGAAAAGGTGTCTGCAATGCTGGCGGCCAGGCCTGGGGAGATTCTGTCCTGCCAATGCTCCAGGACAATGGACACATTGTCTCCGAGGTCCTCGACATCCACAGCGAGATCAAACTAGAGGCATGTTAGGCTCCTGAAATGTTAATGGGGGCAGGTGTTGAGCTACTTACCTCGGTGGGATCCCTGGCTCGTTGGCAGCGGAAGTGTATCAACCCTTCAGAGCCTGAGCTGGTATCAATTGCGCGCCGCTGAAAGGAGAAGACTGTATTGAAACGGGCCTGATCGCCCAAGCCCAGCTCATGAAGGATGTCCGCCAGCGAACTAAACTGATGCGGCAGATTTTGCACAAAATAGTCTTGGAGGTCTTGCAAAATGTCGAGCGGAGAGGAAGAGGAGGGGACAGAGACGTGGCAGATCAAGAGGTTGAGGAACGGGCCAACGACATCCTCGATTCCGTCGATCTGGGCATCTCTCCCGGACACTATATAACCAAAGCTGACCTTTTCCGCGTTGCAATAGATGCCAAGGACCAGGGCCCATGCCGTTTGAAGCAGAGTTGAGAGGGTCACTCCGCTCTGGATGCAGAACGTCCGGACTTGAGCGATTGATTTTGGTAGAGCGACCTGGGTGAAATGGATGCTGTTCGTAGGCGCGGACGACAGGAGAGAATTCGGCAGCAGGCAAGGTTCAATGTCAGCGAGGCGGGTTGTCCAATACTTGAGATGCAACTCTTTCGGCTGTCGAAGCAGGAAGGAGACGAAGTCGTGGTATTGCGACACAAGGGGGCAGGTCTGATGGTCATGGTACGCGGCAGCAAGGTCGCGAAGCAATATGCTCGTGGAAGCCCCGTCGCTTATGGCATGGTTCATATCCAGGCGCACAAAGACGGCCCCAGAGCTCGTGGTGCATATGCTCAGACGGTGCAAGGGCTGACCGGGGGAAAACTCCAGTCCCACAAGCTGGCCGAGAACAGCTGAAGGATCACCGTCTCCTGATTCAAGTCGCACCACCTCTCCGGGAAGTTTGCGTAAGACGGCCTGGTCGTATATGCTTGATGGGAAGATGCTGTCCACAAAGACGGTCCGGAGAATCGCTTGTCGCTCGACAACTTGCTGCCAGGCGCGTTCCAGCTTCTCTGCGTCGATGGGCTCACCTGACGCAGGGGGCAGGACTTCAGCGATGGTAGCATACTCGTAGAATGCCGGGTTGCGAGCCTGCGAGATCAAAAGTCCAGTCTGGATGGGTGTGCTCGGGTAGAGGCCCTCGAGATCTGCTATGGTGACTGGTCCTTTGATGGAGGGAATGACCTCGTTCACAACCCGGTCGAGATCCGTGTAGCTTGCCCCGAGCAGGGGAAAGTCGGAACGAGACAGGACAGCACCACCGCTGGCGACAACTTGTCCAAGTATGGTGCGGTACTGGCGCATCCATTCTCCTAGGCGTTCCTGGTGCCTGGTTGCTCTTGGATATGACAGCTGGATGCGCAGCTCTCCAGCATTGACGGATATTAGCACCTCAAACAGTGAAAACCGAAGCAAGTCAGGGTAGAGGCAGCCAGTGTCGGGCGCCGAGGCGCGGCGAAACAGGCCGGCGTCATTCTCCAGTCCCTGATAACGGCCCAGGTAGTTGAAGACAATCTCCATGGGGAAATGGCCGCCAAAGCGAGCCTGCCCCTCTGGAGTCAAGTAGCGGCTTGCAAAGTACGGCCATCCACCTTGTGGGAGGTAGTGCCGGGCGTCCTTGACGCGGCGTATCGTGTCTAGAGTGCTCTGGCCTGGCACTGCCACGAGCGGTGCCAAGGTGCTGAACCAGCCCACGGTCTTGGAGATGTCGTGTGCGTCTGTCAGGGCGTCCCGGCCATGGCCCTCGTTGAAGAGTGCTGGTGTGTCGCGATCGGGAAACACGTGGACAAAGGCATGTAGCAGAGCCCCGAGCATGATATCGACTGGCTCGGTCCGGAGATGCGACTGCGATTCGTTGAGCAGCCGAGACGTCGTCGTCTCGTCGAGGACAACAGTCAGGCGCTCGACCTGGCCGTGCGAGTTTTGCCGTCCAGCCAGGCCCCAGAATTCAATAACGGCATCTGGTGGATTGTATGGCAGTACCTTGTCTGTCTCGCGGAGATTCTCTGTGCTGTACTTTGCAAGTGACTGTGACCACTGGTGGAAAGGAAAGGGTGGGCTATCGACATTGGGGATGCCCAAGATGTGGTCTTCGATTTCCTTCAGAATGACTCGCCATGAAACGTGGTCTACAACGAGATGGTGGGCGCCCAGAAATAGCTTGTCGTTTTCGTTGTCTGATCTGAACAAGCGAGCAACAGCCAGGGGGCCGTTGGCTATGTTGATTGAACCTATGGCAGACTTGAGAGAAGAGGCAATGTCCTCCTCGAGGGCATTGTCAACAACACCGATGTTAATCGACCCAGCTATGTCGTCGCTTATGCGCTGCATCCACTCGCCATCGTCACCGCTGAATCGCGCCCGGAGCATTGGGTGCCGCTCGACAGCCGCATGCAAGGCAGCAGTAAGCTGCTCGCTACTCACTGCCTGACCGAGCTCGAGGTATTGACTCTGATAGTACCGCTCGTGCCCATCTGGGTCCGCGTCAAAATATAGCGCTTGGATGGGCGAAAGACCAAACGGAACATTGGCCGGGTGCTCGTGCCTGACGGCCACCTCTGCGCCAAACACTCCCCGACGAGCGACGACGGTTGCGATGCGGGCAATGGTGCGGAACTGAAGAATGTCCTGGGCAGTCAAGTTGACCTTGTCCCGGCGGCCGCGCGAGGCTGCCTGGATGGCAGAGATGGAGTCGCCGCCCAGACTGTAAAACGGCGTCTCGCGCCCAATCTTCTCTACTGGTACGTGGAGGACCTCGCTCCAGATCTGCGCCAGCACTTGTTCCGTAGGGCTTGAGAACGTTGCTGCTGGCGGGTCGACGACTACTTGATTCAGACGCTGGATCTCCCGGAACGTGTCCTGGTCAATTGTTTCTAGCCAGCTCTGCACACGCCTTGCATTGATCTTGCCTGTCTTGACAAGCGGAAACGCTTTGATGGGTAGAAATGAGGCAGGGACGTGATCGCTTTCCGCTTGCTCTAGAATCCGGATCAATTCTGAGCGGATGTCCTTGGCTTCGGGCGATTGATAGAGAGAGATTTCTGAAAGCTCAGCGTTGCTGGGCGGCTTGGTGGTGTATACCACTACAGTCTGTTGGCTTAACAGACCCGTTGAGATGGTTCTGACCACCACCTGTTGTATGTTTGCTTGAGAGGAAAGGCGTTGCGCAAGGGAATCAAACTCCCCATCAGCTTTGCGGCCAAGATACTGGATTGAACCGTCCAAGTTGTACCTGACCAGGTCTCCCGTCTTGAAAAAACGACGCCCAGCACCGGCCAAGTCATCAGAGAGTCGTCTGCTCCAGGCCGGGTTGTCAATAAACGATGTCGATGTATGACCGTGTGACACTTGCTCATATCCAAGACCCAACGTAGGACCTTCGATCAAGAGTTCGCCAACCACACCAATCGGAGCGAGAAGATCAAGTGTTTTGGTGTCAGTGACCCAGAGTGTTACATTCTTGAAAGGTATACCGATATTCTTTGGGGTAGGGCCATCTGGCGAGTCGCCTGTAGACGATGCGTTCCCAGTCTCGGCAGTAGAGAATGACTGGATGAGATTTCTCTTGCTCCACGTAGCAAAGACTTGGTTTGGAACGGGCTCCCCGGCAAGAACCAGTGTGCTGAGAGACGGGACGCTGTCAGGGTCAATGGAGCTCGCCAAAGTTGGGGTGAGGACGGCCCAGTTCACACCAAGCTCGCTTGCGGCTTCGCCAACCAACGACAAGTCAGCCAAAGGCGGAACAACACACAATCGCGCTCCAATGGTCAGAGTAGCCCAGACCTCCATCATGCCCTCGTGGCTCAGGTAAGGGGAGTGGTGTAGCACACGTGATGACCTGATCAGCTTCAGTTCTGTACTGTAGGCAGCGACACGGCTGGCAACACTGCGATGGTCCAGGAGAACTGGCTTGGGCTCACCGTTCGCCCCAGACGTGAGAACGACGGAGCATAAGTTTCCGAGGGTGGCCACATCCCATATATCGTGCGGATGCACGCCGGTGTCATAGGCAGACACTGCGTTTAGGGGGACGACGTCGGGTACGAGCGATTTGGCCAAGCCTAGGAGCCCTTCAGTGGCAATGGCGATGTGGGATTTTGAGGCGGCAACAGCCTCCGCCAAATGAGAAGCAGACCTTGAGTCGTCGAGCACGTGTATCGCCCCTCCTGCCTTGAGGATGGCCAAGAGCCCGATGATGGCCCAGGTCGATCTCTGGGCCAAGACCAACACTCGCACATCGGGCCCCACGCCCTTGTCACGTAGCTTGTAGGACAGCGCAAGCGCGGCAGCATCCAGCTCTCCATACGACAAAGACCAGTGTCTGGTTTCAATGGCGATAGCTTGGGGGTCTTCAACGGCTCGCAACTTGACCAATGTGTGTACACACTTGGTGGCTTCCGTTCTTCCGCCATCATTCCAATTAGCAATGTCCCTGCTGTCGGGCGCGCTCAGCAGGTCCAACTGCTCCAAGGGCGCGTCAAAGTTCTGGACAACAGACGACAGGATATCTCTAAACGTGTCGGCGACGCGGATGGCAAAGGGCCGATTGAGGGCCGATGTCCAGTACTTGAAGATGACGCTGACATCGGCCTCGGAGACGTTCACGTTGAGTGTGATGTCGTACTCGGTCTTGCTCTGCCCGCCAATGCGCTCCAGGTGGAATTTGCGGCCCGAGTCTGCCTCCTTGTGTTGTTGGGAGCGCTGATATGACAAGACTGTATTGAACAACGGCCTCTTTGTCAGACCCAAGGCGTGGTGAATCTCGGCCAAGGGCGTGAACTGATGAGATAAGCTCTGCACGAAAGCCTTTTGAATTCCGATGGCGACCCCTCTTGGGGTTTTGGTCTGTGTGACCAGTGCGTGGCAGATGAGCATGTTCAGCACTGGACCGATGACATTCTCAATCTCGGGGATGGGGGCATCACGCCCAGAAGCCAGGAAGCCAAAGGACACAGACTCCTGGCCGGTATAGACGCGGAGCACCAGGGCCAACACCGTCAAGAACAATGTCGACAGAGTGATTCCCGCACGAGAACATGCCGGCTGCAGCGATGCGAGAGAATGCTCAAGCTTGATCGCAAATATCTCGTGATTGGGCTCGCTGGTGCCGTCTTCCCCAGAGATGCTGCCTCCAGTAAGGGTCGGGAAGTGACATGGGACGGCTTGCGAGAGGTAATCTTTCCAGAAGGCCAAGGATAAGGATGCGTCTGGCTGCGCAAGGTAGTTGATCAAGGCACTATACGGAGTAGGCGAGTGTTTGAGCTCTCCGTCATACGCGGCGCTCAGCTCTCGAGCCAAGACGGGCGCTGATTCCCCGTCAAAGATGGTATGGCTGATGGCAAACTTGAGGAACTGCCTTCCGTCGCTCGCCCGGACGAGTTTCAACTGATACTGAGGCCGCGAGGGATCATCGCTTTTCAATGAAGACACAACTGACAAGAGATCCTCGTCGTGGATATCCGAGATGGACTCCTCTTCAATCAAGGCGTGCCTCTCGCGAAACACGATCTGATCCATGTGTCCATTGGGTGCGGCAAGGAATTCAGTCCTCAAGGACGAGTGGCGACTGACAACCAACTGCCATGCCTTGGAAAGGCGCTCCAAGTCCAATCGTGCCGATGGATCGGAAGGTTTGACTTCCCACACGTAGCTGAGAATGTACTTGTCTCCCTGGTTTGTAGATTGCGACAGCAAGAGTCCTTCTTGCATTGGAGAGCAGCGATATACATCCTCAATAACCGAAACTTGGCCCACGCCGAATCGGGCCAGTGAGTCTTGTAGCCTGTCTGTTTGTTCCGCAGCGTGATGTGACAGAGGGTAGTTGTAGGCAGAGAATGGCACATTGGCAGAGATCGGCTGACCGTTGGTAGAAACAACATCGCCGGTAATAGCAACGAGCGTCTCTTCAAACCGACGCAGCCAGACACTGACGCGATCACGGTGTTGAATATCGGGAGGGTAGAGAATAGAGAACTCGACCTGTGAGGAGACGACGGCGGCCGTGATCTCAAACACGGCCAAGAGGTTGACAAAGCTGCTGCGGAACTTTGTCTTGCTGGCTGCTAGGCCAAGTGCCCGAGCATGGACCGGATTACGTTGTGTTCGAGGCGGGCCATGCCGCAGCCAGGAATCGTCTCTTTCGAGAATCTGATATATGCCTTCGTAGTTGAACACAACCTCTAGCAGCTCATGGGTAGGCGACCGCACAGCTTTGGGTGATAGCATCTTGGCTGTGTAATCCGCCCATCCCTTATCAGGCAAGTCCTTTCTAAGACTGTGAATGGCTTGAGCCACCGCCGCCGTATCCTGGTCTCGTGTGATTCTCCCAACGGGTATGGGTGCCATGGTTGTGAACCAACCGACGGTGCGGGATAAATCTACATGGTCGCTCCACGGCTGGCGTCCGTGACCTTCCTGGAGGACTGTCGGGATGACATGATCAGGAAACACCTCGGCCAACGACTTGGTCAACGCCGCGATGAACATGTCAATCGGCTCGACGCTCAGAGCCTCGGGAATTGGTCCTATGAGAAGCTGGCTCACGTGTCGACCCAACCGAAAGCCTCCCTCGACAGCATCGCCGTATGTATGAGCTGGCGCAGAGAGGCCCCAGAAGGACGTGTCTGGAGGGTCCAGAGCCCAAGGGAGGGTGGTCGCAGGATCGAGCGTCTGAGCCTTGTCGAACTGCAGCCGACACCATTCAGAGAATGGGTAAGGCGGCGGATGGTCGATGTGGCCGAGGCGTAGCAGTTCCTCCAGCTCTTGGAACAACACTCTCCACGACACCAGGTCTACTGCGAGCTGGTGTGCTAGAAGGTAGACAAATTGGCCCTGCCCCTTGACATTGAAAAAGTCGACGCTAAACACGGGACCTGCTTCGACATCGAGGCCAGCCTGAGCCTTTTGGACAGCTGCATCAAGGCGCTCTAAGCTTCGTGTGCTGTGAGATCGCAACTCAAAGTCATCTTCGTTTTGGCTGACAATAAGTTGCTTCCAGGATCCGTCTGGCTCTTGCTTGAAACGAGCTCGCAGCATCTCGTGCCGATGAATCAGTGTTTCGACGGCATCCGTCAACGTCTCGACGCTCACTTTTTGAGGCAGAGTGAGAAGAAATCCCTGATTAAAGGACGAGTCACCCTCTGGCGCCAGGCGAAAGTGCTGCTCTTGCATGGGCGTGAGGACAAACTGAACATTCACGTCCTTGGCCACTGATGCTGCCGGCTGGGAATTGAGCCCTGAGCGGGACTTGGCGGCTAGGTCGACGATTCCATCTGCCGAGAGGATGTCCTCGACGGTGATTATGATGCCTTTTACTCGGGACTCTCCCATGACCTGCATGGCCGAGATTGAATCACCCCCAGCGCTGATGAATGATTGGTGTAGGCTGACACGGTCGACGGGCACGTTGAGAACGTGAGCCCAGATCTGCCGCAGCGCAGCCTCTCGTTCACTCCGCTGCCCATTCTCAACCACCTTGTGGGATTCGGTGGCTGGCTTTGAGTCGGAAGTAGTGTGCCTGATGTCATCCTTCATATCCTCGATCCATCTAGTGATCTGGTTACGATCAACCTTGGCCGACGGCGTCAGCGGCAGAAACTCCACCACAAACCACGCGGCAGGTATCATGTACGAGGGCAGCCTCTTACCAAGGATTGCATGTAGTGTTTCCACTGCATTTGCAACGGCTCCTTGGTGTTCCTGTCCGACTAGCTGAAGGCGGCCATCTTTCGGTGCCGCCTGGGCGAGCTGAACCAGAGACACCACGGCGACAAGTCGCTCCGCCCAGTGGCCCTTCTTTGGCAGAAAGACTGCCCCTTGCTTCACGGACGGCGCAGAGGTCAGATGATGTTCGATGTCGCCCAGTTCCGTTCTTTGTCCGCGTATCTTGACCTGGTGGTCCTTGCGACCGACAAAGCGCATGGTGCCATCGCTGGCATACCGGACCAGATCGCCGGTCTTGTAGAAGCGCCTCGGAGATGAGGTGTCTGCCTTGGCCCATGCGGGATTCTCAATAAAGGCAGCACCAGTGCGCGCAGGGTCGCCGAGGTAGCCTCGCGCCAGTATCGGCCCTTCAACCAGCAGTTCGCCCACTGCTCCGATGGGACTGAGAGAATCATGGTTGTGCGGGCTGGCAATCCAGAGTACGGCACTGGGAAGAGCGTACCCGATATTGGCAGGGTCTATCCTGCCCTCTGGCTGGGAACCGCTGACAGACGATCCCGGAAACGTGCTGAGCTCGCTGACGGCACAGCAGATGGAGCATTCCGCAGGCCCGTACGAGTTCAGCAGCCGGACTGAAGAGGCCCACGTGTCGACGTTGCTCTGCGTGATGGCCTCACCGCCGAGGACGAGAGTCTGAAGAGTCGGCACTTGGTCCGGCGTCAGCAGCCTCGCCACCGTCGGGGTGAGGAACGTCCAGTTGACTCCCATGCGGTTGATGGAGCCGGCAATGTCGTTGAGGCGCTCCTCGTCCGACGGGACGCACACGCAGCCGCCGTGCATCAGCGTCGTCCAGATGTCTTGGTTGCTCACGTCGAAAGTGTAGGCGGCAAACTGCAGCACGCGCGACTTTTTGCCCAGGCCCATGAACTTTCCGTGGGCGAATGCGCTTGTGCACATGCTCTGGTGGGAGAGGACGATTCCCTTTGACTTTCCAGTGCTTCCCGAGGTGAAGACTACGAATGCCGCGGCGGATGGCTTGCCTGGTGATAGCCGGTTCTTCTGCCCAGCTCCGCCATCGTCATCTTTCGGTGCCAGTCGGAACCAGTCATCGATAGCGATGATGGCCTCCGACACGGTTCCCTCCAGTGACTTTTGGACTGCACGGCTGCTCACGACAAGCTTCGCCTCCGTCTGGGACAATATCTGCTGGAGTCGTTCAGGCGGGTAGGACGGATCCAAGGCAGCCGCGGCCCCTCCCGCCTTCAATATGGCCAGGACGGCGACGATGGTCCACGAAGACTTGGTGAAGCAGAACGGAATGATAGTCTCAGACTGGACGCCGAGCAAGACGAGGTGGCGAGCAAAGCGTTCTGCTGCGTCGTTGAGCTGCGCAAAAGTGTAGTTCCCATCAAGAGCGTGGATGGCAGGCGCATCAGGCTGCTCCAACACTCGCTGGTAGACGATCTGATCCACCGAGACGGGCCACAGATCTGGCTGGCCGACGTTCCATTGCTGCAGCTGCTTCATCCCCTGATCGCCCAGGAGGGTGACATGCCCAATCGTCGTGGTTTCATGACTGCCGAGGATGCTGGTGAGTGCCTGCTCCAAGGCTTGCGTTACGTTGGCTGCATCCAACTCTCCCAAGGAAGCAGTGTCGTATCGCACCTCCAACCAAGGCACGTAGAGTTGGATTGCATACTACCAAAAACGTTAATTCTGGCCACCATCATGATGGCCTGCGCACTTACACTGGAGTTGTCCTTAGATCCGGCTTGTAGTTGTGTAGTCTTTGAGCTGCCACGATCACTTTCGTCGTACCATATGCCCGTGTTAATGGAAGACTGCAGTAGCCTAGATAATGGCTGCACATCTACTTCTTGGGCATCTGAGTCACCCTTGCTACCGGTGATATTCCGGATGAGTCGCGCCAGTGGCGTAGTTGTGTCTGTCCGCACTTGGACAAGGAGAGGCTCTGTTGTTGATGCGTCCTGGAGCGCAAAAGCCACACTCTCAGCCGCGCTATACTCACGGAGCACCAAAGCCCATGCAGTGGCCACCACGTTATGAAGCGGCACAGACTTTTGCTGACAGAATGATCCCAGCTCTGAAATCAGTCCATGTCCGAAATGAGTCGTTTGATAGCCAGGAGCACCGTATCCTGCCAACGTCGGGAAAATACATGGATCAACCGTGGCTGTTTGGTCCGCCATTTTTGCATATACGTGCTTACGTAGTCTTCTGTTTGCGTACCATAAACATGTGGTATAAATCGCTATACTATTTATACAGAAAGCCGGCGACTCGCCGGCTGTCAAAGACCACCATGCTGTGCAACAGCTCGCCATCTGTTGCAGAAATGGCGGCACAATGTCTACCGAAGGTCTGCAGGGGAGCCCAGCCAAGAATTACGAGCAACTGCCCAGCGTTGAAGGTATAGTATTTCAGGTGTAGTTCTAGCTGTGGCAAAGTGTATATGGGTAGACTACAGATCGATATTACCCGCTGACAGGTGAGCCGTAAGCTACATTACAAACCCATCACATTCAGGCCTGTAACATCAATCTCTTCTCGGTGAGATACGCCGAACTGGAGCCAGATGCTTAAGCTCGGAGAAGTGGTTGCGCCTTTCCAAGGCATCATCTTGAAGATCTTGAGCCCTAACTGTCATCAGGCTCCGCGAGATCACAAGGCCCGCTGAAACCCATGCTCTTGAGAGGGCTTACAGGATCAAATAGATGACGTGACATTATAATTTGTCAGATGTATCGGATATATTGGTTGTAGTTCCAGTACTTGTCATCCTGTGGCTGGATGCAACGCAAATCTATGTGCGGTAGGATTAACATCCTAGAAGCCATTACTTGACCCTATAACATCTAAAAAAACCAGTAAGAAATGTCAAATGGCCATTGGCTTGTTGTTATTCAACTAATGTTACAACAAACGTAAGAAGTATTGACCAAACAGGGATGTCGTGGGGGTTCATACATGTTACCATCTAGCCGGCAGTCAACTGCATAGGGTACGTTTAGTAGTTTGATGCTGACTGCAGCTGACAGAGACGTCCGCTCTTACTTTGAGCTTTGTACACAGGTATAGGCCTCCTCGACATAACCGTATTTTCTCAACCAAAGACCCTTCACGTAATTGCAGGGATGCTATGGCGAAAGGAGGAAACTAATCTTGTGCATCATATTGTTACCTTCGAGGAGCGAACAATGGATCCCGTCATGCTGGGATTACTAGAGTTGCCATTGTGCATAAGTACGCCAGTGTCATTGACTTTAAGAACTGCCCGAAGGATTATCAAAGGCCTCGGTTAGCCAAGGAAGTCAACAAAATTAGTAATCTCGCAAACTCCATACCCCCCCCGGCACTATGCGCATCGGCCTTGTCCAGTTCTCGCCCGTTGCGGGGAAGACGGTCCGGAACATGAAGCAGGTGGACAGAATTCTCCGCGAGTCGGCAGTGGGCCAATTAGACATGCTGGTACTGCCTGAGATGGCCTTTTCCGGTTCGTCACCACTGCAGGAATACTGATTCAGGTTGGGGGAGTAACTTTGTTCGGTTCTGACTCGATATCCGCAATCAAAGGGTACTACTTTGCGTCGGCGCAGGACATTGAGCCCTACCTTGAGCCCACGTCCAGCGGGCACTCGACTCTCTGGGCTCAGCGTGTTGCCAAGCAACTGCGCTGCTTCGTGACTATCGGGTACCCCGAAAGGACGACGACGAGTCCCGTGCGGCGGTACAGCTCATGCGTGGTCGTGTCTGACACTGGTGAGGTGGTGGCCAACTACCGCAAGAGTAGCCTCTACTTCCAGGACGAGACATGGGCAGAGGAGGGAGAGGGCTTCTTTGCAGGGGAGATGCAGAAGCTCGGCCAGGTTGCCATTGGCATCTGTGAGTTTCGAGATCCACTACACCAACCGACAATCGTGAAACAAAGTAGCTAATCTGACACTCAAAAAACAAAAGGCATGGATCTGAACCCCTACCAGTTCCGCGCAGCTTGGAGCGAGTTCGAGTTTGCACGCCATGTGGTGCGTCACAAGGCACGACTGGTCTTGATGCCGCTGGCATGGGTGACGGTCCAGGACCCAGCCGAGTTCGACAAGGGGGCCGGGGACCCAGACAAGGCCACCCTGGACTACTGGATCCGGCGGTTCGAGCCGGTCGCGGGTGGCAACGGTATCCACGGCGGTGAGGAGACGGTCGTCGTGCTGGCGAATCGGTGCGGTAGAGAGGCGGACAACCTCTATGCCGGCACGAGCTGCGTGCTTGGCTTTGGCGGGGGCGAGCCGCACGTCTACGCGGTGGCCAGCCGTAGCTCGGTGGGACTCGTCGTTGCGGATACTTCTCCTTGAGAGTGTAGATCAAAGCCTGCCTTGGACTAGGTTCCCCCGTGCCGCAGGCAGCTCACACCTGGTGAAGAATCCTTGACAGATCGGTGCTCTGTCAGTAGTAGATCTCGGAAGAAGCAGCCAAGTGGGTAGCGTACGAAAAAGACATAGACTCTCTTCCTTGGCAAGACTTCCTCTTGTATTGTTATGTGTAGCTACTTGGAACCAATGTCAATTTATGGCAAGATGAAAACTCTAGACAGTAGGCAGTTAAACTTGACTTACTACTGTATATTCTTATTTTATTGTTAGTCAGACTATTTTATTTTGAGTTAATTGTAAGAAAAGTGACATTGTTTGGGTGTGCCATTTCCCATGCATATGCTTCTCACATGACCAAACCCCCAAAGTTGTACACTGCTTGCTCTCATGTACTGGAGATGAATCTCGATGTTTACAATTCTGCTTGGCGCCTTCGGCCAAACCTGTTTCCAGTTGTATAAATCTTTCCTGCAGGCAGTCAGCGTTACATAGCACGCCATGAAGCCCTGCGCCTCCGCAATGTCGTGATATGTCGCTATACGCCTTTGTAGACTCTCGGCTCAAATGACGCGTCTGAACTTTTCTGACGTGGCTTCTTGGGACTGCTAGCCGACGCCAATGCGTCATGCACGTGAGGCTTCAGGACGGCTACAGATTGGTTTCGAGAGTTCTACTTGTATAGAGCTTACACTCACTACAGCCTCAGCGGTTATGCAGCATATAGTACTTCGGGATATAGCGACAGTTATATACGATTCCATCATAAGGCCGAGAGATACTCCAAACTATCACGGATCTGGACAAATGCATTGCAAACTATGTAAGGATCTGGAGATCTCCGGGGAGACAGTCAAGCTCGGTGCCCGTGGTACAAAGGCAAAGTTGCGACTCTTGACAGGGACAAGGGTTTCGGCATCGGGCTATTTTACCTGTTTTGAAAACCCACCACGAATGCAAGGGGGGGGAGGGTGCATGCTGTACACCACAGGAGATGGGTGACACAAGTTACGTGTTGACATATTGCACCATTTCTCTCCTCAAAGTCGTATTCGAAAAGGAGGTGAGAACCTTGTTTTGACCCATGGCTATGTCTGCGGTGACTGGCAGCGCCTGTCGAGGCCGGAAAAGGATGCTGACTCTGCTGAGCACAGTTTTCGAGCAAGAGATGCCAACTCGACCACTTGACTAAAGCTCGCTCCGATATCAAGCCAGCGCGAGATATAGGTGGCACATCACTCAGTTGGGTTCCAGATCGTATCATCAAGATGCCAGCTACATGTTGGTCGCGAAATGACGATACCTTGGGACCTCAGGTCCTGGGATGCCGTGGAAACTTCGACTTTACAGTCTACTTTGAGGAAGTCGTGTTCATCATTGCTCCCGCGTCGCTGGCCATTCTCTGCCTGCTGCTGCGATTTCGACAGCTGCGGTCACGGCCGGTACTTGCGCACGCTGGGATCCTATTGGCGCTGAAAACTGTAAGCTGACTTCGATACCACACTGACAATGGACATTCTGATCATTTTCAGTGCACTTGGGTGTGTCTCAGCGCCTTGCAGGTTGCTCTGCTTGTACTCTGGGCAGTCACTGGCTCCCCCAAAACTCCAGCAAGCATACCAGCTGCGGCATTAGGCCTCCTAGTAGCATTGGGCGGTACCGTACTATCCCCATTGGAGCACCGCTCGTCCATCAGGCCATCTGCCGTCCTCTCAGCCTACCTGTTTATTACCATCATCTTAGATATAGCGGTGACACGAACTCTCTGGCTAGCTCTTACGAACAATGCCATTCCCAGCATTTTTACGGCCAGTTTAGTATTCAAGATTGCTATACTTGTCTTGGAGTCATTGACCAAAGCAGGGCTTTTGTATGACGAGAATGAACATCCCACCGCCGAGGATTCGAGCAGCATCTTTGGCCGCCTTCTGTTCCTCTGGCTTAACCCACTCCTTTGGAAGGGAAATCGGCACGACTTATCTATAGAGGACCTGCCACGAATTGGCAGTGGCCTATCGCGGGCGGAGAGATTCCCTGAAACATGGAAACAAGGTGCGCCGCCCCTTGCGTCGTGACGATATCCTCACCACAGCAACAGATGCATTGGCTGACATGTGTCAATAGATTCTCACAAATCTGACCGTCATAGGCTTTTGCTTGTCCTCATCGAGGACTTGAAATGGCCACTTCTGGCGGGAGTGATTCCCCGTCTTGGCGTGATAGGGTTCAAGTACGTCCAGCCGTTCATGATAAGGCGAATGGTCCGCTGGCTGGACGAGCCCCTGTCGGCAGACTCTCAGAACGAGGGATACGGCCTCATTGCGGCCTTTGGCCTTGTATTCATAGGATTGGCTGTACGTCAACTCCCAAACCTAGCTCGGTGGCTGGTAATCTTTGCTGACAGACTTGCAGCTCTGCAATTCGCGATATCAGCATCTGTCATACCGATTGGTCGTGATGATTCGCACCCGCATGATCTCCGTCATTTACCAAAAGACTTTTACCATGGATCTCCTGCAAGGTGAGAGCCGGGCTCCAATAACTCTGATGAGTACAGACGTGGAGCGCATATCTCATGGGCTCGGCTTTCTCCACGACGTCTGGGGTTCCATCCTTGAAGTTGCAATTGCAACATGGCTTCTCTGGCGGGAGCTCCGCGTCTACGCAGCCGCCACACTCATCATCGCGTCAACCTGCGTCGTCACCGCGTTGACGGTGGGCAAGCTCACCGGCCGCCGCCAGCAGGCCTGGATCGAAGCTGTGCAGACGCGCATCGCCGTCACCTCAAGCGCCCTCCCCCACATCAAGGACATCAAGTCGGCCGGGATGGTGGACACCATAACGTCCGTGCTGGAAAAGTTCCGCCTGGACGAGGTGGAAGCGTCCAAGAGGTGGCGGCGGCTGACGGTGCTGATGGTGGCTGTTGGGTTCTACAACAGCGCGCTGGCCCCCGTCATCTCCTTCACGTCCTACGTCCTGACCTCTCCCGAGGCAGACGGGGTGCTCACCCTGGACAGGGCAATGACGGTACTCACCATCTTCGCGCTCTTTGGTGCTCCGCTCAACATGCTGTCAGAGTCGGCGAGTGGCCTCTTTAGCGGGATCGCTTGTATCGAGCGTATTCGCCGATTCCTTGTTTCGCCAGATCATCCTCAGAGAAAAGGAAGACTTGTCGATGACGAAGTCCTGGCAATGGGGGAAAAAGGAGAGCTGACCTCGGAGAAGGTAACGGCGACGATAGCACTGACAGACGCCACCTTTGGCTGGAGCACAGAGAGCGATTCTGGCCCAAGTGAACTGACTCTGTCGATTGAGAAGGCGACGGTGACGGTCCTGGCTGGCCCCGTGGGCTGCGGCAAGTCGACGCTGCTGCACGGTCTGCTGTCCGAGAACTACCTCTTGAAGGGCGATGTGGTCATCAACCCATCCAGAATCGCCTACTGCAGCCAGACCCCTTGGGTCACAAACAGTACGCTCCGTGAGAACATCATTGGCTGCACTCCCTTCGATGAGTTTCGCTACCAGGAGGTGATACGATGCTGCGGCCTCGTCCAGGACATTGCCGCGTTGGCGAATGGGGATCAGACAAAGCTTGGCAGCGGCGGAGCAGCCATCAGTGGCGGCCAGAAGCAGCGAGTGGTATGTTCCAGTTTTGCACATGGGTTTGAGTCCTTTGATTCTGGCCTTGGCTGACTAGCTTGCTTCTCCTTCAGTCACTTGCCCGGGCGGCCTATTCGTCGGCCGAGATACTCCTGCTCGACGACGTGCTCAGCGGGCTGGACTCGATCACGGCCCAGCACGTTGTGCACCATCTACTCGGCCCAGATGGTTTGTTGCGCCGGCAAAGAAGAACAGTAGTGCTTGCCAGCTCCTCTCGTGAGTCTTTTATCAGACACCCAAGGGATTTTGATTACTAACCTTGGTAGGAAACGGCCTCGGTGTCGCAGACACAGTCATCTGGCTGGATCGGACTGGTCGTATTTCCAACCAGGATACGGTGGTCGACTTGCCGATACAATCCAGCTCTTCGGTAGCTCCTGATCCTCCTGGTAAAAGTGAGGAGGAAACGACCAACGCTGAAGCTTCTTCTGCAGATGAGCGTTCGCCGACTCGGCTGGAACACGCTCTGAAGCAGCGAAAGGGTGACTGGCGAGTGCTCCAGTATTACATCCTGCGCATGGGAACCACGGGAATGATTCTCTATGGTCTTTTGATGGTGATCTTCACCTTCTTCTACGGTTTTGCTCGTAAGTGTTGCCCTTTCATCCCACGCTCGAAGAACACAGCTGAGTCCAACTAGCTGTCTGGGTTGAGCTATGGGCCCAGTCCTCGGGCAAGAGGCTGAACATGTATGTTGGAATCTACTACATGGTCGCCGCGTCCCAGATCCTATTCATCGGAGTTGCTGCTGGGTAAGACAAACCACAAACGAAGCTGTCTGAATTCGTTCTGAACCCTCTAGGTATCTTCTCCTGGTACTTCTACCTCGTGCTTCTCTAAATTTCCATGACATTCTCTTGAAAGCCACAACACAGTATGTTGGTAATATCCTCACCAACGTCTGTTACGTCTAACCATCCACAGTGCACCACTTAGCCTTCTCACAAGTGTCGATGTTGGGATCACAACAAACAGGTAGACTACTTTCTCTGGCTTCAATATATCGGCATGGCTAAACTCTCGAGTTTCAGATTCAGCCAAGATCTTCAACTGATAGACACCGAGCTCCCAATCTCTCTGTTCAACACAACGCTGGCCCTGGGTTACTGTATCATGCTTCTTGTCATCATATGCATCTCCGGCAGATACATTGCTGCGACCCTGCCATTCTTCCTAAGCATCATGTTTTACGTGCAGCGTTCCTATCTGCACTCCTCCCGCCAAATCCGCCTCCTTGATCTTGCGGCCAAGGCGCCCCTCTTCTCTCATTTTTCGGACACGTTGGATGGTCTCGTCACTCTGAGGGCGCTCGGGTGGCAGACATCATACGAGGAGCGCCTTCAAGATCTGCTTACTACTTCGCAGAGACCCTTTTACGCGCTCTACTGCGTCCAAAGATGGCTCAATCTCGTCATCGACCTGATCATCGCCGCAGTGGCCATCATCTTCTCCGGTATTGCAGTGGCGCTGCACGGCTCGCTCAGCACAGGCCTTGTGGGGCTCGCACTGATCAATATCATCACTTTTAATGGCAATGTAAGGGTTTTGGTGGTTCAGTACACCAACCTGGAGACGTCTATTGCCGCTGTAGCTAGGATACGAGCATACGAGAAAGCCACTCCTTCAGAAGTCCGCCCTGGGGAAGAACAAGAAGTACCCCATGACTGGCCGCGTCAGGGAAGGCTGGAGATTATCCAGGCGTCGGCATCGTATCTGTAAGACGCAAGCCAACCCATCCTTGAGATGTCAATACTGACTGCAGTCTGTAGCGATCTGGACTATCTTGTCCTCAAGAACGTGTCTCTTACCATTCCGGCAGGAAGTAAAGTCGGCATATGCGGGCGGAGTGGCAGGTATGTGGTACTCCCAGCTCGGAGCACAAGTCGAGACTTTGCTGACCTAGACAGCGGCAAATCGTCGCTTTTCGCCGTCCTCCTCCGCATGCTCGAGTTGCAAGGTGGATCGGTGCTCATAGATGGCATAGACACTGCGGACGTGCCTCGGACAAAAGTACGGGAGCGGCTCAACGCCCTTCCCCAGCAACCTTACTTCATCCCCAACACCTCTGCGAGGACCTGCATCGACCCATTCTCCCAGTTGGAAGATGGGGAGGTGGTGGGTATATTGAAGGAGGTCCAGCTGTGGGACCATCTTGGCGGTACTGATGCTGCGCTGGATCTCGTTGTCAGCGACAGCCTCCTCTCGCACGGCCAACGGCAGCTTCTTTCTCTAGGGCGCGCCATGGCCCGTCGCGCGTCGACGGGCAACATTCTGCTGCTGGACGAGGCGACGAGCCAGCTGGACCCTGACACCGAAGAGATTGTGCGCCAGGTGATCCGTCGGTGCTTCTCGGACCACACGGTCATTGCCATAGCTCACCGTCTAGACACCATAGTAGATTACGACCTCATAGCAGTACTTGATCAAGGCAACGTGATTGAGGTTGGTGCCCCAAGCGACCTGTTGGCACAGCCGTCCTCCGCCTTTAGGCAGCTCTACGATGGGCAGAAAGGAGGTAGCTGATGTATTTACTCAATATATTTTTGTAAATTCCCCATGCTAGAAGTTTGATGGCAATATTAATACAGCAGTGGGCTCACACTGGGAATATTGTCTTGGAAGGCTCGTTTTCCATGATTTTTTACAGAGAGCACACCTCATTCGGCCTAGTTTCATCAATGTAGAACCAGTCAAAGCATGTACGAGTAAATTCGTGACAATCCACGCAGTCACTAGAGTGACGTCCTGGCTGTCGGTATGAGCAGCTTGCTCGCCAATTGGTGTTTCCAAACTTTCACAATCTCAGAGCGCCATTGCCTCATACTCAGTGCACGGTTGGAAAGTCGTGATCTTGGTGTTTCTAATCGTCATCATGGTACACCATAAGCTCGAGGTATCATAGTTGGCGGGCCCTCAGTTTGTATTCTAGACAGAAGCCGGTCCGGCGGTCTTGTTGAGACAACATCCGTCGCTTACCTGGACAAATCACGTAGTGTAGCAGAGCTCAATCCTTTGGCCGTCGTGCCTTGATGATCCAAAGTCCCTACTAGCGACACACCCACCAGTTTTGGGAAGGCGTCTTAACATAAGATCTTGGTGGTTTTGCATTGGAAGATCTGGCTGCGAGTGTCATACAAGGCTCGTCCCAAGGCTTTTGTGTGACTATTCTCAAGTTTTGTCACGATGGATGAGCGAATTCGAACCTCCAAAGGGTCCGACCGTGCTTTACTCTGTGCCTTGTCTCCATGTTGCAGCTGGGAGTCTGAAGCAAGGTCCTGCCTGGCGAAGCACCTGAAGGCCTATACCATGCAAGCATGGCCGCATGATTGTTGCAGAAACTGCAGCCTATTTCTCGGACCGCGTCCAATGAACTTCAACTACCCAAGAGCATCGGATCGGGCATATCGTGCGAGCAAAGTCGCCCGCCTGTGCTCAAAACAAGCAAGATGACGCGACGAACAAGCTACCGCATCCAGTAGCAGAAACAAGCAAGATGCTACGAACGCGTTACTCCATGTAGGAGCAGAAGCAAGCAAGATGACGCTACGAACGCGTTACTGCATGTAGTAGCAGAAACAAACAAGACGACGCTAAGAACACCCTACCGCATGTAGTAGCAGCCGGCTCGGCGTTTCGCTCCCCTGTACAAAATGGCTCAAGCTCCAGCCTGCAAATAGCGCCATGGCCCTGGTTCGTCATCATGTACCCATTGGAACGCGTGCTGTCCTGAAGTTCCAGCCAGACCTCCTGCAGGGGGGGGAAGAGGGGTGCCTCGCCGGCCATTGCCCCCGGCCGTGGGGGAGGGTCCCAACCGGGATGGAGACAGCCTTAGCGCTGGGGAGCTTGACGGGAGCTTGACAGGGAGCCCGGGACAATAACAAGGCGGCGGCGCCGAGTCGCCATACTCACTCCACTCTTGAGTCGGGATCAAGTACAAGTACTTCGTATACAAAAGCCAGAACATGAAGAGATCATCTTGGTCACAAACCTCAGGCAGACACGTAAAGCTTACATTTACCATACTGCTCTCGGACAAGTGGCCATCACGACAGGTAGGGGCCACATGTTGACATGGAATGCCCAGTCCTTTTACACCGAGATCTGGCCCGGCCTATCTGGTCCGGCCCGTCAAAGTTCAGACCTATTCGCTACGACGTTGAGCTAGGGCCAGCACCAGCCCCAGCTCCATAAAAGGATGGCAGTGCTTATGCATCCAAGTGCCAGCAGGCTGAATCAAGCAAGGTCACGGGGTCTATTTGTCCCATGGTATCTGGGGAAACTTGCAGATACATGGGGATTCGTCGAGGTAGTAGGTCATACAGCCTATCTGGATGTACTGGCTAGAGATTTTGGCACTTGTGATTCCAGCCATGATAGGTGGCCGTCGATGCATCGTCTAATCGATATTACACAGTTGGCTTCGTATCCTGGGGGTGACCTTACTGGAGCCTATTGACACCCAATGGGGTTCGCACACATCACTGTGCCGCAGGTTTGGCTCGCCTCCAGCTCTGGCGAAAGTCTCCCCTGGTTGTAGTTACCTACATTGGCAAAGGAGTTCTCTGATACCCCACGAGTATCAGCTCATTATGTTTGCACAAAGTGGGTTCTCTCGTATATACGCACATGGATGGGAGGGAAGGAGGGCAACCAAGCATGTCAGTAAGTTCGCTTGGACTCCCCCTTTCATGGCTGACGTAGAGACCCGTTGGGATTCATGCACAGCAAGGAGACAACTACAACCGTAGAATCACAAGGAAAATGATGTCAACCTCATGGGCGATGATCCCAGATCTAGGAAAGTACACTTCTTACAGTAGTATAAAAATCACACTTGTTGACCTGAATGTGCACAAACTAGACAACAATCGCCCCATGACAAGCTCTTCTCACACAATTTCCCCCACCTACATGCTCATTAGATTTTATACTTTAAGAAGAAACTTTTTATCCCTCCATTGAGGCTCAATAGGCAATGGCTCCTACGGTACCTCAAACGTTCTTCAACCTGGCCTCAGTTCAAGCCGTGTTCGACTTTGACAAGAACGCGCTCTTTGGTCCCTCCACGACGGGCAATGTCCCCACCAACTGGAAGACATTTGAAGATCAGCCCATCTCAGCCCGCTCACTGGTTGACGTCTTCGCCAATAGAGCCCCTGTCATTCGAGTAAAAGAGTTTCTAACTTCTGATGAGTGCGAGCGGTTGCTGCAGGTAGTTCGCACACATAAACTGGTGAGCAGTCTCAGCAACAGGGTCACCCTGTCGCCCAAATTTCAGCCGGCACATCACTAATCTGACAGGGCGCCTACGATACTGAGAATACGTGGCCAAGAGTTGGGATATCTGGTATCACACAATATGACCACATTCAAGGCAAGTCAATGATACAGGGGTGAGGACGCTCATGCAAAACATCTCAGCTTATACGCCAGACCTTTAGACAAAAATCTTTACTTCGACAGTGTCCGCGAAGCACGCTCACTGCAGGAGCGCTGGAAGACGGAGGCTGGAGTGGATGTCATCGAGCGTGTCATTGACCGACTTCGATCCGTCAGCGGAATGACTGTCCGTGTCGCCAGTGAAGATGACAGAGAGTACTTTGCCGGCATTCTTCGTGCCGTCGACCGTGGAATCGGCGTCCATGCAGATTGTGCGATTTATGTAAGTCTTGTCCTTTCTCTTATGTTGACCGGGTGGACTCGCCGTGTCTAAGTAGAGTTTTTGTGTTTCAGGAAGCGGCTGGCTGGAACATTAGCGAGTGTGCGGCGCAGTTGACTTGGAACATCCTCCTCAACAAAGTCCCCGGCGGAGACACCATCGTGTACGATCGCCAGTGGCTGGCCCCCGACGACGACATTGCCTGGCGGAAAGAGTTTCCCCGAGACTCCTATCACCCTCAGATGCTCCAGGGCCACCCTTTTAAAGCCATGGAGGCCGTGCCTGGTGACTTGACCTTTTTTAATCCACGGTAAGCACCTATTTCTTCTTCTTCTTCTTCTTCTTTTTTTTCTTGTTTCTGTTCTTATCTGACTTGCGACATAGAAACTTTCACGAAGTCAAGGCTTGCGACGTCTCTCGTGACCATCCGAAGCCCGATATTCGCTTCACTGTTAGCTCCTTTGTAGGTTACTTGCCTGGCAACTCATCGAGACCAGACACAATTGTTCTGTGGTCATGAACGATTATGGCGGAAACGTGGGATCGCATATATACTTTAGTCTTGTCACATTTATAAAAACATACTGAGTCAAAAATACGAGTGGCTTGACTCACAGTAAATGGCAGCAATGAAAGATGCCAGCACATTGAACACGACTATTGAAACATAGAAATCTTTGCCTGGTGATGGAAGGCTAGTGGCAGGGATCCAAATAAGTAAGCGGGGGTGCGATTACGCCCTTCATGACATGTACAAAGATTGTGGGGCTGCTGGAGTCAAAGGCAACCTCAAAAAGAAGTGAGGGGCAAATTCTGGAGCTATAAAAACACAGTCTTGCTGCTGTTTCACTCTGATTTCGCGTGCCCGCCTCCTTCACCGCTGCTGCTGCGTACCCAGTCACCCTTCTCTGCGACTCAACAGGTCGACAAGCCAAACCCAAAGACATTATTGGCGAGCAAATTCCGTCATTATGCAGCGTACTGTTCTGGCGTTCCAGCGTAACGGCCACCTGTCCACACTCCAGGTAGGTGTGACGGCAGTGAGGACGATTGCATCCCTGGAAGAAGCCGACAGAGGCCTTTTCAAGCAGGCCAAGGACGACGACCACGTTGTCGTCACCGACTCGACCGTCTTTCACCCCCAAGGTGGAGGCCAGCCCTCTGACCAAGGCACCATGGAGGCCGAGTCTGGGGACAAGTTTGACGTCCAAATGGTCCGCACGGCGGTGACCAGGCAAGACGAGGTTCTGCACTTTGGGCGATTCTCAAACGCCATCTTCCAGCCGGGGCAAAAGGTGATGCAGACCATCGACGTGGAGAAGCGCCTCCTCTACTCTCGCTACCACACGGCTGGGCACGTTCTGGGAGCAGCTGTCCGCCACCTGCTGGAGGCAAAGATTGACGGGTTCGACGAGACCAAGGCGTCTCACTTTCCAGACTCGGCCTCGTGCGAGTTCCTGGGCTCGATTGAGGGCAAGTGGAAGGAGGCCATCCAGGAGAAACTCGACGCGTACATTGACAAGGACATGCCAGTGGAGATTGACTGGTGGGATGAGCAGGACTTCAAGGACAATGGGCTGGAGAGGCTTATACCAGACCGCCAAGCCATGGGGATGGCTGACGGCGAGAATTTCCGGGTGGTCAAGATTATTGGCGCGGAAACCTACCCGTGCGGCGGGACGCACGTTGACAGCACGAGGCTATGTGGCAAGACGGTCGTGAAGAAGATTAGTCGGTCAAAGGGTACTAGCCGCGTTAGCTACAACTTACCTTGAGGCTGTGGTTATAATCTGGTATAGACGTGGAGGGTGGGACTAGCAGGGACTTAGTCTCTGTTATCTTGCTATAGTGGGTGGATAAAAGTGACGACGAAAGCGGGTCTTACCCTAGATTTAAAAATAAAACCTTAATCTTTTAATCTATATAAAACCTTAATAAAAATATATAATAATTTAAAAAAAATATTTTTCTATATATTTATTAAATTATTTTATAATATTTTTATTTAATTTTTAAAGTAATTAAATTAATTTTAAAAGTTAAAAAGAAAATAATATTATATAATATATAGTTTATTAATTAAATTAATAATAGGTATTTATTATTATTAATCTAAAAACTATTTATATTAATAAATTCTATATTAAAATATACTAAATATTATTATAAATAAAGGCCTTTATTAAGCTATAGAAAGTTATATATAAAGTAGATTAATAAAAGCTACCTTAGTAATTAATAAGGAGTTAACTTTACTTTAGTTAAATAAAGTTTTAAGTAAAAACCTTTATAAAATTACTAATAAACCCTTTAATATATATATATACTTATTTCTTAAAAAGAAATACTCCTTTTAATAATTATTAATAATATTATCTATATATTTATTACTACTAGCTCTATAATACTTATATATTAATAGTAACTTATATTATATAGCTTATAATAATTTAATTATATTACTTAAAGTAATACTTTAATTAATTTAACCTTAATCTATCTTAGACTATATCTAGTATAAATTACTTAACTATTATATATTAATAACTCTTATTTAGCTAATTACCTTATCTTAATTACTATATAATAATAAAGTAAATAATATAATTACTTTAGGAACTCTAACTTAATAGAATAATACTATAAGGGTACTAACTACCTAGTAAGTAATTAAATAACTCCTACTATATATTAAAGATATTAAGAAAAAATACTAAAAGGATTAAGAAGAAGTTATATAGTTAACCTTACTAGGACCTTTTACTAAAGATATCTAAGAACTAAATAGATTTAAAATTTAACTTTAAGCTTACTTTAAATTCTTCCTTACTAAACTTAAGGAAGATAAAGCTAAGATTAAGTTTATAGGAACTTACTTTATTAATACTATTAAATAATAGTTCTAAGTATTCCTTTATAATTAGTATAATAATAAAGCTAAATTAGATAATAGAGATTAGAATATAGTTAATATCTTTACTAGCTATAAAACTTTATTATTATACTTATAGAAGCTTTTAATAAGGTTAATTATAAATAATAAGCTATAAAAGAACTTAAGAACTTATAATAAATTAATAATACTTTAGGATATATTATAAAGTTTAGAGAAGTTATATCTTAATTAGACTAAGATAATAGCTTACTTAAAACTATATTTTATAATAAACTTAAAAATAAAGTTAAAGACTAACTTTATAAAATAGATAAACTAAATAACTTAATTAAATATATAGCCTTAGTAGTATAAATTAATAATTACTTATATAAATACTAAAAATAAAAAGGAAATAAATAAAGTAATTAAAATTATATAAAAGTAAGTAATAAACCTAACTATAAAGTATAATAAGCTCTATTATTATTTACTAAGTCTAGGATATATTTAGGTTCTATAAAGCTAAAGATTATAAAAAAAAGGAAATACTATAATTATAGAGAAATTAAGTATATCTTATCTTAGTATTTAAAACCTAAGAAATAATATAATTAAAAGCTTACTAAAGAAGGTATAAAATAACTAGGAATAATAAGAAAAACTAAGAAAAGAGTCTTAGGAATAATCTAAAAGATAACTTAAGAAGGAATACTTATAAGTATTATAGTTCTTAAATTTTCTATATTACTTATACTTATTTTCCTTAAGATAATAGAAAAATAGAAATAATAAAAAGATAATATAGTAAAAGAAAACTAATAATAAATTAAAGAAACCTTCTAAAATATAAAAAGGAAGTATAAAAAAAGCTAAATTAACCTAAAATATAGCTCTTTAACTAAATATAAGTTAATATTTTAATATAATAATAAGTTTATTAAATATATATTAGAAGAAAGGAAGTAATACTTATAAATAAAGAATATAATATAAAGAGAATATAAAGAAGTCTATATATATTACTAGCTAAAGATTAAGGAGTAAAATCTAGCTATTATAATAGTACTTATAGTTTATAAATAAAAGATAGTAAATACTATTTAATACTTAAATAGCTTTTTTAAGTTATTAAATTATTAAAAGGATATTATTAAGATAGAATATTATATAGAATTATAAATAATATATTATAATATCTTCTATATAATTTATTAATAATAAAAGGTTAAGAATAATACTTTTCTTTAACTTAATAAAAGGATACTTTTTAAGTATGTTAATAAATAAATACTTTACTTTATAAATAAATTACTTAATATTAATTAATATTTTATCTTTAAGGAAGACTTAGATAAATATTTTAAAGAATATAAATTTAAGGAATTACTAATTAAGCTATATTAAAAATAGTAATATAAAATCTATAAAGAGAATAAGATTAACTTATAGTATAAGTAAAAGGTTTAAGAAGATTAAGTAGCTTATAACTATAAGGAATATATTAAGTAATATAATAACTAAAAGTATTAAAATTACCTATATATAAAATAATTAGTATTTAACTTAGTAAGAGAAAGAGATAATAATAAGAATTATATAAAGAAATCCCTAAAATAATAATAAAATTAAAAAGAGAATAAATATTAATATTAGGAATAAATTATTATAGTATTATTAATTAAAGATAAAGAGTTTAATAAGAAATAAAAGATTACTTTTATAGATAAAAGAGAATAAACTATAATTTACCCCTAAGAAGAAGTAATACTTTTAAAGGAATAAGATAAAATTAGCTAATAATTAAGAAAGTTCTAAAAGTATATTTTAAGATATATAAATATATTTAAGATATTTAAAGAACTCTTAAGATAAATACTTAAGTATAATAATAAGTATAATAAATTTAAGAAATAAATTAATTAAGTAAAAATAATAATTATTATTTATAATAAAGCTATAGAATAATAAGATATTAAGTTAAAGGACTTTAAGAGTAATAAAAATTAAAAGCTTTATTAATATTATAATTAATATTAAGATTATAAAAAGAATATTTATAGCCTTAATAAACTATAAAGTATAAAGAGATTATATTTTATTAATAATAATTAATTAACTTTATTTACTATAAAGAAAAAAGGAGAAACCTTATATAGTATTTAATATTAAAGGAATATATTTTAAATATAATAATAAGATTATTAATTTAAAGATTAATTATTTTATAATAAAGGTTTAAGAAAAGAAATTTAATATTACTTATAATATAGTATTATTAAGTACTTATAATATTATATTAAGATTACTTTAATTAAAAGATATAAACTTATTAATTAATTAGTTTATTAACTATATAAAGTAAAGAGATACTCTTAAGAATTAATATTAAGATTAATAGAAATTAAAATTTTATTAAATATTAAAAGAATTTAATAAAACTTTAATAATTAAAGATATTATTATAAAAAACTATAATAATTTATAATAATAAGTAGATATAGTAAATTTAGCTTTAATAATACTATAACTTAGTATAAAATAAAGTATATCTTAATAAAAATTATAATAAATAATAAGAATATTAGCTTAAATATAGAAAGTTAAAAAACTATTAAATATTAATTTTATTAATTAAATATAAATAATACCTTAATAAAAAAATAAATATAATACTAAGTTTAATCTTTAATATAAAGAAGCTAGAAGGATATAAAAGTAAAAAAAGGAACTAAATAAATTAAAGAAAGATTAAATAAAATATATCTTTAAAGAATATTAAGTTTATAAGAAACTATTTAAGGAAATACTTAAGATTAAATTACTATAATATAATTAATAAAACTATAAAATCTCTATTATTAAAGGAGGAGAATTAGCTTTTTATAAACTATATAACTTTATAGAATTATAACTTTAAATACTTTATAAATATATTAATAATATAATAATAAAAGGCTATATATAATTATTAACTTTATCTATAAAATACTTTATAATATTTATATTAAAGAAAAATAAGAAATTATAACTTATTATAAATTATTAATAATTTAATAAAATTATATATAAGGATAAAATACCTTTATTATTAATTATAGAATTAAGAGATTAATTATAAAGTAAATAGTAGTTTACTATATTAGATCTTAAAGGAGCTTATAACTTAATATAAATTAAAGAAGGAGATAAATAGAAAATAGTATTTAAAATAAAGTTTAACTTTTATAAATATCTTATTATATCTTTTAAATTAATAAATATACTTATAATATTTTAATAAATAATTAATTAAGTATTTTAAAAGTACTTAAATATCTTTATAATTATATATCTTAATAATATCTTAATCTTCTTAAATAATTATAAAATATACTAAGAATATATATATAAGGTTTTAAAGATATTAAAGAATATAAACCTTTTAATAAAATTAGAGAAAAGTTAGTTTTTTATTAAAGAAGTTAATTTCCTAAGATATATTATTTAACTTAATAAAATATAAATAGAGAAAGGGAAGATTATTATAATAATAAAATAAAAAGAACTTATAAATATTAAGGAGGTATAAGCTTTTCTTAAGTTTATTAACTATTATTAATAATTTATTAAGAATTATAAGAAAATTATTTTACCTCTATATAATCTTATAAAAAAAGATAAAATATTTTAATAAACTATTAAATAATAAAATATATTTAATAACCTTAAGAACTATATACTCTTTAAATTTATATTATAAATATTTAATCCTATAAAGAAAGTAGAACTTAAAATTAATATCTTAAACTTTATAATAAATATATAAATTAATTAAAAAGATAATAATAAGATTTTATACTTTATAGTCTTTTACTTAAAAAAGCTATATAGTATAAAACTTAATTACTTTATTTATAA